TCCACTGATCCTACCTTGTATATCGGGTTGAGCAAGAAGGTTTCTAATAAACGGACTCATGGCGGATAGAACAAGAGCGTGAGTAAATACTTCGCCATCTTAATAAGAACATAATAAAATACTAGAACAGTGCAGTAATCAAACAGAAAACAACCCCTCGGGCAATATGAAATTTGAAAGATTGCCGAAGTTAGATCAAACAACGAAATTACTTTAAGCTTTGTTTTATTATTTCTAAATTCAATGTTGCAAATTTTAAAGTTCAGGGATCAATTCTTAATATTTAAATTTTAGTAATCTCTGCTGTGCTCCGACGGATTATTTAAAACGATACGGATCAGTACTTGGTCCAGGGATTAACAACATCAAAAGTTTTGACCTAAGTTCAGTTTAAAATCAACAAATATTAATTTGTACATCAATCCATAATATTCACCTTTAAAAATGAGTTTAAGGTCCTTGTAATCTGAAGAGACGAAGAATTGAGATATTTCTCCCATCAGCTGTTTGCAATGCTCTGGAAGCTGGAAGCTTGTGTTTCCCGTCATACTATAAAAATATAAATATTTATATATTAGCCATAGCTGGCCAAACGGTTGGATCAAAGCGAATTACTTTTTATTTATTTAAAAAAATTTTATTTGTCATTTGTTTTTGTTGCAAATTTGACTTTTAACCCCNCTTGTCTTACATTTAAGATCCATGTACAAAATTTATAGGAGGGGGGGGGGGTCCAAAAGTCGTTCTCTAGGACAGACCCAATAATTAATAGTTAATAATAACTTGAAATAATCTGTTTTAAACGAATTTAGTCTTTAATTTTTATTTCGTTGTTTAAACCTATCAGATTAATCTTAATTTTCCACTTTTCGTGAGATTCCACAGTTACAAAATAGAACCGACTCTAATAAATTTTACGAAGGGGGGGTATTCCTGGATTCCGCAGAAATGTAATATGCTGATTTCAAAAACTTTGTCTTACCTTAATTAACACATTCATCTATTATCTATTTTTGATGATAATATCTGAAATGAATCATTTCTTAGGGGATGATTAACAACAAGTTTATAATATATTAAACAAATTAAACTAATATATCTGAAATTGTCTGATTAAATAAAATGATATATCTTCTGAATGTGACTAGGTCTAGATGGAACTAAAGGGAGAAGGATTCTCCGCAACCACAAGTCCCAGATATATTTGGATTGTTAAAAACAAACTCCGAGGCAAGCTTGGACTCTTGATAATCCATCTCAGTCCCAAGAATACTCAGCTGAGCCTTTTTGTCAATGAAAATTTTTACTCCGTCCTGGCGAACTTCTTCGTCAAATTTCTCTTTTTTATCTGCATAGTCTAGAGTATAGCTGAGACCGTTACAACCCCTCTGTCTAACTCCTATTCTGAGACCAAGGCTGCCTGGTTGATCCTTGAGCAGGAGTTTAACTCTGTTGACTGCACTAGGTGTAAGACTAAGAGCTGCTTTTGTTGGTATGAGGCGACGTTTAACGGCCCTCACCGTGGCTGTAGCCGCAGAACGACCACTCATTTTATAATAAATCTGAAAATATTTCAAGAGATAAAAATAGATTTCCTTTCTGAACTAAGAATTTCAAAGTTTAACGTTTCTGAATTGCGTAATTTTTCAATCGTATATTTAATGGTTGGAATACAAACAATTTGGCAAGTGTCTAAATATATTTGGTTTGGTTTGCGCTGTGTACGGAGTATTCACGGGCGGGAAAGTAAAGGACGAATTATTAAATTCAACTAAAATCCTCCTTCGCAGAGGCGCAACTAGGGGGGGGGGGCGGCCGGGCGCGCCCTCCCCTAGCACCTGTATTTTTATGTGTTTTTTTTCGAGAAACTATAAATGATTATTTCTTGCAATTTAATCTGTAATTAAACCAGAGCCGGCGATTTAAAAAATTCAATAAAATACGACTCGGGTCTAAGCTGTTGTTGAGCCTTATTTACGGCTCGGGCTTTCGGATTTAAGTTGCATCTAATTTTTAGCAGAGTTTAGTTCATTAAACCGGTTTAATGTTGTAGTTGGCGGATTTTCATAGTTGGAATTGGCGCATTCCAGAGCCGGCGATTTAAAAAATTCAAGAAAATACGACTCGGGTCTAAGCTGTTGTTGAGCCTTATTTACGGCTCGGGCTTTCGAATTTAAGTTGCATCTATTTTTCAACAGAATTACTCATATCATTCATTTTACAGCTGTTGGAAGTATAAATTTTGTAAAAACACAAGAACAAAAAATCGATTTGAATTGAACACAGCCAAATCTGCAATGCAACAACTTAAAATTTCCTTTTTTTTCGACTTCAAACCCTAAAAAAAGCACTTTTGTTTTTGAAAAATTTTCGAAAAAAGGGGTGGGGGAACCCCCCTTACCCCCCCCCCACTACAAAATAATATATATTGCCCCCCCTAGCAAAAGTCCTAGTTGCGCCTCTGCTCCTTCGTAACAAACTTTAAGTTTAAAATAAAACCCGATAAATTTTAATAATCAAAAAAGATGATATCAAAAAGAATGTTTGAATATATATAAAGTATGTGATTAAATATAACATTTTGAGATATGTTCTCCGAGCAAACGGTTTACATCTGAGTCAAGGAAAAGAACTCCTGGTCTAGTTTCTCCACATTTTCACCAAGCTTGCCCCTGAGGAACGTGATGTACCGAACGGTTTGCTCTAGTATCTTTCTTTCCCCAGGGATATCACTGATATCCAACCCTGGAACCAGCTCTACCAAATCCTTGTTTTCAGGCCCTATAAGTAATAACATTAAGCAGTTTTGAAATCAGCAAGGAAAAGAAGAATACGGGTAGGGTTGAGTAAGATGTGAGAAAAAGATATGGGTAAGATTGGTGAGGACAGGATGGGCGACTGGATAACATTTATTGAACAGCAAAGTGGTATTATTAAAGAAAGGGATGGGGTTAAGGCTGGAGAGAAAAGGGGTAGGTTTTACAAGACCAGAATAGAAGAAAGGGCTAAGATTGGAGAGAGAAGGGTAAAGGGAAATGTTACTACGGTCCTCCAGCAATTCCGTCCTTCAGTACTTACATCCTGGTCTCAGGATATTAGAGAGAGTAAAATGGGAGAACAGGTTGGATTGGAGAGGAGAATGGGAAAACAGGTTAGATTGGAGAGGGGATGGGAGAACAGGTTGTATTGGAGAGAGGAGGATGGGAGAACAGGTTAGAATGGATAGGGGATGGGAGAACAGGTTGGATTGGAGAGAGGAGGATGGGAGAACAGGTTGGATTGGAGAAAGAAGGATGGGAGAGCAGGTTGGATTGGAAAGGAGGATGGGAGAACAGGTTAGAATGGAGAGGGGATGGGAGAACAGGTTGGATTGGAGAGAGGAGGATGGGAGAGCAGGTTGGATTGGAGAGAGGAGGATGGGGGAACAGGTTGGATTGGAGAAAGAAGGATGGGAGAGCAGGTTGGATTGGAAAGGAGCATAGGAGAACAGGTTGGATTGGAGAAAAGAATAGGAGAACATGTTGGATTGGAGAGAGGCGGATGGGAGAACAGGTTGGATTGGAGAGGAGGATGGGATAAGGAGTATAGATATTAGGAGAATTAATACACACTTAGTAAATTGCTCATATCCAATCACAAGCATAAAACATGAGTTGTAGCCAGGTTACAAATACTATATTTGCGCGAATCTCATTTTTTTTGATTATGAGATAATAATTGAAAATCCCCATTATCTTGAAATTCCGTAACAACGATGCTTAGGTGTAAAAATGTTTCTCCTACCTGTAGCTGGTGCAGAGGATGAACTGGGGTTAAATATCTCCGGGTTGTGTTGTCGGAGTTTATATTTTGCCATGTTCAGCAGAGGACTAGTCATCATCCTTCTCTTCAGTATCCGCCCTCCATTCTAGATTTAGGGAGTTAGATAGCTCCATTCTAGATTTAGGGAGTTACATAACTCCATTCTAGATTTAGGGAGTTACATTACTACATTCTAGATTTAGGGAGTAACATAATTCCATTCTAGATTTAGGGAGTTTCCTAACTCCATTCTAGATTTATGGTGTTACATAACTCCATTCTAGATTTAGGGTGTTACATAACTCCATTTTAGATTTAGGGAATTACATTACTCCATTCTAGATTTAGGGAGTAACATAATTTCATTCTATATTTAGGAAGTTACATAACTCCATTCTAGATTTATGGTGTTAAATAACACTATTCCAGATTTAGGGAAATAACAAAACTCCATTCTAGATTTATGGAGTTATATAAATCCATTCTAGAATTAGGGAGTTACATAACTCTATTCTAGATTTAGGGAGTTACATAACTTCATTCTATATTTAGGGAGTTAAATAACTCCATTCTAGATTTATGGAGTTACATAACTCCATTCTAGAATTAGGGAGTTACATAACTCTATTCTATATTTAGGGAATTACATAACTCTATTCTAGATTTAGGGAGTTACATAACTTCATTCTATATTTAGGGAGTTACAAACTCTATTCTAGATTTATGGAGTTACATACCTCTATTCAAGATTTATAGTTACATAACTCCATTCTATATTTAGGCTGTTACATAACTCCATTCTATATTTAGGGTGTTACATAACTCCATGTCTATATTTAGGGAGTTACATTACTCCATTCTAGATTTAGGGAGTTAATAAATCCACTCTATATTTAGGGAGTTACATAACTCCATTCTATATTTAGGGTGTTACATAACTCCATTCTACATTTAGGGTGTTACAAAACTCCATTCTATATTTAGGGTGTTACATAACTCCATGTCTATATTTAGGGAGTTACATTACTCCATTCTAGATTTAGGGAGTTAATAACTCCATGTCTATATTTAGGGAGTTACATAACTCCATTCTATATTTAGGAAGTTACATAACTCCATGTCTATATTTAGGGAGTTACATTACTCCATTCTAGATTTAGGGAGTTAATAAATCCACTCTATATTTAGGGAGTTACATAACTCCATTCTATATTTAGGGTGTTACATAACTCCATTCTACATTTAGGGTGTTACAGAACTCCATTCTATATTTAGGGTGTTACATAACTCCATGTCTATATTTAGGGAGTTACATTACTCCATTCTAGATTTAGGGAGTTAATAACTCCACTCAATATTTAGGGAGTTACATAACTCCATTCTATATTTAGGAAGTTACATAACTCCATGTCTATATTTAGGGAGTTACAATCAATTTAGAGTGGGTCGATTTTGGAACTTTGCCTTAAAATCTATAAAATGTTTTTTAATGGCAAACTGTTCGCTATTCTGAGGAAAGAATGGATCGAAAAGTAAGAAAGCCAAAAAACCATAAAATGTCAATACTGAAGAGGAGAGTATAAAGATACATCTCGAGCAACTTTAAATACCGTTTACAATTTTTTTCTTATTTTTGAATTGTTTGATTTATGGCCAATGTCTGGGACTTGAAAAATCAGGTTTTTGTCTTTAATTTCTTTAACTTTTCTGAATCCAGTGTTTCAAAACGTAAATCTATATACAGGGTGTGTCTTGGGATCATGAGATTTGGGAGACAGCATGGTGAAGATCAGTTATCTTTCGAAGAAATATTATTCACAAAGAGAATAGAATATATATTAGTGGAATTTAGACAATCCCTCGGTATGAATTTTGTCAGTCCCTTTCAGCCTAAAAGGGAGTTCAAAGTGTACAAATAATGTAAATGTTCATAAATTATATGCAGTAGAGTACATTAATACAGTATGTTCCCTAGACTATCCATTTCAATTTCGAATATTTTAAAGCTGTTAAATAAACTTTATAAAATGAATTAGGTGAATAAAAAACGTCATTTGATTTAAAGTTATAACGGAAAATCATCGTTTGTAAAGGAAAAGGCATAGAGTCTATGTGAAATGATCATTGGTTAATTATAAAACCAGCCTATTTCATAATTTGGTTTTCTTTTAACATTAATTTTAGATTTTCTATAAAATGATGTTCCAGGGACCAAAAGGTAATATTGCACAAATATGTGAAGTACACCTGCAGTATGGAAACAGTACAACAAAATGGCCGTTTTACACTTTTTTCTAGTAAATTCCACTCTAATCAATATTCTATTCTCCTTGATTATTTGTGTTTGGCGGAAAGGTGGTGATTAAATGTTAAAGAAAATAAAGAGATTTAAGGTTGGTTCTGGTGTATATAATCCATAGAACCGATTGTTGCATTTTGGTAGATTGGTTTGTTTCTATAAAGGAAATGAGTTTCTGTCACAAACTTACATGTTCTAATTCCTAAATCTTGGCAATCTGATGGTGTAAACCTTTGTTATTTCAAACTTAAATTTTTTGTTACAGAATTCATATAGTTTTAAATATCTATGGGCTACGACATACGGTTGCAAAGATTTAGAGATTAGAAAATTAGAGTTAGTGGCAAAGACTTAAATTCTATTGTGGCTGACCTCATGAAGATCCTGTGACCCACTAGGCAATAAATTTAATTAGATTACTATGGATAATCAAGAAACATACCAGTTATAAGGACAAACCTAGAAAACCTAATTAACAAAAGTTTAGCCAAACTTGGAATTATTAAGCTATCACATTTTAACACTTAATCAATCCTTATTTCACTTTCCGATTCATTCATTACGTAATCAGAAACAATTTAAAATTTTTATGGTATTTTCTTTTCATTGTTGAATTTCCAAAGTCGATTGTTTTTGGCGGCAAATTAAATACTGTTTGGATGGAAATTAAATGTGTAAAGGATTTGAATTTTTACCACAAACTCTGATTTTCAAATTCTTATAACTTTGAAACCCGTTTTCCAAGACCTTTGATATTTCAAACTATGAATTCTGTTAGATCAAATAGTCTTGTTTGAAATATCAAAGGTTTACACCATAAAGTTGCAAAGATATTGGGGTTAGAAAATGCGAGTTTGTGGCAAAAACTCAATTCCTTTGACAGTTTTCATTAATAATTTTAGTTTGAAATTTCAAAGGTTTACGCCATTTGGTTCCAAAGATATAGTAATTAGAAAATTTGTTTGTGGTAAAAATTAAATTTCTTTGACTGTTTTCTATCAAGTTTAGAGAATTAAAATTTATATAAGAAGAATAGTTGTCTCTAAAATTCTGCCTTGCAAGTGCTGTAATAGTTACTTAGTAGAAGAATTAATTTAATTTCCTTGCTGGCGTGTTGAAAGGTGTCGGAGCATACGAATAGGTTTCTGAGCTTTCATTCTGAAGATCATCCTCTCCCTCACTACTGGTCAACAAAAAATTTATTTATTTAAAAATTCATATTTTCTAATAATCCCTACATCCCTACCCAATGTCATAGACCTTAGATATTTCAACCTGTAAATTCTGTTTTATCAAATAATATAAGTTTGAAATATCAAAGGTTTACAACGTCAGGTAGCAAAGATATATATGAGATTTTAAAAATGTGAGTTTATGACAAAGACTTTATTCCTTTCACTAATTCATCCCCCCCCCCTTGTGTTAACGTCGCTTATATTTTTAGCACGGAGGATCATAGAAATGTAATTGAGTGAATGAGGAGTGAAAAGAAGAAAGGGAGAAAAGTAATGTAAACGAAAAAGATCAAATTAAACAATATCAACAATAAGAGAAAGAATCAGTATCCTTCTTAAATCCACGTCTAACCCTGAAGATCAGGAATTAGGGTTGTTTTCTGTTCAATTTTCAAATTAAGGTTAATTCGATAAATATTCTGTTCCCTATCCATACTGATATCCAGTAAAGAGGAGAGACTGTGTTGCAGGTTAAGCTCCGGTGTATCTGTGTACAGAGCTCCAAGTGGGACTGGAGACACAGGTTCACAGGAACTAGGACTGTACCCGGATAAAGGGAGACCAGCGGGATGTGGAGTTGAAAGAATTCTCCTGTACTGGTTAGGCAAAGAACTGGTGGGTGTGTCAGGAATAAACTTGACACAGTTGGATTCATCCTTCTCCGTCTGCATTGGATCTAACCCTGAGTTGTTGATGATATCCAACCTAACCCTGGGGCTCAGCATCCTTCCATCTAAACTATCATCTAAAGAATTGGATATCTCCAGGCAGTCTGCTTCTCGTAGTATCTCCATGGATTCATCGTTAACAGACATTTTTAACTAAAATATCACTACGCGGTTTAGAACAAGTTCTGTATTAAAACCATCAAAACAAAGAATGCAAATAATTTCTTGCAATAACAATATTTGAATAAAACATTTAAAATCCTGACATGAAAATTTGTAATATCTCAAGTTTTCTAGAAACATTTCCTTTCAAGTACGTCCAACAACAAATTATGGAAACTATTAAAGCTTGTCAGTTGGTTGAACCACAACAAACTTATTAGTAACTCTATTTATAAGTGTTCTGTATTAAAACCACCAAAACAAAGAATGCAAATATTTCTTGCAATAACAATATTTGAATAAAATATATAAAACCATGACACAAAAATTTAAATATCACACGTTTTCTAGAAAAACATCCAAGATTAAATCAAGGAAACTATTAAAGCTTGTCAACTGGTTGAACCACAACATACTTATCAGTGACTCTATTCTCTACTGAGAACTGATACAAGGTTTGACTATCAAACTGTTTGTATCCAGAAGGGAAGAGGAGCTTAACATAGTTGGGAGTACTAATGTTTATAGATCTCATCAGCTCAAGGTGTGCATTCTTAGAACTTGTGGCAGAGTAGAGAAGAACAAACATCCTTAAAATCAAATATAATGCAGATTCATATTTCATTATTAGTTTTATTAATAAAATTTACCAATTTAATCCACATCCCAGAACAGCGATGGTATACTCATAAATAGTACATGGATCTTCACGGGATAGGATCAGGGTTCCAATCAATGTCATTCCTTGACAGAGAAGGAACAGGATACAGTTTGTATTGTAATAACTTGATAGACCTCCCTTCACCAAGGAGAGAGATACAGGTATAATTCCGATCAGATAAATCACTCCCTAGGAAATAAATTTTAATTAGAACGTGAAATAAATTATTGCTTCGGAGCAGGTTGCGTATCAACATTCTTTTTACCCTAAAACAATATTTAATGGTCTGTGGATTTACATTGGTGAAGACGACATTTTAAAAATTTGATAAACTTAAGACAAGAGAGGACAAATGAAAGGAGTAATTTCTTAAAAATAAGCATCGACCAAGGTTATAATAAAAGGAAAGTTAATTGCAGTTGCGTATACTCTGCGTACATATAGAAACCAGTTCTCTTTGGGGGAATTTGTAAACAAGATAGATGCATCAGTGTTCGTTTAGTATCCGAGGAGGTTAAAAAACATTACATTTTCATAATTTAACTTTACTATGCATTTTTAACAATTTGACTTTACTAGGCATTTAGTCTATTTCAATTGTGAACGTGTTCTCATTGTAAATGTAAACAAAGAAGAAAAGAATTTCGCGGATTTTATAAAAAAACGTGGATTTTCAAGATTTAATTTTTTTACAAAAATAAAAAACTTTTAAATACAAATTTTCAAAATTTGATCATTCATAAACCTTCCCTGGGGTCACGTGAGATCTCACACAAATTTGGGCGCGATTGCTTTAGCCATTTTGACGTTTATTGGATACAAAATGACAGAAAGACAAGCCAAATTTATTAATAGATAGCACGAATGATTACTATATAGCACGTTCATTTTGAAATTCACATTTAAGTTAGAATGATAAAGTACACAATGAAGTAAGAATGATAAAGTACACAATGAAGTAAGAATGACAAAGTACACAATGAGAACCAGAAAACTGTGGAAAATAGCGAAATTATATCAATCTTTTGTTGTTACAAACCAAATAGTTTTACTATTAATTTATAAAATCAGTTTTTAAATCAACTTGGCCTGTTCACATTCAACAGTTGCTCTGTCTCACGCACATTGGACTATTAAACATCTCCTTCCTATTCCAGAGTTTTCTGGTTCTCACTGTATCAAATTAAAAAAATCTACATAACATTGAGAAACTGGGCTCGAAAGTGTTGGCTCACTGTCTTCTAAACCAGGATATCTAAATCACCATGACTCGATTACCTGAATAACCATCCAGATAGGAATACTGATCAAATCATATCTCTTGGGTGGAGAAACCGCATTACAGGTTCCATTTATTATCGCCTGGATTCCAGATAGATGAAGAACTCCAAGTATAAATAGAACTGCTGGGAGAACCCAAACCATATATTTAGATGAAGCAGGTTCTAAATTAAATATAATCTAATCACAGCTTTGTCAAAATAATTTGGAAACAAAAATTAAAATAAGGATTCGAAATGGATAAGAAAAGTAAAAATTAAAATTTGAAAAAGAACTAAATGAACAATAAATATATGCTCGGATATACAGAGCGTCCCAAAGTCACACATCATATTGGATATCTCCAAGCTTGAACATCAAAATACGCACATAACACTCGAAGACTAAATTTATTTTCTACAAGAAAACTGTATTAGCAACCTTATACATTTTTTCAAAAGGATTCATTGTTTTAAATTTTTCGATTAGTCCCTAAAATCACAATTTTGAGCTATATACGGTCTAATTTGATGTGGGAGACCCTGTAAATAAAAGATATGGTGTGAAAGTACAAATGCATGCAGGCATAGTCGGCAGAGTGTCTCTAACTATTAAAGCAAAATTAAATAGTTAACAAACACCACTTAAAAGTAGGAATTACTTTGTATACTGTATACATACGACATAAAAGATCAGCTAAATGAGGGAATGATGGGAAAGGGGGAAGGTAGGGGAAAAGGTGAAGGAAAAGCTCGAGGAATGAAGGGGGAAGTAGAGGATGAAAGATCGCATGGGGAAGGTAGGGGAGGAAAAGGGAGAAATAGGAGAGTAATTAAGGGCATAGAAACATATTTGATGGGATAGCAAGGCAAGATAAGCTTTATACCTATAAACAAATTACAAACTTCTTAAAAAATCATTTAATAATGCATGTACATAAGAATCTTAACAACATTTTACCGTTCTGTCCGCAACTTTAAACAATTGTAAAGGATATTTTAGAGAAAAAGAAGTACAAGTTAATCCGAAATAAGTAATAGGAAAGGAATCCAAGAATATATATCACCCCTGGACTAAAAAATAAATGAGTCCGACTCTTCATCTACAATCATACTCAAAACTTTAGTGTTAAGCAAACTCTGGCGCCAAATATATGTATGACAAAAAAGGAGATTTTATATGCAATTTAATTCTTCAAAAATTAAAAAGAAATCTAACACATTAGAAAAGAAAGGTTAAGAATTATAAACATCAGTTCTTTAAAGATATTTATCAAAACTTAGCCATGTTAGATTAATTATTTTCCTGGATTCTTATAATCAGTATTTTCATCATCTGCAGTCAGGATGAAACTACGAGCATCTTCATCTCCCTTAAACTCTCCAATAGAACCAGCTTCAGCATTATCCTTCTTACCACCAGCCATTCTTAAGGTATTCTTAGAGAATTATAAACATGATAAAATAAAATTATAAACTATCAAATCAAGAATCACAATTTGCAATTTTTAAAAAATGTATAAAACCCTAAAAATAGCGTTTATGTACAATATTTTTCCCGGAAATAATCCCGGAGGAAGCGGAGGAAAGAGTTGAACATCCTTCGAGATGGATCCTGGAGGTTGCAGAAAAATGAGATTAACAAAAGAAGTTGCAAAAGAAGGAATAAATCATCCTCACAAATTGATTCCGTTGATCCGGTTGCAGATGAAGGAGTTAAACGTTCTCCGATTTGGATTGCGGAGGTTGCAGAGGAAGTAGTAAAACATCTTCCAAAATGGATTCCAGATATTGCAGAAGGAATTCAATGTGTATTTGGATTCCGGAGGTTGAAGAGGCAAGAGTTAAACATCCTCCGAGGTGGATCCCGGGGGTTGCAATGGAAGGAGTTTAACATCCTCCGTTGAGTTGACTAAACTCTCTGGTGAATAGGTAACACTGAGAAGATGAAGTCCGTGAGCTGGCACAGGTTTAGCTAAACAAATTCATTTAATAGTTTTATTTATGATTAAAAAATAATGATAGTAACGATACCAAAAAAATAAGATTGAAAATCTACCTCGCGTATCCCAACCTAAATCTGGTTTGGTGAGCATTTTCTTTAAATCATCCTGTTCCATTCGCCCTGAGGATGCAGCTAGAGCAGCCCCTACCATTCTCCGTACCTAGAGAAAAGAAATTGAGTCTTTGCCACAAACTCTGATTTTCTCATCCCTGCATCTTTGCATCCAAATGTCGTATATACGACATATAGACCTTAGGTATTTCAAAATTTAAATTCTGTTAGATCGAATATATCAAAAAAATTACACCATCGGGTTGCAAAGATAAAGGGATTAGAAGCAAGGGTTTAAGGCAAGAAATCCGTTTCTTTGAAATGATCACCTGGTTGTGAAGAAAAGCTTTCCCTGATATTTTAATATTGTAGAACTTGAAGTATTGGTTCAATTCAGGAAGAGGGAACGGAGAAACACTTTCCAGCAAGTCTGATGCAAAATATTATTTGTAAATAGAATAAACAAGAAATGGAAAAACAAAAAAAATTTCAAATAAAATTAAAAGGAATTGAGTCTTTCCAACAAACTCAAATTTGTAAAACCCTAAACCTGATAGCTTAAACCTTTGAAACTCAGATTGATAGATCTAACAGAATTCATAGTTTTAAATATAAATAAATTGGGTTGCACAGATTTAGTTATTAAAAATCAGAGTTTGTGGCAAAGACTCAATTCCTTTTAATTTCAATGGATGTCAACGAAGACTGAACTGAGGCTTCTTGATTGCAACTTAAAAAGACAGAACACGTAGTTTAATGTGACCCTCCATTTAAAGAGTTGTATGTTTGTCCAATAACGATACCCTTTAAACCTCTGGCTAAGTAAAAAAGAAAAAAATATCGTCGTTTTCTCGAAAAGTATTAAATGCTAACAATTTTATTCATAGGCTCTGCAACATGAATCCGCGAGTCACCTTTACAGAGAAACAATTGAAATTAATTTTCGGAAAAAAATGATCTTATTCATCCTTTATCAATAACAAATGTTTAAATGTTACGGTTGTGAATCGGACATGCTAGTCACTAATCTAAAGAGTTACGTCTACAATCCTTATAATACAATCTAAAGTTTAAACATATTGTTATCATATTTTAATCAAGAAGCGTTTTTCTTTACTAGCGTTTTATGAGTTTAGCGTTTTATGTGGTAGCGTTTATGAGTGTAGCGTTTCATCTAAATAGCGTTTATCTAAGTAGCTGTATATGTGGTAGCGTTTTTTTTTAACATAGGTAAAAAGTCTCTCTTAAAAAGATTAAACTTGTATTTACCTATACTACTGATATCTTTGATAAACTCCTCCTCCGTCCTGGGAGAAGAAAGGTGGGAACCGTCCGGTAGTTTCAAGTGTTTAATCCAACCAGTGGAGGAACAAAAATTTCGGAAATTATGTGATCCTTCCATCATCTTTAAACAGGATTCTATCTTCTCCGCATCAAATACATTGTGCCTAAAAACATCAAAAATAGAAAAACAAGACATTTCCCGCATTTTCTACTTTCATTGCCAATACGAATACAATACTAATAAACGAACATTTATGTTCTTTCCACAAAATCAAATATTCTTATCTTTATTTTTTTTGCAACTAGACGACTAGGATGGCCGGACATGGTGTAAACCTTTTACATTTCAAACTTGGACTTTTCGATCTTACAGAGTTCATAGTTTGAAATATTTAAGGTATACAGTACTTGGTTGCAAAGATTGTTTTTGGCAAGAACTCAGTTCCTTTTTGCCTTTCAGACCTTGTTTCAATGAAAACTGGAAAATCTGATTTAGATAAATTTCTATTTTCCCACATCAAATTATCATAGTAAACCAAATACAACAATAAAACAATTAAAATAATTCAAACTTGTTCCTTTAATTAAAGTTATTAAGATTAAAGATGCCTTTTCTAAATCGTTAAAGTTACCTTGAAGGTTTTATCAAATACTAGTTGAAGGGACCGGCGCTGCCCGTGGAAATTTAAAAAAAAAAGGAAATTTAAAAAAAACACCCCCCGGCCACCCTGAGTGTCCAGAAAAATTTTCAGCCCATTCGTTCCAGCCTTTTGGCCGGCTATAGGCAACATATATATTTACGAATGTCACAACTGTAAGATATAATATTTACCCTATTTGAAGATATCTGTCTGCCATGAATACTGGAAGTTGACTCGGCATGAAGATTTTATTATTATTTCTCCGTCTTTTATATCTAAAACATATGTTTAAAGGGACTGTAGACATAATTTCAAAACTCTCCATGGAAAGATGTGCATATCCTATTCATAATAGTACCCTTTGACTTTTATCTCAGTATTAAGATATGAAGACGGGTAATGTTACATCCTCTATACGCTACATCCACCCTACTGAACTTCTGACATACTAACTTACCGACCTACTGCAATATCGGACCTACGCCAGCTGCTTATTTTTGTATTATTTGAGGGTTAAGTTAGGTTAGGAGAGGTTAGGGGCCGGGCGCTGCGGCCACAAGTCAATATAGAAGCTGTAAAACCACGTGCTAGCTAGTCGGTCGGATGTGTAGTATAGCAGATTTAGCGTAGGTCAGAAGTGGAGTATAGCGGATTTGCGCAGGTCGAAAAATATACCATCATATTGATCCTTTTACATAAACCCGCAAGTTACGAGATCCGACACAACAATGTACAATGTACATTTTCACTGTAAAGATTCTATTAAATCTATTAAATCTATTGAATTAAACACTGAAATCTTAAATTATCTATATCCGCGATTTAAAATTCGAAAATAAAATTCAAGAATAAACTCTCGTAGAAAATAATTGAAGTAATTTTCCACAGATAGGTTTTTTAAACTGATTTATTGTATTCGGTGGATTTTCATGACTGAAATTTGCGGATTTAGGGATTTGATTATAATAATGCTCCACATTGAGATTAACACTCCACTAAAACCAAGCGAGGTCAGTTTTATTTTCATCGGTCCTAACTCCTGAGGTAGAGTCTGAGAGCTGGCAGTTGTCATCAGCTTATTCTTAAGATGCAGACCAAATTCGAGTTTAAGGATATAAGACCCGAGTCAAAGCTTTTAACAATAAAATTACCTTTTGAATGGATAAGGTGGGATTTCCTCCGACGAAACTGCCAATTGGTAAAGGTATTCCCTGAAAAATAAAATCAATTTGCTTTCTACTTTGCACATTACACAAGGTTTGAGAAAGAATTGCTTGGAACTCGATCACTAGTAAGTAAACGTAATTTTTTTTTACAAATATTTTTATTCAATGGACAAGGGTCTGTAAAGTGTACAGTGTACAATTACATGCATGAATAATAAAAAACCTACTTTTTATTGAATACTAAAAAAGACTGGTCCCTGCCAAAAATTTGCCAATTTAAAAACCTGTTTTTCTTTTAAAGTTAGGATTAGACTAGACATAGGGACGATCAGAAATAATATGTCTTTCAACTAATGACACGAAGTTTTTTAAAAAAGTAAAATTTTTTGAAGATATATATTATAATTAAAAACTAGATGCGAATGAAAAGTAATCGAGTCTTTGCCACAAACTGTGATTTTCTAATCCCCATATATTTGCAAACTATGAACTGTGTTAAATCAAATAATCTACGATTGAAATATCAAAGGTTTACACCATCAGGTTACAGCGATATAATGATTAGAAAATTTGAATTTGTGGCAACAAAAAAAGGAGAGATTATGCTTTGGATATCACATCTGACTGAATAATACAGGGGAAGAAAGTTCCAAACCCTGCTTATGTTCCAAACCTGACCCTGAGTGTCAGGTTTGGGCACAAACATTATGATCAACGTTATATTAACGTCTCTTCTTGTGCCGATCAATTAAAGAAACTACTTCCAACATGTCATTAAGCATGACGAGAACCAAAAATAACACTAATAACTTTTTTTCTAAAATTAAAACTGTGAACAGTCGTTTATTTTTAATGAAACCCCTGCCATTTTCGAAACAATTCAAAGTTTTTCATTTTCGCCCATATCACAAATTCAAATCATGGACGCGTTATGAATTAACCAACTTCCATAACAATCCAAAATTTGAGAATATTCAACAATTTAGAACAAAACGCACTTTTATAATCTAATTTTCTAAATTATTCCATATTTGTTTGCACATCTATATATAAATTTGGCTTGTCTGTTTGTTTGTTTGTTTGTTTGTTTGTATCCAATAAACGTCAAAACGGCTGAACCGATCGGGCCCAATTTTTTTGTGGGACATCTAGGGAGCCCAGGGAAGGTTTATGAAAAATAAAAATTTCAAATATTTGTCTCTTGTTAACAAAAAGAACATGTTCACAATTAAAATAGAAGATGGGCGCGAAGCGCCCTAAAAGCCTAGAAAGAATGGCGCGAAGCGCCTTGAATTTCTAGTACTATTAAATACGGAGAGTACAGATGATTCAAATTTCCTCCATCTTTAACATAAAATTTCCCGCATTTTTCTGTTCACTTTATTAGAATTTGGAACTAATGAGAAATTTTAGAAGAATATATCATTTCGTAAACTTGAATAAGGCTTATATAAATTTTTTCATGCAGAAAATATTAGGTTTTTCGAGTATTATGGGCTTATTTTGGCGTTAAAGCTTGAAGATATATATGGGACGCTCTGATTATATGATTTGACCCAGGTGTGTTAATTAAAAAAATATAATTTCGTGTTTCTTTCTGCTGTTGAACATAATTTAGATATTTCCAGTAGACAGCTTTGCCTTAGTTAGTCAGTCTTGTAAAAATTTTGTTTTGTTGATCTGTCTTTCTCCCAACAAGTTACCGACCTACATTTTGTGAATTTACAAAAAAAAATTCACGGACTTAATGCTTTGAAACAGGAATTCGTGGATCAAATTGATTTTTATTACTGTATCAAATGTCGACTTGATCAAATGGGAACTGGATTAAGTATAGACCGGATCATTTGTCGCTGGATTTCTTAGTCGTGCAACCAGTCTAACTAAAGTTACAGTGTGTTGAACCTTCGAGATATAGAAAGAATTTGTCCAAAAACTTTCTAGCACGTCGTGCCAAAATAATAGTGTTATAAGTAATTTTATGAAACGTTTGTGTACTTGTCTTAGTTCAATGGCTAATTCTAGATCAAATACACTTTGAAACAAAGCAGAAGTCAAAATATAAAGTTGATTTCAATTTTATTTTCATTTCAATTTAAAAAATAATATTTTGGAAATATAATATCCTAAATTTTTTGAAGAAAATCTGGGAACCAATCAAAACTTTATAACACACGTGCTATAATGTACAGCTAATTTAACTTTATAGCACGTTCATTATGAAATTCACGAAGTGAGGAAGTATGATCAAGTACACATTAGTTTCATAATATAGATATATAGTAAGTTACAGAGGTTTACAAGAATAACCCCGAGTTACCAGAGTTTTAATCTTTAAATATAAATATATAAGAGATAAAGACCTTAACAAATAAACAAGATATCGCCAGAAAATTTCGATTTTAAATATAAATGAATTACGTCAGCAAGGAAAACCAGGTCCAAATGAAACTGAGCTTAAAATCTTTATAATCACAGATCAAAAAAGAATATTTCAAATTAAGATTTCAGCAAAATTTTCTGAATGAATTTTGGTCTTAACAGAAATAAATGAATAAAACTCGTGATATTTACATACAGACCAACTACACAAACCGGAGTTCAAGGTTGAGAAATAAAATGTATGAACCAAAGCAACTGATCTTTAAAGAGATGAATTAAAAAAGTTTAATTATAAATACAAACCAAATCTTTAACAGAATAATTAGGAAATAATCCAAAATCTATTAATCAGAGCATCAGATCGGAAAGCACACTTAAAATATTGATTATCACGTCCACGCTATTGTAACAAAAATATTCTAGTTTCAGATTTAGAATAATTATTTTTGCATTATACATTAAATATGACCATAACAGAAATAAATGATTCTTGAAAACAGTTCAACAAGGACAATACTGATCTATAGGTTTTTAAAGAAATACAATGTTTTTACCAATTAAATGGAACTCAAAAGCTTGACAAACAGATACAGGTCAACCGTATCTAAGATTAAAGGTTTTTATGCAATAAAAAAAGAAACCAAATAAAATGATATTCAATAGAAAAATGAATAAGAGCTAGTGATCTTAACATTTAGAAATAATCCAAATTAATTGGGAAATGTATTGACTTGGGCAAATGAGCCACAGAGATTAATATTTACCTCGCAATTGTATCTTTCCTTGCTCTGAAGTCTGGGTGTACAGCCAGGGTTCGATTTATCCTGCATAGTGTTCATCTTAATATAAATATTATTCATGTACATATCGTACATGAAAATCACAAATATCAATATGTAAATGTATCAATTGTACATGAACATGAAACATATAACATCATAATTCAGAAAGTATAAAGATAACTTGTCATGAAATTTACAAAATTTTATATTCTTAGAAAAAACTAAATGCAAATGTCACAAATAAAAACAAAACAAAAAACATAATTATATCTAAATCACAGATTTTGGGGTTTTATAACATACAAATACTATCGAATCTATTCTTCTCTAGTCTTGAAACCTCCTCTGCAACTTCCATTAGGTTAAGATTTTTATCATGTAACAGAACAATAATAGTTCTAGCTCCGGCAACCTGAACCACAACCCATTCTTCGCTCCAGGTTTTGGCCATTATCTCACCTTCACTGAACCCGGAGTTTCGAAGATCTTCAACAAAATCCGCTCCGATTTTAATCAATTTTTCCTGTCCTTCAATCACTGTAGATTTAATCGCTAGATTAGCTGCGTTAAAGTAAATAAACGACAATGATTCCGTGTGCTGATTTGAACCAGGTTTAGATACATAAGCATGAGTTAGATCAGCTGATAGATTTCCTAGATTTACTCCGACAGATTCACGGAATGATTCGAAGAAAGGTTTGGGTGGAGGGGAGGAGAGAAGAAGACAGAGTGTTGTGTTGAGAGCATGGAAGACGGATAAATGATAAGGTTCTCCATGGATGTAAACTACTGGTGACTTCTCCTTCTCTCCGACGAGGAAAGATCCACTGGGTTGCCTGGTGGAAGCAAGATTATTAAATTAAAAGCATTTTTTAACGATATTATTATTTGAACTGAAGTTTATCTAGGCTAAAACTAATAAATTACCAATTCCCAGATGTTATTGAAAACTTCCCTTTTAATCCACAAAACAGCAAAAACGTAGAGTAGGCATTGTAATCGTCAATGTCAGACTTCCAATAAAAAACCTTACCCTACCTACGTTTGTAAGAGAAAAAATGTAAAATTGCACAATTTTGGACCAGTTCCCCAGCCCCCCCTCAAATATACCGAAATAGAGCGGAGTTTTATAATTAATATTCCCTGAAACCGGCGTTTTTTCAAATATGAGATTCTAAGATGTTGGAATGTAGAAATGATAATCTGTATTTTCCTGGATATTGCTGGAAGCATGGGAAGGATTGTAGTTGAAAGATATTGAACTATAAGTTTTGTTAAACTAGGATCTACACCAGACCAGACCAGTTGACCAGACTGAAGGAACAAACATTTCCTAGAACAAAACTTTTATCAATAAATAACATGATTCAATTTTGTAAACAAACTCCAAATTTTAGGACTATCATTCTTTTTTCTCTTTAATATCTTTAAGCCCGAAGACTTTAATTAATAGAATGCCATTACTGATTAACAACGGTACTCTTTAAACCTTTGACTGCTAATGGATGAAAGAGATAACCTAGTTTTCCTAGATCATAGCGGATTTTTCAAATAATGGTTCATCTTTTAAAGTGACTTAACAGATTTATAATGCAGAAACAACGAAATTGTTTTAACAAAATTACAAAAGAAAAGTGACAATATCTTCTTCATTTTACTCAGATAAAAAGCCTAATATTAAGTAAAACTTTACTTGCCTAATAATATCATTATCTGCCTTCATTCTGTTGATGAGAGACTGCACTCGCAAGAAGTCCGTTGTATCTAGAGCTAAATATTGCATTCCTCCCCATACACTGGTAATATCCCCACTCTCCACCCTCAGTGTTGCCAGATACCGGGAGAAGAAATGTTTCACGAGTTCCATGAAAACAGCCTTATTTCCTCCGCAACTATCATCAAGCGCGAAGGTAAGACTTGAGTGGAAAAGACAAAACATCTCGTAAGATCGTCCGATCAAAGATCGGAGAACAGAATCACTGACATCCTCAGGATGGAACTCAATCGTGTCTCCGGGTTCCTTTCCTTGCTTTCTCGTGTTAGGAACGGATACGGTGATACAGAGCCAGTAATCTTTCTCTGCTTCGAAGAAAACAGTTCGTTCTTTCAGAGTGTGCAATGAATTGGCGGGAACTGCCGAGAACTTGTTTGAGAATATAATCACTCCCTCAACCAATCCGATCTTTTTTAACATAGACTGATCATTGAAGTCTTCGGGCCAGAAATAAATTATCTTTTTTTCTTCATCGCCCTCTTTTGGTCCCCAGGTGGAGTTGAAAAGGAAGAGATTCTTTATCACAGTCGGAGAAAATTTATTTTTGTCCATTTTGAAAACTTGAGTTGTTATCAGCAACTGTTCCTCCTCCAGGGGTTAGTTGAGTCTAAAATATAAAAAATATATGAATGAATATTTGTGGGAGTTGTCAGGACAGACGCTGATAAGAACTCAGTTTCATAATGAACAATAGGGAGAGCTGGACTTTCAGAGTTAACAACATTGTATTGAAAGTACATTGTGTACAAGTACAAGTACAAGTACAAGAGTGTACGTTTACAGTAAAGTCTAATGTACATTACAGCATAGTGCGCAGTACATTGTAGTACTATACAAGAGTGTAAATTAAAGTGTACGTTTACAGTACAGTCTAATGTACATTACAGCATAGTGCGCAGTACATTATAGTTTATAAAGTATAGTCGAGTCCAGTGTATAGTGCATAAAAGTGTACAGTACAGTAGTGTACAGTACATTAGTGTACAGTACAGTATAGTATGCAGTATAGTGTACAGTACAATGTTCAGTACAGTCTAGTGTACAAAACAGTATAGTGTACAGAACAGTATAATGCATAATACAGTATGGTGTACAGTACAGTAGTGTACAGTACAGTGTAGTGTACAGTACAGTGTAGTGTACAGTACAGTGTAGTGTACAGTACAGTATAGTGTAAAGTACAGTAATGTGTAAGTACAGTAATGTGTACAGTACAGTAATATGTACAGCAAAGACTTGTGTACAGTAGTCTTGTGTACAGTACAGTAGTGTTCAGTACAATTTACAGTGCAGTGTACAGTGTACTGTAATGTACACTGTACTGTACACTCTACTGTACAGTACAGTTTACAAATCAGACTTAGGATCCATTCCGTTATAATGCGGATGTGGATCCGGATCTTATTTAAGAAATGTATCCGGATCATCCATATCCAAGTTGTCCTACCTGACTTCTAGATTACGTTTGATGAAATGATGGTTAAGATGCTGAGTAATCTCCAGAGGGGAGAAGTACTTGTCAGGTTTAGGATGGATTAGATCTACAGTTCCTGTACTAGAGTAGGCATGAACACCTGTATCCGTCCTAAATTACAAAACCTTTAAAACTGTTTGATTCTAAATTTTCTTTACACAATGATTTTACATTTTTGTTTTTCTATCTCAATTAGTTTCGTTGATCCTATTTAACTTCTAAAACATTCTCTTTTTCTATCCTGGTCCGCGAATGTATTACCCCCGACAACTACCCTGTGATTCCTAATTTCACCTTGAAGAGAGGAAGAAGACTGGAGGATTAGAAGGAGTAAGAGCTAGCTTGAGTCCTGTCTCTAGAGCTCCTTGAACTGTTTTCTCCTCCTCTAATAAGGTTTGTTTGGTCAGTATCTCAGAATCCTTTCTACTCAACAGCTTCTGACTTCCTCTAGAAACAAGGTAGAAATTATAAATAGGAATAAAAATAGAAATACAAATATCCATATCCAATCCATCTTAATCCCATTCAATCCCATCAAGTCCAACTTAGGTTTTTTTACTCCTTCTTAAAAACGTTAAGATACTAGCTTGGGACCCAGGGTTGCCCAGGTTATTCATAGTTACTTCCGCCGTTTACCCGCACATGGTCTTCCTTACGACTTTAGAATCGACACACTCGATTTAGAACATCAAAACCAAGCTAAGAAAATTCCCGTTGTTTTGAGGCAAATCGGTCATGGATTCCTGAGTTATCAGACATATGTGAATAGCTATCTTTTTAAACAATAGATTTAAATGATTTCCTACCTAAAATTTGTTCCCCTGTAGTTAAAGAAAAGGAGATATCGATGCATCTTACAAAGGAATCATCTTACATAGGAACCAATTTACAAAGGAATCATCTTACATAGGAACCATTTTACAGAATGAGAACTAATCTGAAATGCGTAAATATCACAGCAAGGTAAGGAAAGATAATTAGTAATCTTTTTTGGACTTATGATGTTTCTTCTTCTTCTTCTTTTCTTTTTTATGTTTCTTTTTAGACTTTTTCTTTTTAGACTTCTCTTCCCATTCGTCTGAGTCGGAATCAGAGGAGATTACGATTTTCTCCTGGGTTTTGAGCGGAGGGGGGAGAGAGGGTCCATATTCCATGTCGTCTGGATCTATGCTCTTTATGCCCAGGATAGTTCTCACGCTCTGATCCAGGATAGATTTAGGTCGGTTGAGAATAACTTTGTCCCGAACCACAGGAGGAGGTGTTTTCCGACGCGGTTTCGCAAACTTATCGAAATTAATTCCCGCGAATATTCCTCTGGCCGGGTCCGCGTTCATGGGGTTCACTCTGGCACTTGGATGAGGTTTACTGTCATTAATATTGGATTTATCTAGTCTTAGACTCGTATTTTCATCTTCATCCTTCTTAGTTTCTTCTTCATCTTCTTCTTCATCTTCGGAATCAGAATTAGCAAAGATTGCTTTGAATAAGTCCATGGATGGTTTTTCTGAAACAATTTCATCCTTCTCATCCTTCACTAATACTACAGGAGCCTTCTTAGCTTCAACTTTTACAGGTACAGTTCCATTTTCATCATCTTCAACTCCAGTATCATCCTTATCTTTAGTTTTCTGATTCTCCGTATCACCCTGAGATCTGTCCAACAACGAAAACAGTTGATTTGCTCCGAACTTTTTCTTCTTATTCTCAGGTTCCTTATTGTCTCCGAACGGATTTTTCACATTAAACCTAAAGTAAAACAGTCAATTCTCTTGAATAAGATGGACAATAATCAATTTAACAAGATAAAATGATTTCACTTGTCGGAAAATCAGATTTATGTGATGAGATGGATAAATGATTCAAAGATGTGTCTCAGTAAAATACGTTAATCTCTTTATCCATTCACAACGCACGCTACCATTTAAACCTTTGTCTGGTCAAGGATTAATGAGATATAATTATTTTTCTGGCTGAAAATTGAGAAGTTTAATTTTTTTTTATCTTTTTAGAAGTAACTTACGGTTCTATGAAGTAGAAACATCGCAGGAAATGGTCAAAATAAAATAAACTATATCTTCCTCATTTCTACTCAAATAAAGCTTGAAAGGCATTATGAATTGGATATACAAATTGCAACTCTGCAAGAGAGAGTAACTTGAAATTAAATCGTCTAGATTCCATTTCAATAATATTTTATACCTGACGCATAGTATTCTGGCCGGTATCCATTCAACAGTTTGCCTGGTTAGTTTTCCAAACATTTTCATCTCAGCTGCTTTTCTTTTCTCTAGATCTACAGACTTATCAGAACCCAACCCTGATAAATAACAATAAACTTTATACTTGGATTTTTCAGGAGAACTTGTCAATTCAATATTTTTATATTTCATCCCAGTTTAAATTCATTCCATCACATTTATTATCTTAATCCACCATCATATCCGTTAATACACGTGGTCAAGGATCGAGTTATTGTATTTTGGGATTGAGTTTCGTAATGTCTTGATTTACTTGATATTAGAAACCCCGTCTTAATCTCGAAATATCCCGACTTTATCTTAAAATACCCAGCCTCAAAACTCAAATCAGAGTCTCAGGGACATCCTACTAACCACATATCCACCATAAGATGAATCTACCGACTGACCAGAATATTTCTAATTGATTATACACAAAAACACCAACCTGATTCTCCAGTATCATCTAATGCATTACCAGCTGACACAAATCTTGACGCCATGTTAACTTTCATCGGTTTATATAAATGAGCGGCACGTTCAAACTCAACCCTCTCTCTCTCCCGTTCCCATTCCGTCATAGTTTTAGGTTGCAAGAGCTTTAAAGCTTCTCGTCTGTTGTTATCAATACAAACCAGGAACTGTTCGTATCTTGTCTGCTTCTCAGGGTTCTTCTCAAACGGTTTGAAACCACTGTGAAGCATTGGGTTGGGTGGATTGGAGATAAAGTCAGGGATTGTGGTTTCTTCTGCAGGTTCTTCTTTGATCTCCGGGTTCTCCTTCTTCACCTCATCAGGTTTCTTCTCCTCCCGCCTTGCCTGGTCTGGAAATAACATGGACCTGCGCTGATCTCGGGATGGATTTGATATTTTAACTGGTTCTTTCTCCGTGGTGTATTCAAATCTTGATATACGGACGTATCCACTGTTTTTAGGTTTCCATTCCCGGGGGATAACTGGAGGAGGAAATGATTTCTTAAGAAGGGATCGGGAGGTGCTGAGCTGAAATCCTTCCAGGATATCGGATAGGTTGGACACGGACTTCTTCTCAATCTGTTTCCTAGAATCCTTCGAGAAGCGGGACTTTTCTTCAACATCAATAGAAAAATCAAATTCTGCCATGTTCCCACTGAAAAAAAAGTGTACGTTTTAAATATCTCACATTAAAAATTTGGCTCGGAATTAATATGAGGGCTCTGCACAGTGCATACAGCTTATAATAACAATTCATAATATGATATTGTATCATATCTGTTCGGTTTCGTTGTAGTAAACCTATCGTGTATAAATTCCCACTATTACACGGTTCAGTCCTCTTTTCTTGATTGAAACTTGGATGTGGTTTTTAGTGCATGTGGAGCAAACACACGAGAGCTCTACACAGACTTAGTCAGTTAAAGCTAGATAAATATTTACACAAACTTGTATATCTAAAAATAAAATAGCCAGAAAAAAAGAGAAAAATATTATCAAATCTCCAAGATGTTCTTGATCTACCTGTTATAAATATCATCATCATCCTCTTCATAGGCTCCAACTCCGAATGCTTCTCCAGAGATGGAAAATTTCTTTTTATGAACTCCGGACTTGAGGTTGAAGGATGAAGGTCGGGATTGTTGCTGATGTGCTCCAGGTCTATCCAAACCTCTGTATCCAATACCAAAGAAATTCTCCTTCAAGATTGAAAAATTAGCAAAAGAAATTAAGATTTGTTTTTTTAACTTTCAACGTACTTAAGCCCAAAGAAATCGAGTGTTTGCCATTAACTCTAATTTTCTATTCTTATATTTTTGCGAACCCAATTTTGTAGACCTTAAATATTTTTAACTATGAGTTCTGTTAAAATAAATTATCTAAGTTTGAAATATCAAAGGTTAACAACATAAGATTATAAGATTATAAGACGAATGAGAAAATTTGATTTGTGGCAAAGACTCAATTCCTTTGTAATTTTAAAGTTAGTTTTATGTTATTAAATTGGTAATTCATCTCTAGTAAGAGTAACTAGGTAACGGAGAAAAGAATTGATCTGTATTACGAAAATAAAAAAATAGATAGTCTTAAATGTTCAAATATGAAGTCATTGACGTATGGTATTAACTTCAAGGGGTGCTCTCAGATCTGGATCTAATCCTGGATTTAGATCTCATAGTTAACAGAAATGTGCTCGCGGATCCAAAAGAACAGAGAAAGAACATTGACTAATAAAAAAACTACCTTAGGAGCTGCAACGTACACGGGTAGATCGTCCGGAGCAAAGAGAAACTCTTTATATTTCTCCAGGTTCTGGTCCTCTTCTTCTCTTCTTTCGGAGCTCTCGCCCAAATAAGTCTTCACGTAGGACTCCTTTCTTAATATTTAAAAAAAACTGTTCATATTTCATTTCATATTTTTATTCAACTACAAAGCACGAGATAATACAAATAAAAAATCACANATTGTTTTTTCTTTAGAAAAAATACCATTTATACAAACATATTGAGTCCTATTTACTAAATAGTTTTGAAACCATGTGTTAGCTACATTTTTAAAACCGTAATACTCTAGTTTTTTTAAAAGAATATCTAAGTTGCAACAGTCAAAAGCTTTCTTAAGATCTAAAAAAATTCCCAGTGTAAATTCTGGTTGGGGTTTATTAAGATTTTCGTAAATTTTATTCATTAGGTGTAGTAAAGGTTGATTAGTATTATGTTGTGGTCTAAATCCATATTGATGTTGATAGAAAATCTCAAACTTGTTAAGATATTTAAACATTTGAGTCGCAGTTCAGTTCAGTGAAATATAATTTACAACTCTAAAAATACTGAGGAAAAACAGAACTATTAACAATATTCCAATATTAATAACAAAAAAGCTTAAACCCAACTCTTTTTCAATTTGGAAAAGTCACTATTTGGCGCAATTTTATCAATTTTAGCGTTTAAAACTTTTATTAATGTTTACCTGTCTTTCTTCAATTTGTTAATAGCTTTCGGTCCGATTCCTTGTCCAGGTTTCCAACCTTGTTTTCGTAGCAAGGTTTCTCCGATAGTACTTTTAGCTGGTTGGATCAGTTGGTTTAGAACTGGAGCAAACAGGGCCGCGTCACGTGTACTAGGTCTAAATATAAACAATCTTTTATTTCAATTTAAAAGTTTATCTCTTGAAGAAATATTTTGTTGACATTTGTAACATTGCAATTTTTTCTCTAGAAATTACCCTAGACAAAAAATTCCAACTTAGGTTTTATATTTGGTATACATATTGTAGACAATCTTAAATGGAAAGAATCTCGTTTTAAACTAATCGAATGAAAATGCGTTTTCCAGATGCATAAAGCTGGTTTGAACTCAAGGTTTTTCTGTTTTGGTTTAGGTTCAATCATGTGTTTTGTTCCAGTCCGTGGTTTAAATATTTTAAAATGTTGGTTCCATTTCAATCAATTAATGATGTTTTATCTGAAAGCCACGAAAGAAAAGAAATCTATTGTGTATTAACCGATAAATTTTATTACCTTACTTCCTCTTTTCTTGATTGAAACTTGGATGTGGTTTTTAGTGCATGTGGAGCAAACCCAAACTCACCAAAATCATCGGAGTCCATAAAATCTTCAGGTTTTTGAACCCGTCGATCCGTTCTCAAGTCCTTAGAGCTTTTAAAATGCGCCGGGTTCCAACCCTGCGGTGTATCAACAGTATTAAAAAACCCGGCCGAGAATCCTCCGGTGAAAGCTCCGTGAAATCGTCGTTTTCCATTCTCGTCCGTTGCGATCTGCTCCTCAACAGATATCGGTCGCTTCCTGATATTCTCCCCCTCCGTCAGTTCTTTCAAGGGTTTACCAAAGCTCACGTAATCATCCTCGTCATCCGACATTTTATCTGAAATATTTCTACATGAGACTAACAATAGGACAAGATATCTAAGTTTACTTCTTGAGAAGTTGATGCCTCATAGCGTAGAATGGAACTGTGAGTCCGCTGCCGAAGAAGAGGATGAAGTATGCAGTAAGCTTGAACCTGAACAAAAATAGGATTCACTATTTAAATGAATAGAATAACTTATTACTGTGAATAGATATAAAGTTCCAGCTATAACTAATAATGTTGAAATAGTTAGGTTCTATTTTCGTAGCTGGCCATAGAAGAATCCTTCATCATTAGCCTGTGGACAGGTTACTACAATACATATACATACATCCCAGTTCTATATTGAATTAAGAATCTGTTAAATAATGTAGTTCTGATAGGAAACCTGTCTCTAAACTATGTCGAAAAATCTGAGCCCATTTATGTTTTTAATTTAAAACATTACAATTTCCAATTAACACTTGATTAATTGAATTCTGAAATTTAAACCATGCCAGGGAAACTTAAAATCCTCCATTACATATAAAATTATCAGGACAGATTAAGGATCCGGGTCCGCATCAAAACTCTGCTAAAGGATATTATTAAAAACTTCAGAATTTTATGTCCGGGAAAAAATAAAAATTTTGACACCAAAAACAACATTTTCAAAGCGGGGGGGGGGAATTTTCAAAGAAAATATAAACCCTTGCACTGTCCCACAGATCTTGCAAAAGTAAAAGTTAACCTGTTATTGATTGAGAATGGGAGATTGTCTCCTGGAGGTGGAACTCCATGTCCTCCTCGTCTTGCTGCGCTAGTAGCGAGTCCTCGGGTTGAGATAAGCCTGGCGAACATTTTATCTAGAATCAGTTATAAATAAATAAATATCTGTCAGGTTTAGTTAAATATAAATATCACAGGTTGTGTTGTCTTAGTCAGAAAACCAGTAGTTCCAGTCAAAATAACTCAGTGATCTCTCGTCCTTGCAGGTTTCCTTGCTGTTATGAGACTGGGATGTTTTCAAGTTACAGATGATTTTTCTTTTACAGATTGGATCGCAGTCTGGGCGCTCTTTACTCCCTGTATGGTAGTTGAAGTAGAACTGATGAAATGCTTCTTCATTCTTCTGAATGTTTTTAATATAATTGTGCCAACTAGAAGGGGATAGAGATTCTAGCTTGTAATCCTCTCTAGCGGAGTAAAGTCTATCCCAGGTTGGCTCCGTATCCGGACTAGCGTTTGCTTTCTCCAGATCCATAAACCAGGTTTCATGATTCAAAACCCGACCGTCTGCTTCGTTTACTTCGTATATTCTGTAGGTCGGATTTAATCCGTAGTACGGAGTAACGGATGGACCAATGTAGGCAATGTTGATGGGACGGGTTCGGTTCTCCAGGTCAAAGAAGAGCTCGAACTCGTCCGCATGGGTGTGTCCAAAGAACTGAGCTGTGACAGTGTGCTCATATCGATTTATAATTCTGATCAATTAAACCAATTTCGTACAGAAACATTTTTAAGGTCCAGTAAATTATTTTTGCTAAAAGAAATAGTTAAGATTTTTTTCAATTGGTTTAATTCCTGTTATAGTTTCTACTCCAGACCTCAACACAGTCAATGTGTCCAGGTGGAATATGTCCAATAATATGAACTTTCTCTCCTAGAATTAAAAATGTTAAAAATGTAAGTATCTAAATGAAGCATATATCTAATTTTGAATCAAAAACGGGATGTGTGCTAAAAATAAAAAAGCTGCCAACTGCCTTCTCACCTTTAAATTCTGCAAGCTGAAGTTCGTAAACCAACCACTTTAACTCTTGAGCAGGATCAGTTGAGTTCATGAGCAACCAGATATTCTTGTTCATACAGTAGTTCATGTTCAACGAGATAACCCTGAGCCCAGGACCCGTATTGACAGAGTAGTATCCTCCGTATCTCAGGGTAGGCCCGTGACCAGCTCCGATCCACTGGGTCCACTCCTGGTTCAGCGCAGAGTACAACCAGGATATTGAATGTTCTCCTTGTACAAAGGGCGGAGGAAAAGAATCTACTGGGACGGATTCATGGTTCCCCAGGGCCGGGAGGATAACTTTGTCTGGGAAATGTTGTCTCAATTGTTTTGAAGTTTGGCGGAGAACCTCGAGGTTCCCTTGTCTTGTCTGGTTCCAGATATCATGAGGAGGAAGATCTCCGGTCCAATAGATTAGTTCTATGTCAGGATGCTTCTTACTGATATGTCGGTACATAGATTCTATTGTTCTCAGAGGAGTATCACATTTCCTGAAACATTTTAATTTGACAAGAGACAAACCCGTCCCGTCCCAGTCAAGTCTGGTTAATTTTAATTTCCAAGTTCCATCAAATCTGTCATTCATTTCCCGCCCCGCCCCTATCCCATCCCATCCCATCCCATCCCATCCCATCCCATCCCATCCCATCCCATCTGTACCTGTAGTCCCCCCAATATCCTGCTTTATCTTCAGGATCAGAAACTGCACTGCTGGTACTTCTGCAAACATATTTACAATCATGACAGGTAATCAGGAACGTGTGCGTAACTTTAAGTTAAGGAAAAGGAGTGGGTGGGGGAAATTTAAGATTAATTATTCATTTAATACAAAGAGCCATATATTTGACCATGTTGATAAGATATGTGTTAATCATTAACATACTTTTTTAGTTTCTGTGAAGAGTGGTTACCGTGAAATACAAAAAAACTTTAAAAAAGAAACTTGCCCGCCCCCTTCCACCCCATGCTTTTACCTGCAACACAGAGGTTCTCCACAGTTCGCATTCGATCCTTCCTGGTAGAACGGATCCCAGTGTGTATCCGAGAGATGGAGAACCCTGAAGGTTTCTCCAGTACTCAACTCAGGTTCGGAGTAATTAGGTTTACTAACAGGGGGGAGGAGTATGGTCCATTCGTGCTTAGGATTGTAAGGATTGTTGCAAGCTTCTCCGAACATGAATCCACACATCTCCTCTGGAGACTGAGAGATATTACTGACTACAGTATAGATCTCGGGACCAAAGCTTTCTACTAGACCGCTACAGATACGCGGAGAAACCATTCTAAACAAATTTTAACTTGATTTCTGAACAAGGAGTGAGATCAATGTAATGTTAAAATCAGGACAAAATTTTATGATCTGCCGCGCTCATTTTTTGTTGTAAACTAAATATCCAATTTTTAAACTTGTATTTAAGTTTTTAGAAGAAAAAATACCTGAAAGTTGAGCACATCATGTTGGTATCCCGGATAACCTGCTCCAAGGTAACCCCGGAGTGAAGATAATAGTTAAGAAACATAAGTCCTGCTTTACAAGCTGTACAGGACGCTCCACCGAACAAACTATTCTCTACCTCGTAGGCAACCTTAATATGTCTAAATTCAATCGAAGTTAGGAATTTATGAAGAGCTACCACTCTCTCTCTAATTCATAAATTAAATTCTTAATAAAGGTTAAAACATGATTTTTCAATTTTCTTTTCCCTAAAAATAATTTTTTTATTTTTTTCTATAAATGTTGATTAAAATACTATTCGTATTATTATTATTAATAAAAAAGAGAGTCAATGTTTCAATGAAATATGGGAAGACATTTTCTGTATAGATGGTAAGGGTTTGAAATTGCACTCCACGTTTGATTTTTAACTATAATTTCTTAGTGTATGAAAGGCAAATATTTTCTAAATTGTTTACTGCTTAAACACTGCTTTTCTCACACTTAGACAAATTTTGACCATGACAAACAAATATGGTCAAAAAAAAGAACCAAACGATCCAACAAACTTGTTTCAACGATCCAAGTTTTTTTAGGATAAAAATATTGCAAAGTTTGATAAAAGCAAACTTTAACAGAATATAGTTTTGAAATCTTGAAAGTTTTATTAAACTTTTTTAAAATGATTAACAACACTAGCTCCCGGTCATCGTAATGAAAATGATAAAATTGAGAAATAAGTCTGAAATCATATTATTAAAACGCGAACTGTATCTACCTGTCCCAGCTGGAGAACCTCTATAAAGGTTGAGAGATGTTTACCCAGGTACCTGGAGCCAGGTATAGAACTACCAGGATCCAGGACTCCTAGGAACCCGTCATTACCCAACCGATCACTAGAAATTACAATGTCGTTTTCAAATACTTTCTCTATATTTTTGGGTTGTGAGACATATTTCATCAAACTGGTTTTGGTTTTAATATTTATATATTAATCAGAATTTACAACACTTGTAAATATTTAAAAAAATATACTATTTGTTTCAAATTGTTCGTAACTTTGTCAAGATAGAGTTAATCAAAGTTTGACTCGACAAGTTAAGTTTTTAATGAAAACGACATCCCGATTTTCTCAAATTTATTGATAGAAGTTAATTCCAAACAGTCTGGCTTTTTGTTTTTGGCTGTTTTGATCACTTGAAATTACACTTACAGTCCCTTTAAATGAATCTCTTACCTAAACTCATGATCATCAATATCTTTTATCTTCTCCTTGTAGAACTCTAGTTCCAGGAATACTGCAGTTAAATTCAATCCTTCAAGCTTTACCGCAACCTCGGATACTATGTCATTCTAAACAAATAATAACAATTCATAATATGATATTGTATCATATCTGTTCGGTTCCGTTGTAGTAAACCTATCGTGTATAAATTCCCACTATTACACGGCTCAGGTTAAAATCTTTCTCTATAGTTAGCTTCCTTGCGCGTAATAAAGTATATTCTTACACTACATCTACACTGGGATATCGTCGTTTTCAGATTGGATGCGTATTTCTTGAATATAATCTGTTTAATACTACAACTTTTATACAAAATTGCATATATATGAATTTTCGTATGAATTTGACAGTTTTATATTAATTTCTCAAGACAGGAACATCAGAAAGATGCCTTATAGGTATCGTTCAACGCCTGAGATTCTCAGGTTTCAGCCTATACCAACTTTCATTTTCCCTTTAAAGAATCTTTAAGTCCAAGATTTTATAGAAAATCTTACCTTAAATTCATCTCTTTTAATTGGCGCGGAAACGCATACTGTCACAAGCAGAAACAACAACATGAGCGCCATTTTAAATTTTAATTGAAGTTCTATTCATTCTGAAACATTAAAAAATAGGTACGCTTTGTAAATAGTTGTAAAAAATATATATCACAGATTTAACCGGACTTGTTTAACTCCGCTATCTTATTTAATAAATGCTGAACTGCTTCTTTGGTTTGGTTGAACTCCTCCACCAGCTCCGGAACCAGTTCTCCGGTATTGATACTAGTCTGACTCTTCTCCATGATCTTGAGCCCGCTGGTGAGCGCAAGACGGGCTGAGTTTGCGAGCTGGAGCTGCTGAGCTGAATCAACCTGGAGGATGCATGAAACTAGTCTCCTAGAGCAGGCTAGGACATGGAGACAGGTTTCAACCTCTTTATCCCAACCTTTCTTTCCAGTAAACGCTGCAACAGCCTTCTGTAGATACTGACAACCTTTCACTACAAAAATAGAAATCAATAAAAATGCTTAAAATAATTTTTTTTGCAACCCCTCAAGTTCTTACCCTCAATAGTTACTATCTTCAGGATTGCTTAAACTTCTCAGACAAAATGCCCAATGAAGTTTATATTCAAAGTGTTTGGTTTGAAACATTTAGAAAAACTAAAAAGCTAATCCCAATTTTCTTTTAGTTATTCGTAGATTTTAATCGTGTGTTAATAATTGGGGAGCCGATACAACGCATCTTCTAATTCAATTGTGAACATTTTCTCTTTGTATAAATCGTAAAACAAAAACAAACAAAAATGTCGCGGATTTTATCCAAAAAGTCGCGGATTTTCAAAATTTTTAAAGATCGAATTTTGTTAATGGCAAATTTTTGAAAATTCTACCATGCAGAAACCTTTCCTGGGGTCGAGTGAAGTCCCACAAAAAGTTTGGGTCCGATCGGTTCAGTCGTTTAGACGTTTATTGGATAAAAACGGACAAACAGACAGAAAAGCGAAGTATATATATAAATTGGTTATCTAGCTCTAAGTGTGTATATGCCTGTTTGAATGTCCGATCATAACTAAAAAAATCCTTAACCGATTTGCCTCAAATTTATAATGGGGAATTTGGGAGAACCTTCTTAGTTTGGTTTTAAAATTCAAAGTTGAGTGGGTCAAAGGGAAAAATCAAGTCAAAGCTGAGTTCCCAAATTATTAAATAAAACGTCTCTAACCTAAATCCTCTGCGCTAGCTCCGGCTCCGGATGTGAGGAGAATACCGTACTGATACCAGGCTCCAGGTTCCCTGGGTTGACAGACGGTTAGTCTAGCCAACAGTTTCTGTAAACCTCCACGATGCCGCTCAGAGCTTTCTCCTGGACAAAATAAATCAAATTCAAAGACAAATGAAAAAGTCTCAATCACATTGCAACATGAAGATCAGAGCTGTTAATTCATTTAGTTGGTGGAAGGTTGAACCAAACCAGAAAGGATATAAACAATGAAGACCACTTCTCAGTAAATATATTTCGACATTTTGTATAATTTCCTCATCGGTACTACAGTTTGGGGTGTTACTTGTCACCCGGTTTATTCATGAAAACCTCCCCTTCTCCATACAAAATTGCATAAGGTTTTATATTGCAAAAATTGGGAAAATAACTGGTGTGAAGGGCAAAATATATAACTTTTCGGGTTAAAAGGTTGAAATTATGAGAGGGACAATTTGCCACTTTGAGGCCCCCCCCTTTTCGAAAATGTTTTTTTTAATGTTTACCCCTGAAGCAGACCCACTTCTATTAAATCATTTTCTAAAGTTCCAATGAATAGTACACAAGAAAAAAATTAGAAAAGAAAATTGGTAACCTGAACTATTTTGTATCCCGGATACAACGGCAGAGGTAAGTATTCTGAGAACTGAATCATCAGTATGAGTTTGCTTGATGTCCAGGATTCGATTGAATGCTCTCAATGATTCATCAAAAGCTGCCAAATCTGTGGAAATCATGAGAATATTATCCCAAACTTTCCAGTTGTCAAAATCACATCGAACCGCCTCCTGCATAACTCGCCACGCTCGTTCCTTTTGTTTCATCATGATATAACATTTAGATAAATTATTCCAGGCTTCAAAGTTGTCAGATTCTAGTGAGCAGTAATCTCTGTAGGCTTGAGCCGCTACTGCCCAGTTTTCTATCTCGAGTGCTGCAAACCCTAGTCGGAGCAGGACATCAAGCTGGAACCTGCTGCAGACCAGAGATTTCTGGAAGTAATCAATACTGGTTTCATATTCCTTTATAAAGTAATAATGCATCCCTAGGGATTTAAATGCTCGTGCGTTTTTGTTTTTAGAGATTTCCAAAGCTTTGTGGTAGCAGTCCAGGTCGTCGGTAGCGTCTCCAAGCTGACACCAGAGCCGAGCTGTTTCATGCTGCTCTATCCTCGTCTTAATAATTTCAGCAGATCTATGCCTCATTTGTAACATATTGTAGCAGACTATAACCTCGTCCCAGCTCTCCAAGCTTAAATACAACTCTAATGCAGCCTTAGTGGAACCAATAGAAAGCAGGACTGAAGCAAGTTCTTTTTCAATTTCCCATTTAGGAGGTAACCTACTCAAGTAACAGGTTTTTGTTCGAACAGTCTGAGGAGTGTCTGCTAGGTAGGATTCGAGTAGAACTTCTAGTTGGGCTCGTGCTCTCTCCACAGTTCGACTAGATCTACTTTCAAGCTTACAGCGGTTAAATAATGCTGTTACATGAACAGACCAGGAGACGGGGTTGCTCAGTAGAACTGTTAAATGTGGCATTATCTCTTCTGTTGTTAATTCATCCATTGGTAAAAGACGTTTCTTGAGGAAATATCTAGAAATAAGAACAGATTGCTGAAGAGAATCCAAGGTTTTCGGCACAGCTCTATCCGCGTCCTTAAACTCAATTGTGTGAAGTCTGACCTCGTCGTCCAGCTTTATATCTGTTGGAAGATGAGACGGTTCTACAGACTCAACAACCTTCGTATAATCTTCACTGATATCCAGGTCCAACGTGAACTGAGAAATATCTCGGACTTGGAATTTGGTTCGTTTACCCAAAGCTCCGGTGTCCTCAACCTTCATACCGGCTGCCTCGGCGGCCAGTTCCGTACATCTGGTCGACTCTCGTATATCGTGATAAATATAGTGAAATCTTGCCTCCTCCAAATACCAGATTATCTTTAAGCGTCCTTCAGTTTCCGACGAATTGTGATCGTTGAATATTGATTTTAGCAGATTAAACAAGCTGTTGGATTTTTCTTCAAGTATAGATTGAACAGTCAGGGCGGAACGAACAGCCCAGATATCGGAGATAAGACCGGGGAAACAGGATCGGCATTCCGTTAGGATCAGTCGAGATAAAGCTAGAAGAACTCGTAGTTTAGCTACTTCTACCGAACTGTCTCCATCTCCGATCATATACTCAAGCAGGACTGATTTTAGCTCCGGAGTCAACCAAGGTACAAGCTCCAAATCTTCAGGGACATCCTTCCTTCCGGTCCAGTTCGCTTGGATAAAGAGCTGGAGACAGGATACTCCAAAACCTTGAATCTTTTCTCGGGATTCAACGTCTTCAACTTCAGATCGTATCCATTCAACCAAGTCTGGGCATGAAGTAGTTGGCAAGCTGAGAGATGTCGACTGAATAATCGCGACAAAGTCTTGATCAAGAAATCTGGATTCTGTTCTACTCTCCTTCGAACTATTTTGCTCCAGGGTGAATTCAATTAAGACCGACTCCTCCATTCTATCTAAAAATGGAGAAATGTAGAATAATTTTTAAACTATCAAACATATTCAAGGTCAATTTAAAGGATCATAGTTTAGGAGTAAATTATGTCGTATTTATGATAACGTTTACTAAATCAAAATTTCCTAATTAATGGTCTCACATTCTCTAAATTTATAAGGTACAAATAAAACGATTTCAGGTGATTGAAAAACTGATATTAGAAGGAGCAATGAAATTGGCATTGAGAACGATTCGCCCGACATATTGATAATGCCGCAATTAATTCTCTGGCAGCCATTGATCCCATGAACAGGTCGTCTTTGTAGTTCAGCAGAATTTAGGAAAAGCTGAAATCTAATAGAAATATTAATTAGCAATAAAAATAGTCATTCGAAAATCTACGTCAAAATCTTGATTTACGGAATTCACGACACTTCTGTAATTTCTAAATAAATAATGTGCTGCGTATAATTTAATCATCAATGTTTCTATCAATTTCCTTTCATATTTGGGTAGACATACTTCTTCTTGAGGGACATGTTGATGCCCGCCAGTATGGCCCGCTCTACTGTCGGCATCACGGTGTTCATTGTCTCAGTTATCCCTGATTTAGCTCCACTTGCTCTGTAAATTATTGTACAAAGAATTAAAAGTTACCCATGTAAATTGTAATCAACAAATAGAAAATATTGAATTCATACCAAAAGGTGCATGAATAGAAACCTTGGTTCTAAAATCTAAATTTACTTTAAAAAGGTCAGAAAGAGTCGTTTTCATCATTAATGCTAAATATTTATTATTTAAATAAAGATGTTTAATTTTTTTGTACAGATGAAACTAAGGAAAAGTAACAAAATTGAATAATTCAGGGGGGTGAACCTCCTGATTTTACTTGGTCCCGAATTTAGAGTCTTTCCGACATAGGCAAAATTAATGAAACCCATTACTGCACCGCTTATGCAAAATATGGAGTTGAAAGGCTGAAAGCCTTACAAACATTCAACAAAAATACATTGATTGCAATTAATAAAAAATTCAATAATAAGGGGGGCGTAATTGACTGCTTCACCTCCCCCTTTTGTCATAATAATAGTCTTTAAATAATTTACGAAATGAGTTGAAAAAATAAAATCGAAGTTTGAAGTTGCAAGAAACCAGTCTGAAGTCTCATCCTCTGTGGGGCAAACCAACCTTATATTTACCTTAGTTTTATATTTACATATGGTTCCTGGAACACTGAGACCCAAACCCTCATCTGTAATTATTTCCAGATTAAAGATATTTATGTTCAGTACAAATAGTTAAGATGTTTATGACTGTACAATGTTATATTTATATGATAATCATGATGTTATGTACAATGTATATTGTATATTCATATATTTGTCAAGATTTTATGTACAATGTATATTCAAATATTAATCAAGACGTTTATGTACAATGCATATCGATATATTAATCAAGATATCAAGAAGATTGTGTACAATCATGGAACAACTAGTTGATCCATGTGTACAATGCATATTCAACTTAGATAAACAAATGTTAATCAAGATGGTTATGTATTAGAATCAAAACATCCAAATATAAATATCATTGTTTATGTATCTATATCATTGTATAATTGATGTATATCCGTAAATTATTTAAGATATCAAGTGTACAATGATATATATGCATATATATATTTAAATAATTTACGGATATACATCAATTATACAAAGAAAAGATAATCTTTGTTCTTAGTAAATATCATGCATTGTACATATACCTTTATTAATCAAGGAGTTTTATATTGAAATATCAATCGATATGTTTATATATTGTTTATGTGTACGTAATATTATAATCATCAATTCAACCAAAGAAGATAATGTATTTGTCGACAAAGACATGTGTACTGCACTTTCTTTGAGGAATAAAACCAAAAGTTGGTTTCCAGAAGCGGAAATAAAAGAGACTGTCGTTGAATAAAAACTACCGAGTTTCATTTTTTGGGTTCAGACATTTGTGTAATTAAAATTAGAAAGTGAAAAGACCTATAATATTAAATACTATTTCTTTATGTATCTACTCAAATAGATTGTACAATAGTACAATAGTTGGCAACGCAGTATTTTTACACTCTCAGTACAGCTGTATTCTTACATCACAAGTGTCAACTCAGTTTTTGTGTCCGAAAAAATTATTAATAATAGTGATAATTTTAGAATAAAGACTTATCTTACAGTGAAAAAGGTGCAATTTTATGTGTTATTTATTTTCTGTTTTTACACTTTTTTATTTAATCTTGAAAAACATGTCAAATAATGTGAGAAAATTTCGTTTTCTTTGTTATATTTCACACTTGTGACGTTGTGTATGTGTATAATTGATCCATTTCTCTGTTGCCACCTATTGTACTTGATAATCTATTTGTATCTACTAGCCTGCCTTACCCCATTCATGAAACCGGTAGCCGAATTTAAAGAATTTGAGCGGCGGTTTAAATTTAAGCCGCGGTTTAAATATGGTTGGTTCCTCTTAAAATTGCATCAAATGTTTCAAGATTTAAACCGGCGCTTAATTTAAACCGGGTTTTGGCGGATTTAAACCGCGGCTCAAATTTTTTAAATTCCATCTCAGGTTTCCAACTTTCCAATACTGGGTTTCATTATTATACTCTGTCTCAAGTTTCGTTCTTGCAGAAACTGCAGTACACTACAATTGTAAACAAAACCTTAGATGGTGGAGGCAGTACGTTAATGATCAGAATTAACTCGTATTCAATAACATCCAGGGTGAAACTGAGACATCCAACCTCCTCTATAAACTAAATACAGGGTTAACCACAAAGGATGAGACTAATAAAGACAACTTAAAACTCTTCAAATATAACATTCTTTTGCCTTGAATGTGGAGTTTAAAGTGGCTTATTTAATGATTTATAGCAGATGGAAAGAATAAACTTTATAGTTGGAGGGAATAAATAAAAGGAAACAGACTGAACGGAATTGAGTCCTTGTCACAAACTCTAATTTTCTAATCCATATATCTATCTAACCATGTGGCGTAAACCTTTGAGATTTAAACCAAAGGTTTTTGATCTAGAAAAATTCATAGCTTGAAATTGGGTTGCACAGATATAGAGATTAGAAAATAAAAATTTCTGGCAAAGTCTCTGAAGTTTCATCCATTGTTGGTAACCCCCTGTGCAAAATGCAACTTATGAAAACATTTTGTTAGGAAAAGCTGAGTTCAGTTTTCTCTAGGTCGGATGAAAGAAAGGTCAAAGACAGGGTTTAAGTCAACTTTATGTTTAGAAGGAAACAACGCAAGTCAATAAAGCTGTGTTATTTCTCAGAACATGCGTATTTCTCTGGACATGGGTATTTCTCTGGACATCGGTATTTCTCAAGACATGCATATTTCTCTGGACATGGGTATTTCTCAGGGCATGGGTATTTCTCTGGACCATGGGTATTCCCCTGGACATGGGTATTTCTCTGGACATGGGTATTTCTCAGGTCATGAGTATTTCTCTAGTTCCACTAGTTACTTTCCTAGACTGTATTTGTACTTAATCTGCAGGTTTGGTACATGAATATTTTCAAGGAGCAAAGAAACTTAACATTTTTTAATTAACAAACTTTAATTGAAAAATAAGACTTATACGCTAGAAATGGTGTAAAATTCGACAAACATTCAACAAAAATACATTGATTGCAATTAATAAAAAATTCAATAATAAGTTTGTTTAACTTTATAAAGTATTTTTAATATCAAGAATGCTTTTTTTATGATTTACCAAATTACCTTGGATATAGAGCCGGCAGTCTCTTTGTCTAGTTATTATCATACTTATCTTCTTAACAGGGGCGTATGAATACATTAGAGAGGATGCCCCCCCCCTAGGAAATATAGAGATAGATATTGTTTTTATACTCACGTTTTCACAATTTAGAGAGAAAAAATGAAGGAAGAATCTCGTACGCCATTTTTTCACTTCTGCCTCTTTAATATTTAAAATATTCACAATCTATTTCGACCTCCTTCCTCCCTTAAAGCGACTAAGCTTATATTTGTTTGATTCACTTCTTAAGAGATAATTAGCCATCTGATGATGTTGTCTTGCAACTGAATATAAAATGGTAAAAATGACACAGTTGCAGATGCGCAACCAGAATGAAAAGAAAGATTGGCGAATATCAGTATCACAGATCTCAGGAATAATAAAACTAAAAGAGTTATTGTAGAAATTGTATTCTAATATGGTTAGTTTAAAAAAAATATTTTTATCTTTCTGAATTCTCAACGCCATGGGTTTGTATTACTTGTTACCAGAGAAAATAGCTTCTCACACCTTAGATGATCTCAAGAGTAAACTATCAGAGTTTAGAGTTTTATCTGTCTTTACTTCCAAATCCTTTACTCTTTTAGACCGAACTTGTACTATACAAGAGCAACCTGGAGATGAGAGGGAGCAAAGCCATCCCAACAAATCTAGACGAAGCTTTGTAGGAAATAAATCCTTCTATATTCCCTTATTTATATGCTGAAAATAGTAAAAACACTTCCTGTCTACAGCTGTGAGGCCGAGATTATCTGTCCTTTTTTAATCTACCTATAAAACTCTTACATGTCTAGGATAGACAGCAACATTTAAAATATCTGCCCTAACTACCAGGGAACTCCACATGACACAAACCATATATTCATTTGCCCCTCCAAACCCACCCACCTAACCCAAGTGCAGTCTCTAGTTCAAACCACAGGAGGCTGCAAGTTTCCTTGGACTATATGAATAAGAAGAGATCTAATGATCTGATGATTGGCGACAATGACAACAAGCATAATCATGAAATCATTAATCTTTTCTTTAGCATCTATTTTATTTTATTTGATGAGAATTATGATCCCTAGATGTGGATTCTCCTGGTTCTCCTCCTCTGTACTCCTACTCTCATCATTACCAGGAAAAACAGTGTTCTTCCCACTCAGCTTGTTCAGAGCAACAGTTATAGACTGTAGCTAAAAAAAAATAGTTTCACAAAATAAAGTTCAGTAGTATCCTAAATCATAGGCGGTTTCAGGGGGGAAAGGGGGGGCAGTCCATTATCCCTCACCCTGAGTGAAATGGAGAATTTTTACAAAGTTATTACTCCAAAGGCTTTAGACCTGGAACAGGACAAGCTTGCCTCATTTGGGACAACAGTGTTCTTGATGCCTTTATTTCAAGTGGCCCAAGAAAACTAAATTATGATAGATTGTAAGAAGGGAGGATATTTTCTTTTTTCTTTTTGAACAAAAATTCCTTTATTTACTTTCAGTATTCTTATGGTATTACTTTTATTAATAACTCTAAAAATGAACATAAAAAAATTAGCATGGTTTAAGAAGCAGTATTTAGTATCAATAATAATGCAAGAAATAAAAAAATATTTCTCCCTTTATTAGAATAATATTATATGATATGTATGTCATGTTAATGTATAAAGTTCAATCCATAGTATTTTTTTATGTCGTTATTATATAAACAAATGTATTATTAGACATTTGCCTAGCCTGTACTTAAAAGAAACTGTAGTTCTAGTTGGGGTAGGGCATATAATGGGGTAAATAGAACTTTTTTATAAGATTATAGTTTTAACAAAATTCTTTAAAGAGATATATGATAGCAGATGTAAATATTTTGAAATTTCTATATTCCTTGTTCTTCATTTTCTTTTTGTTCTACATATTTCAATGATATTTCTGCTAATTTTGAAAAAAAAAATTTTTTGAGAAATCGTTGTAGTTAGCCAAATTTCCAGCTTTAGAACTAAAGGTTAAGGTGCTTTAACGATTTTTCTGCACTAGACACATTAGATGAATCAGCAACTACATTAGAACTGAACTGATTCAGCTACAAACACAAATTTCAAGTGTATTTTCTATCAGGGTGAAATTGAGGTGGGTGGAGAGACGTCTCCCAGCCCCATCTTCAATGCTTTCTCCATTTGCTTTAGGGAAAAATAGATAGCGTAAAGCTTATCACTGGAGAGTTCCCTTCCATTTTCCTGTTCAATTTTCTTTTTTCTTCTTGTTTCTTGATGCTAACTTTTACGACCTATCCAAATAGTTCTTGTGAAATCGAATTGTAGAGCAGGTAGGAAAGAGGGAAGTTTGGAGTAGATCAGAAAGGGAAGGTATAGAGGGACTCCCATAGAAGATCCCTACTTTCTCCCGAATTTAGAGTCTTTCCGACATAGGCAAAATTAATGAAACCCATTACTGCACCGCTTATGCAAAATATGGAGTTGAAAGGCTGAAAGCCTTAAAGCCCCATTAGGTGGAATATTTCACAGTACTATATACTACAGTATTCAAGATTAGATTGTAAAATGTACTGCATCCACAACACTGCAAACTCTAGTACATTTGAAGTACATGGCCGACCACTAATTACTATACCTGAATTATAATATTACCTCTGAAGACTGGCAGAGGATAACCTTAGCCCATAATCCTTGAAGATTAAACCAGGGCTCTCCTGCAAATAAACATGTTAGTAATAATTTATATAAAGCTTAGAGATCTTCAATATAGAATTAATTTTTGGATCCAACTATGCAAGATTTCCATCTAAACAAATATTCTGCACTTCAGGGCGGTGTGCAATATTAACATGTTTCTAAAAAAAGTTCAAAAAACAGATTTTGGTATAATTTATATTTTTTGTTTTGAAACATTCTGCGCAGCTTGAAGTATATATACCTTTACCCTAGTCGGGAACAAAATGATTTACCTAATTTCTTAATGACCGGCCACATCTTGCCCGTATAGAGATCAACTAAACCGTAGTTGTTGAAGAACCTGCCGATATACTTGTTCAGCTTCCCCATCATCACGTTCCTGATGATCTGATCTATCGTGTACTCAGAAACAAGCTTGGATCCGAGTCTATTGATCAGGACGTTCATGATCTCCATGCTATGATCAGGGTCAGAGGAAGACTGAACACCAAGAATGTTGCACTCTCGTATAACTCTGACATCATGTATGTAATAAAATTTGTTTTAGATAAAAAAGTAAGGTAAGGAATTCAGTCTTTTTAATCCCAATATTTTAAAGTTAATTATTTAAATTTAACAGAATCCATAGTTTTCAAACTTTAAGGTCTATGACATTGGGTAGGAACTAGAAAGTTTGGGGCAAGGACACAAATTCTTTACAACAAAGATAATTTAGTTGTTAGTTTAGTTTATCAGTAATTGTCTGTTGTCAATGTCAAATTAATCTCAGTTACATTTTGTCTTCAGTATAAATTGCTCTATGTTGCCCAGAGGTCGACTAAGTAATTCAAATAAACTGGACTTTATAGAAGTGAGTTAACCAGGGAGTAAGGAATAGAAGGGAGATGTAACTGACGCGGTTCGCCCTACCATATGATTATACATGCTGTGCAGAAGAGTACTCCATTTGTATGTGAAATATTCAAAATAGGTTATTGTATACGCAATAAATGTACATCAGACAAATACTTCATATACAAATGGAGTACTCGTCTGCAAAGCATGTATAATCATAATCATAATCATAATGGTAGGGCGAACCGCGTCAGTTATATCTCCCTTCTATTCCTTACTCCCTGGAGTTAACGTATACCTTCCCCAACATCTTTTCAATAGATGTATTATCATGTCAATGTTATCCAAAGGAGGGGAGGAAGGCCCCACAACAATTTATATTCCGAGCCACATTCTCCTCATTTTCTTGTCCGAGCAACCTCGAAATCCTCGTTCTTCGAATATTATCACTTAAAAGTGCGCAATTATCCAAGATAGAACAATTTAGCTAAGAATCGGGTCACGTTAGAGCATTTAACGAAATATTACATTTTTGTAAATCGAAAAAAATACTTTCAATAGAATTAGTATGTCAGTGCTATGTCCTGAAAAATATACACCTTTCTTACGCACATTTTCAGAAAATCTAGGTACGTGTAGAATGCCGCAAAAAATTCCAAGTTTGTAGAACTTTAATCTTTTATGTTAATTATTGCGAAAGCCATAGATTTTTTTCGGGTGGTTCCATGGGGAAAATTATAGGCAGAGGTATGGCAAATATTTTGCTATTTATTTTGTATCACGAAGGTAAGCCATTACGGAGGCAGAAGAGATTTAAGTTTCACGTAAATAAAGTTTGACCTCATTCTCACGGCTTTGAAGTCTTTCCATATTTTATGCCCTAACGTGGCCTGATTTTTAAAAGATAGCTTATCTGTAAGAATTAGAAACTTAGAAACACATAATAAGCGAAGGATGAGGATTTCGAGGTGGCTCGGACGATAAAATGAGGAGAATGTGGCTTGGATGAGAAATTGTTGTGGCTGGCCTTCCTCCCCTCTTCAAAGGGTTAGTTGAGATCATTTAAAATTCATTCAAATTCTTTGTTGTCCATTTAAGAGCCCCTAAAAAATATAAACCTTAAAGGCACTGTAGAGGAAAAGTGAAAGGGGGAATTGGCAGGAGTTGATTGAGACATATAAGAGTTCAACCTGTCCAGAGAAATTGATATAAAACGTTGTCAAAATTATACCAAAATGTATATATGTAAGATTTTCTATAAGAGTTGTATAGTATTAAACAGATCATTTTCAACAAATACGCAACCAATCTGATAACAACAATATCCCAGAGGAGCCTGAGAATCTCGGGTTTGCTTCTATTATTATTTGAATTTAATAATTTTTCATTTTTATTAGATATAATTGATAATATTATTCATACGTCCGGATCACGTGACCAGAACTCCAACCAATGCAGTAAAGTATTATTGTCACGTGTCTCTGTCTGTTTCAAGTGACCAGTATTCTGCACTACCATCGGAGGGAGTTCTGGTCACGTGATACGGATGAATGTTTTACATCTATACATTTTGGTATAATTTTGACACAGTTTTTTTCCAATTTCGCGGGACAGGAGCATCAGATAGATGTCTTATAGGTATCGTTAAACTCCCGAGATTCTCAGGTTTCAGCCTATACCCACTTTATTTTTCCTTTACTGTTCATTTAAATCAAAATTTATTTAATTTAATTATTTAGAAAACAAATGTTTTAAGGTAGATAAATGCAATTTGAGCTGAACACTCGCTACAAACCCTAACTTTGCAAAGATATGGAGATTAGACAAACTTGGGGGATTGGCGTAGAGGCGGTTGTTCTGTTCCTGTATAGTTTCATCAAAGAAAAATAAGCTTTTAGTCTCCAGGTTAATATAAATAAAAGAACTAAACATTTTTTGTTGTTGTTTTATTTTTTTGGGGGAGGGGGGGGGAGGTAATTCTCAAATATTTTAAATACATTCCTGTCCACCAAACTGTCTTCATCCCTGAGGTTTGTTTTCAAATAAGTAAGTCCGGATTTGATGAGGATTATTTTCAGAAGTATTTCTTTATCCCTGCCAACTCTAGGGAACAGATACAGAGTTTGCTCTAAAGAAAATTGCTTACAGTAACAAATAAGAAAGTAAGGAGTTGAGTCTTTGTGACAAACTCTGATTTTCTAATCACAATATCTTTGCAACCTCATAAGACCTTAGATATTTAAACAATTAGATAAAATAATCTAAGCTTTAAAAATATAAGGTTTTCACAATCAGATTGCAAAGATATTGAGATTAGACAATTAGAATTTCCCAGACTTCTTCTTTTTTTTAAGTTTAACAAAAAAACAGTGTTTATGAAGGATATATTCAAAAATATTCAAAAATAAAGGTTGTGGGAATAATTCCCACAAATAAAAAATATTGACTTATTTAGTATTTAGATTTTCAAATTAAGGTTCAGTTACATATTTGCCATAAATACATTTACTATAATTACACTTGCCATAGTATGTTTGCCATAAGTTACACTTGCCATAATGGTCACGCTTGCTATAATTACAACTTAATTGCAATACTATATATTTTTTTATTAGAAAATTACATATGTTCATATCTCTCCCGGCAACCTTGTTAGAAGTGTTACTTTTGGCAAAAGTATAAATGGGATGTAATTATGGCAAATGTATATATGGCATAAGTATTAAGGCAAATGTCACTGAGCCTTAAATTGATAATTATTCGTAGTTTTCAAAGATGAATTCAAAACTTAAATTATCAAGAAATCTAGATTTTATACTATAGAACTTTATTTTAAGTGTGTAAAAAACCATAGATATGCAAGAGAATAGATCGCTAATGCAGACTGTAAAGATTAAAATTGAACAACCCCTTGAACACCGGCCATAAACTTGTCATTTAATAGGGTAATTGTTCGTTATTTAATAAAACTATTTTTTCAAAATTTTTTCGAAAAAGTTGTTGTTCAGTTTTTCTTTCCTCTTCTAAATACTTTTCTTTACTTTCTTTTCTTTACTTTCTTTTCTTTCATCTATTCATTCTTTCCTTCTCTTTTCTTTTCTATTTTTTTCATCGATTTTTAATTTCAGATAGAACTGGGAAATCTGGAACCAGAATACAGAATGAAGTTCAGCCAATATGGCCGTTTATGAAATACTGCTGTTCAATGTTCACACTGTGATTTAGAGGTCTCACGCTCTCAAGAAAAATCGCTGAGAATTTTGCCAATCACTTCTAAAAAACCAAAGCTAACAACTATTCCTTTACAGTGCTTAAAAGCTTAAAGCCCAAGGCATTGTGACACTACAAAGTCGACCCTATATAAAAAATTGAGGAGACTTTTTATCAGCAGGCTGAATCATGTGGTTAGTGATTAGAAAAGATATCTTCTAAAGATTTTAAAACAGTTCACCAACAAGTTCAAATTCTTCCAGATCTCAAAAGACTCTTTTATAAGCAAGATTCTGTAAGAAAGAAACTAAGTGAAAATTAATTTATATCAAGTTTTAATTTGTGTTTAAATATTTACGTTTGTTTCTAATCAATCTAAGTTATTTTATTAAGAAATTGAGAAAAGGTCCAAAATAGGTTCAACAACTCATATAATCAAAAATTGTTGTTTTTCAAACTTTATAACCCTCTTCAAAGGAGATAAAGTCTTATCAAAAATAGTTTTATTTAAATATAGCACAGTGTGCAGTCCTGTCATTCCTGAAAGCTGCCTGTTCTGTAATCCCAGTTTGCAAGTAAGATTCAGAAAGAAATTTAATTAAAAATAAGGTAATTAAAGCAATGAGGAAAAAAACCTTTAAAGGTGATGACAATGGGAGCTTTCTTGCTGAAAATCTTCCTGGAGTTACTTTCTGGTGGCATCTGTATTCTGATCTCACTGGCAATTATAAATTTTATGCTTAATTCTGATCCTTTTGAGTAATTTAGATGAGTTTTAGTCAAAAACTCTAATTCTTTATCCCTATATCATTGCAACCCGTTTTCGCAGACCTTATTTTAAACTATGAATCTTGTCAGATCAAATAGTCTATGTTAGAAATATCAAAAATTTAACCATCAGCTTGCAAAGATAAAAGGATTAGAAAATTTGAATTTGTGGCAAAAACTCAGTTCCATTTATAAAAGCATGCAAATCTATTATGAGATCACATTAAAGGAACTTAACACTTGTCACATACACTAATTTTCTAGGAAAGCATGTAGGAATTATCAAAATTAAAGACTTTCAAACCAAACGACACAATCCTCCACATTATTGATCAGATAAAGGTTGGAAGGGTACAATTGTGAATCGGGAATTGCCATTTTTGCATGGAGGGTCACTTTAAATTACGCTTAAATTCTCTTGAAGTGTTAAATCCTTGGTCTTCATAATTAAAATGTTAAGATTTATTAATGAAAAAATGCTTGACAATGTTTCTGTCGAATTCAGCTAAAATGTTTAAATTCCTGCGAGTTAAATCTAGTTTTATAGTATAACAGAAGACAGGGATCTCCTAGAAATCAAGATTAAATCTTTAGAAAAATCACGCTCTTTAATTTTTAAAAGCGTTTAAGCCTTATAATAAAAATTCAGTTTTTTATCGTTTGAAATAAAATTTAAATTTAAAATTAGCAGAAAAACTTCAAAGTTAAAATTGCTGCTTTAACCTTTTTAAACCCCCCCCCCTTGAAAATGTACTTGTGGTGTAATAAAGATTTGTCTCTGGTTCCTGAATAGGTTTGCTGTACAAACTCTTAAACCTGGAAAAGTTGGAGGTCGGGAACTTTATAGTCAGATACTGCCCCAGGACATCAACAATCACACTTACTAAACAACAAAATATTAAACCTCAATCAATCAGAATTTTAGGAACAGACTACTTCCTATAACATCTCAACCACAGCCTACATCCTATAACATCTCAAACACAGCCTACTTCCTATAACATCTCAACCACAGCCTACTTCCTATAACATCTCAAACACAGCCTACTTCCTATAATATCTCAAACACAGCCTACTTCCTATAACATCTCAAAAACAGCCTACTTCCTATAACATCTCAAACACAGCCTACTTCCTATAACATCTCAAGTACAGCCTACTTCCTATAACATCTCAAGCACAGCCTACTTCCTATAACATCTCAAACACAAAGTAAACTTACTAAATCAAGAATGAGATTGAGATGTGGTCTTTCTTTTACATTATTTAATCTACATTTGATCTTTCTTGCATGAACTTCATATACATCATTTTACATTTACACCTAACTTAAACCTGGATTTAACACCCCTTTGGTCAGTGATAACATTGTAAGCAACCTATTTTATTATACAGTCATTGTCGTATGTATTTAATACTTAGCTTTCAAGGGGCTTCGCGCCAATCTTCTAGTTCAATAGAGAACATTTTCTCTTTGTGTACATTGTAAAACAAAAACAAAATAAAGTTCGCGGATTTTATAAAAACAATTCGTAGATTTTTAAAATTTAATGGAAATGGTATTTTGTTGGAGGCTAACTTTTGAAATTTTGATCATTCATAAAACTTCTCTGGGGTCATGTGAGGTTCCATACAAAATTTAGACTTGATCGGTTCAGCAGTTTTGACGTTTATTGGATGCAAACGGACAGACAGACAGACATACAAGCAAATAATATTTTCAGATTTAATACAATGAAGACGACTTTATGATTAAATTTTGGTTTCTACCAAGCTTTCAAACAGCATGGATACACATAAACGAGAAGAAAAGGCGTTAATATAACAGTTTCTCTTTGTTTACTTGTAAACTCGTAATTATTAAAAATTAAATCTAATTAATACTTGAGCAGATTAAGGTTTCAAGGGTAAAATTACACTTACAGTCCCTTTTATATAACTTTAGATCTTACCAAGGGTTTTATTTCCTTGAGCTTTATATTTGTCTAGGATAAAGGGACCAAGAATTGGAGGCCAGAGATGAAATATCATTTCAGTTAATCCGTCAACTTAAACACAACTTTCAAAATATTTGAGCTCACAATTATGTTGGTTTGAAATATTCAAATATTAATGTAGTTTAAAGATACTCTACAGCTATAGGTGTGTTGTATACTAAGTTTGCAACCAAAGAAAAGCAAGAATTGAGTCTTTGGCACAAAATCTGATTTTCTAATCCATCTATCTTTGCAACCCAATGTCGTAGACCTTAGATATTTAAAACTATGAATTATGTTAGATTAATTAATCTTAGTTTAAAAATATAAACACCATTAGGTTGCATAGATAAAAAGATAAGAACAGTTGAGTTTGTGGCACTCAATAAATAAAAGGTTACTAAATATTATGTTTTTAATCTGTAAAGTGTTGATTTAACAATTCGTAAAATCTTTAGAAAAATTACACTGCAAACCAAGATGTGCACACTCTCACGCAGAAATCTAGCAGTACACTTCCAATTACTCCTTTTCAGTCTGCTTATAAAAAGTCTCTTCAATTTTTAAGACAGGGTCGACTTTGAAGTGTCGCAACACCTTGGGCTTGGATTTTACCGCTTTTACTCACTTATGCTTTTCTGTAGCCCTTTACATGTACATTTTAGCACTATATAGCACTTGTTGTTAGCTATGGTTTTTAAGAAGTTGCTGGCAAAATTCTCAGCAATTTTTTCATAAGAGCTTGAGACCTTTGAACCACAGTGACTATGCCATTAACTAAAATCTTCTAATCCTAATATCTTTGAAACCTGTTGGTTTAAACATTTGATATTTCAAACATATATTATTCGATCTAACAGAATTTATTTGAAATATCTGTCTACGACTTAGGGTTGCAAAGATAAAGGGATCAAAAAGTCTGAGTTTGTGGCAAAAAACTCAATTCCTTTGATGAATAACTAAATCCCGTGATTTCTGAAAATTGAGTTCCTGAAATAGTCTCCTTGAACGGTACAATGTTTACTTCCGGTGGAACTTCTTTCCAGAACCAAAATCTGTAAACCGGGCACTTTCTGCACACATTGTATTCATTATCATAATTCTTCAATTAATTCTCATGTGTTTTAGGACACACAAATTATAAGAAATAACAGTATCAGTTAATCCGCGTTCTATGTATTTACAAACTATTAAATAAGGGCCAAGTAAGGATTGATTTGGGATAATTAAATTAACGTATAGTTAATGTTCTATTAATAATTTTTTTTTAAAAACATGTTTAACATATAAAAATTAGATTAGGGGCCAAAAATATCTTTGAATCTAAATGTCAAAGACCTTAGATATTTCAAACTATGTATTCTGCAAGATCAGATAATTAATATTTGATATATCAAAGGCTTACAACATCAGGTTTATAAGAATAATTTGGGTTTGTGGCAAAAACTTAATTCCTTTAATCCGATGCAAGTAATACTCACACGGAATTAACAGTTCGATAATTGATAATTAACCAAGCAACTGACCTATTAACTGACCTATTCAACTTTAACTTTTCGTTTTTTTCTTTTATACTTATTTTCGGCAAATATGTTTTAAAAGAAAAAGACAACTCCGTAAGTTTAAATATTGGTGAATTAAAGACAAAAATGAATATTGTTGAATTCAAAGAAAAGAAACCGAACGCGTTTCGTTCATAGTTAGTCCAGGATGTAGTTGAACTAAATACACTAAGTTAAACCACTTTTCGGAAGTTCAACTACTTTTCTCTAATTAAATTATTCTCATAGCAATTTTAATATTAGTTTATCATCACAATATGTGCAAATAGAGGTGAGCCGAAGAGAAAGAGTTCATGCTCGCTCTTATGTTTGTAGTTATTACCTGGTCTCCTATAGGTAAAAATGAGCACACACAGTGCGTTTCAAACTACCGCATTTGCGACAGAAAATGAAGGGAGAACTAACTAATGCGAGACAGTTTTTTGAAAATAAAAATTCCGGAAACTGGAAAAAAATTAACTGAACACGTCACACAATCTGATTTTAAAATCTATATATATTTGCAAGCTTATGTCGTAGATCTTAAATATTTCATACTATGATTTCTGATAAGTAAAATGTTGATGATATGAAATATCAAAGGTTTACATTATCAGGTTGAAAAAATATCGAGATTGTGTTCAGTTCCTTTCCGGATTTTGTACAGTTCAGCAGTTCAGAGCTGTTTATCCTTGACATATAAATCATCCTTTTTTCTCTAAATCTTTGCTTTAACTCCTCTAGCAGTTCTAACCTATGGATAACCAGACCATGAAGAGGATCATGAGAGTAGTGATGAACCCAACCAGGAACCCGGTGAATAATGTTAACATCGGGAAACTCAGGAGAACAACAATATTCCCGAGAACACTTGTCAGGACTCTAATACAAGAATATTCAATAGTTTTAACTTTGTTTTGGAGTCTTCGTGACGAATCATACAGTGATAACCAGAAAACTTTAGAATAGGAAGACGACATTAAAGAAATAAAATGCAATTGATGTTGTTACATTTTACTAGTAAGTTGTTAAATAACTTAAGTGAAACATAGGTCTGTTCAAATTTCTTTGCGTTCTTGCTTCACCTCATGTTCATTAGACGATATGGAGTCATAATTTGAGTCTAAAAGTTGATTTGACTTCCAATTCCAGAGTTTTCTGTTTATCACTGTAAGTACATTGGTAATAATACTTAATCGAGCATTTTAAAACTGTTCTGATTCTATTAAGAATAAATAAAATATGGTTTGAAGTGTTGTAAATAATTGAAAACATGGTTTTAGGTGTTGCAAATGATAGATATCATGGTTTAAAGTGTTCTAAATGATAGATATCATGGTTTAAAGTGTTCTAAATGATAGATATCATGGTTTGAGGTGTTCTAAATGATAGATATCATGGTTTGAGGTGTTGTAAATGATGGATATCATGGTTAAAAGTGTTGTAAATAATAGATATCATGGTTTAAAGTGTTCTAAATGATAGATATCATGTATACGAAATGTTTTGGTGTACGTCCACGCATTAAATATGTCTGTGAAGATTTCCAATAATTTCTATCAATTTGTTATTATTTGCTTTCAACGCATTAGAATTATGCTCTCTGTGCTGTCAATTAAAAAGTTTATGTTTAAAAGGCATTAAGAAGGTTACTCACAAAGAATGAGACTTCAGAGCGACAGTACGGTTTTTATTCAGTCTTCGTTCTCACTTTCAATGTTCTCTCCGGTAGTTTTAATTCAATTCAAGAAGTCAGGGAATTCCAGTCGACTCACTCATGTAACTTGTTTCTTTCAAAATATCTCATTAAAATCTTTAGGCCAGAGTGTTTCAAGTCATTAAAGTCTCATCCTTTCTTATTAACCCTGTAACATGTTTGATTTACAACAGTACCCTTTAAACTTGGGTATTCTCAACGATGATTGCTTTCTTTGCTTTTCTTCAGACACTCAAATAAAAATACAATTTTCTTGTACAAAACTTCTTAAAAAGAAAACATAACATTCTGCAAAACCTTAATTTTAAGGAAAATATCAATAACATTTTAACATCTGAAGAAATCTTGTTTATAGTAGCAAAACAAACAATATACAGGGATAACAAGAAAACTGTAGAATATAAAGACGACAACTAAGCAATACTGAAGTGCATTTGAAGGTTATTAAATCGCTTGTGGCAGGATATTATTTCATTACAATGAATACAATGTTATGGATTGTTCTCTAGCTTTGCATGAATTACAAGTTACATGTTCTCAAAGAGAAGCTTTTTTTATCGACAGGTTTTCAGGTTTATGTTTATCCAGGTTGTTAAAAAGCTTGATATTTCAAAATTAACATTGAAAATCGCCATCTTTTTAATTATATAATCTTACAACCCCTACAACTGTAACTAATAAATTGAGTTCAGTTAGGAAAATATGGATATCTCAGTTATCGCGTACCAGATCCAGGTTTAAAGGTTTCTCTAAAAGAACATGTTATATATGTGCTGTTACTCCCGTCACAGCATCATCGAATGTTTGTGCCCTGTTAAAGGTATCAAAAAATATATTTATACTGTTGTCAGTGTATTCAATATTAAAAGTTGTGCACGTTTTTTTATGTAATATTAAGAGATATTATTCAAGGAATCGGACTAAATTTATTACTTAAACCGTTAACTTCAACAATATACATGCCTGTTTTTTTATGTAATATTAAGAAATATTATTCAAGGAATCGGACTAAATTTATTTAATATTAAGAGATATTATTCAAGGAATCGGACTAAATTTTTTACTTAAACCGTAGAGATATTATTCAAGGAATCGGACTAAATTTATTTAATATTAAGAAATATTATTCAAGGAATCGGACTAAATTTATTACTTAAACCATTAACTTCAACACAGACAATTGACATGCCTGTTACCCAACAGTATCCTTTCGTTATAACAAAATTGATGAAGATATCCTTGTTTTTCTACATGCAAAATTTTATTTGTAGGTTCTCTGTAAAGGAACTTGCGCATACTTGTCAGAAGCTGATCACTGTACTTAGAAAAAACGACGATTTCCTTCCTCCCGGTTGCTCTGATTCATTTAAAGGACACAGAGGCCGTTCCTTCCATGAACTACATTGGTCGACAACTTGACGTCTCCTATATTGGTCGTCAAATGTACGGAGAAATATCTATCTATCAGATAAGAATTTAGCATAAAATATCTAGCGGCCAACATATCGTCCCTCAAAGTAAGTGAACTACACGACCACTTCTATGGAGAGAACGGGCTCTGTTGTGAATTGTGCGTTAAATCTTTAAACTGGAGTAGAGGGCACTTACAACTACGTCAACAGTCTCATTCAAATCTCATTCTTGAATGTCAAACCTGTAATTTAATTTACGATATTGTTGTCAGAACGAAGAACCAAATATGAGGAAAATGATCAAATGTTTTTGGCACAAACTTTGTTATTATAGAGTGAATATTTTTCCTCAGTTTCCAGGCAAACTTTTCATTCACAAAACCGATCCCTCGTTTCTCCAAATCCTTCGCATACTCCATCTTAATCTTGTACATAAAGGACTGGATAGTTACAGGGAACATTAAAACAGGATTAAATACAAGACGGCTAATTAAATATTTATGCTTTCTAAATATATTATCACAGAGACCAATAAATCAATCATTAATCACAGGATTAAAAAAATTGCCATTTGCCGAGTATCGCTTCCTTGATAGCGTCTACGTATTGTGCGGGTACCCAGTATATGTAGTATCTGCTAGCCTCGGTAGGACCCATCTGTATCGCTACTATATGATATTCTTCGTGATCTTCGACAGGTTCACTTGTCACCGCCTGATACAGATAGTGTAACAATAAACATGGGAATAAAAAGGGATTGTAAGCGTGATTTAAAGTGACCCGCCATTCAAAGATGACAATGTCCGATTCACAACGGTACCCTTATAAGCTATATCTGATCAAGTATGAAAATTTTATCAATGTTTGTAATTTAAAGACGCCTAATTTAAGTACAGGGGTACATATAGAATTTTCAAAGATTTGAGGAAGAAAAGTGAAAAATCAGACAGAATGTTATTTCCTATTTTATAATACTTTTCCCCACAAATTTATTCAATTTATCCGTTTGTTTATTTTCCTTTATACAACGAAGAAACCCAAGTTGAGAGGGGTAATAAATTTTAAAGGAAAAGTATAGCTTTCTTTCTTTGTTTTTTTTTTGTATATCTGATTATAAAACATCTATCCGATTGCCACCGATCATGGATCCACCAGTAAGAAAATGTATCTACAGTCTGCAAGAATTCAACACCAAATTGTTAGAATATGATTAGATACAGAACAAATTTATATCCGTTTACTTTTAACTCACTTACTTTGATAGAATTTAGAGGAAGTTTCTGAGTTCTCTCCTTGGTTCCAATCCAGACCTGATCCTGCTCCAGTTTAAAGGTGAGACGAACCTTACCCCCGGACTTGTTCAGCATACCGGAGAGAGGGAAGGATGGCAAGCTCTCGCGAGAATTCTAAAATGTATTTTATTAGAAATTGTTTTATAGGGGTCATGTGGTATTTTGTCTTACATATAGGAGCAGACATGTTCACAGTTTCACAAATGTTAGCAATGTTTTATTATACTGAACTAGAGAAAATAAATAAACAGGAGCCAAGCATAATTAATGCATTACCATGCCCCGATGATATCTAATTACCCCCCCCCCCCCATCCCGTAACTCGTAAAAAAATTTACCACTGTATAAGGGATATATATTTTTCTTGAAGAATAATTAATTTATCTCCGCATACAAACTAATTTGTTCACTACTATGATAAGGGTAATTAGGGAAAATTAATCTAAAAGAGAAAACTTTTTCCTAAAAATATCTTCCAAACAAATGCATGAACTTTTAATTAGTTCCAAATCCTAAAAGACAGATTTGACAAAATAATAGTTCAAACAGGGCATAACTAATCTCAACTTACTTTGAAAAGAAAAATGAGTAATTTTTTTTATGAAGGACTACCCCAATTATTCATTCATCCCGATTACAACCGAAGAAATGCCAAATTAAAACAAAAATCTTGCAACAAAAGGTGTGAAAGTGCATAAAATCCGCCAAAAATACTATCTTAGTCCATATTCTGCCACAAACAGTATCTTAGTCCACAATCTACCAAAAATAGTATCTTAGACCGCAATCTAGCAAAAACAGTATCTAGGACCACAATCTACCAAAAATAGTATCTTAATCGATAATCTGCCAAAAATAGTATCTTAGTCCAAAATCTACCGCAAATAGTATTTTATTCCACAATCTGCCACAAATAATATCATAGTCCACAATCTGCAACAAATATTATCTTCGTCCTCAATTTGCCATAAATAGCATCCAAGTTCATCAAAATTTCACAAAATCTCTAGATTAACCCTGAACTACCCTTACAAAAGTTATTTAGAAAAATCAAATGTACTCAACCCATGAACTTGTTTGAAAACCATTCTAAATATTAAAAATAGAGAGGTATATTTTAAGAATTTTAATGTATTTTAAAGAATTTTTTAATGATCTGGGTGAAAAATTTAAAAATTGGACATCAAAATGCAAGTGTTTTCATTCTGTTTGATACTTTTTACCCGAAAATTCTTTAAATTTCCTTAAAAATCATTAATTTTCTCAATTCAGCTAAAAAATTCTAAAAAAAATTAAAACAATTTTTAAGGAAAAAATATTTTAGCGAGAAATTGTTAAAATTCTACCTTAATCCCTGGCATAGCGTCGTCTGGAATTCCTTTCTCTAAAATCTTCTTGTGAACTTTCTGTTGTGACCAGGACTCCTTCTGTGTCTCGGCCTTCTCCTCCTCATTCAACTGTTGCACGTTCGGCTTCTTCGCGATCTCAAGCACATCGTTTAAAGTTGATCCAACCACCATCACTTTGGATCCTTTCACAACCCCCAACTTTTTCAGTGTCATTTCGTCCTTGGCAAGACCTTTTATCATTATCTTCTGCATCGCAGCCGGGACTCCGATTATATCTTGAAGGTGAGATTTTAGCGCTCCAATAGTTTCTTCAACTCCGAAAGTTACGTCAAACTTTTTTTTGTTAAATACAATTTTGAAATCAATCTGTTCCCCAGAGGTTGAGGGCTGGGGGTCCTCTGGTGTAGCTTCTCCCTCTGCCAGAGCAGCTTTCAGATCTGACGAAGAAACAACATATTTGTCGATCTTTTCCTCATTTGTGGTCTCAGTTCCTACTTCAGGATCCATTTTCTTATATCTAATAATACAATGATGATTAAATACATTCTTTCTTCCTAAACTGAAAAGTAAGGCGCATTTAACAAGATTTAGAATTTGAGAAAATATTACAAGGTCTTAATACAAAGAACTCTTTATGGCTTAGTCATATAGAAAGACTTTGAACCCCCACCCCCACCAACCTTTCATAAAATATTGTAAATGAAGATAGTATGGGTCTGTCCTAGTATACGATTTTTGGACCCCCCCTGCCCCCTCCCCACCCTCCTATCAATTTTGTACATGACCATTTATTTTTCAGCAAATTTATTAGGGGCCGCTTGTTAATATTTCATGTACATTTTTTATGAGGGAGGGGGGCCAAAAATCCAACTCCAGGAAATTACCCGCTCTATCACCAAGTTAATTTGGAGTTCAACCATAATTATCATCACTCTATTTTATGACTAAATATTCTGACACATTGGACACAATTCTGGCTGACGTTGTAATGGAAAAGGAATTGAATTGAAAACTGAAAATCATTCACAAGACTTGCTTCACTATCGCAAACAATATGTTATTGCATCGGGAGCAAAATATATCAACATCATTAAAAAAACGTTATCCGTGTGAATATATTTTTCCGTTTTCCCTTCTAGAACTGAATGATGCACTTCCAAGCTTTAATCTATCCGGTTCTTGGGTCCGGGGAGGCCGAAGGGGTCCAAAAATCGTTTTTTAGGACAGACCCTGAAAATGAACTCAAAAATAATTAAGAATGACGACTCAGGACTGACGAGAAAGAGATCGAGAAAAATTTTATGTTGCGAGTCATTCTCAGAATGGAAGGCGGCATTCTCTCAAGAACGGCCGGTACGCACTACGCAATGTTTCAAAATATTAATAATTATTAAATACTTTTTTTCAAAATAATGAAAAATAGGTGATATCCTAAAGACGATTTTTTGACCCCCCTCCCTCCTATCAATTTTGTACATGGATCTCATATGTAACACATGGATAAAATTGATAAAAAAATAAATATAATAATAATTTTGCTGGAAAAAGGGTCAAGTACAAAATTGATAGGGGTGGGGGGGGGGAGGCCAAAATCGTTCTCTAGAACGGACCCGAACAATCTTTTTTTGACATAAAGAATTAATAAATCTTCGGTGGGAAGAACATTACAATCATACGAAAAAATGTTGCGTAGTGAGAAAGAAAGTTCCAGGAAGACAACAGCTGAAAGCAGACAAATCATCACAGTATAGTTTATTGCCTAGTGCCTACTTCGGCTTTGGGTGAACTGGACTTGACCGTGTTCACAGAACAGTGACGAAGAACTGATAAAAAAATTGATATTCCTTTAAAAACAGGATTTAAAATTTTTTTATTTGATATCTTGCAAAAGATTGGTTCTATTTCATGATAATGATTGATCTTATTTGATTAAATTGACGTGTTTTTTTCTTAGTTGAGTCGAGTATTTATAATTTACACCGAAATGATACTTAATTATACATTATACTGTTTCGAAAACTGGCATCTGTGCATTGAATGAAACTTAAGATATAATTTACGTGAAACTACTTTTCTTGGTTTTTTTTTTTGGTTTTATAGGGAAGGTTGGGATATTAAAACAAGAAATCTTTTTTATAGTAACATTTGTCAGAAATAGACACTAATTAAGATAATAATTTTTAGAGCAATTATGAGGGTTGTTCAATTTAAACGAAGTCGTGTCGTGAAGTTTCTGTTGATAGGGTTGGGAGTTCTAGCCTCGTTACTGGTTATATTCAAGACATTCGACCAGGATGGATCAAGGGAAGGAAGCAGCCTTGAGAAGAGTTTAGGAAAAGCGGAGAAACAGGTTCAATCCATGGAGAAAGTTCGTCATATTTCTCATCCCGGAGAAGTACCGGAGTTCAAGGGCAAAGGGAATCCTGGGAACTTTGAACCTAGCTCTTATGGGGACGGAAATGCTCCTGGAGAGAACGGTAAAGCGCACAAACTCCGGGTAGAGCAGAAGACTGAAGAGGAGCGGTTGAAAGGAGTTTATGGATTTAATCAGCTTGTCTCGGACGAGATCAGCCTAAACCGTACTGTCCCGGATACCCGTGAGGAGGAGTGTAAGTATTGGGATTATCCCACGAACCTACCGACCGCCAGTGTAATCCTGGTTTTCCATAACGAGGGCTGGTCTACTTTACTCCGAACTGTAAACAGTGTAATCAATCGTTCTCCGCCACAGTTTCTACACGAGGTTGTCCTAGTAGATGATAAATCAGAACTTGATCATCTCCATGAGCCCCTGGAGATAGAACTAACGAAACCTTACTACGCCAAGGTCAAGCTGGTTCGGAACTCGGAGAGAGAAGGATTGATCCGAGCGAGAAATAACGGTGCCGTGGCTGCGTCAGGAGACGTGGTTGTGTTTCTAGATGCTCATTGTGAGGTAGATTATAATTGGTTACCTCCCCTGCTGGCTCCTATTCACGAGGATAGAACCACTCTCTCCGTCCCTGTAATTGATGGAATCAACTGGGATGATTTCTCGATCACACCCGTTTACGCCAGAGGATCTCACTCCAGAGGACTTTTCGAGTGGGGGATGTTTTATAAGGTAAATACGCCGTTCAACACCGTTTGAGATCATTGTCTGACCTTTGTTACAAAATTCAAGAAACGAACACTTTCATCAAGTTTCTGCGTAATTTGGTCTGTGAAATATTTTGCAAGTTATATCGAGGCAAATGTAATTGTAAAATTTTAAAAAAAGTTCATTGTTAAAAATGTTATGAAATTATAGCCTTGAATTGCATGTTCTTATAAATTCTTAAAAAAAAACATCTGTTCTTTAAATGAATATCAAACTATACAATATAAATGTGCAAATTATAAATTTGTTTAAAAATTTGATTAAATAAATGTTCAGGAAGGAACATTGCCAAAGAAAGAAGAAGCTAAAAGATCTCATCACAGCGAACCCTACAATGCTCCAACTCATGCAGGAACAGTAATAGTTCTGAAAACATTGACAACAAATTTAATTTTTGTTTAGTGTTATTGATTATGCGGAGGAGGCTCTTAACCACATTTAGATATTTTATTGATAGATCATTCATTCAAAACAAAACTATGAAACAGTACATCAGCAGTCAGCAGTCAGCACATATTCACAGAATTAAAAAAAGAAATCGTTAAAAAGTCCCAAATTTTGTTCTCTTAAATAAATGAGGTCAGAGGTGCATACTGCATTTAAAAAATTAAAAAAAAATAATCCGAAACCTATTTTAATCTACATAAACATACATCGCTGTATTTATTGTTATTGTTTTTAATTTTTTAATTTATTTATTCCGAGAGATCAACTATTTTGTTAATTTAGGTGGACTGTTTGCAATTGACCGTGAATGGTTTAAGGAATTGGGATGGTATGATCCCGGGCTCTGGGTCTGGGGCGGAGAAAACTTCGAGCTCTCCTTCAAGGTCTGGATGTGTGGAGGAAGGTCGGTTTGGGTTCCCTGCTCCAGGGTCTCCCATGTATACAGAGGACACTCCTGCTCATCCTGTCATAGTGGAACCTTATCAAACAAGTTTCACGGCCAACCAACCACCCTGAGGAACTACAAGAGAGTTATTGAAACCTGGTTTGATGATGAATATAAAGAATATTTCTACACCAGGGAACCCTTGGCCAGATACGTTGATATGGGAGACATCAGCGCTCAGCTCAAGATGAAGGAGGACATGAAGTGCAAGTCCTTCGACTGGTTCATGAAGGAGATTGCCTACGATGTTCTTGAGAAGTATCCCCGCCTGCCTCCCAACAAGCACTGGGGCGAGATGAAGAACGAAGCTACAGGTTTTTGTCTAGATACTTTCGGTAAGCACCCGCCAGAATCTGCAGGAGTGAGTGGTTGCCACGGTTTCGGCGGTAATCAGCTATTCCGGCTCAACACAGAGGGGCAGTTAACCAGTGGCGAATGGTGTCTCAAGGCGGAAAAGGGAGATCGTGTCACAATAGCGTGGTGTGATATGGGAAAGGTTAACGGACCCTGGGAGTATCTCGACGATTCTAAACAATTACGTCACAACGAACTTAAAACCTGTCTCAGCCTACACCCTGAGAGTCAGAAACTAATCATGAGAGAATGTAATGACAATGATACATACCACAAATGGAACTGGAACAAGAGCACTCCTTACTGGGCGAAGAAAAACTAATAGTTTCATTTCTCAAACAATTAACTTATGGAAATGTACAAAACTAATTGATTTCTGATAATAATTAAAAAAATTTAGACAAAATGGCAACTTGCCTGAAATACCTTGTGATTTAAAAAAAAGGTTATAAATACCATAAATTCAGGGAAGAGATTATTTGGCAAACTTTTGTATAAAGAGAAAATTGGCATTGAAGGCCTATAAGATGGGACATTTATTTTGTTGTAAAAATATGTCCACTGTCTATAGTTTATTAAATCACGCTGAGAAGAGGTAAACCTTGTGCACCGTGTGTTTCTGTGATATTATTATTAATATTTCATCTCTATGTAAAAACTAGTATTTCTGTGATAACATTTATTCCACGTTCTATCAAAAATAAGTTATCATAACAGTTTTCTCTTAAAAATCTTATAAATTGTAGCAAAGAAATCGAACCTGTTTTGCTAAAGATTTCTCAAAAATTTCAAACCAATTTTATTTTCTATTTGTATGTTTCTATGATCCAAACTATTGTATAAATTATTCCATTATTTGATCTACCAATGTTTTACCACGTGTTATACTGCATCCACCTAAAATCCATTAAATACTTGATGATTGCGTGTTCTAGAATAAATATGGAGGAGTTCGTAAGGAAGCAGAAGGAGCTGCTGGCCCTGGAGAGGGAGGCGGAGCTGGAACAGACCGCCCAGCTCCTTGAGGGTCTACCAATCAGGGATCTTTGCCAAAGAGGAGTAGCACTTCAGAAACTCTGGATATCCGGGTCTAAGACAGGACTGTACGGGAGAACTATTCTAACTCTTTGTCAGAGAAATTCTGCTGAGTTTCCTGCACATAATATCACCTCGGGAGATATTGTCGGAGTTATTCAACAGGTTTGAAGTATTTAACTCTCTGGGGTTTATATTTAGAGATAGTCAGCGTTCATTGATACGGTTTCAAACATTATATGTTTTGAATTTTTGTTTTGGCATAATAATTTACTGGCTTGGAAACCCGGCTTTGTCTGGAAACTGAAGTTTCCTTGTAGAAGTCAACACCTTCAAGTAAAAACATTTAATCCAAGCTAAGAACATTTCTTTGGTTCTACCGAGTTATTCAATAAAAAATTGAGGCAAATCGGTCAAGGGGATAATGAGTTATGATCGAACATAAAACAATCAAACAGAGGCTACTTTTTTAAATAGATTTTTGAGTAAAATGCTGCGCAATGGTTTATCCCATGGAGCATACAATTTGTAAGCTAAGGGGCAGATACTGGATATAAGTGAGGGGGGTGCTAGATTCATTTCGGAACAAAAAAATCCAGATTCTGGAACCAAAAGATGCGCCAAAGGCTTTGACTTTCCTATTTTGCACTAGGCTTCTTTCCATTGAGAAGATATTCTGAAATCTCACGGGGAGGCTAAGGGGGGTGCGAAGGTCCTGCCGCCCCCCCTGTATTCGCCCTTGTGCAAGCCTCCTACAAGTAAAAATAATGTTTAAAAACGAACAAAAAATGACCAGAAAGAAGATCTTAACGGAATATGAACTTATGATGGGTATTGGGTACGTCTTAGTCCCTAAATATTATGCTCTTCAGTAAAAAATACCAATTACAGTTTTCAGTTTTAAAATAATCACTACTTTTACTTTAAGATGAAAATTAAGTTTATTGCAGGGTGGAGAAACCTTGAAACCTGAAAGCTCAGGAGTTGTCCTTGATGTCCGTCCTACCAGCATAGCCGTAGCTTTCAAGGAGGGTTCGGAGACTGGGGATATAGAAGATACTCAACAGATGGCTCTAGTTAAACTAGCTAATGACGTCACTTACAGGGAACGGGATTACGATTAATCAAATTTATTTTGTTATCAGAGATGAAATTTAATTTTTAGTTTTCTTTCAATCGGATCTTTATCTCGTTGTAGATTTCTCGTACACATTATTCCTTGAAATTTGTAAGTTTACGCCGATGCGGCCAAGCCCTTTCTCCACAACAAGTTTCAACCTCAGGTTTTTGTTAATAATAAACTATTTGTTATTTTTATTTTTTCTTAAACCCGGTTCTGTTAGGAGACTGAACAATGCTCTTGATGGTATGAAAGAGATGCATACAAGCCTTCTCAGTAATATACTACTAGGTTTAAGCGAACCTAGTATTCCTCACCAAACCTTCTCCCCTGGATTACTTAATAAGGTAGGTTTAAGTAAACCTAGTATTCCTCACCAAACCTTCTCTCCTGGAATACTAAATAAGATAGGTTTATAAACCTAGTATTCCTCACCAAACCTTCTCCCCTGGAATACTTGATAAGGTAGGTTTAAGTAAACCTAGTATTCCTCACCAAACCTTCTCCCCTGGAATACTTAATAAGGTAGGTTTAAGTAAACCTAGTATTCCTCACCAAACCTTCTCCCCTGGAATACTTGATAAGGTAGGTTTATGTAAACCTAGTATTCCTCACCAAACCCTCTCTCTTGGAATACTTGATAAGGTAGGTTTATGTAAACCTAGTATTCCTCACCAAACCCTCTCTCTTGGAATACTGAATAAGAAAGGTGTCAAATTAAAAATTTAGGTTAAACATCTTCTCTTGGCTAAAATATGATCTACTGTATGATTTTCACTTCATATCATATTCATAGATCTGCTTTGACTAAAAGGTTTTGACATATGACTTAACTTTTGTTGTTAATTAATACTATAGTTATTTTATGATTAATATTATTATTATATTTGGTTTAGGATAATGACCTTAGTTTCATCAATCTTGGGTTGGATTCCTCCCAGCAGGATGCAGTTAGATTTGCTTTAAAGCAGACAGAAGTATACTTTAGAGCTAATAATCTTTAATAGAATTAATTTATATAAGTCCGTCCAAATAGAAGTAACATAAAAAACATTTCAATATTGCTCGCTCGTCACTTTTACTTTTACACCCTGTAAGAAAAAAATTCATATTTAAATCTTATGAAATACACAAGTGTTTTATTACAAAGGCTTTCTTACAGAATAGCAGATGTTAAGGAGTACAATTATTTTGAATCAAAATATTCAATTATAAGATGATAGTTTAAATGTGACAAGTGTTCAAGATCAAACAGCCCTTTTTATTTATCGCGGCCTGTTTTTTTTTTGTTTGTTTTTTCTTCAATTTTTTCTTTTTTAAACTAAATATATTTTAACTTTATTGTCTTTTTAACACAAAGGAAAGCTGTAAAAATGTTTATTTCAATAATATCTATTCAAGGAGTATATAAACATTTTTGTTTACAATTTCTCTAAAAGAACGTATTGAATATTCACATACTTAAGAGTGAAAAAACATATCTAAAATTTTTCATCATCAAAATTATTAGGAAATAAGTCCAATAAAGTTTTCGCATGATAGTATAAAACTGATTAATTAAAACTAATCATATCCATGAATCATATATAAGAAGATTATTATTATGAACAAGGTTCCATTCCCACAATCCAAAATAAAAGATTTTTCCCCTCTAAAGTATCAATCACAAGTTTCAATAGGATTTATAATTTATAGGATTTTTATACTGTCATAACCAGAAAGACCCGGAATTAATTGACAGTTAATCAGACGACCTTACATTTTAAATGCACAATATAGGCAGGCCACATTTTGGAATTGGTAGGACTAGGGCTATTTTGATATTATAGCTTCATTGATCATATTTTTAAATTAGATTGTAAAGTCGTCTAATTAATTATAAACTAATTCCGGGTCTTTCTGATTATAACTGCATTTCAAGATCGGAGTTTTTTAGTTTTTCGGGCGGAAAATCTTGAATATGATTTTTTTGTGTGTCTGGAATTTAGTAAAGGCGGAAAAACGACAGTTTCTCAACCGAAACTTAGATAAGGGAACTGAGTTTTTGCCACACACTCAAATTTTCTAACACCCATATCTTTGTAACCCATGCAATGGTGTAGACCTTTGATATTTCGAACTAATGATTCTGTTAAATCAAATAGGTCACTGTTTGAAATATTTAAGTATGTTTTTAACATTAGGTTGCCCAAAAAATTGGGATTAGAAAATTTGGCAAAAACTCATTTTCTTAGACGACAGGCAATCACTTTTTTTTCTTATCTTTTTAATGAAGAACTTGTTTATGTTAAGGTACTGGTAAGACGACTACCGTTGTTGAGATAATCCAGCAAAGTGTAAAATCTGGAGAGAAAATTCTAGTTTGTGCTCCTAGTAATATAGCTGTAGACAACCTGCTAGAGAGATTAGGTAGGTCACTATTTGTTTCCGTGTCGCCATTTTTTTCTACTTGGCGCCATCTTTTTTCCACTTGGCGCCATCTTTTTCTACTTAGCGCCATCTTTTTCTACTATGCGCCATCTTTTTCTTGTTGGCGCCATCTTTTTCTACCTGGCGCCATCTTTTTCTACGGTGCCCTCTTTTTCTACTTGGCGCCATTTTTATCTCCTTTGTGCCATTATTTCTACTTGGCGCCAACTTTTTCTACTTAGTGCCATCTTTTTCTACTTGGCGCTAATTTTTTTCTAATTGGTTCCATCTTTTTTAATATTCAAATTTGTATAGCATGTTATTTTACCATTTTAGCCTGAAATGCAAAGAAAAAATTTATTTATTTGATTATTGATAGAAAATATACCTTTAATCTAAATTTGTACAATTTTTATGATGAGATTGTAATTTTGCCTTAAAGCGATGCAATCTAATAGGGGATGAAACTTTGAGCGAAAATGCGCTAATTTTCGAGTATTCCGTAAAAAGAGATGTCTCACATTTTCTCCTAAGGCACAATGTAAAGGGACTGTAAGCGAAATATACCAATGTATACTTGATCAGACAGAGCTTTTAAGGATACAGGGTACTGCAATTTTAATTTTTATGAAATTTCGGTCAAGAGGGTTTTCTTTTATTTTTCCCTAAATGTGTCATCATTAAACAACAACTCTTATTTTCTAGCATCAGCTAAGCTGCGATGTATCCGACTGGGGCACCCTGCTCGAGTCTCAGGAAACCTTCAAAAATACTCCTTAGATGCCGTCATCAATTCAAGTGATCAATCTGCGATTGTCAGAGATATTTATAAGGAAATTGACGAAATTCTGAAAAACAAGAAGAAGAAGAATGAAGGAAGAGGGTTTCGTGAAATCAAAGTGCTCCGGAAAGAATTAAAAGAAAGAGAAAGAAAAGTATTAAAAGAGATTTTGGTGAATGCACAAGTTGTATTAGGTAAACTCGACTCTTTTTATTCATTTAGTACATCCTTTTTGGCCCAACCTGATACAATCTATAAAATGTAGACCTCACTCAAATATATTTTGATTTAGTTTTCTGTCAACAACCTTTTTTTAACAATTAATTAAAAAATTTCCTTTCAGGCAATAGATAATATTTTGTTTGAATGTACTTAGTATCTCTATCTTTTTAATAAAGTTGCTTGTAATACGATCTGATATATGAAGTCCCAATTTAAACATAGGAATTTCGTGTCGCAATACCAGGAGTAAATATCTAGCTTTATTTCTATATACTCTGAGAAAATGTGTAGTTAATATTCGTCTATATTTGTTTACTAGCTTGAGAACCTAGCGTTGCTCAGGGTACTCATAGTTACTCCCGCCGTACACCCGCAATAAGAATCTTAAACCAAGTTAAGAACATTCCCGTGGTACTCTATATATTTAGATATAGATACTCTGTGTAACATCTAGCTACTAATCTTTTATGTGTCGAATTCCTTGAGTATGTTACTAATTACTTTTCTCTATCTTTCTGTATACCTTAAGATAATATATGATAACTATTTATCTCTACTTCTGTTTGTCCTTTATAGATACATATTGCTGTATAGTTGCTATTTTTAAATCTTTTATATACTAAAGGCCTTCGCTCAAATTTATTTATTTATATGCAAAATGGCTTGACTGAATGGTCTACAATATTTTGAGGGAACCCTTTTGTACCATTATCTAGTAACATTATCTAAAAAATTCTACATTTTTTCAAAAATCCAAGAAAAAAACAATTCAAAAATATTGTTTTTTCAAAATTCTATATTAAAAAATTCACGGGCAACGCCTGGCACTTCAGCTAGTGTTGTGTATGTTCTTATTTTAAATTATCTCTAATTAAATATATATGTTTCTGTATACCGGATACCCTTAGTAGATATATAGTTAATATTTTATACTTCTGTATAACCTGAGTATTTAGCTTATAACTGGTTTATAATCTTTTATGCTTCTGTTAAATGAATCATTCTTTGTTTTATTGTACCGGAAGTCAATATCTGTTTCTGAATATACTGAATGGATAATGAATATCTTAGTAAAACTATTTTATATAAATCTATGAACTAGGAACCCTAACCTCATCTAGCCAGGACGGACCACTGAAACATCTACCGGAGAACCACTTCTCCTTGACTGTGATAGACGAGTGCTCCCAGTCCCTGGAGATGGCCTGCTGGATTACTGTATCCTGGAGTCCTAAACTACTCCTGGCAGGAGATCATCTTCAGCTCCCTCCAACTATACTCTCACAGAAAGCGACCAAGGTTAGCTTTTAAAACTTATAAAAGTAAAGCATGATTTAAACCAGTGCTTAGGATCCGGATCCAAGGGGTAAAATATCAACCAAAAACTGCAAAAAAAAATCTTTTTTACTCCAAAACCCAAAATCTGAACTTTTGAAAAAAGAGATTATAAAAATTTCCTCATTTCTGAATGTTTCATTAAGTTTCAGGACAAAAATAAGCGAAAAAAATAAAAAATTCATTAAATCTTACAGAAATGACCTGGATCCAGATCCGGGTCCATTTTTTCCAGTGCGGATCCAGGATCCGGATCCGGATCCACATCAAAATTGAATGGATCCTAAGCACTGGTTTAAAAGGATTGTCGTCAAGTTGTTGTTTAATGATTGAATGAGAGATCCATTATCCATAACAAATATTTCAATTTTTTAATAAATAAACGGTTCATGTTTAATAAAATATCGTGAGGTAAAAAAAACGCTAAAAATGTCAGTCTTCTCATATGAAAAATGAAATTGTATCTTAGTTCTGCATCAGATGGGGATTAAAATCCCAACACACAAGTTGGATATGTCCATGGAAGCGTGAAAGGTTAAAATTAGTGACATGAAATTGGAAACCTTGTAAAATAATGTTTCAAAATTATCATTTTTTATAAATTAACAAACTTACAGATTGGTTTCTGAATATAATAATTGCATTTGTTGTTTTCGTCATGCCAAACAATATTAACGAGAAACAAAGAGTATCTAAAAAGTTGGTAATGACCATTTTTCAACTGAAATATATGTTAAATAATTAAATATATTTCATAGTTCATAAATATATTTCTAATAAAAAGCAAAGCTTTATATTTTTCACAATCAATTTTATATATATCAATGATACAAAATTAAAGAAAAAACAAGTTTGGACAGGAAGAAGGGGGTAGGGGCGGTGATTCCTGAAATCAGGAATATTTCAGTTAATTGTTTAAACAAAATGAGGAATATTCAAGTTTATTCCCCAGAAATCAGGAATACTTCTTTACCTAAAAATCATGAATATTCTACTTTCTATACCTAGATATCAGGAATATTCTAATTCATTTATCTAGAATTCTGGAATATTCTTAATCGGGGAAAATAATAAAAACCAAGTCTTTTCTCGGGATAGTTTTTTTTTTCTATGAACAGAATTGGACTTGAGTACACTTGATCTAGGACAAGTCAAGAAGAAGACCTTTTCAGGAATAAATAAAACAGAAATTGATTTAATCGAATCTTTTCAATTAATCTCCATATCTTCGTCACTACTTGACACACCGTTGGTCCCGTTTGTAAAGCCCGCTGCTTTGCTGCTTCCCGCCGCGGCGGGAATGTTTCGATGGGTAGCAACGCTATTCGTCGATCTGAAATTAATAAAACATAAGGGGCGTATTTTTTGGTTCAACAACAGTGTAACCTTATCTTCGAAATATCTATTCATGCATTTGCCTTTTGTTATAAATAATACGGGACATTATATTTTTGCTGTGCTTAGGATCCGGATCCGTTGGATCCGCAACATTTTGGCTTCCTGGATCCGGATCCGCAAAAATATGCGGATCCGCGGATCCTGATCCAATGGGTAAAATATCAACCAAAAACTGCAAAAAAAAACTTTTTTACTCCTAAAGCCCAATTCTGAACTTCTGAAAAAAGAGAGATTATAAAAATTTCCTCATTTCTGAATGGTTCATTAAGTTTCAGGATAAAAATAAGCGAAAAAAATAAAAAAAAATCATTAAATCTTACAGAATGACCTGGATCCGGATTTGGATCCGGATCTGGATCCATTTTTTTTTAGTGCGGATCCAGGATCCGGATCCGGATCCACATCAAAATTAAATGGATCCTAAGCACTGGTTTAAAGGGATTGTCGTCAAGTTGTTGTTTATAGTATATCGTGTCTGATTCACAACGGTATTCGTAAATGCTTTGTTTAATCTTTAATGAGAGATCCATTATCCATAACAAATATTTCAAATTTTTTTCATTTTTAATGTGGTTTCTCTATAAAAGTTATTTGCTAGAAAAAAAAAACAACAGTATCTTCCACATTTTGATCAGTTAAAGGTTTAAAGGGCATCTTTTTCATCTGACATGCCCCTCTTTCTTTCAATGAAGAAACTTGAAATTACAACGACTTTCTCTTTAATAACAAGAAAAGTCCAGCTTTATAATCCAAAGTATACGATGAGTTCTATTTTATTTGTAGAAGTTTAGACATATGTTTATTGATTTCTTCTTGTTACCAATAACAGATTAATCCAAGGAGTATTAAATAGAAGGGAGATACAACTGACGCGGCCCGCCCTACCATATGATTATATTTGCAGACGGTACTCCATTTGTATAAGAAATATTTAGAATAGGTTATTGTATACGCGGTAATTGTACATCAGACAAATATTTCTTATACAAATGGAGTACCGTCTGCAAAGCATGTATAATCATATGGTAGGGCGGGCCGCGTCAGTTGTATCTCCCTTCTATTTCATACTCCTTGGATTAAACTTGTACATACTTGTTTATCTGAACTAAATAGGCTTTTAATTGTTTTATTATGATCAAATAATTATCTAAACATTGTAAAGAAACGATTCTTAACGATTACCGTATTTGTTTATCCATGAACATGAAAAAGATCCCAACATCGATTCTATGACTAAGATGTACTTGTACACGGTGGACTAAGCCAGTGGGGTCGGTCAAATAGGCCTAGGATTAGGCCGGGTACTGTAAAAAGTTTGACCAGGCCATGGGAGTTGTCACAGTATAGCCCTCCGACGGGACTATGCCAAGAAAATTGACCCCTGTCGTATGTTAGTCTGTTTAGGGCTACGTACTGTACAGAATATGGTCATCCGTGTTGTGACGAGGATCGGGTCAGTACACGCTTTTATCTGGCAGGCCGTTACAAACTGGGCAGGTCCTGTTCGAATTCAATCTTTCTACGGCCCAGAGTGTGTAAATGCTGTTTAGTAAGTAAGTAAGTAAGTAAGTAATATTTATTGCACAATAACATGTTAACATATTAAAGTGGCAGGAGATATACTATTCGCAGGATGCTGTTTAAGTATTCATTTAAAGAGATCAGTTGTAGTGATCGGGCAAGGCGTGCATAGATTTAACCTGTAGAGAACTGGCGTCCAGAATATCTACGAGTAGGTTAAAGTTGGTAGCTGAGTTGCTTGTTAGCTCTAGAAGTAGATGTGTAGCTGATTACCTCCAGAAGTAGCTGTGTAGCTAATTCAGGGGATATTAGTTCCAAAACTAACACTTGGCCCATTTTTAACACTGAGTGTTAGAAATGGATCAAATCTGCAAAGTTATCTTTTTCAAGAGTATATCTCTTTAAATACAAGTCGAGTAGAACAAAATTACACCATATATTAAATAAAATGGCTAAACCTATATATTGAAACAATAAATGTCAATTTAAAACTAATAATAGGGTGTGAGAATTAGTTTTTGATGATTCTTGGTTTATTTTCGAACATATCCCTATTTTGAAACAATTACCGGATTTCAACTCATGTCGCGTTTTCGGAACATATCCTGGTTTTGAGAGAAAACTTCCAGAATTCATATCAATGTCAATATTCAAGTATTTACGCACTTATGGAACAAAACAAGATTTTTTGATGAGGTAAAATATAAACAAAATAACAAATAAAAACAAACTGCTCTTTTATTTTTTAGAAATCATTACAGCGTTTATAAATCAAAATATTAATATCATTTGTTCTTACAAAACAGATTTAACTAGAAATGCGAGAAACTGCTTGTTTAAAATGCTTGAAAATAAATCAGCCATAATCTCCTATTTAACAGATAAAATGTGGAAACTTAGACTCTAGAAATAATTCAGAAGTTAACTTAGGCTTCATAAGATAATTTTTGTTTTCAGTGATTTGTCTTGTAAGTTATAAAAGTGAGTTTTGTTTTGAATTGTGGATAATACTCAAAAACGGCAAAGTGGGTTTTGTCTCGAAAACGCGTCAGTGTTTCAAATTCAGGATATGTCCGAAAATGGAAAACTTAACATTGTCTTGAAAACGGTAAAGAGCTTTAATATAAAAATAACTCCTATTATAATTTTGATTTAAAAAAAAGTTTAAAATTGGGAATTTTTGTCCTCGTCATGTTTAATAAAATTTTGGTTATAGTTTTCATGACTTTTACTCTGGATTTGGGCCGGGATCCCAAAAACCCAGTCTTTCAATGTGTGCCCATTTCTAACACTCAGTGTTAGAAATGGACCAAGTGTTAGTTTTGGAACTAATGTCCCCTGTAATTAGCTCCTGGAGTAGCTGTGTAGCTAATTAGCTGCTTGAGAAGCTGAAGTTTAGCTTATTAGCTCTAGGAGTAGCTGAGGTGTAGCTTATTAGGTCCAGGAGTAGCTAAGGTTCAGCTTATTAGCTCCAGGAGTAGCTGATGCTTTGTAGGAGTAAGTTTAAGCTTGAGATTGTCATCCTCGTCCAATTCTTGTGCTGATTCTGAGGAGGCTGTGTTTTTGGCCATGGTTCCTGGGGTCACCACTTTAGAAGTACATTTATTGCTTCTAGATAAAAATACATTATAAATAACAAGTCTATTAAAGAAGATTAAGATGAGTAGGTCTTCTCTGGTTCCAGAATCCGACGCTACTGGTTTGCGGATTTTATAATCCTCTCTTTTGGGTATTTCATCCTCTAAAATACAAAGATTCATTTATTTATTTAAAGAGAATCGCTGGGGTTGTTCCTGGCCCCAGGCAATCCCAACCATCAGGATATAAGAGATATTTAAAAGAATCGGAGCTGAAAATATTATTTTTAGGGATTAGAATTAACCCTGATGGAGAGATTAATAACTATGTACGGGGACACCGTGGTCCGCATGTTGACCACCCAGTACAGGATGAACAAGAACATCATGGAGTGGTCCTCCAACGCTCTCTACTCCGGACGGGTGGTTGCAGGGGCAGAAGTAGCGGAGCACAGGCTCTGTGATATACCCGGAGTAGAACGGTCTGAGTTGACTGAAACCGTCCTGCTCCTGGTTGATACTGCGGGATGCCAGATGCAAGAGTTCTCAACCTCTGATGGAGTATCAAAAGGTAAAATTTATCTAGTTGATAACAATAAAGACCCTTTTCTGCATAAAATTTCAACTATTAATCTTATTACGAATTTTAAACAGAATATAATTGAAGATTTTTTTTAAGCAGAACCTATGTTTTGACTCGCAACACATGTTTGCAAATAAAAATCGAAGAAAGAAAAGACTAAAAAGATTGAAAAAAGTAGATATAATTAACATACAGGATGTTCAAAATAGATCATAACCTCTTTTTTTGGAGGTTTTGATTATTTTCTCCTGAAACATTTAATTTTGTACGATTTTGTTATATTTCTTAATTAAATAATTACTCACTAAACAAATGGTCTTATTATTTCATTATCAAAAGGTAAAATTTATCTAGTTGATAACAATAAAGACCCTTTTCTGCATAAAATTTCAACTATTAATCTTATTACGAATTTTAAACAGAATATAATTGAAGATTTTTTTTAAGCAGAACCTATGTTTTGACTCGCAACACATGTTTGCAAATAAAAATCGAAGAAAGAAAAGACTAAAAAGATTGAAAAAAGTAGATATAATTAACATACAGGATGTTCAAAATCGATCATAACCTCTTTTTTTGGAGGTTTTGATTATTTTCTCCTGAAACATTTAATTTTGTACGATTTTGTTATATTTCTTAATTAAATAATTACTCACTAAACAAATGGTCTTATTATTTCATTAATCAACCAAAGTGTTGAGGTTCATTTTGAAAACAATAATTTTTGTTTTTAATGGATTGTTTGGAATTTATTTGTTCAATTATGTGATTGTGGAACATATCGTCGTTTTTCCAGCTCCAAAATTGTTTTATTCTAATAACTTATTGTTCTGCAGCAAAAATGTCCATATGTCTTTTATATAGAAACCATTATCTAAAATAATAACTTTTAAAAAGATTGACTTGATTCATTCTAGATCAGGAAAAGATTTATGGAAACCGTTTTTATTTGGACATGTCACTCTATTAATTACAACTACAGGCTCATTTAGGAAACGAGGGTGAGGCCAGCCTTGTTTGTCTCCAGGTGGATAAACTAGTAGCAGCTGGTGTAGACCCTGCTCAGATAGCGGTCATAGCTCCATACAATCTTCAGGATAGCAAACATTCATTAAATACCCTCCATATCCTTAAAAAAATAGTGACTTTCTCTTAAATAATTTTAGAAATCCTGCATATACTATTTAAATAGTTTTAACAATTTAAAGTATTAATTCTCACAACGTTTGCTAAAAATGCAGGTTGAAACAATTCGTCTGAACACGAGAGCTAAATACCCGAAGTTGGAAGTAAGATCTGTTGACGGATATCAGGGACGGGAGAAGGAGGTTGTTATCATCTCCCTGGTCAGATCCAACCCTGCCCGGGAGGTCGGGTTCCTTGCGGAGAGAAGAAGATTAAACGTAGCTGTCACCAGGGCCCGGAGACAGGTCATAGTCATTTGTGATTCTGAAACTGTCGGGACGGATACTTTTCTCCGGGAGTTCTTGGATTATCTCACGGAAAGAGGAAGCATAGAAACTGCGGATATATATTCAGATCTTCCTGATATGTCACGACCAGAAGATTCAGGATTTTCGAACAAGAAACCAGAGAAAAAGTCTGAAAAGAAACCTAAAAAGAAAAAGGAAAACAAGCAACCGAAGCAAGAAAATGTGATAAAGCCCAGTTTAAAATCCGCAACATTTAGTCGACAAACACAAGAGGAGAAAATGGCGGAGGAGGAAATTTTAAAATCCAAGTTTGAAATTATTGTTCAAGAATTTGTTTCAAGTGCTGACACCAGGCGAGATCTGGCCCCTGATCTAAACCCTAATGAAAGAAGGTTAGTTCATGAGATCGCAGACTCTCAAGGTTTGATCCACGAGAGTACAGGAGATGGGTTGAGTCGTCATATCGTTCTTAGGAAGAGAAATAATCCTGAACCTGTTGCTGATGAAGAACCTAATATGGTGGTTTCAAACAAATCCGCGGAAATCTGCGAAACCCCGGCGGACTCTGGAACCAAGAAAGTAAATTCTGTTTTATGTGAAACATGCAGTAAAGAAGTTCCACGGACAAATATTGATCTTCATGTTTTGCGGTGCAAACTGAAAGACGACATTTCCATAGAAAAAGAGAAACCTAAGAAAAGCAAAAAGAAGGAAAAAATCAAATTTCCCGAACCTGAAGATTTCGACTCTTTATGTGATCAATTCCAACAAATGAACAAAGTTTGTAATTTTGAAAATTGTAAAGCCAAGGTTGTGATAATCGGAGTCAATTGTAATTTTTGCGCCAAAAGATTTTGTCTGCATCACTCAATGGCGGAAATCCACGGATGTGGAGCTGCCGTTAAACTAGCAGCTCGTCAACAGATTGCTCGGGATCATAAACTCTATCCAGGCTCTGGAACCATCCCTCACACCCTGGATCCTGTCAAACGATATCAGCTCAAATCCAAGTTGGATAAAAAATTAAACGGTTTAACAGATTCTAGAAAACCAAAGAAATCTGATAAATAATATTTTCAGAATTAAAAATGGAACAGTTTGCTCGGAAGAAGGGAAAGGAGGGAACTCGAGGCTCTAACTTGATTGCCAAGGAAAACACAGAAACCCTGATTTTCTACAGAAACATGATCTTCGGAGCAAACGGGGTCTACTTCGCCCTGATGACGTTGCTGGGACGGAACTACTTCTCCCTCGAGATCTCTATGTTTGTGTTGACCAGCCTCGTTTACATCTGCAGCTTCCAGTTCATGAGGTCTATGGGGAGTCCTAAGGTGGGGAGTAGTGGAGAGCTTCTAGATCCTGGAGTAGATCTAAATATGGTCGGAGGACTGGCGGAGCATGCAAAGGTAAATATAGTCGTGCAACAAAAGTTTTTATAAGAGGGTCTATTTTTATTCATACTAGTATCCTCCAACATTTATTCATACTAGTATCCTCCAACATTTATTCATACTAGTATCCTCCAACATTTATTCATACTAGTATATCCTCCAACATTTATTCATACTAGTATCCTCCAACATTTATTCATACTAGTATCCTCCAACATTTATTCATACTAGTATCCTCCAACATTTATTACTGTTTCAATATTTTTTATTTAAGGGACTATAAGCGTAATTTCAAGTACAACTCTCCATGCAAAGATGACAATGCCCGATTCACAACTGTACTCTTGAAAGCTTTATCTGATTAAGTATGAATTAGATATTCATGTTATATTTTGAAACCTAATTAATTTCAACTGTGGTTTCTCTACAAAAGTGACTTGCGAACTTCTACTGCAGAAAACACACAGAAATTATCAGCATTAAACACTTTTAAACTTAGAAAAACAACAATATCTTCCACAAGGGTACTGCTTGTGAATCGGGCTTTGCCATCTTTCCATGGAGTGTCACTTGAAATAACGCTTACAGTCCCTTTTTTAACATTAGACAAATCTTCCATAACTTATCTTGTCTGGGAAACAAAAAAAGATAAAATTTAACTAAGATATTGCCTGAAACCTCTCAGTTTGTGTCATATATAATGAAAAGGGTCTGAATCTAAACATAGCCTATTGGGGGCGTCCCGTACGATTTTGAACGTCGACTTTGCGCTCAAACTAAGGATTTACAGATCTTTAAAAAGTTTTAATTGTCTCAAATGAATCCTAAAGAATTTGTTCACAACACTGCTTACTCAGTTCAACTACCTTATATAGCCGGTCTATCCCTTTAAGAAACTTCGGAAAACAAAAACTTTCTTCAGCTGACGGAAATCAAATACAAATTACAAGCCGTCATTATTACCGTGTTTATTGGGACACCCTGTAGAGGCACTTTTCAAGTTACTGCATATTTTTTATTTAAGGATTTGATAATATTGACAGCTGGGAGTCAAGTCCTGAGTTTGTTCTGGGACTGGTTCTGGTTGCTCCTGGTCCTAGCTCCACTAAGGCTTGTGATCATGCTCTGGACTAACGTGATTGCTCCCTGGGTGTTCCAGCCTGCAGAGGAGGACGAGCAGAGTGACAAGAAGCAGAAGAAGATGGAGAGGAAAATGAAGAGAAGTATGCGATGATGAAATTTTCTTAATCTTGATCTCGTTCAATAGTTGTTATCAATAAATTGTTGAATTGTTATTTTACTTTAAAAAAGATGTCTATTGTCTATGCGGTAAAAATACAAAAAGAAAATTAGATCTGAGATTCAGAACATTTAGTATGAGGCACATACAGGGTTGCCTCAGATTATATATATCCAATGATCTCTACTTGGCAGTATTTGATTTATAATCTGAGAGGGTTCCCAACAAACGATGAGACTTAAAAGACTACCTCAAATATAGCGCTCTGAAGGTTCAATTTTGTTCGTTACATTGATTTGGCCCTGTAAGAAACAAGTTACAAAGAATTAATATTAAAGAAAAAGGCCTTTTAAACTCTGTACAATCGTATCTAGAGTCTCATGCTTTTTGGACAACCCTTTAAGGACATATCTTACAATTGCCATTTTATCTCGTTAAATGCAACTGTACCAAAAAGAAACTTTGCTTTAATAATCGACATTGTATTGTTTTCAAATTCAATGAATATTTACTTTAAAAAAACTTCTTTAACTTAAAATCTTATTAATGAAAAACTGTACAGTTTACACCCGCCTAGTGAGGGTGGCAAAAATATGATATAAAGTTTGAGGAAAACAGTAAAGATTGTGAAGCAAAAAAAGTTTTAAGAAGAGGGCGCAGATCAATAAATATCTAAGATACTTGTGAACAAATGTAGGGGTAGCTGAAATATCTGAATTAAAGTCAACGAAAATACGATTAATTCATAAAAAGGCCCACTTTTTGCTAAAATTACTTAAATAACTTAAAATCCGGTGTCCGATTTTAATGAATTTAAGCTGCGTCTCAAATCCACCAAGAACCGCAGTTTAGCGCCGGCTTAAATCCTGAAAAATTGAATTCAATTTTAAGTGAAACCAACCATATTTGAGCAGCGGCTTAAATTCCTTAAATTCGGCCTCGGATAAAGTAATTATAAGTTACAGGGTTACCGATATAGAATGAGACTTCAGATTCGACTTTACAAAAAGAAATGTCTGTTTCTCCTTTATATTCAAGATTCCTGATATTTTCCTGGCTGGGTTGAATAACTAAACCTAATATTTTCGTGGCTGGGTTGAATAAGTGAACCTGAGATTTTCCTGGCTGGGTTGAATAACTGAACCTGATACTTTCCCGGCTGGGTTAATAACTAAACCTGATATTTTCCTGGCTAGGTTGAATAACTGAACCTGATATTTTCAAGGCTGGGTTAAATAACTGAACCTGATATTTTCTTGGCTGGGTTGAATAACTGAACCTGCTATTTTCCTGGCTGGGTTGAATAACTGAACCTAATATTTTCCTGGCTGGGTTGAATAACTGAACCTGCTATTTTCCTGGCTGGGTTGAATAACTAAACCTGAGATTTTCCTGGCTGGGTTGAATAACTGAACCTGATATTTTCCTGGCTGTGTTGAATAACTGAACCTGATATTTTCCTGGCTGGGTTGAATAACTAAACCTGATATTTTTCTGGCTGGGTTGAATAACTGAACCTGATATTTTCCTGGCTGGTTTGAATAACTGAACCTGATATTTTCCTGGCTGGGTTGAATAACTAAACCTGATATTTTTCCGGTTGGGTTGAATAACTGAACCCATTCTCTGGATGATTGAAGACTTGAATAACTAAACATGACTTTCTCCGGGTTGGGTTTAAAGCCGAACCTGATATTCTTCGGGATGGATATTAATGAGACCTAATATTCTTTAGTTTAATTTGAATAGCTAAACCTGATTTCTCCTGATTTGTTTTGATAACTTTAAACCTGATGTCTTAAATAACCGAACCTGATGTTCTCCGGCTAACATATTGTTGACACAAATTAAAAGAACAACAGGGATATTCGGTAACTTTATTGAATAATAGCATGAAATGAAATAAAAGCAAAGTTTAAAAATATTGACCCTTAATTGGGAGTTTCTAAACGGTTGAAAATGAAATAACATTGATTATTAGTGTTGAAAGGAATGGAACAGTTGGAGCTTCATGTTGGAGCGGATATAGTATTATAGTATTGTGAATCTTCCGCGGTCAACTTCGCTACACAGTGGTAATCGTCTTCGTGTTTTCTTGAATTTGTTAACACATATGTTTTTATCTTAGAAAAAACTAGATCAATTCCTCAGATTTGTTTATTTTTTAATCCTACTGTAATATCCTACTGTAATATCCTACTGTATATCCTCGGATAAAAGTAGTTCTACTCACGAAGGAAATGTCGAGCCTTTGTCGCAAACCGATATTTTCTAATCTCAATAACTTCGCAATCTGATGATATTTCAAACTTAGATTGTTTGATCTAATAGAATTCATAGTTTGAAATATGTTAAGTCCACTGTCCACGACATTGGGTTTCAAAGATTAGGGATTTGACAATCAGAATTTGTGACAAAAACTCAACTCCTTTGCCGCTATCTTTAAGAACAAAAAGTTACACGCAGGTTCCATAAGAAAAAAATCAGCCAATTTGGTCAGGGGGGGACTACGGGGGTTAAGCCCCCCCTGGACCAGTGAAATCTATTGATTTCAGGGGTTTTCAGGCCCCAACGGGTGATGAGCCCCCCTGGAAAATAATAAAATTTAAGCCCCCCCCCCCTGGACAAATTCCTGAATACGCCCCTGAATTTGGTCCAAATGTATATAAATTATAAACATAGATAAAATGTAAAAATCCGTGAAATCATTGTAAAACATGGTTCAGTATCAGTTTTATTCCAACTGAAGATTGGGTCAGACGAGGGGAGGAAGACTGCAGCCACAACAACTTATCGTCCGAGCCACATTCCCCTCATTTTCTCGTCCGAACCACCTCGAAATCCTGATGTGTTGAAAAGATTCTAATTCTAGAAGATAAAACTATTTAAAACAAATCTGGCCACGTTAGGGCATTAACTATGGATAGACTAAAGTATTGCAATGACTAAATCATGTTTGAATCTTTAGAGACATGAGAATGATGTCAAACTTTATAAAGGATAAATATAGAATAACTAAGAATAAAGGATGAATATAGGAGAACTGATAATAAAGGATAAATATAGAAGAACTAAGGATAACGGATGAATATAGAAGAACAAAGAATGAAGGATAAATATAGAAGAACTAAGAATAAAGGATGACTAAAGAAGAACTAAGGATAAAGGATGAATATAAAAGACCTAAGGATAAAGGATGAATATAGAAGAACTAAGAATAAAGGATGAATATAGAAGAACTAAGGATAAAGGATAAATATAGTAAATATAGAAGAACTAAGAATAAAGGATGACTAAAGAAGAACTAAGAATAAAGGATGAATATAGAAGAACTAAGGATAAAAGGATGAATATAAGAGAACTAAGAAGAAAGGATGAATATAGAAGAACTAAGAAAAAAGAATGAATATAGAAGAACTAAGGATAAAGAATAAATATAGAAGAACTAAGGATAACGGATGAATATAGAAGAACTAAGAATAAAGGATAAATATAGTAAATATAGAAGAACTAAGAATAAAGGATGACTAAAGAAGAACTAAGGATAAAGGATGATTATAGAAGAAATAAGAATAAAGGATGAATATAGAAGAACTAAGGATAAAGGATGAATATAGAACTAAGAAAAAAAGGATGAATATAAAAGAACTAAGGATAAAGAAGGAATATTAACTTGCACTCAAGAGAAATGGACAAATTCAACAATATGGTACATGGTCTCTACAATTATGCTAATTGGATATACAAGTTAATTGATTATAGTTAAGCGAATATATTTATATATAGATCTAGATGTAGTAAATTTGTCTCTTAATTGATAAATATGGTGGCCCTGAAAAGGGCCGGGGTTTATTTGGATAGAGAAATGGGCGCTTAAGCCTTGGTCTTCTCAGACTTCTTGGGGAGGAGGACGGCCTGAATGTTGGGCAGGACACCTCCCTGGGCGATGGTGACACCGGACAGAAGTTTGTTCAACTCCTCGTCGTTCCTGATGGCAAGCTGGAGGTGACGGGGGATGATTCTGGTCTTCTTGTTATCACGAGCAGCGTTTCCAGCCAGCTNGTTTCAATATAAAATCACGGAATCAAATGCTTTTCAGATAAAGGTTTGAATTGGGTACCGTTGTGAATCCGGCATGGAAACTTACTTGAAATTACAAAGACCATCCTTTTGAGGAGGAAACATTTTAAAAAACCCCATAAACAGAGGTTGTAGGATTACTTTAAGTCTAAAAACAATGTCATATTTATTCACTTTATATATATATATATATATACTGGGTTAACCACACAGGATAAGACCTCAGACACGATTGTCTGGAGTTCTTTTAGCCCGTTTTATCTTGCATTCAGGGTTCCTTGCAGGCCAAAATTGGTAGAAAACAAAAATCAAGCTTTAAATCGTCATATTTTTAGAGTTTTGGGTCGTCTTTACAGTCTCATCCTTTGTGGGTAACCCTGCATAAAGTAGTAATCTCTACAATTCTTGAAAGGTAAAATAATAGGATATGTTCAAATGTGACTTGTTAAGACCGGGCGCCGTGGAATCCCATACAAAAAGACCCTCAAATTGAGATGGGATCTATCAGTTGTAACACGGACATTTTCCTGCTCGTCTCTCCAAAAATAGGCCATTTAGACGACAGCATCATCGATGCTTGATAAATCGGTAATCCAATTTAAGCCACTCTACAAACTCAATTCAATCTTAATCATCTACTCGGACTTCAACCTAACCACCCTGAACTACATCAACTCACTCTGGACTCGAAACATTTCAATATCTTAATCATAGAGGACGCTACACACACAAAACAACACATACAAAGGCACCGACAACAAGCAGCAAAATAGGCTAGAAAAATTACTAAGGACGAGATTTTTATTTGGATTATTGAATATAGATGTCATCCCGTTTCTTTTTTCTGGCATTTACAGTTTTTTCCCGCTAGGAGCGCTGGTAATTTATTACGATCATAATAGGTGAGAGACATCTAGTATTAAATATAAAATTATTAAATGTATAAAGTTTGATTAGAATTAGAGATGCCTGAGTGCTGAGAGCGTATAAGGAATTTTGAAAGATTTTTTTCATTTGAACAAAGTTTATTTAAATACATTTTTAGAATTTTGAATTTATTGTTAATATCAAATATTTTTTTGTTCGTTTAACTATTTTGAAAACTTTTTGACCAAAATTTGATAATTTCATTTCCCTCTCAAAATTTAAAAACATGCCGGTATAATATTCAAAGAAATAAGTTCAAACGATGAAACGGCAGTTTCTAACAGAGCATCCACTGTGCATGCAGTGTCGTATCAGGCAAAATGTTTTAAAAATCTATTTTTGGAAATCAATTTCCAGTGAGGGGGTGTCCCAGCCCTTTCGATCTTCAGCTGCAGCTTCAACGACTTCAACCCTCGAATTTCGAACATGCACATTAAAGGTGAAATATCTTGATTCTCAAATGATATTTTATCTAAAACTGTAAACCATGAATATCCTTTTCATCATAGTGTAAATTGTGGTCGCTTATCAGTCATGGTGAGCCGGGCAGGCGCTCTAAGCCACGACATTTTCCCCTTCCATGCCAAATATTAGCTTTTTTGTCTTCCCGCAGCCATAAGCCACAATCCTTTGGTCTTCTTTGCCCCCACATTTCAGTCTTCCGGCAAGCATTATAAGATTCCGACAAGCTTATAAGATGAATTTAGTGCATTGCAATAGCGATTTTTAAAAATCCAGCCGCACTATAAAGAAATTTAAATTATCAATGAATTGTGTGTTCAATTATTAGACTGCTTTACATACTTAACAAATATTTGGAAGGAAAAAATGTTTTGGCTAAAATGGCCGGCCATGCCTTCCCTGCTCCCATAATCATGAAAGGCCTTAAATTCTTGTTTATATCCAAGCTTTCTATAGTATAACTTGGACTTGTAAGCAAAAATGTTCATGAATTGTAAAGCTTTAAGCCAAATTTAAATACAAATGTGCAGTGAGAAATATGAGGACAAATAGGGACTCCAACCTACGAACATTTTACACAGCAATCTGCATTGTGTAAGGCCATTTTCCAGATATTGGCAAAATAATGTTCTACATTTATACGTTAAATTCCTTTTTTTCTCAAATGTCTCGTCAAAAGTTTGTGTTTACATGTTGTTTATTAAAAAAAAAGGCGTTCGAAAGTGATTACTGCTGTCGCCAATGTGCCACAGATTTCCTTCTATAGACAAACCTTCGAATTTGAATTTTCATATTATGATATTTACATTCTATATCTCTTAAAGGGAGTGACCGGCTATGTAAGGTAGTTGAACTGAGGACGCAGTGTTGTGAAAAACTTCTTAAGGATTCATTTGAGACATATTTCACTTTTTATAAGTCTGTAAATCCTGAGTTTGAGCGCAAATTCAACGTTCAAAACTCCTGATTTGGGGGTGGATACGCTTTCAGAATTAGTTTTTTTAAATTATTAGTTAAAATTTAAAATGTAAAAATATTCTACAATACTACAGACGTCATGTTTAGGAACATTTTGAGAAAATAAAAATTAATCTTATCATCGAAAATAAGTAATCTTGTTCAATTATTAGTTTTTTATTATCTCATTATTCTAGTTTCTCGTTTTTCACAAAGTTGTTCGCAGATTTTATTTAACTATTATTGAAAAGACGACATTTAAAGAATTTGAAGAAATCTGCGAAAAATTTCAAAGAAAATTCAATATAATAATGAAAAAGAAATAATCGATTTTAGCATTGCTTCATTGACAAATTTCTTTTGTGAAATATGTTCCTAGCCATCTAATTAGATTACTGTATAATTTTTACTTTATTTTTCGTTGTCGTTATTTAATAATTAAAAAAAAAAAACTAATTCTGAAAGCGTATCCACCCCCAAATCAGGAGTTTTGAACGTCGAATTTGCGCTCAAACTCAGGATTTACAGTTTTTTATAAAGTGAAATATGTCTCAAATGAATCCTAAAGAAGTTTTCGACAACACTGCGTCCTCAGTTCAACTACCTTACATAGCCGGTCACTCCCTTTAAACAATCTCTTTTTTTAATAAAAATAGGGTTGCTTTTATTCTGATCGTGTCTGGTATAATTTTTATTTAATTCACTTCCTCTTAAAACACTTCTGATATTGCATTGCGTCTAGAAGGCATTTAAAAATGCTTCTCATTAGAGTTATTTATTTTAAAACAATTTATCTACATTATACATTCAATGTGCTCACTAAGCAAAAAAGTTAAAAAAAATAATCATAACTTTTCAATTTTAAAAAGTCTAATAAACATCAAAGTGTGGCTTGAAAAAAATTATTTAGAAGTGTTTTACAGCGAAATAAATTTTATTTGTTTTCATGTATCGAGGACAAGCTGGAATTGTGAACTTGGTGGTTCCCGAACTAGTAATCACCAGGATATATTTAAAAGACTAGATTTACAACAACATTGATTGCGGATTTTCCAGAAACTTCTTGAAGTGCTGAAGCCACTGCGCGCCAACTGCCCCGTCAACTACTCTATGGTCACAAGACATTGTTACTCTCATGACATCAGAAACGGCGGGTTCGCCGCCTTTAACAACAACCTTCTTCTCTGTTCCACCAATGGCAAGGATGCAGGCCTGCGGCGGGTTGATTATGGCGGTAAATTGGTTGATGCCGAACATGCCAAGGTTTGATACAGTGATAGTACCGCCCTGGAACTCATGAGGCTGAAGTTTACCCGCCTTTGCTCTGCCCGCCAATTCTTTTACAGTCTCGGATATTTCGGCCAAACCCTTGCTCTCAACATTAGTTACTATGGGGGTGATGAGCCCCTTTCCTGTATCCACCGCTACACTGACATCACAGCTGTGGAACTCCCTGATAAAAGTGTCCATCCAGGCACTGTTGCACTGAGGAACTCTTTTGCAGGCTAGACCTGTTGCTTTAATAATAAAATCATTTACAGATAACTTAATTCCTTCCTTCTCATAGGTTTTGTTTATTTCCTGGCGTAGTTTCATCGTAGAATCCATGTTGCACTCAACTGTGAGATAATAGTGCGGAATTTCCTGTTTTGACTGTTGCAATCTTTTGGCAATGACTTTACGCATGCTTGATGTGTCTGCGTCTGAATAGAACATATCCCCCAGGGGAAACCCTGAAGGAAAGGCAGTAGCAGCGGCTGCAGGGGCTTTGAAGCTCTCAACATCTCTTGATGTGATCATTCCATCCATTCCTGAACCTGATTTTATCAAAGAGAGATCAATTCCTTTCTCCGCCGCAACCCTCTTAGCTGCAGGACTAGCAAATATTCTGTTTCCGGAGGGAGGCTTAACGGGAGAATTGATAACAGGAGCAGGTTTAGCTGCGGCTATCGGAGCGGGAGCAGCAATAACTGGAGTTGGAGCGGGAGCAGAAGGTGCTGGAGCAGTAGCCTTGGGAGCAGCTTTGGGTGTCAAAGCGTTGGATCCGTCATCAAGAAAATCCGCAAATTGTGCAACATCCTCAGCTTTTTCGACGATAATACACAAGAGTTTACCAATAGGTATATCCTTGCTTCCTCCAGGCAGGAAAATCTTGGCGAGATATCCTTCCTCAGGAGTCTCGAACCCCATAGTTGCCTTATCCGTCTCTATCTCACAAAGAAGATCTCCCTCGCTGACCTGATCTCCAACCTTCTTCTCCCAGCTGACGATAGTTCCCATCTCCATGGTTGGTGAGAGTGCTGGCAGCGCAACCTTGATGTGTGAAGGATAATCAGCAAACCCTCTAACATTTACTCTCATCTCTGAGGTACGGAGAAGTGGAACCTTAAAATAAAACATTTATCAAAGGGTAAAAGTTCTCTCAAAACCAAATTTGAATGGAGAGGATTAGCCTCCCCATCTCTTCTTTTTTGACGTATAAATTGTTATTCTTTATTTTATAAGAAAATCTAGCTTTATCTAAAAATTTACAAATGTTTATTCAGTTGGGTAATCCTGTTTTAATGAGTCAAGACTTGTGGCATGAATGAAGCACATTTCTATGAAAAAACTAAATTATAAATCCCAACTATATTGAGAAAGAAGCAGAATAGGTCTGGAGAAATTTCAAATTCCAGTCATAGCTGAGTTCCCATTCAGGTTTGATTGCCTTATTGACAATATAAATTATGGTTTGATGATTAACCTGTTTTGAAAAACCAGTTGCGACAGTTGACTTCTCTCTGAGGTTGAATGAGACGACAGAGACCCGTCCTGCTTGTCTGTGAAGCTGTGAGCTCGCTAGACGACCCAAACTTCGCTTTATATTCTGACTTGTACCCAACATTCTATCTGAAAGTATAAATCTATTTTATAATTTTATTTGGCTCCCGAAAAATTTAGCCTCCGACTCCGAGACGAGCCGACTGAGCTCGGAGGCTGAATAACCGATTAAATGCTTGAGGTCACAGACAAACTTGTAAACAAATCGCTTTCCGTGCACCTGAAACAAAATACATTACAGCTAAAAGAAGAAAAAATGGAACGAAGCCAAAAATTTTAACATTTGCAAAGTTGTGCGTGGAAAATAAATACGTTATTTTTTAATGTTTACACAACAACAAAATCAAAATGTTACATTAGAAAATATATTTAAATAACACTGCTACTGAATATCTTTAACTACCATGAAACATAAAAATAGGAATTGAGTCTTTGCCACTTACTCAAATATTCTAATCCCCGTATCTTATTAACCTAATGGTTTCAACCATTGATATTGCAACCTTAGACTATTTGATCTCACAGAATTCATAGTTTGAAATATCAAGGGTTTACGACATCGGGTTGCAAAGATATAAGGAATAAACAATCAATAAATTTAATCTTAAGACAAGAATAAAAGTTTAACCTTAGAGATCATATCTCCATCATAGTAGTATCTCAAGGCTCGTGAAAGTTTCTCATAATTCATGTTTGGTTTATTCTTCCGAGCCCCCCACAGCTGGGCAACCACCTCAGGGTTACTCAACTTAAACTCTCCATCGTTCCCGTTCCATTGTATCACTTCTCTGTGTTCCTTGTCAGTTAACAGTTCCAGGAGGAACTGCCAGAGTTGAATCTGACCATTGTTCCCGCTCCGGTTCCCAGGGCAACCGTCTGGTATCGGAGCAACCCTGTTCTCCTTCGCTACACCTAGAGTCACAGGTTTCTTCCTCTTGGCAGCAACTGTAGTTCCTTTTGAACCAACACTATACTTTCGCTCCGTCAGAGTTGTCGGAGCTTTCTGAACAACAGCAACAAACTGACACTTCTTGAGGAGCTCCAGGTGGGTCCAGAACAGGTCTCCGGGGTCAATGGAAACCTTTTTCTTAAAGTCTGAATGGCTCAAATCACAGAGCTGCATCCCGTTGATATTTGACCAGTCTTTGAGTTGGATTGAGGCAGTTTTGAAGGTTGTGATGGCCCAGCGAAGCCAGTGCTGGACATGGGTTAGGTTCCATTGTGCAGGGTCGGTTGGGATTTTTAAACGCTCCTGCTCCTTTCGGAATGCTGAAATAATGAACTCTTTAAATCCCAAAATGGAAAGATATTAAAAATCCCAAAGTTACAGTAAATATAACTAAATAAGACTTCATTTAACTTTTTCACAATCTCACCGATTACAGTCTCTTAAAACGAATAAACAATTACATAGATATAAAAAAAAATGTTAAAAACAAATTTAACAATGTCCAAAAAATGACTGAATTTAAAAATGTTCTCCCTTTAGTTATCTACCTGAGCAAACAACCCATTTTGTGACATTATCCTTGTTTGTAGGTTCAGGTTCAACTTCCTCCTCCTCCTCCTCTTCATCCTCAACCTCGTCCTCTGTCTTATCCTCCTCACTGTATAAGGAGTATTAAAAACACTATAACAATTTGTTTCGGATANCCCCCCGGCACTAGAAATCAGGAATTTATAACGGCGACGTTCTTCAATCTTTTAAACTTTATATTCGTAGCAATTTTGGGGTTTTGGAAACGCATATCAATTCGTTTTTTTGAGAAATCCTTCTCGTTCTGTATCTTGTTAAAACATGGAGTAATTTTTATTTTGAAAATAGTTTTTTAGATTTGTTTTATTATTTGAATAATATTCAGTTTGATTGGCACAAACTGTTCCTGAAAATCGATGAGAAAGTTTTTATAGTATGGAAAAATATATTCACTATTCACTAATCCGTGATTTAAGAAGAAATCAATTCCGAAAGCAGATTTTAAAATTATTTAGCATTTTTACGGAAAGGGAGGATTTTTCCTCCTTTGTCAGATTAATAACAATTTATCACCTCATCGGTTCATCAGGAGGTTTCAATACATCCATAATATTAATCTTGTTGAGCCCACCCTCGGACTTGAGTTCAACATTGATCTGAACCAATCCTTCTCCTTGCACACATTGATCCACCAGGTTCATATGAGGCTCCAGGATCTGGGAATCCTGGGGAAGAAAGTTATATTTTAAACCGGAGAAAATTTTACAAAAAGAAATAATCTTTTTTCTTTATGACAAGTTTAAGAATAAAAAGTTTTTCATTAAAACGGACTGTAAGAATAATTTGAAAAGAGCCTCTATGGAAAGATGGCAATGTCCGATTAACAATGGTACCCTTGAAGCCTTTATATAATCATTGATGTGGAAGATATTGCGTCAATTTTCTAGGTTTAAAAACCTGCCTAATTGTGATAATCGCTATGTTTTCCTGCAGTAGAAATGCTCAAGTTGAACAGAATCCACAATTTATAAGAATTGGGTTTTAAAATTATAAACATTGAAATCTATTTCATACTTGATCAGCCAAATTCTTAAAGGGAACCGTTGTGAATGGAACATTGCCATTTTTGAACTTAGAGTCATTGGAAATTACGCGTATAGTCCCTTTAAGTTGCAAGGCGGCTGGTTTAACACATACCTGGAGCCAGAAATCATAGTCTGAAAGATCTGCATTGAATCTTTGCTGTAGGATGATTCTAAGGTTCTGTAAGGGTTCCCGGATATCCATGAGCTGTGCAACCTCAAGATCTTCTACATAATCAAACATTTATGTCTTCAAGATTATAGATTATTGAGACGAGAGAGAACGAACCTATTTCAGGTATGATGTGGTGACATACCTACTGTACAGTGTACAGGACGAATCCAATAATTAACTTAAGGGTTTCACATAAAAAGATCAGAAAAAAAGACGAAATTCGCTGCAGTTCTTTGAAAATAAATCAATGAAAAACTAAGAACTAAAATTTAGTGTTCCAACTTATTCGGCAAGTGAAAAACTTTGTGGAAATGGCTTTTTTCAGAAAAATTTCTTGAAAAAGTCCCAGGTTGAAAACCAAACTCTATATGATTGATAATACACAATACACATGTGTTCAGTGTCTCATTTTTTCAAGCCCGGTTTCATAGATGCTCTTGAATAATGCCCTAAGATGAAAGGATAACATGCCATGGTAGGATGAAAGGATAACATGCCATGGTAGGATGAAAGGATATCATGCCATTTTAGGATGAAAGGATAACATGACATGGTAGGATGAAAGGATAACATGCAATGGTAGGATGAAAGGATAACATGCCATGGTAGAATGAAAGGATTAGATGCCATGCCAGGATGAAAGGATAACATGACATGAAAGGATGAAAGGATAACTTCACATGAAAAGATAGGATATAACAGGGTATGAAAGGAGGAAAGGATAGATAACATGATAAGAAAGGAGAGGATACAACAGGGTATGAAAGGAGGAAAGGATGGATAACATGATAAGAAAGGAGAGGATATAACAGGGTATGAAAGGAGGAAAGGATAAAAGATTATGAGAGGATGACAGGATAAAATGATAACAGAGTGTGAAAGGATGAAAGGATAACAGGATATGAAAGGACTACAGATTATGAGAGGATGACATGATGAAAGGGTGGCAAGATGACAGCTGATGAAAGGATGAAAGGTTTACAGGAAGACATGATGCAAGGACAGTTAAGACAGGATAAATGTAGGAAGAAAGGAAATGTACGAAAGGAAGATTGAATGAATGATTCCTGTAGTACGAGGTTGAGGTATAGCCGAGTTAAACGAGAAAATATCCTCATCTTCAGTATCTGACATTCTGCCTGAAAGCATCAGCAGAGTAACTATAAAAGATTCATTTATAATTTAAAGTATTCATTTTACTGTGTACAAACCGTCCCACATCATATTAAATTTGTTAAAGCTTTGGCAACAAAATACGAAAATATCTTCATTTACTATTTACAAATTTGACGCAGGATTCCAACTTAATATCAAGATCTGCACCGTACGATCCAGGGTAATTTCCTAATATAACTTTTTTGGACCCCGCCCCCAGCCCCTCCCCCCTCCTATCAATTTTGTAGAGTTCTTTTATGGACAAAATGGATATAATTGACTATGTGGCCGCACCGCCCAGCCCTCTAGCCGCGGCACTCGGTCCCCTAGCCTGTTCTAGCCACGGCGCTCGGCACAGAAAGTGTCTTAACCTAACCTGGTATATACTAATTTTATTGAAATTGTTGAAAAAGTGGTCATGTACATAATTGATAGGAGGGGGAGGGGGATAAAAAATCTAATACTAGGATAGACCCCGATCCAGTACCAACATTCTGCTACATCATTGGACACAAGGTCTTAAATATGGATCTTTAGTTTTCTGTTACATAACAGAGAATTATAAACTGAAAATTAATGAATTTTTGTCATCTTCAACAGAAATAAAACTATACGAACTGTTTTGTTAACAGAAAAAATGTAGGGTCCTTGAATTCTTGAATCAGATGATCAGACATGTTTACAATGTCGTCTTTAAAATATTTGGTTTGGAAATCATTTTACGCAAAATTTGACGAACATACGCAACTTAATTTCATTAAATTTCGAGCTTTTCGTTACTTAAAAAAAGCGCGCGATTAAAAAATAAAAGCTAGCAAGAGGCTGGGACGGGGGGATTGAGCATGTTTTTTAATTATTTTGATACAGATTTTGTATGTTTAAAATCTGAAGTTTTTAAAAATTCTTATACGCAAATAATAAGGTGTTCAGCTTGTTTGTGGGTATTACTATTTCGGATAAAACTACGGGAGTTGAGAGGTATCATGAGTCCTCATTAAATGATACGGTCTACAGCTGTTTTAAAGATTCGTCTTTCAGATACAATAAGTCTTGGAATATTTCTAGGTTCTCAAAGACTTGAAGGTCATGCCGGGAGATCAATTATTAACGACACAATCAGAGTTTTCAGAGTCCGAATTTAATGAACTTGAGTCGCGTCTTAAATCCGCCAAAAACCGGTTTTATTCAAGCGCCAGCTTAAATCTTGAAACATTGTATACAATTTTAAGTGGAACCAGCCATATTTGAGCCGCGACTTTAATATATGCCGTGACTCAAATTCTTTAAATTCGACCACAGATTATTCATGGAACGCTTCCGAGCATGAGAAAACAGGATACTTGGAACTTTCTGATCGACTTCTCTTCCGATTTGATTGGCATTAATTCATCCCTCCCCCATTTTGATATAAAAACAAGCAATTAAGGCCTTAAATCTGAGGAGTGTTTGACAAAAAGTATTAAAAAGAGATAAGTTTTAACAGAAAACAAAACTTCAACCCCCCCCCCCTCCAACTTCTCAGAAATCTACGGGAAAGGGGTAATGCTACGAAATGTATTTACTTCTGGACTTTTATGAACACTTTAAATTTACAAATGGATCGAGTTTATGATTCCTGAAGTAGCCATTAACATTTTACATTAACAAATCATAAGAATTAATGTGGAACAACATTTTTGTCTGAAAATCTTAAAATTAATAAAAAATACTTTATAATACTTTTAGATTGATTTACAATTATACGATGGAATTCATAGATGCTTTATTTCATGAGTCGTGGGCCATTTGTTTTCATAGATATTTAAGGAAAAATAGACTAGAATTTGGTATAATAATTCATTAAGTCAGATCAAGATTAAAATAAAATAGTTATTTAATATTTCGCATTTTCATCAATAAGGATAAAAGGCTTTACAGAGCAATTCGTCCTCCAAGAAAGCCTTCTTCTATATAAAAAACAATTCTTTAAAATATTTCCACATTGACTTCCAAGCATATTTAGCGTCCATTGTCAGCTTTGGACAAAACATTATTAATTACTGACAAACATTGAGTTGAAAAGTGTTGTGGTTGAGTTCATAATTCACCAAAGTGTTGACGCAACACAATTCATTGAAATTACGCAAAAATCCACGCGTGTTTATTTCTCCAGATTAGGAACCCGTCCTAGACTAATATCTTCTGCGGTCGCGACTAAACTTCTCGTATCCTCGTCTATCTCCGGAGCCTCATGTGAGGACTGGGTTGAGGACGAGGAGATGATGGAGCAGCGTTCAACCAGACTACTCCAGGGTTTATTATTCAAGAAACAGACAATAACAACGGTCATATTGTCACAGCCTAATCCTCCAACTTGACAGTCTGGTGCCAAGCATCTGCAAATAAGGAACCGTTAGTTGAATCAAAGTTCAATTTGGTTGGAATTTCAATTGGTGCTCAGGATATATTCCATTTTGAGGTTGATCTAACCAGGAGTAAAATTAATTAAAAACATTAATATGTCTTGCAAGATTCACTGATATCTTAAACCAAAAAAGTCTTTAAGGCTTCTTTTAGCCAATTTTTATGAAAAAATTGAATTTAATTCAATGCAGAGGATCTTAACACTTGAATGGAAAAAACGTTTTCTTTCCATGCTTTGATTGATATTTATCCAACTCGGATATCCGGTTTCGGAGATCCGGATAATTTTTAAATAGCCAGACAGTTCAATTCCATCTCGAGGGGCTTAGACTAGGGGTGCATTTTCTTTAAAAATCTCCCCCCTCCCTTTGAAAAATATATGGTGTCCCGAGAAGTCATAACTTTTTTTTCTTTGCAGAATTGCGGAAAATAAATGATCTAGGGTTGTTTTTCCTTTTTTCAGGGGTGTATGACCAAACAGAGAAGAGAAGAGAAATAAAAAAGTTCAAAGAAGAGAGGAAGAAGAAAAAAATGTGTCAATAATACAAAAAAAATGTTTAAAAAGAGGAAAAATTTCCACTTTGCTTGCATTTTCTTAATTAAAACTGGGAAATTCAAATAATTTAATTCAGTTTAGTTTAATTCAGTTCAATTTAGTTCAAGTTTAATGGAAAGTCAGAAAAGGGAAGATAATTGAGCTTGAATTTTCTTCCCCACAATAGTCTTGGACAATAAAATAAGTAAAAAAAATGAGATGAATTCTTTCCCCCAAAAAAATATAAAAAAGGAAAAGATTCAGTTTCGATAAATGGCTAAATATTCTTCAACTGAACTATTTTCCTGTATAGAAGATTTGTATTAATTTATTGGGTTCAATTAATTCAGGGGGAAACGCGCTTAAAAACAGGGAAGAAAAATCAACTCTAAGAATACAGAAAATACACCCAGTCCGAATTTTAAGAATTTGAGCCGCGTCTCAAGTCCGCCAAAAACCGGTTTCAATTGAGCGCCGGCTTAAATCTTGAAACATTGAATACAATTTTAAGTGGAACCAACCATATTTGAGCCGCGGCTTAAATACTTTAAATTCGTCCTCTGGTCGTTATGGTTCGAGTTTTTAAATATGCTTATAAAACTTTCATTATTTCATAACTGTATTCTGTTAAAGTTTGCTTTTATTGAACTTAGCAATACTAACAAAAAAGAAATCGTTTTAACACTGTCGTTATCGGTTAGCTTTATCCATATGTTTTCTCTCAGGGTCGTACTTTCGGTTAGTTTTATCCATATATTTTCTCTCAGGGTCGTACTTTCGGTTAGCTTTATCCATATATTTTCTCTCAGGGTCATACTTTCGGTTAGCTTTATCCATATGTTTTCTCTCAGGGTCATACTTTCGGTTAGTTTTATCCATATATTTTCTCTCACGGTCGTACTTTCGGTTAGTTTTATCCATATGTTTTCTCTCAGGGTCATACTTTCGGTTAGCTTTAACCATATATTTTCTCTCAGGGTCGTACTTTCGGTTAGCTTTAACCATATATTTTCTCTCAGGGTCATACTTTCTATTAGCTTTAACCATATATTTTCTCTCAGGGTCATACTTTCGGTTAGCTTTAACCATATATTTTCTCTCAGGGTCGTACTTTCGGTAAGCTTTATCCATATATTTTCTCTCAGGGTCGTACTTTCGGTTAGTTTTATCCATATGTTTTCTCTCAGGGTCATACTTTCGGTTAGCTTTATCCATATATTTTCTCTCAGGGTCATACTTTCGGTTAGCTTTATCCATATGTTTTCTCTCAGGGTCGTACTTTCGGTTAGTTTTATCCATATATTTTCTCTCAGGGTCGTACTTTCGGTTAGCTTTATCCATATGTTTTCTCTCAGGGTCGTACTTTGGCTCAGTATTAAGTGCTGAGTGCATGTAAGGAAAGCAAATGTTCGGAATTGACGATTTTAAAAATTGGAAAACTTGATAACCGTTTATAAGCCCAAAATGAACCAACTTATATCACAGCAATAGCGCAATCCGATATTAAGGACACTCCCTCAGATAAAAAATGTATATCTTGACAAATATTTTTGTTCTATTTATCCTTTAGACAATAAAAAAAGTTGCGTGCGTCAAGAGAAACTTTAAAGGAAAGTTGTTCTAATATTTTCCCAGGGCATATACAGATGTCCCAATAAACATGGGAATTCAGTGACAATTTTGATATACAGGGTGTCCCAATAAACAAAGGAATTCAGTGACGATTTTGATATTGTATTTGTAAATGATTTTTAGGAAAGCTGCAATCCGTATATATTTTGTTTGTCAGCTTTAAGAATTTATTTGTTTATGTTTTGATTGCTTTCTGTTTACAAACACAGTACAGTTGATCAACTTCACTGTTTATCTTGCAGAAATGTTACTGAACCTCATACAAAGTTTTTCAGAATAACAAAACAGTGTTTTACGGTTTACATAAAAATACTCTAGCAGGCGTATCTTTATTTCGACCATTGAAAAAAGAAAAAAAATTAAAAATGACGATTTTGAATACGTCTCTTAGTTCCCAATTCCCATGTTGATTTGAACAATAATTTTTAATGATCTGAAAATAAGGCAAATTTGTTCTCCCAATTTAGAGAATAAAGCTTTTCTTTAAGAAAACATAGAACCATGATATTTTCATAGGAAGCCTTGCAGTAGTTTCCAAGTTTTATAAACGAAAGTTTAGAATTACGAAGACTAAAAAATGAAGGATTATTTTATGTTTGGTTAAAAATACAAGCCTTATTTTGAACTTTGAAAGATTTCTGAGTTTTATTCATCGCAGAAGAAACCTAATATATTAATTAGGAGAATCTAGCATCTAGCAGGAAAACTAAATATTCTTCAATTTTTAGAAGAATATTTGTCTGATATTTCTAAAATATACAATGTATTTTGTCCCAAGCATACATTACCTTTAGAAAATAAAATATTTTTAAAGCATATTTATGAAAACTTGAGACGGGAAGGAGAGTCAGTGCTGTTAGATAATCATTATCCGGGGACATAAATTTATTGGAAATACCCCTTTTTTCTTGAAGATTCTTTTACCCATCCTCTTGTAAAATCATTCCCCGAAACCACCTTTCTGGGAAAATATTTATTATCCGTTCAATNCCCGGAATAGGATAAAAGGGTTCTTTAGTTGACGATAGAAAGTACTGAGAAGAAAAAGGGGGAGGGGGGAATTATCAATTGCAATTTTTAATTAATCCCCCCCGCATTTAAGTATATTAATATGAAAAATAAATTGGTTAAATCAAACAATATCTTTGCATCAAGGTGTTTCTTTCACTTTTGTTCCATATCAATCATATCAAAAAAACGGATTCCACTTATTAAAATCTATTCATGTTTAATTTGTTATTATTACTAAAGAAGAATTGCCTAAATTGCTTTTTTTTCTCGTAAATTTCTATTTTGAAAATTAATCAAGTTTATTCTTTATGGATTCGAAAAGACTTAAATATGGTGGTAAAGAAATACCCCTCCCCCCACTCCTTCGTCAGGTTCACAGTTTCCCCTCCTTAACAATAACAATCTTATTTCTGATGCAATCTTGGGAATCGTATTTTTGAATTTTGCATTTTACGAAAAATTTGCAGCTTAACCCGACAACTCAAACTCAGGGAATCATATGATTAGGAATCCCAACATGTTTGGAAATTTCAAATATATTCAAATTTTTTAATCGTTGTGTGAAATTGATTATCTTTGGGTGTCCCTAAAAAATGAGTATTAGAAATTTAATACTAAATTTTGCAATATTTAAATTACCAAATTAACTCCCTGAAATTTAAACCCATGGTTCAAAATTATCCCATATCATCAAAAAGCATTCATAGGCAAGATATTTCTTAAGCTTATATAACCATGCTCTGTTATTTACACTTACACCCTGAAACTGCAGTACTATTGAGCCTTGTAAACAAGGAGACGGGTTTCTAGTAAATTAATGACGGTGTTGATTTTTTAAAGATATGTTTTAAAGTGCATCAAAATAAAATGGATCCTAATGGATGTCAATTTATCAAGCAAATTCAGATTTAGTTTACCTGGTCCAAATCATCGTTCATTTTAAACACGAAATCACCCAAGGCCCGGGAAAGTGCTAGATTTCCGTTAACTCGGTTAAATTCCACAAATCCACCCGCTTCCGTTATCCTCTGCTTTTCCGCCGGATCATTTGGTTTATGGTCGGTCGACAGGGCAACCGCCGTTCCGCCGACACCGGCAATACACCGAGAATCCCCGGCATTTCCACAATACAAGACACCATCTTTAATAAGTACTACGTTGGAAGTACACCCTGCCATTTCGTTCATGAGATCGGGCGAGGCCTTCATGTTTCTATCATTTTCAAGAAAGCCCTCTTTAATTGCTGTCGAAATATCGCCGGTTTTATACTCCGGTCTGTTCACTATGATCCTGTGTAGGTGAATAGAAGCGTATTTAGCTATTTTAGCTCCACCATGACCGTCAAATACTGCGTAATATGACGCTTTAGGGTCTTCAGGAGAGAGTTCAAGAATGTGTTGATGGGCGTCTTCCATGGATACCCTCCATCCCTGCATGGAACTCGAAGCTACCATTACCTGAAAAAAGGCATCCCTTGAACCATACAATTACTAAGTTGGAAATGACATTACAGAAGAATTATATGTACAAAAAATCTAAGGTCTGGTTAAAACCAAAGAAGATTTTAGCATTAAATTGAGTGCAAACCACTTTTGATGCTTATCGAAGACCTATAAATGAATTTATGTAACACCCTTGCAATTATATCAGTGTTTTGATTCAATTTAACGCTAAAACGGCTGAACCGAATGGCACACAATTTTAGCGGGGGATTTGTCAATTCCCATTAACTTTAATAAAATCGGTCATACTTCAAAAATGTCAAATGATAAAATCACGCATTAGATGTTTTATAACTATTGATAATAACGAAGAGAATATCCGGCCTGACATACTAGAAAAAGTATGTTTATGTAAAAAACAAACAAATAAAAACTTATCAGAACTGACGCGCCGAATTCATTAAGACAGATTACGTTCGAATGAAAACATGAAAACCGAAATAATTTCACTTTAAAAATGTGGTGAATATTTATTTATCCTACCGAACTATTCTGCAGTGATGTTGTCTCCTTCGTGGTGATAGGTTCAGAAAGTGTATTTCCCATTTTTCTGAACAGATATGTTTCCTCCGTTTTATTCCATGTTTTTAGTTTTAATATTACAACACTGAACACGCCTGCGCACTACGCGGCACTATTCTCTAGATAAAAGGTCGTCTCTGCTCCGCAACTCTCAGAGAACCAATAATATTACGCTGTAGAAAACATGAATGAAATTATTCACGAAATTAAAAAAAGAAAGCTTGGATCCTCTCGGCGTAATTGGAGGATGTTTCTTAAATATAAATTTGAAAAGAGGGGGGTTTACAGGGGGAGGGGGTACATTAAAAGGGTTTGGTTTTTCAGAACAAATGGTTTGCACAAAAATCTCAGAAGTCGAATTATATTATGCCAAATATTACCATTTTTTAACCAAAATGTAAAAATTTGTTTAATCAGACGAATCAGACATATATAAAACCATTTTAACAAACCATATATCCAACAAACTATTGTATTTTTTTTCAAACCAAAAATATTAATCATTGTTATCCATAAATCTTAGACAGCCACATTTTTAACCTTAAACATGAACCATTAATGAACCAAAATTTAGCCAGGCAAAATACTTGAAAAAAAAATTCAAACCATTATTTTTAATCCGAAGGCTTTTAGCTTGTACTTATAGGTATTTGTTAATTAAACACTAAATTGATTTAAAATTGAATTGTGTTTTTGTTCAACCAATTGTTGCAGGTCTGTTAAGAGGAACAAACTTGTCTTGAATTTCTAATATGTAACTCAATAAATTTGCTTTTCGTATTCTTGTACATAAAATATAAATTAGAGGAGCCACGAGGTGACAAGTTTGTACCAGTGATGTTACACAAACCTTCCCTTCTTAGCAGTAATTTAAATATATTAGATACTTAGTTTCTCGTAGTTTTTGTCCAGCATTATATTATTAGAAATTAAACACTTTTAAATTCTAAAATGGTTATATTTTTGAGTAACAATGATAACATTTTCAAAAACAAAAAATTATTGAAATGCTTAAATTTTTGGTCAAAAAAATGCTAGGGGGGTTTGGTCGAAAATGATTATATTTTTGGTTACAAAATGCATGTATAACGTTCACACTTTTTGGGGAAATAGTTGTATTTTTGTTTCAAGAATAGTTATTTATTATAGTTTAAAAAACGGTTAAATTTTTGTTTTAAATATGGTTGCATTTTTTTTTTTAATGGTTTTAGTTTTAGTTCAAAAATGTTATAATTTTGGTCGAAAATGGTTGTATTATTAATAAAAAAAGTTTTACTTTAAGTCTCATAAAAGTTATATTTTTGGTCAGAGGCGTATTTGCAGGGGGCGGGGCAATAAGGGCTAAGCCCCTCCCTTTGGACCAGTGATATCTATGGATTTCATGGGGTTTTCAGGCCCCAACAGGTGCAGAGTGGAAAGAAAAAACGGGTCCCTCCCATCCCCTCTAAGCCGTCACTGTTCATACCAAAAACTAATAAATTTAATTGTTCTGGTTTGTGAATTTATAAATTGATGATTTCCAAATGTTTCAAACACTAATTAATACTTGAGGGTAAAAGTAAACACCCGTAGTTTTTAACCATATGAAAAAAAAATAACTCTTATCCATTGTAAGTTAAATTAAAAGTTTCAAGCTCAGAGCTGGATTAAGTTTTGAACAATTGAGAAACATCAGTTTACACACTTAAAGAGACACAAAAAAATACTTTTGAATTGAGAAGCTTATCTTAATTACACACACACTTAATTACTAGCTAATCCCTACAAATTAAGATCGAATATGCAATGTATATATCTGGACAATAGTCCAGTATTCAAACTACTGAAGAAGAGAAAATAGATTAAGAGAAGTCGGAGTTTATATACACTCACACCGCAACATAAACCCTTTTTTATTACCCCCCCCTACTCTTCCTATGATTTTGCCTTTAGAGATGAGATAGGGGAGTGTGTTAAATATTTTAGCATAAATTAATTCTTGTACCTTAAGATAATAGTTGTACAGATGAAACGCTAAAACTGTGCCATTTCTTATCTGAAAAAAAATATTTTGACTTAATTTCAAATAAATATTCTTTTTAATATTCTATTTAATTTTGCAGTTGTTTATTATATCAATACACGAACTAAATTAAATATGTATTGCATATTCCAAAGGAATTGAGTCTTTGTCACAAAATCTGATTTTCTAATCCATATATCTCTGCAACCTAATGTCGTAGACCATAGATATTTCATTTTATCGAATCTTATTATATTAAATAATCTAATTTTGAAATATCAAAGGTTTACATCATCAGGTTGCGAAGTTATTGTATAGATTTACAAATTAGAGTAAAATTAGATATTAGAATATTTCTATATATACATTTGTTTGTATCCAATAAACGTATGAACGGCTGAACCGATCGGGCTCAATTTTTTTACCACTCACACCCCAGGAAAGGTTTAGACTTGGTCGAAAAATGTTTTAATAGCATAGCACCAATTTAAACAAAAATTTTTCACAATTTTTGCTTATTTATAAATTACGATGAAAAATGGCGAATTAAACAGCAACAGATTAAAGCTATACAATTGTTAATAGAAAAGAGACACAAAGCGCAATGTAAACCAACTATTACTATAATGTAGAACTATGGTATTAAAATTTTGAATCGTATCTATTAATAGGCCGAAAAATTGGAAATGTTTAATGATTAATACACGACTTCACACACTTTTCACCCTTTAGTAAAAGTAATTTCAACCTAAGTCTGACCGCGTCAACCTTGTTGCACCGGCTAGTCCTATTGAGTGTCTGCTCTATTTACCCAATGTCCGGGTGATCTACAGTACAAACTGGGATCGGAAAGGTTGACCCGGCTGGAAAATTCAAATGTAATACGACTGCCCGTGACTTTAAAAACCTCACGGTTAAATTATGATCCAGGGTTGCACCCACAAAGAGACTTCAGAGACGATTGCAAGGAATATATACTATCTGTCTTTAAATTCATGGTTTTCTCTCTTTTCAAAATCATTGGATATGTCATATAAAAACCACATGCAAGACAGAAAATTTATTTTAAACTTGGGATCGTCATATTTGACGAGTTTTAGTCGTCTTTACAGTCTCATCCTTTGTTGGTAATCTGTATGTCTATATCTTTTTGAAGTTTATATGAGCCTCCATAAGATTGTTCTATATCATACTTCCGTATTCATATCTTTCTAACTCACAACGTTATCCTTTAAACCATTGTCTGCTATTGTTCTATTCCTTTATTTACAACCGGGCTTGTTGTCTTTTGTGTTTCTATTATCCTGTCTCTTCTATTTATATTTATATTCTGTTTATTATATTCTATTTAGATCCTGTCTGTTCTATTCTATTTAGATCCTATCCGTTTTATTCTATTTAGATCCTATCTGTTCTATTCTATTTAGATCCTATCTGTTCTATTTTATTTAGATCCTATCTGTTCTATTCTAATTAGATCCTATCTGTTCTATTATATTTAGATCCCATCTGTTCTATTTCTATTTCTATTCTGTTTATTCTATTCTATTTAGATCATATCTGTTCTATTATATTTAGATCCTGTCTGTTCTATTCAGATCCTGTCTGTTCTTTTCTATTTATATTTTGTATATTCTATTCTATTTAGATCCTATCTGTTCTATTCTATTTAGATCCAATCTGTTCTATTCTATTTAGATCCTGTCTGTTCTATTCTATTTAGATACTGTCTGTTCTATTCTATTTAGATCATATCTGTTCTATTCTATTTATTCTATTCTATTTAGATCCTATCTGTTCTATTCAGATGCCATCTGTTCTATTCTATTTAGATCCCATCTGTTCTATTATATTTAGATCCCATCTATTCTATTTAGATCCTGTCTGTTCTATTCTATTTATATTCTGTTTATTCTATTCTATTTAGATCCTGTCTGTTCTATTCTGTTTAGATCCCATCTGTTCTATTCTTTTTAGATCCCATCTGTTCTATTCTATTTAGATCCCATCTGTTCTATTCTATTTAGATCCTGTCTGTTCTATTCTATTTATATTATTCTATTTAGATCCTGTCTGTTCTATTCTATTTATATTCTGTTTATTCTATTCTATTTAGATCATGTCTGTTCTATTCTATTTAGATCCTATCTGTTCTATTCTTTTTTAGATCCCATCTGTTCTATTATACATAGATCCCGTCTGTTCTATTTCTATTTTACTTCCGTATAGTTCCTGCCTAAATACTTCTGTCTAGTTTCTTCCAAGATACTTCTGTCCAGTTCCTTCCTAGATACTTATGTTTAGTTCCTCGCTTTATACTTCTGTCCAGTTCCTATCTAGATCCTAATGTCAAGTTCCTGTCTAGTTCTTGCCTATATCCTTCGGTCTAGTTTCTGTCCAAAACATCATTCATTTTCCGTCAGTATTCAAGTTCTCTAAATTACAGATCAAATATTTGACGCGTACATTTAAATAACTTTTCTCCATGGAAATTTGAAAATTTCACTATATAAAATAAAACGATATCAAATAATTCACAAAACCACTAGAAAACAAGGTTTTATTTACTATCACATGTCTGACTTCATACTTGATGTAAAATATCTTAATATTCTGACAAATGCAAAAGTCAACACATTTGACAGAATTATAAATATTTCTACAGCAAAATCTCTGGCAGTTTTCTCATATTACATGTAAATTTTAACTTAGAGTTATAGTAAAACATCAAATAGGTCTGAAGTGGAAGAACTTTCTCCAGGTTGTGCCTTCATTGACTCCCGCTGAGATTGTGTTATAGCAGCTCGTAAATCTCTTTCGAAGAGATCATCTTCATCCACGAGTTCAGGTTTAGGTTTCTCTGGTTTAGCCCTCGGAGACTTTCTAGGTTCTCCTGGGGACCCAGAGCTTTGAGTAGGAGCAGAATCTTCGTTCGGAGCAGACTTCTTGAGTTTAGCATGAGTTTCAGATCTGTGTGCAATCATCTCTATCCGGGTCTTAAACGGTTTTCTGCAGACCGTGCAGGGATACATAGTTCCTCTATAGGTGGATCTATCGCCTAGACCCGGAGTAGATCTAGACCCTGTACCTAGAGCTGAGACTTGTCCAACCTTGACAAGGGTTGAAGGAAGAGGTACGGGAAAAGCAGCTGGAGATGTTTTAGAGAAAACTCTTCCGTCAGGTTTGCGTTGGTTTACGCTTGAAGATCTGGGGTTAAATAAACCAGAGACAAGATCATTCTTATTCGTGAAAACTATCTTCTCGCTCAATCCACGGTTAATCTGAGTCTGACTCAATTGCGTGCTTGAACATTTACGGAAAAGGCAAGATTTTTTTATAATCCCAGGACCTCCGAACTTCTTCATGTCGGCACAGTTTCCACATTTGCCACAGTTAGGTCGCTTGCACCCATCACAGGAACCACATTTAGTTAGCTTCGTGGGTCTAGAGGCTCGTTTTACATTAGGTTGGATAGAAATCGAATAACCTGAAACAAAAATACAAAAACTCATGTCATTCAATTGTATATCTGTTCAATATAATATAACAGCAAATTCTAAAAAAAAACATAATTCTCCTTTAGTCTGTATTCATTACTTTCATTCATTACTTGAATTACTATTATGGTGTAAGAAGTGATTGTAAAAACTGTTTAGAATATGAAATAAAATTTTTGCAAATGAATTTTTTCCTTTATCGTTGTTTTTGTCAGTGGTAAGGATCCGGATCCGTTGGATCCGCAAGATTTTGGCTTCCTGGATCTGAATCCGGATCCGCAAAAATATGCAGATCCACGGATCCGGATCCAAGGGGTAAAATTTCGACCAAAAACTGCAAAAAAAAACTTTTTTATCTCTAAAATCAAAATCTGAACTTTTGAAAATAAGAGAGATAATAAAAATTTCTTGGTTCATAAAGTTTTAGGATCACAATATGCGAAAAAAATAAACAAAAATTTGAAAATTATTTTTTGTTAAACATATCAGTAAATCTTAAAGAAATGACCTGGATCCGGATCCATTTTTTTCCAATGCGGATCTAGCATCCGGATCCGCATTAAAATTAAATGGATCTTAAGCGCTGGTTTTCGTTTATTTATTTACCTTGTTTAGTTCTGACCCTGATAGGTATTCTGATCTTGCTTCCAAGTGGTCTAGGTACTGCAGGAGCTGGTAGAACACAACCAGGACACTTCTCCTCCGGACAGTTTAAACACATCACGTGTACTCTATCCTCAGAGAAGTACTCAATAACCTTGTGTCTGGAGGCCAGGAGAGAGAGGAAAATATCATGAAACGGAAGTTTAAGAAAGTTTTCGTACTTTGTTACCCAGGCCTTGGTTCGTTGCGCTCCAGCTCCCTTGGATTGACGGCAAGCGCGTATCTTTCTCTCCAAATAGAGAGCAACCTTGAGCGGTTCCTTGCAGAGGTTCTCGTAGGACTTGACATTGCTGCACATGGAGATCTTGCTTTGCATACAGAGATTGTTGAAGAATGAATTATCATTGTTTTCCTTCCAAGCAATAGTGTGATAATACTCTAGACCCTCCTGAAATATGTTAAGTTAAGAATCCAACATTTCATCACATATTTAACTAATTTTACGTCCTAAAAATCTCCTTCAATGGACATTCTAAAATGTGGTCTGTCTTCTCAGAACTATTAGGACACCCAACTACTTGGAACAATATTATTCTATTTTCATCCTGAAAATATATCTACAGTTGTCGTCGTATATATCAATACAAAGATGACGACTATATATTTTAATTTTGATTTCTACCAAGCGTTCAAACAGCAGTGAAACATAAACATGTAAACAATTAAAAGTTGACATTAACAGCTTCTCTTTGTTTACATGTAAACTTGTAATTTGAAATTAAAAATCGAAGTACCTGAATAGATATAGGATGATGTTGGAGCCCACCATCCTGTAGTTCACCTCGAGCTAGATACTTGAGCCCCGCCACACGGCTAGACTCTACAAAGGAATCCTCCGCCGCCGTGCACTTAATGACAGCGATGTAGTGCGGCGGGACCCGGTTTATATTCTCCTTTAGAACCTGGAGGTCATCATCATCTTCATCATTCTTTTCATCAGTGTTTAACATCCTCTGACCCTTGCTCCTCGTAGAGTTAGACTTATCGATCAACTAAACAATAAAGACAATTTATTTATTCATTTATTTATTCATTTATTTATTTATTTAAAGCAGACTTGCTGGGTTATTCTGGCCCCAGACAAGTCACACCCATCAGTATTTCAACCTGAACGATTGCTTATGATTGATTGATTGATTATGTACCACTTAAATCAAGTGTAAATCCATTCCACTCCATGAAGCAGTGCTTAGGATCCATTTAATTTTGATCCGGATCCGGATCCTGGATCCGCTTTTCAAAAAAATGGATCCGGATCCGGATCCAGGTCATTGACCAAAAAAAAAATTTTATTTTAGTTCAAATGTCTTTTCATACCTAAAAAAATGTTAAACATTTTAACATTTTTTATACTATTTTTCTATTAGTTTGCACAAAATGATAATGCTTTTTTTACTTTATTGGATGAAAAAAAAAAAACAGGTCTAATTCATATTAGCTTTTAGTAGAAGGAGGGCGTTTGGAATATCTGCCTTCAGGCAACTCCTTAGGTCTGATTTGAATATCTTCAGGGCAGAGAACAGTCTCTTTATACTGGGAACACAAGATGTTCCTTAGCATCTGTATCTTTTTAGCATATGTGCGCCCCATCCCTTTCCCCCCTCACTCTTACACATCCTTACACCTTAATTTGTGAAGACTAAATTTGCTTAGTTGCAATGGGGAAAAGGGAGACTTCTCCCCCCCCTCTCTAGTTATTAAAGGGGGTGGGGGGAGGGGTGCACGGTGGAGGTTTGAGTTAAGATTTGAGCAAGATAGAAACCTGAGACCCTGAGAACATTTTTAAAATCTGTTAAACAATTCAAAATAGGATATTTTTAAGGAAAATTAACGCTGTTTTGCACATTTTGAAAAATAAAATTGTGCTTGGATCCGGATCCGTGGACCCGCATTTTTTTGCGGATCCGGATCCAAAGAGCCAAAATAATGCGGATCCAGCGGATCCGGATCCGGATCCTAAGCACTGCCATGAAGGATTGAAATGTTTAAAATATTTGATTGGGGATTTTTAAATTACTTCTTTCTAAAATATTATTTGACCATTTTGGACACGCAGTGGAAATGTAAGAAAAACCAAGGTTTCTTGTTGAAACAATACGGTTATTTTAAGTAATAGTATCGGATCATACTGGCTTTGACAGTTGTGTTTCTAATTCCAAATCGGAATATCAAGTGCTTCTACAAATAAGAAAACAAACTCTTCTTATTATTATTATTATCATTATTATTAATACAGGGTGGCCAATAAACAATATTTCTTAAAAAGCAATAAAAAAAGGACATTAGCTCCGCACTGTGCTTATATCAATTTGCATTAAGATTCCTAGTGAACGTAAATAGTAAATCTAAACTAATCAAATTACCTTACAATCCTTCTCCATGATATGCCTGCCGTAGGTTTGGTTTAATCTAAACACTGTGTAGCAGAGAGGACAGGTATATTTTCCTTAACAAAACTATAAACTTAACAAACGTCCGTCTAGTCTGAAAAAAGGAATTCTTTTACTAGTTTCTTTAAATTAAGGAAAATAAAATATTTTCGCCATCTTTTTTAATCTTAATTTTTGACAGACGGAGTTCAGAGAAGATTTACCAATTGTCTTAAGAAAAACTTTTGTTGGGAATATTTTGGTTGTACTTTTACCCCATAGATCCAAATCTGGTATCAGACAGCAAACTTTATTTTACCCCACAGATCCAAATCTGGTATCAGACAGCAAACTTTATTTTACCCCATAGATCCAAATCTGGTATCAGACAGCAAACTTTATTTTACCCCATAAAATCTGGTATCAGACAGCAAACTTTATTTTACCCCATAGATCCAAATCTGGTATCAGACAGCAAACTTTATTTAGAGGAAAATAGGGATCACCTAATTCTTTAGAAATTTAAATATATATAAAATATATATAATAAGAATGCTTTAGTTTTTAGTTTTCCTGGTTTGCATAAAATACTGTAGTTGTCAGGTTTCTCCGGAGAAGACATAGGAACTGCGCGGCCCGGAGACGGTTTCTCCGGAGATTTTCTCCTTGGAGTAATGCTCTTAGAGGAAGAAGATGACTTAGAAGGAGAACTGGGAGGTTGAATCTAGAAATAGTTGTTCATCAACCATTATCAAATAGAAAAATTGAACTTCAATGCAAAAATGTTAAATCTTAAAATTAAATCACTCAAAGAAGACTGTTGGGGCCGTCCTATTTCCAAGCTCCAGACTTGAGATTACCGTACTAAAAAATCAATTTTAAAGTTAGGTTTTATTTTGAATCCCATCACTACGGACATCTTACATTGATGTATTAAAAAATTTTGATGTATAATTAATGATTATATTTATGGGTAGCTTGGGAACCCAGCGGAGACCGTGAAATTAAGTTTTCCAATAAGAATAAGTTTAAATCTGAAAGGGAACCCAAAGTGGAACCCCCAGACTGCCTTCACTGCACTTAACACCCCCCGTGCAGATAGCGGTCTGGAGTCCAAACCGGAAGGGTGCACAAATTTTAACGCTCGTGCCCTCGTGGTTCATTCAGATGGCTGGCTGTCAAAATGATTAATTGTGCACCCAACAGCTACCTATAAAAGTCAACACACTTAACTTAAGAGTTTTTAACCAAGCTTCCTGTAGTTCCATCGTTTTCCCCAATAATTTAAGGCAAATCGGTCAAGGGGTTCCTGAGTTATAATCGGAACATAACAAACCAACCAACAGTGATTACTACTTTATATAGATTACGGAAACAAAGTCTAATGGTACCTTGCTGTTTCTTCTCGATGATCGGACAAACTTTGTTATATCATTTGTATTTATAGCAACTGGGTGGGGTTCACTCTTAGATTTCTTCTCCTGCTTCTGAATATACTTCATCACGGCCTGCTTGGAGAAGAACTTGACCCCCTCGGGGGAAATGAAGGTGATGTTGGTCGTGAGCTTCCCCTGTAGGTTTCGCAAGGACGTCATCACAGATTTCCAGTTGGCCGGCAGCCAGGGGACATTCTTCAGCTTCAAGCAGCTCACACCTCCCGAGCTCTGGCCACCGGAGGATACAGGGCTACCAGAGCTTGGAGTAGATGAAGATATTGGGCTCCCCGGAATCAAATGAACGTCCTAGAATTATTTAAATTTTATCATGTCAGTCAAACGTTTCGAAGAAAGTTTTAAATTAAAAAAGTAAGATAATAAACCCTAAACATGACCAAACCCTAAGAATTGATAATGCGAATAGTGTAAAAAAGTATAAAATGCTTCACGCATTATTTATGATTATGTTTAAAACTAGATTGGGAACCCGACGCTGCCCAGGTTACTCATAGTTACTCTCCCGTTTACCCGCACTTGGTCTTATATCATGATTTGTGCTATTTTTCCCAATACATAAATAAATAAAAAAGTTGATCCACTCAATCAGTTCTTAGAATCCGGATCCGGATCCGTTGGATCCGCAACATTTTGGCTTCCTGGATCCGGATCCGAAAAAATATGCGGATCCACGGATCCGGATCCAAGGGGTAAAATATCAACCAAAAACTGAAAAAAAAACCTTTTTACTCATAAAACCAAAATGTGAACTTTTGAAAAAAAAGAGAAATTATGAAAATTTCCTCAATTCTGAATGGCTCATCAAGTTTTAGGATAAAAATAAGCGAAAAAAATAAAATTGGATCCCGATGCAATTCTTTCCATCAAAATTAAATGGATCCTAAGCACTGCACTCAACTTAGAAAAATAAAACCAAGCCAAGAACATTCCTGTGGTTCTCCCCAGGTATCCAAGAGTTATGATCGGACATACAAACAGACAAACAAAAACGCTTATTTATATATATGTATAGGTGTTATCATAAAACCACTGTTCGTTTTTTGTAAATCGATTTAATGAAAAATCTACCTTTTCCTTTGTTAGTGTAATCCGTTGACTGGATACGTTTTCCTTTGTTAGTGGGATCCGTTGACTGGATACATTTTCTCTGATTGGAGTTATAGTAACAGAGGTAGAACCGGATATCCTAGATATAGTCTCAGATAGTGAACTCAATATTGGAGAAGTTTTCGTAGATGATGCTATACTTGGAGAACTAGTTCCTACCAGTTCCTCAGCATAGAGTTGGGTCGGAGAATCTCCAAGAATTTTCCTCAGTTCGTATTTCCCCTTTCTCTTCCTACCGGAGCGTCTCAACCCATTGCTGGGTTCCGGTTCCGAGGGTTTTTTAATCTCCGTACTGCTGGGTTTAAACAGCTGTCGAGGCTGCTCCGATGTTCTGGAAATTGAGATGGAAGAATTGCTAAATCTCAGAGGAAATTTGGAAAAATCATATTCTAGACTTCCGGAAATACTTTTAGGGATAGGCGATATCTCCGCAGTGGGTTTAGCCAGGGCTTTTATGTAAACGTCAAATTCTTTTGGTAAACGGTACTCAAGGCTGGTTCGGAACAATGGATCTAATTTGGGCCAAACAAAGAGTTTCTTAATCTTCGCAGGTTTAGGTCTCAATTCCAGAGGATCTCCTAACGGGTCCATCTCGAATGTATCAGGGTAGTCCATAAACAGAGGTTCCACCCAATCATCTTCCGTCTCGGTTTTGATAATAACCGGCTCAGCCGCCGACATGTTCCTGGTTCGAACCGAGTTCTCCGCCAGGCTGAACACACTACCCAGAGAAATACCGAACCCAAAGGTTTCCTTAGCAGGAGCGGACTTTCTTTTTTTCGAGGGTTTTGCATCAAAATCATTTTCATCGTTCGGTTCGATCTTAATCTTCACAGCTAGGTCCTTCTTCTTTACAACTTCTTCTTCGCTCTCTAGGTCCTCCTGAGCACCTGGAGAATAATCATCATCCTCATCCATCTCCATGCTGACCTGAGGACCCTTCCTTCTCTCAGAGGTGTATAGGAACGGAGACTCGGGATCCATGTCGTAAATTTGACTGAAAGTGTGAGGTTTGGCTCTGCGGTTCAAGGTTACTCTTCTATGTGGGGGTCCTGAGACTGGATCTGCATCTAAGGAAGAGGAAGGTCTGGATGTATTTCCATGATTAATAGATCCGAAATTCGGTGAACAGGTTTGAAATTGAGTTCCTTCGCCAGAATTTCGTCTAGAACTATTGGAGGAACACTGCTCGCTTTCACTAGATTTAACACTTCTTTTGGAACCGTTCCCTCGGGATTTCTTTTTAGAAAGTCTCTTTGCAACGGGTGTGTTCTTTATTTTTTTTGGTAACACTGACTGTTGTTTAGGTCTAAGTCCTAAAGCTGGAAGAATATCGTTTAAATCTTGAGTATCTCGAGTTTCCTGAGTGTTCTCAATATCATTTTCATTTTCATTTTCATTTTCACAAATCGATTTTGCTTTCACTGTATGAGAATTGTCATCTGCAACAAGACGACAAGGAATTTTTATTTTTCGTTCTGAAGGTTTTCTTCTGGTTAATACAGGTTCAGGGATTAAGGATGGTTTCTCTTCTAGCTTCTCAGACGCTTTTTCTTCCTCCTTCGGTTCCTCTTCATCCATCTCGGTGTCTCCTTCCTCTGAAGAACTAGGAGATTCACTGTCAGAGTATTCCTGTATACCGGAGAAATAAAAATATTTTGGACAATCCTTATCATCTTTTCCATCCTCGTTATCCGATACTAAATCAGGGTCCCTGAGAGTATTGAATAAGATTGGTCCATGCTCCTTGATGTATTCCCGTTCTTTCTCCGCTTCCAAGTCCTTTATTCGTTTAATTGCACTTCTAGGACCTATCAGAGGTTTTGTTCTGTGTGGTAGTGGAATGCTTTTCAGTGTAGGGTTCATGGTGGCATTTGGAGTATTTTTCTTCGTAAGATCATCTTTCAGGTTTTTGTCTTCTTCTTTCTCCAAAGTAGTTTTAGGATTGTCCGTGACTTCTATCAGATTATTTTCTTCATGTTGGTTCTTTTCTTTCTCTTGATCTTGATCATAACCTTGATTAAAATCTTGGTCTTGAACCTGGCCAGGATTTAGATCAAGATTATGATCTTGGCTCTCAATCAGATCTTTATCTTGATTTTGGCCCTGAATCCGATTAAAGTCTAGTTCTAGGTCCTGATACTCGGCCTGACTCAGATTATCATCCTGCTCTTGACCTTGGTCCAGATCAAGGTTATTGTCTTGGTCCTGACACAGATCCTGAACTTGGTCTTGAGACTTATCTTTATCTTGGAATTCATTCGGGGGCTGATCCTCAGCTTGCTCGTGGTAATCGTCCTTTTTCGTGTCTTGACCCTCGTCCTTGCCCTGGTCCTTTTCCTTTTCCTTGTCCTTGTCCTTGTCCTTGTCCTTGTCCTTGTCCTTGTCCTTATCCTGATCCTCCTGGTCCGCCCAAACACAGAAAAGAAGAGACATATTTAGTATTTCATCTGAAAAGTAGAATAAAAGGATTAAGGATTGAGGAGCTATCACAGATAAAAAATCTAGGTACAAATAAATTGAGTTTTTATATCTAGTTTAAATGAGCTAGGTGAAAACTAGTTTCTTGATTGTTGGATTAAACTCTGTATCAATCATTTTCCGTTTGTTGGGACGCTCCTGTTCTCTCTTTGCAATAGTTGAGGGTAGAGGGAGAGATTCTCCGCTAGACGGAGCTGGTTTATTAGAGAAGTAGGGTGTTCTCAGGGCAGCACTACTATCACACCTCTGCAGAGAGAAAATATTAAAATAAATCTATGAGTAAGAATGAAAGAGTAAGGCTGATGAAGGCTAGCTAAGTAAGGACGAGATAAGGATGATATATGCTGACTGCTAAGAGTATGGATGAGATTTGCTGGGTAAAGTAAAGTAAAAAGAAAAGAGGAGTAAGGGTAAGTACGAATGAGACAGGCTTAGAGGAAATGAGCAAAATTTATAAGAATAAGANCCCCCAATAATATGAGAAAGACTAGTATTGTTTAATAATGGAGAGAAGGAGTTTCAAAAATAATTTTGAAGAAATGATTCAATATAAAGAGTACTAATCGAAATTGTATACAGAGTTATACAGGGTTACCCACACAAGGATGAGACTTTAGACGACTGTATGGAATTCATACTGTCTGTTTCTTTTATATTCACAATTCCCTGCAACTGTAAACGTGTTTGTTTCTTTGCCAAATCATTAAATAAGCCATGAGATATATATATCTAGGGCAGAATACAAAATTTAACCATGGGATCGTCACATTTAAAGAGTTTCCGAACGTCTTTACAGTTTCATCGTTTATGAGTAACCCTGGGCATGGAAGGCTCTATGCAAGGATAAACATGACCTTGAGAGGGCAGAGAGCTAGAAGCTGTCCCATGAGCTGAAGAAGATCATCTCCTGCTGCTGTGAATATATCCTGGAGCGGGGTACCAGGATGATGTTTGAACTGGATAAAGTCAGGTAGAGCCTTTAGTCCAGGCCAACTCTCCTCCGTAGGGGTTCCCAGGGCCTAATTTAAAAAAAATTTATTTTAATATTTTCTAATTTAAGTGAAAGTGGACAACTGAGAATCAACACTACATGAACTTAAAAAGTACATAGTTCAAATAAAATAAAATAAAATCAAATCAAATCAAATCAAATCAAATCAAATCGAATCGAATCACATCGAATCAAATCAAACCAAACCAAACCAAACCAAACCAAACCAAATCAAATCAAATTAAATTAAATCAAATCTAAATGTGAAAGGGAACCCAAAGTGGAACCTCAGACTACCTTTTATGTAAAAAAGATTTACCTGGAATATTTTCGCTAATTGATCTAGATCAGTTTCTCCAGCTAGGAATGGTATACGGAGAAGTAACTCTGCCAGTATACAACCAACAGCCCAGATATCAACACCTAGTTTAATCATTCAGATACAAACTTAGCCTTGATCTTTCGGTAAAATTTCTTCAGTTTAAATATTTAAAATATTTTTTCTATTTCTTCGCTTTTTTAATCTGTTTGTCTTCTAAGTTATTTAAAAATTCCAAAATATTATGTTAATAATTTTTTTCTTCTCAATTTCTTTAAATTAATTTTTATCCAATTTCCCCCACATTTCTAACCAGTTTGTTAGAGCTTAGAATTCACTGTATCTTCACTGTATTGGGATCCGCATACATATTCGGCAAAATAAAAATACTTATGCTTTCAAATGTCAATCTTAAAAGCAGACTAATGAAATATTATTGCATAAATAACAGCATAAAAAACTTAACATGGCATAATTATCTTTAAATTTACCGGTTCCGTAGTTTTTAGCTCCAAAGAGTAATTCAGGAGCTCTGTACCACCGGGTTACAACAACGTGAGTATACTGTCGGTTTGGAGATCCAAAATACTTGGCGAGACCGAAATCTCCGAGTTTAAGACAACCCTTGCAATCCACCAGGAGATTGTTTGGTTTCAGATCACGGTGCAGGATCCAGTTAGCATGAAGATATTCAAGACCTAACACAACAAACATAAATCAGCGATACTATTAATGGAAAATTCAAAAAAAAATTATTTTGAAATACTTTTTTTTGATTCTCTGAATGTTTTTTTCAAAATATGTTCTTGCCTTGAAGAGTTTGGAGTATGTAGGACTTGATGTTGGCCGCAGATAATATTATATTCGTGTCCTGTTCAATTTACATTTAACATCAACATTCAATCATTTAAGCATGAGCTAGACTGAACCTGGGGAGCTGACCAGCAGAAGTAGCAGAGAGACCTAGATCATTTGGACAGGGGAAGACTTGCAGGGATGTTGCTTAAAGGTTGTTTCCTAACCACAACCCCCCAAGAAATTTATTTGATCCAGAGCTTAAAAATTTGAATGACCATTTGACAGTTGAATTTGAATTTAAAACAATTATCTCAAACTTGTCAAAAATTTGGTAATTTGGCAATTATGAGTGATCAATGATCATTAAATCTTATGAATCAAATTCATATGTTTCAATTTGCCTAGGGTGTTAGTCAGTGCTATTAAACCCATTTTATTTAAAAGTTATGAGGAATATTGTAAATCCTATTTGAAGAATAGAAATTTTCACATAAAAACTGAAGAACTGAGAGAAAATATGCTGATTGTTTGATTGATGCTAGTTTCCTTAATTATAACTTCCAGATCAGTGTCCATAAAGTCCATGACAATGGACACATTGGACTTGTGTCCGAAGACGTCCACCAGCTCAATTATGTTTTTGTGATGAACTTCTTGCAGTAATTTGATTTCTCTAAATAAAAATATTTGAAACTAAAAACAAATTAAATAAAAGATGAAAATAAATTTGTAATGAAAAAAAGCGCGGGTTGAGACAAGATAATTTGAAATAAGATAGAAAACTGATTGAAAAATAAGACAGGATGGGTTGAGAAAAGATAGAGAACTTAACAAATAAGACAAGATGGGTTGAGATAAGATTAAAAACTGATTGAATAAGACAGAATGTGTCGAGATAAGATAAAGAATTAATTTAGTAAAATTGTAAAGGTTAATATAACATATAACAAATAGAATAAGATTGGGTGGGTTGAGTTAAGATAGAACTGATTCAATAGGATTGGGTTGGTTGAAATAAGACATAACTGGTTGAATAAGACAGAATGGATTGAGATAAGATAGAGAAATAAGTTTGGGTGGGTTAAAATAAGATATAACTGGTTAATAAAGACAGAATGGGTTGAGATAAGAAAGAGAAAATAAGTTTGGGCGCTTTAAACTAAGATTGAACTTGTTGAATAAGACAGGATGGGTGGAGATAAGACAACTACAGTGCTTATCAGAAAGACCCGGAATTAATTTACAATGTGGTCTGCCTTTCTTGAGCATTTAAAATTGTCAGAGATATACATGTAAACTCGCCTGTAACTGTAAACTGTCAATTAATTCCGGGTCTATCTGATAATGACTGTAGTTAAATAAGACAGAATGGGTTAAGATAAGATAAAATTGCTTGAATAAGACAGAATGGGTTCAGATAAGATAAAATTGCTTAAATAAGACAGGATGGGTTGAAATAAGATAAAATTGCTTGAATAAGACAGGATGGGGTGAGATAAGATAAAATTGCTTGAATAAGACAGAATGGGTTAAGATAAGATAAAATTGCTTGAATAAGACAGGATGGGGTGAGATAAGATAAAATTGCTTGAATAAGACAAAATGGGTTCAGATAAGATAAAATTGCTTAAATAAGACAGGACGGGGTGAGATAAGATAAAATTGCTTGAATAAGACAGGATGAGTTGAGATAAGATAAAATTGCTTAAATCAGACAGAATGGGCTGAGATAAGATATAATTGCTTAAATCAGACAAGATGGGTTGAGATAAGATAAAATTGCTTGAATAAGACAGAATGGGTTGAGATAAGATAAAATTGCTTGAATAAGACAGAATGGGTTGAGAAAGGACAAAGAGAGACCTAAGAGCAGTTCTGTTGATTCCATCTTTAGCCTCAGCTCTTGATCCTAATTTAATCTTTTTTACCGCAACTATCCTGAAATAAAAAAAAATTTAAAAAATATAAAAAAATTAAAAAAAAATAAAAAAAAACTATCCTTAAACAAAATGTTTAAATTTATTTATTCAAAAAAAATCAATCAATCATCCATGGAAAAATAGACTCCATTAAAAAGTTGCACGTGTTATTCATTTAAAGGGAGTGTTCCCGAAAAATTGAAGGGAGTATAGGCTTACGGCGAAAAATAAGCGCTTTTGATCGCTACTAATCTTACTTCTTTCTGTTGCGTCTATAAGGATAAAACTGTTAAAAACTACTCATATACACAAATCATTCAAATATGACACACAATAGTCATCGATTATTTTTCGACGAATTCGTGAATAGTTAATTTTTCACAATATTTTTGATTTAAAAAAAAAATAATATTCCGCTAGCGCTGAATTTTCGAACATTCCTAAAAAAAATAAGAAAATTTAGTATTCATAATCCTCAATTCGAAAATCGTCAAATTTCAAATAGAAATATTACAATGATAACTCTGATATTTTTTCTTAGACAAACATCTAATGGTGCCGTTGTCAACATAACATGTGATTTTTGAAATGTAAGGTTACTTAAAATTACGAAGACAGATCTTTTTAGAAAAGCTGCAATACAATTATCAGCATTACAATACATTACATTACAATGTGATATTTCAAGAAATATACGATACCTGCCATCGTTCTCCTTATCCCTAGCTTTGTAAACAGTAGCAAACTGTCCTTCCCCTAGGAAATCTATTTTCTCATATCTTCTCAGTTTCTCTTCAATACTAGACATTTTCTACCAGAAGTTCATCTGAAATATACTTCACGTTAAGCTTTACACTATGATAGCAAATCTGAATCCGTCCTAGAAAAAATGGATCAGTTTCCAGGGCATGAACATTTCAAGAATTTTTAAATTTCTTTCTCCTTTTTCCGATTATTTTTATACTAAACTATATGAATCCGGGACCCCCCTCACTTCAATTTTGAACATGCATCTCGATATGTAACACATGTCTATAATTGGTCATGTGGCCACAGCGCCCGGTCCGCTAGCCTAACCTAGCCACGGGCTCGGCCCCCTAACCTGTCCTATCCGCGACACTCGGCCCCCTAGCATGTCATGGCCGATGCGCTATCTCCTATCTTAACCTAACCTGCTGAAAATTAGTAGGTCATTTACAAAATTGATGGGAGGGGTGGGGGTAGGGTGGTGGTCCAAACCTCGTTTTTTAGGACTGACTCTGGATTTTGAAAGATAACAGTTTTTTGTGCAGTTTTAGTTGAGATTTTACCCATAGGATCAAAATCCGTTGATCCACTTTTTGGCGGATCCGGATCCAGGAAGCCAAAATGTTGCAAATCCATCGGATCCGGATCCTAAGCGCTGATTGGCAATTCTGTCATATTTAGGTACAGATCTAACAAAACCCTTTAATTATTACCAAATTATTTCTAGCTTAGCTTTAATTTTGCTTTATAAACGCTAGGCTTAACACACAACTGTTAAACAAACATTGCCGACTAAACAGACGCTGGCATTCTCACTAATATATTTCTTGAATTTTGGCATATGTGGTCTAACTTTTAAAACCATTGGCAAAAATAGTGTGACCGATATATAAAAATAGTGGGAATGGGGGGAAAGGGGTTAGGTACAATTAGTGAAAATACGCACTGTTTCATCAAATACCTAGATTATTATATCCATCCATATATTCATTAATTCCAGAGTTTTTCAACGTTACTTGTTTGAACATATTGATCGTTTGAACTATTGTTCAATCTAACTACTGATAATGACGTCATGTTCCTGCATTTCAAACAACACTTTATTTACTCATTTGAATTATTAAATATGCAGTTTAAATTTTTTATATTTCATAATATAGGTCAAACAATTTTTCATCAAATGATCAAAAAATATTTCACATGGACATAAAAATAATCCAAATGACCAAATAAAGCTTGAATAGTTGAAATGAGAAAAAAGTATTTTAAATAAGCAAATTAAAATTAAGTTCAAATTGACCAAAGTACATAGGAGCAAAAAAAATAGTTCAAATGATCAGAAAGATATAGTTCAAATGAGCAAAAAAATAGTTCAAATGAGCCAAAAAATATTTCATACAAGCAAAAAATATTTTAAATGAGCAAAAACATATATTTTCAAACGAATCAAAAAAGAAAGTTCAAATGAGCAGCTACTTTTTAGTCCAAAAATCATATTTGAAAATTACCTATTTTTTGGCTCATTTGACCTATTTTTTTGCTCATTTGAACTATGCTTTTTGCTCATATGAACTATGTTTGTTTGCTCATTTGAGCTATTATTTGGCTCATTTGAGCTATTATTTGGCTCATTTGAACTATTATTTTTGGCTCATTTCAACTATTTTTTTAGCATTGGACTATTTTTTGGCTCATTTGAACCATATATTTTTCGGCACAATTGAACTTGTTTTTTAATAGTTTAAATGAGCAAAAAATAGTTCAAATGCGCTGCAGATTGATTTCGCTTGAACTTTTGGTTGTTTGAACTACTAAACGTGGTACCACGTTAACCACGTTCAATAGTTTAAACTAGCCATGTTCAAAAAGTCTATAGTTCGAACGGTAAATAGCAGCCAAGCTTTCAAAGGGTGGCTATTGTGGCCGCCTAACTGTATCTAGAGTATTTACTTCTTTCATGCGTGAATTAATACTTGATCTATAATCCTATCAAGAATTAATACTTGATCTATGGTCCTATCAAGAATTAATACTTGATGTATGGTCCTATCAAGAATTAATACTTGATCTATAATCCTATCAAGAATTAATACTTGATCTATGGTCCTATCAAGAATTAATACTTGATCTATGGTCTATCAACAATTAATACTTGATCTATGGTCCTATCAAGAATTAATACTTGATCTATGGTCCTATCAAGAATTAATACTTGATCTATGGTCCTATCAAGAATTAATACTTGATCTATGGTCCTCCTATCAAGTCAGAACTTGTGTACAGTAGATCTCGGGATCAAGCTTGATCTCCATCTTGTGCAGTACTTAAAATTATTTTAATTTCCCGTGGTGGTCTACCCCTGCAGGGATAACTTTAACTGAGGGGTCCTGTCCTATTGGTCCCGCGTGTTGATCCTCAAATTTAAAAGCATTATCATTTCCCCTTTTTTAGACATTCCTATCAAGAATTAATACTTGATCTATGGTCCTATCAAGAATTAATACTTGATCTTAGGTCCTCCTATCTAGAAGTCGGAACTTTTGTTCAGTAGATCTCGGGACCAAGCTTGATCTCCATCTTGTGCAGTACTAAAAATTATTTTAATTTCCCGTGGTGGTCTACCCCTGCAGGGATAACTTTAATTGAGGGATCCTGTCCTATTGGTCCCACGTGTTGATCCTCAAATTTAAAAGCATTATCATTTCCCCTTTTTTAGACAAACTATTTAAATTTTCCCTTTTTCACTCTTTAAAGGGGACACCCCCCTCTTCCCTCATCCCTCTAGTTTTAAATTCACGGTTTCAAAGTTCTTACTACATAGTTAAAAGATTTATCTAAATTAAAACAGATTATATTAACATAACGTCAGATCTTAGAATTGATGCGAAACTAATTCAAGTTTTATCACATTGATATGGACAATTCACAATCACATGGTGTATATTCTTAGATAAAAGTTACAATTAGCAATAAATAAAGTAATACTTAGATATAATTTGATCATAGAAATTATACGAACTATAAAGCACTGGAAAAAACAGGTCTGAACTAATGAAATGCAGTTGATTTAGGCTTCGTTAGTTAAACTACTTCTCGGTATTTATTAAATGCGACCACAAGTAAACTATTATGCCAAGGACAAGAAAGAAAACCCCATAAATTAATTTTTACTGAAATGAAATATTGTATCTTTTCTTTTCTCAAAATGCCGTGGCTCGTTTTGAACAAAACAGAAAAATAAATAAAAAATTCCATAATTGTTCTTTTATGAAACCATTATCTCCGAATCCGAACTGAAAGATCGCTGACTAAACTATTTAATTTCTGCCTGGTTTTACTATTGCTGTAAGCGACTGTATTGACCAGCGCGACTAGCTGGCTAGCCGTATACTCAGGGTGAGCTTTAACCCAGGTCTCTAGCTCACTTTCAGGTATATAGAAGGCCTTGATGTAAGTGCTCACAAAGTTCTGGAAAGGCAAAGGACGGATATCACAGATTTTTTCCATTTTCAAAACAAATTGTCTGAAATCCAGCTGCATCAGCGCTCGGCCCTCGTTTGTGCATCTTTTAGCCAAGGAGAACCCCTCGACGAAGACCCTGGAGGAATATTTTAGGGAGAGGATCCATAAATCCTTTCTAAGAGAAGGAGACATTGGTACGTGTCCTGATACTTTATCCAACCTTATACTGAAACTCTGAAACCAACAATCATAAAACTATATTTAGCAATAATTCTGATCCATTTAACTTATATACAAGCTTTCATTTAAGACCCCAAAAATGAATTCCCACGCCGCCATTGGACGTAAGTAATCAAAAAGTAATCTTTTGGTTTTGCCTTTAGTGTTTTACTGATCAAACGGATAGAACTGAAAAGGAATAAAATTGTTAGAGACGCCATTAGCTAAATGAAACTAGGTGATATCTTTAAGTTCGAACAGAAGATACTAGAAATTTCAAGATATCTAATCTAATCTATTAGATCGTTATGTGTTATGTTATGTTTCCTGAAGCTGGTTTAGCAGTATATCCACATACTCGGAGTGTTGGGAGCGAACCTCTTTTAACTCCCAGGATACCTTTCCCATGATAGGTATAATCTGATCCAGGCATAACAGTTTCAACAGACAAGCGAAGTAGACCGGAGCAGAGATTTCTTTGCAAAGATTCAAGGTTTGAGAGAAGTCTTTTAGTGTCTCAGGTTTTCGAATAGAGCTTGAGAGAATGGGAAGCAATTCTGATATTTGTCCTGCGAGGTAAATACAAGATTCTACGCCAATTATCCTCTCGTTTAGTCCACAGTTTGTATCCTTCCTGTTGAGATTTATACTACCTGGCATACAGGGCTCATGAACAATACCTCGGGTAATTTCCTTCACGACAGAGTTACCCTGAGTATCTGTCTCAGATAAAGACACTTTCTGTAACAAAATCTGGGAAGATATTTTGTTGAAATAATTCTTCAAGTTTGCTGATCTAGGTTCCGAGTCGGGGAGATCACTGGAGAAGAACTTGTGCACTGTGAACAGATAGAAATCAAACAATTGTTTCATTCCAAGAAGGATTTCATCTGCTATAGGATGAAGAAGGTTCATGAGATGACTGTATCGTCCAACTAACCGGAGAACCATCAGGGTTGTGTTCCCCAGGCATATTCCTTGCTTAGGAGGAGGAGCAACCCAACTCTTCTCCTTCAAGGAGGCGAAGTTATTGTTCATCCCTTCGTTCTCCTTCCTGATCTCCATCTTCTGCTCCTCGGAAAGATCTTCATCACTCTCAGAGTCCTCGTCTGTATCAAGCAGAATATCTTCCTCTCCGGTCAGATCTTTCAATGCATCGTCAAAAGGAGTTTTAGAGTTCCAAAACCGTTTAAAGTAGGATTCGTCCTCACCAGGTAATTTCTTGGATGGAGATCTGACTGGTTTCAGGTGGGAGAACTCAACCAAAGATTTCAAGGTGAAACTTGGCTTGACCGGACACAAGGCCCAACCTTCATTTTCCAGGTGGGTTTTCAACTCATCCAGTCTACTGGTGTGGTAGGTTTTAAAATAGGATAGGCACTGTTTTTGAAGAGATTCGTGAAGGGTTTCGGAGTCGGCTCCGCTAAACTCCTTCCCAACCTGGATAAGTCTGTGGATGATATCAAGAAACCGGATAAAGTTGTCAATACTCAACTCGGAGAGGTTTGAAGCTAAAACCAGGACTCGGACTTTAGTTTGAACGTCTTGCCAAATCCTGGTGAGTCCTGCGTCCAGTTTCTTCTCCACGTACTGTTTCTGCAGATGGGTTTCAAGGAGTTCAGCCTCGGACCCGGATTCAAGGTCGGGGAACATCTCGTTGTTCTGGTGCCAGTCCAGGATCTTCCTGTAGTTCAACATTATTTCCCAGAGCGCCTAAAAACAATATATTAATATTTCGAATTTATATCTAATGACGGGAGGAGGGGGGGGGGGACAAACTTTTCAACCTTATCATGATTATAAATGAACTGTGGATATTTACAGAAACAAGCGCGTGAGAAATGGGTATGATGACTGAGCCTGCGTCCGGCATTTGGCGTGAAGACCTAATTGAAAATTAGGTGAGAAATGCACACAACTGACCTTAGAAAGATCTAGAAGACAAGGCAAGAAGAGATCAACAGTTACAGTTTGACATAGCTCCGGGTAGGGACGCTTCGACAGATCCTCCGGGTTCGAACTCGAGGACATCGCGGCATGGACGTGGACAAGGTTCCAGCTCTTGTTGTGGATCGCACTCGCGATATGCATCAGGAGTTGATCCATGGCAGTCTGGGTCTTACCCAGCAATCTGTACGCTTCCTGAAAACATTCAGATAATATAATAAGAAACCTATACGAGACGACAAAAAAACATCTCAAGAACTAATGAGGGTCAATTCAGACCGAAATATATATTAAAAAAATGTGAAACCAACACCTTTTAAAACTGAGGTTTGGGGCATCATCAGCACCGAATAAAAAAATATGAATTTATCCAGGCATAAAAGTTAGATCGCAATACTTTTTTATGACTTTAATTTTTGCATTTTTTCTTTTAAAAAAAAACAAGTTTTGATCTCGTAAAAAATAAGTAATGGTTAAAATGATATAAGGTCGTATTTTACCTGTATTTTTGCATACGTCATAGTATCAAACCCCATACAAACTTTAGCCAAGGATACGTCCAGCTGCTCCTCAGTCATTACTAGGGTATCCTGAAAAAAAAAAATTTAAAAAAAAACTTTTATTGACATTTTCAAATGTTTGATAATAATAAAAACGTTAAGCATCTTTGTAAATGAATAAAATTTGAGACTTTTTATTTCAAAAATATCCATTACAATAAAATTCGAAAATTAAATATCACCTGAAGTTTTGTTGATAATTGTTTAATTGATGTAAAGTGTTTGTAATTGATTGCTACACTCTGACATTCTGAAAAAGTTTATCGTTTTTTGAAGAGTTTATTTAAAAATGTATGAAAGTTAAAAGCTTAAATTCAATTTTTAAATCCAAATATTGTTTGATAGATGTAGTAAAATAAATATTGAAGATTTAGAAGAAAAAAAAATGTAATTACGAACCTAGTAAAAGTTTGATAGCTTCAGCATATTTATCCTCGGAAAGGAGCTGATCCAACCTTTCTCCGGTCTTCTGCAGGGTCTGGATAATCTTCAGGTTCTCCAGGAGGGATAGAGCTTGCTGACGTCTCCTAAGACACATTTGTATTAAGTTGTTACCTACGATTTAAGATTAGAAACTTTAAACCTAAAAATTGTCTATGTAAGGAACGTTTTCAAGTCTTCCAGCTGTTGTCTAATGTTTTTCCAGTTTTAAAATCTGGAAATCCACGAATTCTCTCTATAAAGAGATGAAAAAATCAATGATTTATATATCAACACTAAAATCCACATTCTTTTCATCATACTCTCCCTCTCTCTTTCAATAATTCAATAATTCAGAACCACTCACAATTAAATATCCCCCCTCGCCCCTTTCTAAATCTTTGAGAACCCCGCCTGACTTAATCATTTGACCCACCCTCTCTTTTTGAGATTTTAAACCGTACTCGGATCAACTACACAAATCTACTCTCTACCTGAATCCTGCTAGAATACCGAGGGAAGAATTAATAAACTGTCCCCGAGCTCTACCTAAAGAACTACGAGCTGACCGGCAGGTTCCAACCAGATCAAGTAGGTCAACCTGGACAATGGAAATCAATTAAACAGATAAACAATGGTTTCGCGTCTACATCTGCCGTTAAAGCCTGACTTTTGCGCCAGAAAAAAAATATATTTGCATTTTAGGGGACTGCTAGCGTGATTTCTAGTGACAAGTGCAAAGAATGCCTGATTTACAACGGTACCCTTAAAAGCTTTGCCTGGTCAAGTATGAATTAGATATCAATGTTTATGTTCTTTTAAACTGTTTATATTTATCCTGGTTTTTCTGCAAAAAAAGATTTACGCATTTATTAGTTAAAACTAAGACACTAAGGAGAAATTAAACACTTTGAGTATAAAAACGATGTTATCTTTCACATTTTTTATCAGATTAAGATTCTAAGGGTAGCGTTGTAAATCAGGCCTGCCATCTTTGCAATGAGGGTCATTAGAAATTAAGCTTAAGACATAATAGCTTTGGTCGCATTTCCAAGTTTGTTAAGGCTCTGACGCGGTCGTCAGATGTCTCAAATTAATTAACAATTTGACACTTTCTACTCCGGTCACTCACCTGAACCGAAACAATATGATTTAGTTGTGCAGTGCAGTTCTCCTGCCTATCCAGGATCAGTTTAAAAACCTTCTTCGAGACAACGGTTAGCTGCTCCAAGAGCAGTTTCCGGTCAGCGTCAATAGAACTCTGGTCGAAGAAAGCATGGAGTTTTTCCAACTCATACAGGGAAGGATCAAACTCATCAGAGAAATAGTCAGGATTTATCAGATCTGAAACAAATAAGGTTAAGAGTGATATTTTCGAGTTATTTTTCTTAAAACACTTTTAGTGGAAATTTTCTCCGGAATTAGGTAAAATAAAGAGTTTGTAATTAGGATTTTAAAGGTAATATTTTACCTTTTTTGATCAGAATACATCACATAAGATTATAATACAGATCAAGGATGAACATTGGTGTGATATTAAGCATTAAAGGGAAGTGTTGGAGTTTAGTATGAATTCAAGAATTGATCGCTTATTAAAACATATCAGACGGACGTAAAATTGGTAGAGACGGAATTCAGTTCAAATTCAGCCTATGCTCCATTTTAATTTTCTCGAACACTCCTTTTAAGATAAAAATTACTACCTAAAACCTCCTGGTCAGCATGAGGATCGGTTTCCAGCTGACTAACCTAGGAAATAATATTTCTTATCTGAACTCAAATTTAGATTTTTAAATTTGCGCAGTTTTAAGAATTTGAATTTAGAAAAAAAAGTTTCCTATGGTTTGAGATTAAGAGGTTTCTAGACTCCTGGGTTCGAAGGTTCAAGAGTTCGAGATACACAAGTTAAAAATTTCGTGTTTCAAGTTTGTATTTTTAAAGGTTTTAAAAGTTCATGTTTCAAAGGTTTCGAAAGTTTGTTTTTCAAAAGTTTCAAAAGTTCATGATTCACAAGTTTCAAAAGTTGCAAGATTTAAAGGTGAACAAATTTTGGGTTCAAAGACTGAAGAGCTTGCAAAAAATATACATACGCCTTTTAAAAAAAATATTTTTTCCATAATTCGAAATTTGTTTTTTACCATGGGTTACACCGGGCACTTCAGCTAGTATTTGAAAAGTTAACATGTTTCATTTGTGAATTATTTATTAGAATTACCTCTAGATCTGAATCTGTTATCCCCGACCTACGTCCTCCAACCTGAACAATCAATAATTATCAATCTTAACATATAAAAAGATATGTCCAAGGTTTTGGATAAGACGGGCGTCGGGCATCCTTCAATCCAGGACAGTTTATATTTTGCAAAACTACGAAAAAAAAGCTTGAACACTGTATATAGAAGCCTATGTGAGAGGGCCAGAGTTAAAGGATTCAATAGTGTACTGAAAGGTTTCATTGAGCACTCATAACAGGATGTATATTCGCAGTTTTTTTAGTTTGTATGAAGAATTAGACATTCTTGAGACCGCACCAATCCTATACAGTGCACAAATCCTATACAGTGCACCAATCCTATACAGTGCACAAATCCTAGACTGCACCAATCCTCTACAGTGCACAAATCCTATACAGTGCACCAATCCTAAACAGTGCACCAATCCTATACAGTGCACCAATCCTTAACAGTGCACCGATCCTATACACTACACAAATCATATACACTGCACCAATCCTATACACTACACCAACCCTATACAGTGCACAAATCCTAGACTGCACCAATCCTGTACAGTGCACCAAACCTATACACTGCACCAATCCTATACAGTGCACAAATTCTTTAGACTGCACCAATCCTTTACAGTGCACAAATCCATCACACAGTACAAATCCTTTAGACTGCACCAATTCTATACAGTGCACCAATCCTGTAGGCTGCACTAATCCTATACAGTGCACAAATCCTATAGACTCATGCACCAATCCTTTACAGTGCACAAATCCTTTAGACTCCATCCAATCCTATACAGTGCACCAATCCTGTAGACTGCACAAATCCTATACAGTGCACCATCCTGTAGACTGCACAAATCCTATACACTGCAATGATCTTATACACTGCACTAATCCAATACAGTGCACACATCCTATACACTGCATCAATTCTATACAGTGAACCAATCCTATGCAATTCAACAATTCTATACACTGCACCAATCAAATACACTGCATCAATTCTATACACTGCACCAATCCTGTACACTGCATCAATTCTATACACTGCACCAATCCTATAACACTGCACCAATACACTGCATTAATTCTATACACTGCAACAATCCTACACTTCATCAATCCTATAACACTGCACAAATCCTTTAGACCGAACCAATCCTATATGCTGAACAAATCCTATAGACCGAACCAATCCTATATGCTGAACGAACTCTATAGACCGAATAGATCCTAGCCTATTTGGGACCACACCTGGTACCTTGCACCTAATTCCTAATTCCCACCTCTGTTGGTAGAATGACTCCAAGAGAAAGATCTTCTTCATTGTTTAATATCTTAGTCTTCGACTCCTCCAAGAAGGTTCTAAACTTCTCTTTAAATGCCATATTGAAGTATATACATCAATCCATTGTAAACATTCTCACACAACCATCTGGAAGAAAACCTGTCTCAGATAAGAGAAGATTCAAAATAAGATTAATGTAAACAATAAAATATTAATTCCGTTTTATCCCAATATTATTATTTGTTTGTATAAAAATGTAGTTAAACATGAAATATCTGTTTTAATACAACAGGTAATTTATGAACAGGTTAATTGTTGTATTAAGAATCAGCTGGTTTCTCCAGGATCTACAACCAAGTGCCGCGTATATAGTTTCCCAGTCTTATTTATTATACGGAGAAATAAACTGAGTAAGGACGGATAGATGATAGATATATACAAGTAGTAAGGATAGAAGATTAATCTGAGCTAGGACGGATAGATTATTGAACTGAGCTAGGGCGCATAGTAAGGATGGAAGATTAAACTGAGCCAGGACGGGTAGATTATTAAACTGAGCTAAGACGGATAGTAAGGATGGAAGATTAAACTGAGCTAGGACGGATAGAATATTAAACTGAGCTAGGGCGGATTGTAAGGATGGAAGATTAAACAGAGCTAGGACGGATAGAATATTGAACTGAGCTCGGGCGGATAGTAAAGATGGAAGGTTAAACTGAGCTAGGGCGGATAGTAAGAAATAAGATTAAACTGAGCTAGGGCGGATTTATAAGGATAGGAGATTAAACTGAGCTAGGGCGGATAGTAAGGATGGAATAATTAACTAAGCTAGGACGGATATATATTAAACTGAGCTAGGGTGGATAGATTATTGAACTGAGCTAGGGCGGATAGTAAGGATGGAAGATTAAACTGACCTAGGACGGATATAATATTAAATTGAGCTAGGGCGGATAGTAAGGATGGAAGATTAAACAGAGCTAGGATGGATAGATTATTGAACTGAGCTAGGTGGATAGAATATTAAACATGACTTGGACGAACATAGTAAGGTCAAGATAGATGATAAACTAAGGTAGGATGGATTGGAAGATCATAATATAAAACGGAGTTAGGACGGGCACAAGATTTAAGGACATATGGAAGAATTAAAGATTTCACTATGATAGGACGGATAGAACTTTAAACTATAGCTAGAACGGATACAATATAAAACTGAGCTAGGACGGATTGAAAGAATATGATTTAAACCGGAGCTAGGACGGATGGTAAGAATGGAAGATGAAACTGAGCTTTGGATAAAGAAAAAAACCGAATTAGGACGTATAGTTAGGATACAAAATTACCCAAGTTAGGACGTATAGTTAGGATAAAAAATTATCTAAGTTATAGTTAGGATAAAAAATAAACTGATAGAAAAGCTATTTTCGTAGACGGGCGAATACTATACATATACATCCTAGCTCTAATTTGAATTAAGAAACTAGTAAGTTTAGGATTGAAATAATCAGGCAGAAAAACTTCTTCTTTAAATTTCTTTTTCCAGAGTGTAAAAGTACCTAAAATGATCATCCTAGTCTGGTACAGTATAAAACTATTGATTTACAGTATAGTTAGGATAAAAATAAACTAAGTTAGGACGGATAGTTTGGATAAAAAATAAACTAAGTTAGGACGGATAGTTTGGATAAAAATAAACTAAGTTAGGACGGATAGTTTGGATAAAAATAAACTAAGTTAGGACGTATAGTTAGGATAAAAATAAACTAAGCTAGGACGTATAGTTAGTATAAAAATAAACTAAGTTAGGACGTATAGTTTGGATAAAAATAAACTAAGCTAGGACGTATAGTCAGGATAAAAATAAACTAAGTTAGGACGTATAGTTTGGATAAAAAATAAACTAAGCTAAGAAGTATAGTTAGGATAAAAATAAACTAAGTTAGGACGTATAGTTTGGATAAAAAATAAACTAAGTTAGGAAGTATAGTTTGGATAAAAAATAAACTAAGTTTGGACGGGTAGTTTGGATAAAAAATAAACTTAGTTAGGACGGATAGTTTGGTTAAAAGATTAAACTGAGTTAGGACGATTTCTAACTGACGAAATACAATTATAAAATCTTATAACTAATTTAAGATCCCACCAGACATCCGCAAAACATTAAAACAGCAATTATTTATTATTTCCAATTAATCTTAATTGGAATTAACTAAAAATACTGTTGAACAATAATATCACAATAATAAGACAGTACACATAACAATAAATGACTATAACAAGGTTTATTTAAAAAGAACGATTTAAAACGTAATTATTTTTCCTATTTCTGGGAGGGGTAAATATAAACTAAATAATACTTGCATGCACACTGCACAGAGCCTAGTTTTCCCTCATTGTAAATGCTTAAAGCTTTTTAATACTTTATTAAAGCCTTCATAGAAGATGTCTTACAATTCGCATACAAGATAAACTTATGTTTTACGTTCATTACTTGTACAATATACATAGGATTCAATACGCAATAGTCTTCCAATATTTACAAGTAACATTTATGTTTTAAATTCATTACTTGTACATAGGATTCTTTGACTAGCTTGTAAATGTGGCTGTAGGGTGTACACTATGTACATTGAACAAACACTAAAGTTTGTTTTATATTTCCAGCTTTAAATTTACTTTGATTTTGACATATTAAAGCGTATTATTTACATAAATTCAACTGTACATTCAGTGCACAGTTTACACGTACTATGAATGACATGTATTGTGCAGTGCACAAAGTACAAATAAAAGGGTTGCAGGTACTGTACAGTACAACCGTACTTGAGAGAGGAAAGCAAGGACGGTAAAATTCTCCGCTAAATCCCACTTTTTCTCCGATCAGTGAACTGCAGATCCCTGGTCTCCCTGGAGTACGCATCAAAAGCTTAGTTTAGGATGAGAAGAGGATTAATCTGAATCCTCCCCAGTCCCTTTTCCAGGTATATTCATCCCCTCCTGGAGCTGAAGAATATGTTCAACAGGAACAGGTTTTCCATCCTCTCCAATCCGAGCAGGTTGGATAAACCCGTCCTTGACTAACTTATCCATCATATTAACCAGCTTCATCGCCTCGTACTCCTTCTGTTCCTCGCTCATCCCCTCCAGGGGGTTCGGCCTGTCCTCCTCCACGCACCCGGTGATAGGGTTCACCTTGTGCGCCTCCTTCTGGTACTCCTCGGTGTCCGACTCCTCGTCCGAGGAAAAGTTTTCTTCTCCTCGTCCTCCCAGGAGTAGTCCTCGACGTGCCAGTAGTCCGGCTGCGTTACCGTATCCTAGCATAAAATAAATCTCAATATTGATTTTATATTTGAATCTTTGTTTTGGGATTTTTTACAATTCGATTTCTTACAACTTGAACTGGAAAAGCACTATGGCGACATCTATGACTAAAAATGTCCCCCATAATTAGCCCCAAAAAACTGCAAAAATGAGAAATATTTCGGTCATCTCAATGAAAATTAGGATTTTCGATATTGACAAGGTATTTTTCTAAAAGTTGACATACAAGAGTAAAAAATAAATTATTTATCTATATGAAAATCAGTATTTTCTATAATTATAATGTATTTTTCCATGTATTTTACATTTTTTGTATATTTGGATTGAAAACTAATGGTTGAATTGAAAATTTTCCTGAATGTTTAACAAGTTTTCCAACATTGTGTTTGCACAGGACAAACAGGAACTCTGCAGTCATTGTTGCAACATCTTGATCTGGGTTGGTGAGGAGAGAGACTAGTCTGCTCCGAGGACTAGAACCCTTCTCAGGCTTGTTCTGAACACAGAACACAGGTTGGAACAAAAAAAATGTGTGGACTTTCAGCTCCAATAAAAGTCATGATTATGTTAGAGAATATTTAAATATTTGTTTTTGTGAGAGCAAGAATGGGTTACTCCGTACCTAAATATTATCTGTTGTGAGAGGAAGAATGAGTTACTCCGTACCTGAGTATCCTCTGCTGTTAGAGGGCAAAGGATGGTTTACTCCGCACCTAAATATCCTCTGCTGTGAGAGGAGGAAAGATGGTTTACTCCGTACCTGAATATCCTCTGCTGAGAGGAGGAAAGATGGTTTACTCCGTACCTAAATATCCTCTGCTATGGGAGGAGGAAAGATGGTTTACTCCGAATATTCTCTGCTATGAGAGGAGGAAAGCTGGTATACTCCGTACCTGAATATCCTCTGCTATGGGAGGAGGAAAGATGGTTTACTCCCTACCTGAATATTCTCTGCTATGAGAGGAGGAAAGATGGTTTACTCCGTACCTGAATATCCTCTGCTATGAAAGGAGGAAGGATGGTTTACTTAGTACCTGAATATTCTCTGTTGCAAGAGGAGGAAGGATGGTTTGCTCCGTACCTGAATATCCTCTGCTGTGATAGGAGTAAGGATGGTTTGCTCGGTACCTGAATGTCTTATGGGAAGGAATAGTGGAATTCTCCGTGCTTAAATAAAAGCTGTTGAGAGTATAGGAAGGATGGTTTACTCCGTACCTGAATATCCTCTGCTGTGAGAGGAGGAAGGATGATTTGCTTCAGATATTTCCGAACCTCTCGGTGCATCTTACTCAAAATCCACAGGACGGAGAGGGTAGGAGAAACTTCCTCCTTAAAAACGAACTTTTTCCAAATCAATTTTATTTTGCAGTATATTTTATGCATAACTATAACTATAACTCAAGATCCCAAGGACCGATTTGCCTACAATTTTGATTGGGGAACTAGATAGAACCAGCCAAATGTTCTTTATAGCCTGATTTTAAAATTTTAAGTTAAATGACTTGACTTAAATAGAAAAACTTTAGTTTGCGGGCCGAGCTGGAATCCAAAAATATGAAAGCATTAATGATCAAGATAAACCAAATACTAATTTTTGAAATTCGATGAAGAAAAATAGATATGCTTTTCTTGAATCAATACGATAGGATAAAAGTAAAAGTTTCTTATCTATAACGCAGTGTCGAAATTAATAAACCTCTCACCTTTAAGTTTTTCAACTTGTTTTCACTGTACTCTTCAAGCTTCATGAGGAGATAATCCAGAATCCTTTGAATATTACTGATCTTGTGAATTATATAAGTTGTAGGCTCCATCTTTCCGTCCATGTTGGTTAGGAAGTTTATCACGTTGCTCACAACCATGTTCTCCGAGTCCTTGTCCTCGTATGCGTGGTTGAGCACGGAGTCAAGGGTTTTACAAATACGCGTCAGCTCCTCGGTATCCTCCGTCCTAGACTCCAGGGCAAGGTTGAAGAGTACCTTGAGAACCTCTACCACGTAGAGAGCTAAGACGGGAGAACAAGGAGACATATCAAGACAGGATTTTAGGTTGTTATTGATAAGCGTCAGAGCTCTAGATAATACGCAATTTTTATTGATTTGAATAATTCAATTTTTCGCTCAGTGAAGAAAAAAAATTTTCAATGAACTATAAGGATTGCTATTATATATTCCTGTGTTCCGAGTTGGCCACTTGTCTTTGCTCCGAGCAAAGTGCTGTCAGAAGGAACAGGAGTCGGAGATCAAACCTTTCTACCTCATTCCGATCCTGGAGTAGTCCAAACCATCGTTGAATAATTAAATATATAGATGTAAAAGAAGTAACGTCAAATAATTGCTGGATGAATTCATATTTTTAATTAGATGTTTTTACTCTAAGAAGAATCAAGACCCCCCTCCCCTTCCCCCAAATTGACGCTTCTTTCTCATGTTGACAGGATAAAAAGACGTTCATGATTGCTATTTCTTCGACAATGGTTGTTCCTTGTGATTTGTGATTGTTGTGAGAATATCTTTAAGAAATCCGTTAACCGTACAATAGGCTTGTACAGTACTGCTCTGGTGGATAAGGTTGGAGAGAACCATCTTAGATTCGAACCTTACTCCGGGTTCTGAGTCCGGCTGCAGTCGGCTAATTCCACTCTTCTGTATGAGAAGATCAACATTCTTGTTCTCAATACACTCGTTGATCCCAACCCTATCTCTTGATAGAAGTTTGCAACATTTCAAGGCTTTATCCTGCAGTATTGAGGAGCTATTGTTCTCAGCTATACTGAAAAGTCCTGCCCAGATTAATTTCCTATCGCTTAACTTAATATCGGTGAAACTCCGAACCGTAGTGTTCTCCGAGAGAAACTTTGACAAGACTGATTCAAGCTGATTATCCGGAACATCCGAAATCCCCAGAAGATCCGTCATGTTTTTAGAACTTAGAAATTCACCGACGGTCCCGACAATGAATGAATCCTTGCAAGAGTTTTGATAAGAATTGAATTTGATCAGCTGGGTTCGGATGGTAGGACGGACCAATCAGAGAGCTCTCTCTAGTCCTGGCTCCAATAGGATCTGAAATGTCAATGTTTTGAGAGAGATTTAGAAATATCTGCGGCGGGTTTCCTTAGTGATAAGATAATTCCAAAAACACAGAAATTTTTGTTTAAAGAACAAAACCCCAAAAATAGAAAATATACAAAAAACTTGCTTTTTATTTGGAAGAAATCTAAAACAGCACAAAAAACGAATTTTAGTAGAAAATATAGTTTTTTAATAAAACAATTAAAAAATAATACAAAATAACATGTAGTCATAATCTTTATAGTAGTTCATTTACACTTTAAGAAATATCCTATAACAAAAAATCACACTTTATTCAAATTTACCACAATATAATTTTAAAACTTTTATGATCACATTTTATATCACTATTAAGGTTCAGGATAAAAGTCCTTCTCCGGGAGTAACCTTCCAGCGGATATAGATTCAGAAATCCAATCCGAAATTACTAAGTGGAATAATCTTTCTGTTCCAGCGTTAATATCACGACGAATTCTCTGAAAAATAGTTAAAATTGTAAAATATCTTCTATTTATTTTGTTCACTTTGTTATAAATAACCTATTTAGAATGCTCCCTCTGGCCCGATCTCCCTATTACTAACCGTTTAACTTTTTTTCATTTTTAACAAGTTAGAAATCCCCCATCCTCCATAAACAGTCTGACTTCACGATGTATAAACCTAATTATGTTATGTTTTAATTTTAATTCTATTCCTTGTATTTGTGAATGATGTCTGGTGCAGGATTGAAGAAAACTACATGACTAACGTTTCCTAAAACCTGCTCCGGACTGCCCTTCTCCAGGCCGGACTCATCCTGCTCCTGGCTAGACTCATCCTGCTCCAGGATAGAATTCCCATGCACTACGCTAGCTCCGTAGAACCTGACTAGAGCTGTATCCAAGGTTCTCTTATCCTCCTCCTTCTCTCCGTACTCGAGGTATAGTCTCAACCCTCGGAACAAAAAATATTTAAAGTCCTGGAGATATGACTCAAGCTCTTCAAGATCCAAGGAGTCCGTTGAACCTTTTTTAGCGACAGCGTCCATGCTAAGGGTTAAAGATTGCACGGTGGCGAGATCATGATAAGAATCCCCAAACTCGTCGTACTCGGTCTATAAACAACACATTTGATTTTTAAAATCTAAATTCGTTTTTTTATGCTGAAACGAAAAGTAAAGTAAAATTTTTAAAATCATTGTGCTTCGTGGCTATTTCTTTTTATTGTTAACCATTAATTTTTATTTTTATTAAGTATCCAGTCATTTCTTTTTCATTCAAGATTTTAATTGGAGAATTCATGATAAATTCTGATTGGAGAAAAATCATCCTGGGCTCAATTTGGGCAAGTAAATACTAAAAAGAGCGTCTTTAATTAAGAACCATCCGACAAGCAAACTTCAGAGCAGACATTTGTAAATTTAAAATTTATAAATTAACTTAAAAGTTTTTTTGAATAAAGAATAAATGTATTTCCTTCCACTTAGATTTAGTTTTCTCTGTTGCAAATACAGTATCATGGGGTCCGAACATCCTTCAGCAAAATCAACATTTAAATAGATTTGCTATCATTCGAGTTAAAAATTTGAGGACCACGTAATGCAAATATTTAAAAATAACAATTGAGACGATTTAAAACTCGTCTTTAATAGTTTATAGCTATATATCTATGGACAAAATGCCTATAAAACATCGTGCACAATCTTTTAGTTTCTATGTAGATAAACCAACTTATTAAAAGCCGGAGTTATTCAACTTTTAAATACGAATTTTCTATTTTATAGCTATTACAAATCAAACACGATTTTCAAGCAGTTTATTAACTTTAACTTTTTGTGTGACACCCTTTAGTTGAATGTTTTACGATTAAATAACGCGTTCATGTTTTTTGTCAATGAAAGCGATTTAAGACGTTAATTAATTTATTGAGATAAAAATGTTAGATTTCCTGAATGTGGTTTCACAGTCTAGAATCCAGGAGGATTTAACAACATCAACTGAACCCTCACCAATAATATTCTTTGCTTTAACTGTTCCAGCAGTCTGGATAAAGCAGAAAGTTCGTCCTGCCTTGAAGTTTTGCTCCACCCTACCTCCATGCTTCACAACAATCCTCTCCAACTTATGCTTCAGTTCAACATCATTACTCGGCTCCACAACTATAATCTTATCCTTGAGATGAAACGTCTCAATCCTCTCGTTGCTGTAGTCGATATGTTTATACTCGGAGCCAAGGGTTGGTTTTGAGGAGATTTTTATCCGTTTCCTGGGAGTTTCTACTTCAGAATCAATCAGACGTACTCCGTTGCAAAGTTTCCCGTCCCCCATTTCTCTAAGTTTGATTATCTCCTGTAGAGTTGTACAGTTAGAGTAATCCTTATCTTCTCTTAAGCGTTCCACCCTAGGAAACCGGAGGGTACAACCTGCACTGTAGGACTCCGATCTTGTAATCTCGGCAGCATTCACTTGAAGGACTGGAGAGGATCTGGGATCAAACCATACATTTGGTTTATCTCTTCCACAGTTTATATTGCTAGTCGGAGTTTTCAATTGTTTCCCACATCTGTACACAAGAATGTATATTGTATAAAGTTAAACATTTATAAGATTAAGAAGTAATTGAGCCTTTACCATTAACTCAATTTTCCATTTCTTACATCTTGGCAACCACCTGATGTTGAAACATAATATATTTCTAACTTAGATTATTTGATCTAACAGATATAATAGTTTAAAATGGTCTACCATATTGGGTTGCAAATCAGAGTTTGCAGCAAAGACTCAATTCCTTTCCGTCTTAGGATTTAATATGTAAAAGGACAATACACCCTAACCTGCCGACCATATCTTCAATGTCTGCCGCAGAAAACCCGGATGAGACCCGACAGAAAGTGACAAATTTCTCGGTGTCCCCTGATCTATCCGATAAACCCATGAGAAAATGAGTTATTTTTCCTCCACCCTTCCCGGACCCGAAATATCCACCAAGAACTAGAAGGTCTATTTGATCCATGAGTTGGTTTTCATAATCAGGTTTTAGTTTAATCCACCCACTTCCAGACCTGGCGTTAGGTTTATATGTACTCAGAGGATCTTTTAGAACTAAACCTTCCTCGCGGTTATCAATTGCATCGTTTAGAGCTTCGATAACTTCAGATTTTGATCTTACGATCATTCGATGCGAGAGTTGAATTCGTCCTGGCATTGGACGAACAATTCTTTCGTATATTTTTATCCGTTCAGAAAACGGGGTGTTCGTTAAAACCTGACCGTTTAAATAGCAGATATCGTAGATAACGAGACATTGTTGTAAGTTTCGATGATCGGTTTTAATATTTCGAATATTATTTTGTTGACTTTTCTGGATAATAGTTTGAGTTTGATGATTCCAGGCACATATTTCTCCGTCAAGGATAACAGACTTGACCTCCGGGCATAGACTAGATGCTAGGAAGGATGAGAACTTATCCTTATCCGAAGCTGAATGTCCAAACTCGTCCGTGAAGTCGGATCCGTTCCTGGAGAAGAACTTGAACCTGCCGTCCTCCATGTGGGCCTGCATTCGTTCTCCGTCATACTTTGTCTCGATGTAACATTCCTTGCCCTAGATAAACTAGAATTAAAGTAAGGAAATGGAGAAGTTTTAAACGGAATAATAAAGAGCTAATTTACTTTAATCAACAGTTGTAGACTATTACTAGCAAGGAAAAATACATGAAGTTTTAGGGGTTAGTTGAAAGTTCATTGGTTTTTCGGAATAATGAAAACTTGATGTAAAGTTAGAATTCGATAAAAATCTAAGTTTAAAAGGGAAAACTTGTTGTTAAGATAGAATTAGATAAAAATCTAGGTTTAAAAGGGAAAACTTGTTGTTAAGTTAGAATTAGATAAAAATCTAGGTTTAAAAGAGAAAACTTGTTGTTAAGATAGAATTAGATAAAAATCTAGGTTTAAAAGGGAAAACTTGTTGTTTTCTAATTTTTAAAACTGTTTAGATCAGTGTGTAGGCCATTTAACAACCAAACAATTAAGTTATAATTAGAAAGAGTGGAGTGTAGATTTAGGATATAATATAATTAAAAAATAGCGTGGTACAGGGGTTGCACACTCGATTAAAAGAAAGTTAATATTAAACTGTAAATGAAAAGATTTACAGATAAACGGAAGAAACCTGAGAGGATGTTCTCAGATCTGATAAAGAGAAAGATAGATAAACAGACAGACAGATAGATAGACAGAGAAACAGATAGATAGACAGAGAAACAGATAGACACATAGACATATAGATAAACAGAGAGACAGATAGGATATATAAACAGATAAATAAAAAGATTGATAAACTGACATGCAGATAGATATACAGATGGATAGACAGATAGCTAGATCGATAGCTAGACATATAGCTAGACATATAGCTAGACAGAGAGCTAGACAGATAGATAGACAGATAGATAGACATATAGATAGACAGATAGCTAGATAGTTAGCTAGACAGATAGCTAGACAGATAGACAGATAGATAAACACATTCTCAAATGAACACTTCTGGAACATATTCTCAAATGAACACTTCTGGGATCTCGAAAATTATGAATGAATTTTGATTGTCAATTGAAACGTTAATCAATCTAATATTATTTAGAATGCAGAAAATAAGTTAAACTAACTTCATTTTGACGAAATTTTTTTTTGAAATTTTCATGAAAAACTTGCTGAAATGAGTGAAAATTAAAAAAAAACCCGGTGTATTTCCAGGATAAAAATCCGTACAATCCGTACAATCCGTACAATCCGTACAATTTTAGGGTTACAAAATAAAAAATCCGTACAATCCGTACAATCCGTACATTTTGGCCACCCTGAAGTTAGAATTAGATAAAAATCTAGGTTTAAAAGGGAAAACTTGTTGTTAAGTTAGAATTAGATAAAAATCTAGGTTTAAAAGGGAAAAGGGACAATAGATATAATTTCAAATAACTCTCAACTCATAAAGTGACATGTCCAATTTAAAACGGTAAACCTTAAAAGCTTAATCTGAACAAGAATACATGAGATCTTGATCATCTTCTCTTTACAAATTTAATATTTTTCATAATAGATAATCTCCATGCCTAGTGACTTGCAAATTTCAGCTTCAAAATCAATGAAGGAAACTGTCAGAATTTGTCAGTTTTCACGCTAGAAAAACATCGACATATATTCTACATTAATGGTAAGATTTTATAGGTAACGCTGTGAATCGGACCAGTCCCTCACGAAATTATTACGACAATTCCTTTAAAAAATATAAATACGATTAATCTAAATCTGAGTTCACCTTTATTATGAGATTAAGTTTAGATATAGCAACCCTATCTGCTAACTGAGGTTTGAAGGGAGAAAATATTTGAATCTGAATCTCGTTCATCCGAACCTCAGGATCATGAAGGAGTTCACAAACCTAGAAATAATAAAATGCTTAGGAGTCTTTAGGTATTAAAGGGACTGTATGACCAAGTATGATATAGAAATCAATGTTTTTGTTTCTTTAACTGTTAATTTTCATTTGTAGTTTATCTGCGAAAGTCACTTGCACATTCCTTGATTTTAAGAAGCAATGGAGAAACTCAAAGAAAGAAAGACGTTTCTAGTCAGAAAAACGACGTATTATATCTTCCACATTTTCTAATCGCGCATTGCTATCTTTTCATGGAGGGTCATTTGTAACTACGCTTGCGGTCCCTTTATCAACTTTTAATCCAAAATTGTTATTAGAGTTGTTAGCCTCTAAGTCAGGAAGAATTTTGTAATTTTTTACATGATGCGTTATCATTCTTAGATTGAACTAAATTGATCAAATCTTGCTTTACTTTTAAGTTTTATTAACTTTTCCCCTAGTTTTTAATTTCCTCTTCATTATTCTTTAAAAATCACCTGAAATTCATGAATTTTCACCTAACAATTGTTTTCGAAACAAATCTTAATAATTTCTATAAACCCTCCTTGCAAAGATGACAATGCTAGATTGAAATTACGCTCAAAGTCCCTAAAGTAAAATTTACCTTTCTAAGATTTGAATTTACTTCGTACAACTCCTTTGCATCCCTAGGTTTCAGGAGAAAATAGGAAAATTATTCACAAAATATTATATGAAGAAACAAATTTTTAAATATAAAATTATTTCTTAGCACTGATTTTGTCAAAGATTATTTAGTATTTCTCGGTGTTCTTGTTCTCTGTTCCTATGTAGAGCTGAGAGTACTGAGTTGTTCCCCATGGAGATCTTCATCTCCTTGAGTATAATCCTGATCAACCACTTCTGCTGCAAGGCGTCCATCCGAAGAAACAAGTCTTTGAATACTCCCGCCACCTCCCTCCGACCCTCGTTATTGTTCAGTCTAAAAGTATTATATATTACTACATTTGCTTTAGAACCATTTGCTGTTTGCTCTATTAAATGTTTGCTCTTTCACGCCATTTTATCTATCTTAATAAACCTCTAAATAACCTTCCACAGAGCAAATGTCGTGTCTATGGAGTCTATGAGGTATAGAGCAAATGTCGTGTCTATGGAGTCTATGAGGTATGGAGCAAATGTCGTGTCTATGGATTCTATGAGGTATAGAGCAAATGGTCAATAAGGCACTATCAGTATAGCAATGTCGAAAGGTCCCTGTTGGTTAAAGAACCAATGTAATCTTTCCTCCCCCCCCCCCTCTATTCGGCCCTTAACTTATAAACAAATCGTTTCCTAGTTAGTATAAGTTTCCCAACCTGACAATCTGATCTAGCTTCTGATTGATCTCTGAGCAGGATATATCTGTAGATTTATAGCAGCGCTGCTGCATCACAGTGTAGAGGACAGACGCGAAATCTCCAGCATCATCCTATTCAGAGTTCATAGTTCATAGTTCATAGTTCCGTGTTCAGTGTTCAGTGTTCAGTGTTCAGTGTTCAGTGTTCAGTGTTCAGTGTTCAGTGTTCAGTGTTCAGTGTTCAGTGTTCAGTGTTCAGTGTTAAGTGTTCAGTGTTCAGTGTTCAGTGTTCAGTGTTCAGTGTTCAGTGTTCAGTGTTCAGTGTTCAGTGTTCAGTGTTCAGTGTTCAGTGTTCAGTGTAGAGTACAGAGTGCAGAGTGTACAATGTACAGTGTAAAGTACTGTACACTGTAAGCTTGTATTCAGGAATAACTTTTTTTCTCAAACCTGTACATTATATAATACACTGTACTGGTTTCATTTTAGGATAATATAATTTCTCGAACCTGTACAGCTGTAGGAACTTTATAATTCTTCAGTTTAAGAGCATCTGCAGAATTCTTTCCTAGCTGTAGGAACTCAATATACATCCCAGCTAGAGCTGTCTCCTGGAGTAATAATAGTTATAATAGAAAGATCTAAAAGGAACAGAAGTACGATATAGAACCTCCAGACCGCCAGCAAGGTGTATCGCATCAAGTAAGTAAGTAAGTAAGTAAGTAAGTAAGTAAGTAAGTAAGTAAGTAAGTAAGTAAGTAAGTAAGTAAATAAGTAAGTAAGTAAGTAAGTAAGTAAGTAAGTAAGTAAGTAAGTAAGTAAGTAAGTAAGTAAGTAAGTAAGTAAGTAAGTAAGTAAGTAAGCAAGCAAGTAGTTATTTATTTATGAAATATAATAAAAAAATACAAAATTAAGTGTTTCAGGAGAAAATATTTAAAAACCTCCAAGAAAAGAAATTGTGGGAATATTTCCTTAAATAAAAAAAATAATATGAAAATAAAAGGAAAGGGAATAGAAAGGAAAATGAAAGTTAAATATTTATTGTTTACATGACATAAAATTAATCAATGCGACAACTGAATTAAATTTAAAATAACTCTGACCTTCATCTTATACGCTCCTCTCTCTTTATCCAGCTGAGGGACTAATAATCTTAAAACAGGAAACAGAGAGTTCTTTGTCTCAGCTGGGTTCTGAATTTTGTCAGCAAGGTGTCGACAATGTTGAAGAAATCTTTGAACATGTCGAAATCTTGCGGATTTGTCGGCTTTAACAAGTCGTTGCAGAAAATCCGTTAACTCTTTAAATGTGAGATTAGACGACCAATCCATTCTTTCTGAAATTTATGTTGTCAACACTCAACAGGTTATACACATTTTTTTTATTAAATTTTACTCTCTTAGAGAAATAATGAAAGCCATTTTTTGGAACACTAACAAAAATTTTAAAACAAAATAAAAAAATTTCCTATACAGCTATAAGCTCGATAACAAAAGACATAAAATAAACAGATTAAGAGATTCGAACTCAAAAACCAAACAAATTTTTTTAATGTCAAAATGTACAATCTTTTGATTATAATGCTGATTATTATTTTTATTAATCTAAATATGGAATGAAAGTTTATCACGTAAGCAAAGCATCCAAAATGTTCGTCAGAGTTAACGTTTTAAACAAGAAAATAAAAAACAAACATTTCTTAAATTATTTTTAAAAGTCATCAAATAAAAATGTACTGTACAGTGTACAGTGTACAGCTGAGGGTTGAAAACCCAACCTAACTAATAACTATAATTCTAATCCAAAGCTCAATGATAAGTTCTTGAACTCCCCCTGTATCCATCTTTAGCACTGATCCTTTAAACGAACCAGGACTTGAATTCATGGGGCAGAGCTCCTCTCCTAGAAGTGAAATAAAAAATGTGAACTTAAAAAAGTGACAAAAAAGATAAGATATTATAATAAAAAAGAAAACCGGTTATTCCAAGCATGCTATTAAAATTCTGTTTTTGTATTTTCTGAAAAAAACTGTTATAATCCAAAAAAATGTAGTTATTTTTTATTGAACCAACTGTTAAACAATGCATATAAAATTTAAATTTAAATTTTAAAAATACCATATAAATCTTGACTGAAAATCCCCCTATCCCAGTTTTAATTAAGGATCGCGATTGCTTTTGATAGTTTTAGACATTGTACATTCGAAACACTGGACACTAGACACTAGACAGTAGACACTGCTGTTTTAATTAAAATTTACATTTTTTAGTTTTTATGTTAGCATCGGTTGTTCAAGGATCAATCAGGAATCCGGATATGGGAAATCGTGTGGTAGATATCCTAGGCTAAAGATTAAGAATATAGGAGACAATTAAAAAATAATTTGCATTCTAGGGTGTCCCAAAAAAGTTGCACGACCGCAATTTTTTTGTTAATGATTGATCCAATGTATCTGTCAACATCAGCCAAGGCGTCCCAAAAAGAATATTCAATATTTTCTGATGGTCGTATTTTTTGGTTCACCCTGTGTGTACATGAGTATGTTGTACCTGGGATAGAATGTATGGTTGAGACTGTACTGTCCAAGATTGGTTACTCGGCTAGTGTAGATATCTGAGAACCTATTAACAGTTTTGTTAGATTTAAAATTATTAAATAAAACCATAAGAGTATTATATTGAACGAAATCATTCATATCTCCGGTAATCATGAAAACAAAATAAAGGCAGACCACATTTTGGAAATGGGTTAACTTGTGATAAAAGTTTCGTAGCAATAATTTTAAAATAAGATTGTCAAATGAATGCCGGAAACTTTTTCAAAGGTCAAGATTTATTTTAATTGTTCAAAAATTCCACTAGAACTTTAAAAATATCACAGTATAGTGTATAGTGTAAAACTACAATGGTCGGTTCAGGGAATAATCTCTACCCCCCCCCCCCCTCGTGTCTATGGTTTCACCCTCTGATTACCCCTCAAACTCGAATTTTCCAATCCCTATAACTCCACAATTTGATGGTGTAAACCTTTGATTTTGAAACAAAGACTTTCTGATCTGGCGGAATTATCGTTTAAAATATGGAAGGTCTACGACATCAGGTTGCAATGATATTAGGATTATATCAGCGAGTAATCAATTATTTTACTTTACAAACATAGGCGTCAAGGCTTTATCATCCAGGGGTGTATCATTCTAAGAATAACCCCCCCCCCAGGTCGGGGGAGGAATATTTTTGAGGAATTGGAAGAAAAAATTAAAAATTGGACATCAAAAGGAAAGTTTTTAATCCTGTTTGACACTTTCCCCAAAAATTTATACATTTTAAATGTTCGGATAGGCAGGCTCTCTGCTGTTCCAAAAATGGGCTTGCCAGTCGGATCGCTTCACGTACGAAGTGCTAGAGCGTCGGGAAACCCGTCGGTCGCAGAGTGCAATTCTACCTACCCTAACCTAAAAACTCAGTTTTCCCCATTTCAGCGAAGAAACCCTAAATATATGTATATGTACGTCGTAACGTTGGATAAAAAAAGCAGGGGGTGGGGAATATATATATATATACGTATGTCGGGGTGGGGAATATATTTACGTATGTCGGGGTGGGGAATATATATATTATTATACGTATGTCGGGGTGGGGAATTATTTTTCAAGAAAATATCCTCGATCTTCCTAAAATGTGTCATGAGTATCATCCCTAGTCTATACCTGAAAAGTTTCCTGGAGAAGTATGTAGGATTACTGTGAGATCTGAACATGGATCCAAAATGTGGATTAAACATGTTTCTTAAACTCATGGAGACAGCATCCACCTCAATCTGGATCCACAGGGTAAATTCTTTAAATATACTTTTTCTTAACTTTTTAAAAAAAACTTTAAATAATATTTAACTGTTTTCAAACTATTTTAAGAATTAAGTAACCCTTTCCTTCCAAGCTTCTATAACCTACAACAAATAGCAGTTATATTGGAAAAATCATTGATATCATATTTTTTTTTTTTTTTAGATCCATTATTGTCCTCAATTCAAACTTATATTGATGTTATGGTTGTCCTATTAAACAGGTCATGAAGTCATATGATGTCGTATTTGTCCAAATAGCTTGTCAAGGAAGAGACTGTTAATGTAATTTCAAGTGCCCTCCCATCAATGTGTAAATAAACAAAACTCCTTACACCTCCTAACCCATGGCATCCTACCCATACCTCAGTGCTATCTTACCTCCTTGGAGTGCTACCCTACCTCCTTGGAGTGCAATCCTACCTACTTGGAGTGCAATCCTACCTACTTGGAGTGCAATCCTAAAACCTTGGAGTGCAATCCTACCTCCTTGGAGTGCTATCCTACCTCCTTGGAATGCTATCCTACCTCCTTGGAGTGCTATCCTACCTTCTTGGAGTGCTATCCTACATCCTTGGAGTGCTATACTACCTCCTTGGAGTGCTATCCTACCTCCTTGGAAAGCTATCCTACCTCCTTGGAGTGCTATTCAACCTCCTTGGAGTGCTATCCTACCTCCTTGGAGTGCTAAACTACTTCCTTGGAGTGCTATCCTACCTCCTTGGAATGCTATCCTACCTCCTTGGAGTGCAATCCTACCTCGTTGGAGTGCTATCCTTCCTCCTTGGAGTGATATCCTACCTCCTTTGAGTGCTATCCTACCTCCTTTGAGTGCTATCCTACCTCCTTGGAGTGCTAACTACCTCCTTGCCCTCCTATACCCTACCTCCTTAGCCTCCGGTTCTTGAACGTCCTGGTGGTCCTCTATTAGAGATTTGAGAACTTGTTGCCAGTTAACTCCCCACTTAAACTCCTCTGTATTCATCATTGCAATCTCTTTCTCCAGTTCCCTTAAAACGATAAATTAGTTATAAAATATTTATCTAACAGTTGGAAACCATGAAACCATGTTATCCTTTACCAAACCTATTCTAATTATCAACTTTCAGTGATCATTAAAAACAATCCATAATCAACATTAACCAATTTAGTTATCTAACAATTAGAAATCATAAGAACTTATCCCTTACCAAAACTGTTCTGGTTATCTAACATATCAGTGATCATGAAAAGATAATAATCCCTTAACATGTAACAAGAACTGTTTCATTTTCATTCAATATTACTGGCTTAAATCATAAAGTTTAAACTTTCTTCTTAATAATATTTTAATTTACCGGACAAATATTTTTTAGTACATAAAAAATACTAATGTTTTAGACACAACATTTTAAATAATACTCTAGAACAGATCACCTGTGTTTCTATCCTACCTGATAACTGCAGCAGTTTTCCAACCATGATGCAGTGTAACATCTGCTAGATCTGCATACGGATGATCTCCGAAATACATGACCTTGCCTCCCTTCCAGCCGGTCAGAAGCTGGAAATGATTTAAAGTTCCACCAGCATATATTCTTCCCTTAGCCAACTCATGAACCTTTACAATATAAACACTAAATTTAGATGTGGGGAAATGGAATAATAATATATTAGAGGAAATTTGAGCAATATTGAAGTCAACTTCAGCTATATAGATTGAAAAGTCTAGAATAAGGAAAGGGGTTTTGAAAAAGATCGTTTGAACTTAATAGTTGTAATAGATGAAATTGAGAGGGAGGGTAGGGAGCTTGGAATTCAAAAGTCCAGAATGAGGATCAGGGGAAATAGCTTGGAACAAAATAGTCCAGAATGGAATAAGAGGGGAGGGAGCTTGGGATGGAATAGTCTAGAATGGGGTTAGAAGGGTGGGAGCTTGAAATGAAATAGTCCAGAATATGGATAGAGGGGAGGGAGCTTGGAATATACCAGAATGGGGTTGGAGAGGAGTGAGCTTGAGATGTATTAGTCCAGAATGGAGTTAGAATAGAGGGAGCTTGAAATGAAATAGTCCCAAATGGATAAAGGGTAGGGAGTCAAGAATGGGGATAAAGGGGAGGGAGCATGGAATGGAATCATCCAAAATGGGGATAAAAGGGGATTTAAACTGAAAGAAGGAGGGTGAACTAGTCAACAATAAGAAAGAGGTAGGTATAGGGGAGGGAGGGGAGGGAGGGATAATCAGTAATCACCTTATCCCAAAGGAAGACATTCCTAGTTAAATCTAGTTCTCTGAAAGGTTGTGCATTGTTAGTGAAGAAATGAGGTTTCCCGGCCTGTACAACTATCACCTAAACATATGTACTCTATGTACTGTACGCTTGATCTAAAATATCTGGCATGGGTTCCTCTGAGAACCAGTTTTTGTCAGGTCAGATTTCAGATTTCAAATTTAAAACAAATCTTTCCAGTTAGAGTAAAAATCAGCAATTTGTAGTAACGACCTGACAAGTTTGTGAAAATCTACAAACTCTGAACTCTATACCAATAAATCTGAAAAGTTAGTAGGGATATCTCAAATAAAATGTTCTAAAAAATGTCGAAATTTTAAAATCTAAAATTTACATCAAAAAGATCCCTCCAGTCCTCTCCAACCATATACTTCATTCCCACATCCACGGTTTCAAACGGAGAATTCGTGATGAGGAAAATTTTCTTTTTGCTCTCCATGAGACCCTTCAAGTACGGAGCTAATTCAGGGTCCTTCAAACAAACAAAATAATTTTTCATTTATCTTTTTTGAAGAAAACACGAAAGTCCAATTAAACAATATATTTACAATCAATAATAATAATTGGGGGCCTAGCGTTTCCCGTTAGTGCTTTGAGATTTATTTTATTTTTATTTCCTTGTGTAGATACAGATTTGGATTTGAGCGAATCTCAGCATGGAATGTAGCGTGAGCCAAACCTAGAAAATGAAATCAATACAAATTCTTTAAAAGAATAGGGATTTTTTTTTCATAATAAGTATTAAATATATGATATAATACTGACCAATACACTTAGATATATCATAGTAGAGGCTTTCCGGCTGATATTCTATCTCGCATGTATGGAAGTAATCCATTACAGCCGCCATTAAACTCATCTCGGGCTAAAACCAAACCGCCATTTTAAAACCATTTGTAGAAGATTCGGTCATTTAGTTTTCAGAAAACCCGAACATTTTCTTGAAGATTTTGTTTTGATTAATCTTTTAGAGGAAACCGACAATGTTGTTAATAATATCTATAATTTTGTTTTTAAAACACTCCTTCTTTTTGATTTTAATAAAAAACTGCATCCAGCTAGTTGGGATATTTTCTTCGGAAATTAATTTTCTCTGTAAAACGGAATTCCTTCAGCATTAATGTTTTGGATATTACAGATTTTTCTTTTGAACAGACAAGAGAACTTTGTGTGGAGCAACGTTAGTCTTGAAAGCTTGATCTAGATATCCAATGTGGTCACTATTAAATTGGATGAATGCTTGATCCCTCAATTAAAGTTATTCCGTGATACGAGCACCAAGGGATATTAAAGAGGAATTAAAATAATCCGTAGATCTACTAAGATGGAGATCAATGCTTGATCCCAAGATTTACATGAGTTCTGACTTCTTGGCAAATAAATGTTTGTTTAAGTTCCTTTGAGAAAATGTCGACTAGTTGAACCATCTTTACGTTCATTGGTTTAGGAGTTAGGAAACTAGATTCTAGAATATAAGTAAATTCATTATGTTTGGTAGTTGTGTAGGTTTGGTTGTTGTGTATGTTTGGTTGTTGTGTAGGTTTGGATGTTGTGTATGTTTGGTTGTTGTGCAGGTTTGGTTGTTGTGTATGTTTGGTTGTTGTAAAGGTTTGGTTGTTGTAAAGGTTTGGTTGTTGTGTGTGTTTGGTTGTTATGTAGGTTTGGTTGTTGTGTATGTTTGGTTGTTGTGTAGTTTTGGTTGTTGTGTAGGTTTGGTTGTTGTGTTGGTTTGGTTGATGTGTAGGTTTGGTTGTTGTGTAGGTTTGGTTGTTGTGTAGACCTGGTTGTTGTGTAGGTTTGGTTGTTGTGTATGTTTGGTTGTTGTGTAATTTTGGTTGTTGTGTAGGTTTGGTTGTTGTGTAGATTTTGTTATTGTGTAGGTTTGGTTGTTATATATGTTTGGTTGTGTAGGTTTGGTTGTTATGTAGGTTTGGTTGTTGTGTAGGTTTGGTTGTTGTGTAGGTCTGGTTGTTGTGTAGGTCTGGTTGTTGTGTATGTTTGGTTGCTGTGTAGGTTTGGTTGTTGTGTAGGTTTGGTTGTTGTGTAGGTTTGGTTGTTGTGTATGTTTGGTTGCTGTGCAGGTTTTGTTGTAAAATTATTATATTATACCCTAAGGCAAACCTATATTGTTTGATTAAATAATGTTTTAATTTGCTCATATTTATCTATATATTTGTACCTAGATAATTTACAGGTAAATGTCGTCTTTTATATAATTTTAGAACATCTTTGTCGGACAGTTTCTCTCGTCCTCTTTACAACACAGCTTGAGATTAGGCCTTAACTTTTATAAGGGAAATTTCACGAAATATAGTGTTTAAGGAAAATCTATGATTTAAACGATAAGGTCAACTTTTACTTACGTACTCCCACCGATTGACAAAGTGCCTGTAAAAAGTTGGTTTCTATGACATTTTCGGAGAAAGTTTGTCATAAAATTCTCCTTACAGAAACTTCTGATAGAGATCGAAGTAGAACCAATCGATAGTTAATTTGAATATAGATCACACTTTATAGAGTTTTACTATAATATTTAAAAAAAAACTTTCATATTCAATATTTTTTATTGATGCTGTAAGAGTGCAAAAAGTAATTTTATAAGCAGTAATTCCTGTAAACTGTTCCAAGCTGAATCTGATGAAAACTGTCAACCTTGAGAAACAATCCTTTCTCAACATCATAGTGAAGACCTCTGCAAAAAATTAAATATTTAATAAAAATTTTAATCATAATTTATATTTTCATATGCAGGATTAACCACAATGGATGAAGCTTTAAAAAACGACCGGAAACGAATCTACGGTTACATGAAGTCTTTTGACTGGATTATAGCCATTTACTGGATTATATAATGATATTGCAAAGGAAGAAAAAAGTTTACAGTTGCAGGGGATCCTAAGTATAAGGAAACAGACAGTATAAATTCTGTACAATCGTCTCTGAAATCGCATTCTTTGTACAGGCTCACATTCCAATTTCTATATTTGAGGTTTAATATTTGAAAATTTGAATAAAGCAAATATTTTGTTTTCGATATCAAATAAAAATGGTGGACCTGATAGCAAAGTTGGGATCATAGACAACCTTTCCTACTCCTACCGGGTATCCGTACTTCTTAACTAAATATTTATATATAGGATAAAATTCATTCAGTTCTCCTACTCCAACCGGGTATCCGTACTTCTTAACTAAATATTTATATATAGGATAAAATTCATTCAGTTCTCCTACTCCTACCGGGTATCCGTACTTCTTAACTAAATATTTATATATAGGATAAAATTCATTCAGTTCTCCTACTCCTACCGGGTATCCGTACTTCTGAACTAAATACTTATATATAGGATAAAATTAATTCAGTTTTCCTACTCCAGCCGGGTATCCGTACTTCTTAACTAAATATCTATATATAGGATAAAATTCATTCAGTTTTCATTTTCTTCATCTATATATAAAGTTGTACTCTATGTTTGTTTGTTTGTATGTCCGATCATAACTTAGAAACTCTTAATATTAAAATTATAGTAATTGAAGTATTTTGAATGGGAACCTAGAAAGAACCACGGGAATTCAGGGAATTATATTTTTTGTTCATTAACTTTTGATAGTTTATACAAAAAAAATCCTTCCTTTCAGTCATTTGTTTTTTGTTCTTTTTCCAAGTTAGCAAAAATCCGCAGAAAAAATGCACACAAACATTACAAAAATATTGGAGAAACAAACTGATTTAGAAGAGGAAGGTGGTGTGGGGGGATTTTTCAAGAAAATAAATATACCAGTTTTTTTACTAACAATAACTGATAAAAAATTACCTAAATGCTCCTTTGCAATATCATGAATAAGATACTCTACACCCTTCTTGTAGCTAGCCAGTGTGTAATCATAATCAAACCCATAGATCTCAACCTAAACTTTGCAATATCATTAATAAGATACTCTAAACCCTTCTTGTAGCTAGCTAGGGTGTAATCATAATCAAACCCATATATCTCAACCTAAACTTTGCAATATCATGAATAAGATACTATTCACCCTACTTGTAGCTAGCCAGGGAAGGTTACCCTATAAGAAGGGGGGGAGGGGGTCACTGCACATTTAATAACAATTTCTATTTCGAAAAATGTGTTATTTTTTGTGTGCTCTTCTAACGATATAAAAACTAGAAATTTATCAGAAAACTTTTATTAAGTTTTAATCCTTTACCAAGAACTAAACGCACAGATGCTTATACATTATCTTAGCCTTTTTTGACATTCTAGGGAAAGGTTTACCCCTGGAATTCACACTGCTCAGAGTACCCTTAAAATATGTATGCAATGTATACCTCGGACAAATCTATCTGATCATTACAAAACGCTGCTTTCGTCTCAATGTCTGGCGGTAATTTCTTGCATCTAGGATCGTAGACTAGTTATTTAAAAAAAAAACTAAAATATTTAGAATTGAAAGATTTAAAAAAATCCATTTTAATAAGGTTGTTATTATGGGTGATCCTCCATTTTCAGATTGGCATGTCTGATTCGCAACGATACCCTTTAGTGATGACGTATAATTATTACTGGGTAAGCTCCAAGATAGTGTACATTTGCAAATGTTTTAGGTATCTCTTATTTTTAGCAATAAAAATATGAATATCTACGTCATGCATGATTAGATATTTAGAGTGTACCATTGTGAATCACACATGCCTCTGTAAATGGAAGGTAACTTAAGATTACGTCTACAGCCCTTGTACGTGTATTTTACATCTTTTACGTTGTACGTTACAAATGTGCGGATATATATCCAGACGTTAAACTTGTGAGGTAGAGCTATCTATCTATAATGTTTGATCACAATATCCATTATGATCATTTTTAAATTTGCTTGATATCTCAGAGGAACTAATTTAATCCTATGAACGACAAAATATACGGATAACTGCTTGATCTGGGGATTCCAGCTTACTTTAACCGATTAACAAATCAAATTTTTGTTAAAAATGCAAAGAAACAAAAAAGCTTGACAATTCAATTAGTGACAGAGATAATGATAGTCTCGGACCTAAGCCAGCTCTTTGCTTGCTCGTAATTGGTCCAAAGATCTTCGCTTGTAAACGTTCTCTGAATACAGGCGTTGATCTGAACACAACCTCTCCGGTTTAAACCAGTCACAGCCCGAACACATATCTGCATTTTCTAACCTGAAACCAGGAATTAATAAGAATTAAGGATTGTGTATTTATTTCTGTATAGGGTTCGGCGAGAAGAGGTCAAATACAAATTACAAGACGGTAAATATATATTCTTAGACAATTATGCTAAATAAAATATTTTTAAAAGGCAGGGTCTTACATTTTCCAAAAATTTGACGAATTTTAAAGAAAAGAAACTTTTTGGTTAGTTCAACCATATTTAATAATTTAACACACAAAAAAATCTTTTAATCGTTCACTTAATTACAAAATAAGAAAAACGTGTATTTATTATAGGAAAATATAATCCCCTGCACAATATGGCACGACTTGTATACAGCGTATACTAGTGACTTTTCAACTAATGGTAAGTATACAATAGTACAAATATAGACGAATGAATATAATGCATGCTTTATGTATGTATGTATAAAGTGAATATTAAGTAGTAAAATATGGTTTTATTAAGACAGGATCTTAATCGAAGTTCTCTTAAAGATCCAGTATCCGAGCCAAGCTCCGAGAGTAAGTGAGAGAAGGTTTGTTGCAATCAGAGCTGGGAAGTATCTGGATATCTGGGATTTCTCCGTTTTCCTCTCTTCACTATCACTCTGGTTCCCGGAGGAGGCCTTAGAGCTTGCTATTCTCCAGTTCCTAGGAGGGAGCATGTTAGGTCTTGATCTCCAGTTTACTCCATATACTTCCTCAAGAACCTCAGGTTCTCTATTCACAACCACACCGCGCAGGTTCTCCTCAAAATTCGCCAACTCCGTATTTGGACTATTCGGCGGAGACTTTGGGGAGGCGGAGGGGGTATTCTTACAGGTGGAGGAGAGCGACATCATGGCGGAGCTGATGGGGGAAACCCGGGCGGAGGATCGGGCGGAGTGTTCCTTCTGTGCTTCCCGGAGCATCCTAATATAATCATTGTCTATGTTGAAGGGAACAGGAGTAGTTCGTCTAGGAGAGGTGGGAACAGGAGAGGAAAACTGTATTCCTGTTTCTCTAAATCAGAAATTGAAATATTAATTTAAAGAATATGCTGAAATAATACCGAGTTATTCACAAAGGATTAGACTTCAATGACGAGCTGAAATACAGATTTTTGATGGTATTTCAATAGAACTTGCAAAAACTAAAAGCAAGTTTACAGCAATAAGACTCAATGAAGGAAAGAAAAAGACTGAAATCACAGCCAATTTGTGGGTAACCCAGTTTAAACAATTTATATTTCTTTTTTAATCTTTGATTAACATACTCAATCCACACAAGTCAAAAATATAAAGAGAAAATTGTAAATCATTTTTAGGCATCAGGCCCTACTAATTATTAGCATACTTCAGAACAACAATTTGAACATTTCGAGTAGAAAAACTATCGGAATAAAGCTCATCTATGGGAGGGTGAGTAGCTGCCGAAATAATCTCAAATAAACTGGATAAACCTGGATAAATCAACCCATGAGCTAGTGGCACCAGGAGGTGTGTCAGTCATTTTGTCTCTGAAAATGTAGTTCATTTGATCAATTTGGTAAGTTGATTTTAGGAGAAAAACTCCATTTACGTAACATTTTTATTTCAAATTCGCCAAACAGCACACAAAACCGAGCTTGATTGTTAATAAATTACCTAATATTCCTTATTAGGGCTCAGTTTCATTTGCCATAATTACACTTGCCATAATATCTTTGCCATAAGTAACACTTGCCATAAGTTACGCTTGCCATAAGTCACACTTGCCATAAGTTACACTTGCCATAATGGTTACACTTGCCATAATTACACTTGCCATAATTACTTTTGTCATAATTTTCTAATTTTTAAAAAGATATAAATCTCTCTTTTTTTATTGCAAAGGCGGGAAATTTTATCATGAAAATTCCCAACTTTAGTTTTCTCATTGTTTTTAGCAGACTAGTTGACTCAAGTTCAGCTCCATATTTCCTCACAATGGAGGACCGTTGAGACCACAAGTAAGGGTAAACCAATAGTTCGAGACAACAACAACTACACCTATGTAGACAATGCCTTGTCTACAGAAGTAAATTATTGGAAATGTTCGGCTAAAATGTGCTAAGTTACAATTCGACCCCGAATTCGAACTGTCACTGATTGTAATTTGTATTTAATTTGTAATTAAAAAATATATATCTATATGTTTGTTAATTTTAACCAAATTTTAATTATGGCAAGTGTAATTATAGCAAGTGTAATTATGGCAAGTGTAACCATTATGGCAAGTGTAACTTATGGCAAGTGTAATTCATGGCAAGTGTTACTTATGGCAAATGTATTATGGCAAATGTATTATGGCAAATGTAATTATGGCAAAAGTATTTATGGCAAAAGTATTATGGCAAATGAAACTGAGCCCTTATTAGGCTGAATTCGCTGAATATGGTCTCAGGCATGCAAGGTAATTTCCTTGAGAACGATTTTTGGACCCCCCCCCCCCTACCTCCCTCCTATCAATTTTGTACATGGATCTCGTATGTAACACATAGATATAATTGGCCATGTGGCCGCAGCGTCAGGCCCCTTAGCATGTCCTAACCGCGGCGATCGGCCCCTAACCTGTCCCAGCCGCAGCGCTCTGCCCAGTTAAATTGTCTTAACCTCCCTAAAATAATAAAAAATAAATAATTTCACTGAAAAAAAGTGGTCATGTACAAAATTTATAGAAGGGGGAGGGGTTGTCCAAGAATCATTATCTAGGACGACCAGCGTGCTATGATAAAATGTATTGTACGAAATTTATCTATTGGAAAAAATCACGTAGGCAATCTACGATACCAACTATCAAATGTATAGTTAAGCCGTTATATTTATGTCTAAAGATTAAATTCGAAAAGATTCATAATTATTTTCATTACGATTCTATTTCATTCAATTTGCTTCAATTGTTTCATTTAAATGCATTTTTATGATTGAAATAAAACAAATATTGGTTCAATACTATTATCTTAATTGTCTGAATTCCCAGAAATAATCAACCATATCCCAAATTATATTATTTACAAACAAATAAACAAAAAATTGTTGAAATGAACTCAAGCATGTGTAAGATGAGTAAGATAAGACGTAAAAAATAAAGTAACACAAAGGGTCTGCTGATCCTGCACTAGCAGAAAGTTTTCTATAGAATGTTGTTTTGAAGAAAATATTTGGTTTGGTTTCAGCTAACTGCGGATTTTAAATAATGCGCCTCAATATTTTAAAAAGTTCAAGTTCGTTTTACAAATTCTTTGCATCTGTACAATCACTGTTTTACTAAAGGTTCCCTGTATCCCTCCGTGTTCTCTGTATCACTTCAGGTTGCCGTATCTCTCCTGTTTTACTTTGTATCTCCTCATTCCCCGTATCTCTCCCTGTATCTCGCATCGTTCCCAGTATCTCTCCTGGTTTCCTGAATCTCTCCGGGTTGCCCGTAACTCCTCTCTTTTACTTTATATCTCCCATGGTTTCCTGTTTAACTCCTAGTTCCCTGTAATCTCTCTTGGTTACCTGTATCTCTCCTAGTTCCCTGTATCTCTCCTGGTTCTCTGTATAACTTCAGGTTGCTTGTATCTCTCCTGTTTTACTTAATATCTCCTAGTTCCCTTTATAACTCCTTGATTTCTGATCTCTCTTGGGTCCCTGTATCTCTCCTGTTTCCGGCCGTATTTCTCCTGGTTCCCTGTATCTCACCTGGCTCACTAGATTTCCCCTGGTTCCATCTCTCCTGACTTCCAAGATTTGTCCTGGCCGGTTCCCTGTATCTCTCCTGGCTTCCTAAATTTCACCAGGTTCCGTATCTCGCCTGGCTCCCAAAATTTCTCATGGTTCATGTATCTTCTTTAGTCCCTGTCTTTCTCAATTGCTAACAAGGCTATATTACTCATGGTTCCCTGTATCACTTCAGGTTGCTGTATCTCTCCTGTTTTACTTAATATCTCATAGTTTCCTGTATCTCTCCTGGTTCCCTATATCTCTCCTGGTTCCCTATATCTCTTATGACTTACTAGATTTCTCCTGGTTCCCTGCATCCCTCCTGGCTCCCTAGATTTCTCCTGGTGCCCTGTATCTCTCCTGGTTCCCTGAATCTCTCCCATGGCTCCCTAGATTTCGCCAGGTTCCCTGTATCTCTCCAGGCTCCCAAAATTTCTCATTGGTTCCAGTATCTTCTCCAGTCCCTGTCCCTCTCAATTGCTTACAAGGCTGTATCTCTCCTGAGACTCCTGATTCCCTATATTTATTTATTTATTTAAAGAGAATCGCTGGGGTTGTTCCTGGCCCCAGGCAATCCCACTCATCAGCACTCCCCCTAATGACACGTGTATTCCTCACGCCTGAGGTAGTCTGGGTAGTCCGCTTAAGGCATGTACTATTTAAGAACCCTGAATTCAAGCGTACCCGGATGTAGGGATACCAGAACCCGTAGTATTCTGTAGCCCCAGGCCAACATCCTTGGCCCCCTTAAACTCTTCGTTTAGTATGATCTTTAGCCTAGTACATGAACATCTTATCCATTTATCTTTCCAGGTAATATTAAAACCCTGCATTAATTACATTTATTGTTAATCCGGGTCCCTCTCATACCACGATGATGGGTTTTCCCCTATTTTATCAATTTTGTTACCTGTTCTCATGGATATTCGGCTTGCTAGGATGGAATAAATCCGCTTATTGTCAAGACTCAGGATGCATTATTCTGGCAAGTTCCTCGTTCTGATGAGCCACTGTCCTACTAGTTGGTGAATACGCATAGCTCTGTTTCTAAGTTCACCCATCCCAGCTCTATCTTGTCCAAGATATTTTCTCAGGATAATACTTGTAGATCTTATGGTTCCCTGTATCAATCTTAGTTTCTTGTATCTTCCCTGGTTCCCTTTATCTCTCCTAGTTTCTTGTATCTCTCCTAGTTCCGTAAATCTCCTCTGGTTCCCTGTATCTCTAGTTCCTCCAACATCTGATCTCCAATAATTCTCTACATATGTATCTTCTAGTTCCCTTAAACTCGAGGGTTCTCAGGTTCTCTGAATCTCGTTGGTTCCATGCATATTTCCTGGTTCCTTGATCTCTCATTATTCACTACATTCTCCTTCGTTTCCTTAATCTTGCTGGTTCCTTGCTTATCTGATGATTTATAAAGTCTTGTTCTCCTGGTTCTCTTGACAACTCCCTAAATATCTATTAATCTTCTATAGTTCCCTAGATCTCTATATTTATCTCAACTTTCTATGTAAGTTAAAGTCTTGTTCTCCTGTTTCTCTTGATAACTCTCTAGGTATCTACTAATCTTCCATAGTTCCCTAGATCCCTATATTTATCTCCACTTTTTATGTAAGGAAAAGTCTTGTTCTCCTGGTTCTTTTGATAACTCCCTAAATATCTATTGATCTTCTATAGTTCCCTAGATTTCTATATTTATCTCAACTTTCTTTTTAAGTTGAAGGTTCTCCTGGTTCTCTTGATAACTCCCTAGGTATCTACTAATCTTCTATAGGTCCCTAGATCTCTTAAATTATCTCTACTTTTTATGCAAGTTAAAGTCTTTTTCTTCTGGTACTTTTGATAACTCCCAAAATATCTATTAATCTTCTATAGTTCCCTAGATCTCTATATTTATCTCTACTTTCTTTGTAAGTTAAAGTCTTGTTCTCCTGTTTCTCTTGATAACTCCCTAGGTATCTACTAATCTTCTATAGTTCCCTAGATCCCTATATTTATCTCAACTTTCTATGTAAGTTAAAGTCTTGTTCTCCTGTTTCTCTTGATAACTCCCTAGGTATCTACTAATCTTCTATAGTTCCCTAGATCTCTATATTTATCTCTACTTTCTATGTAAGTTGAAGGTTCTCCTGGTTCTCTTGATAACTCCCTAAATATCTATTAATCTTCTATAGTTCCCTAGATCCCTATATTTATCTCAACTTTCTTTGTAAGTTAAAGGTTCTCCTGGTCCAAGGGTGACTTTAAGTTACGTCTCAGTCCCTGTAGTAAAATAATGGTTAACAACCTAATATCCCTTTTCACCAGTTCTACGTCGTGTGACCATAGATTTCAAAACTGTTTTATGTTAAAGATTACTTTTATTAAACTTTACAATCAGGTATTCAGGGGGGGGGGATATGGGGGCTCAGCCTCCCTCGGGAATAGTGGAGGCTTTGATTTTCAAGGGGGTTCAGCCCTCCCCACCCTGTTAAGGAGCGGCCACTTATCAAAGCCCCCCCCCCCCCCAAACCACTATAGAAATTAGACTGAGTAATGACGTTTAGTTTTAAATTTCGAGCGATTTATATCTTCAATTATCAGAGAAGATTTTTGCCTCAGAGATATATGTAAATTTATAACTTGTAACTTTTTGAACCATTAAAAGGTCAAAATTCTTTCAGATAATTCTTTGTGGTACTTTATTTTCAGAAAACAGCCCCTGTTTTAGGTTGGTTTTATCGGTAAAGGGGGGGGGGCAAATGTGAATAATAGAAATTTAGAAAACATTAATTAATATTTCATTATGCCAATTTAGAAAATATAGGTAAAAAACAAAAGCACATCACAAACCATAGGTACAAGCTAACCCACACTATGATTACGCTGTAACAGAGCACTGTATGACACTCCTTAGTTTAAAATGGAAGACAAATATTTTTTCATCAATGATTTATCCTGCCTAGGACGAAATTCAGTGAAGAAATGTAATGCATATAAACCGTTATGTATTGTAATTCTTTTTCTTTGTTGCATTTTTAAGACCAAATATAGATTTGAATAATAATAAATTATTTCAAGTTCAAGAAAAGTGGTTCAACAAAGTTTGCGTATTTACTTCTACTTACTGTTCATTCAGTTTGGTCACAGACAACATTTTAGTTCAGAATCTTCGTGTCAAACTTACAAACATAAAATTCTAAAACCTTTGGAATTTTGATACAAACCAAAATAACTCATTTGACTTAATATGATCTTATTATGAGAAATACGTTTATTTACGGTAAGGTTTTTCAATCATCAATTCAGACAAAATTATTTCCGAAATAATAAAAAATTTAAGACAGGGTGTTCCTCAAGGTCCTCCTGTTGAACCCTATCTATAGAAGGAACGATCATTTACCTGACTGACACTACGCTCACACAATATAAATTATAAAACATAATCCATCTCGTATCTAGCGTAGGAATTCTTAGCATCGTTTGGTATTCTCGGATACCCAACTATTAGTGCGTCCTGACCGCCGATATAGAGCTGGTTATAAACCTTCCAGTATACGTCCCTCACCTTCCTAGCAGGGTGATAGAGACCCTGCATACAGTACTGGAGAACCTTGATAGGTCCCAGGGCTACCCGCATACCCTCGATAGCGTCCATGAACGCTTGAACGAGATGGGGAGAGGTTTCGAATACGTTCGGCCAAACGAAGTTCATGAGATGGACGAGGGCGTCCTCGCAGCCGAATCCGAACACGCCAAGGGCCATGTGTTTGATTGCAGCACACGCTGTCTGTCTGTGCACAAGATCTCTGAAATTAGAAAAAAAACTTAAAAATCATCAAAAACGAAAAAATCTTGAGAAAAAGTTGCGCAATAACTTTAATTTGATAAGCTTCAAAAATAACAAAAATAACACTATTCTTGTGTTAAATGTGAACTTGTATTTGTTTAAACATATAGCTAGCTTCTTTATAACGCATCGGCCCTAACAAAAAAAAATTATAAACCACATCATTGATTTTTTTCTCCGAAATATTTTTTAGAAAATTGTAAGAATAATAGTTTACCTGTCCATGAGAGCATCTTCTAGAAGAGGAGTAACAGCGTAAATATAATCTTTACCCATCTCTCCGATATATTCGAACAAGAAAGAAAGAGATTTAAGAACTCCGTTCTGGACATTTAACTCCGGAACCTGAAACAGAAACTAGTTAGTCAATATCCAGGCGTAGAGGTAGGCAAGGATACATACCCTATATTCGTTCATGAGTCCTGGGAGAACGGTGAAGGGGGAGCAGGTCTCGGCTACAATGGCGATAGCTACGGTGGTGCACACTCTGTTCTGTCTTTCCTGCACCTTCAAGTTGTTCAACAGGGTCGCCAACACATCATGGGGTCTATAGAGTACATTTTTATTCAACTAGAATAATTTAAAGTTATATTTTTATATTTAAAATCACTTACAAAGATTTAGACTTTAGAGAATGATAAAAAATTGGATTCCGAATGGCAAATTAATTCGTTCTTTTAAAAACCAAAACCCGGAATTTTTTTTTTCTCCGGTTCTGCGAAACAACTCTTTCTATTCTTTTGGGCTATATTTATATAGAAAAAAAGTATGATTCTTGAAATGGGTTCTATGGGAAATATTTGGACAAATCAAATCAAATAACATCAAATAAAATAAAATCAGGATGTCCTGCCGAACATATCCCAAAATTGAGATGAATTTGCTATATCAAGAACAAAGAGAGATAATATAGTTTGACGATGTTTACATTTGTTTTTTTTACTGGATTAAATATTTTTTTTTTGGGGGGGGGGATTTGTCTTTTTAAACTTATCCAGGTACTTATATTTAAAGACTTTATTAACTTAATTTACTTACCCGATAGCTTTAGCAATATATCCAAAAGTATTAACAGTAGCTCTTCTAATCGCCTTCTTGTGCGCTTTTAATAGCTCTAGGAGTTCAAAACAGATTCGCATCCATTCTCTTGCAGAAACATATTCGGGACCTACAAGTAGTATTTGTTTGACAGCTGATCTAGATTAATCTAATAAATAATATTAGTCAAACTCAGATATAAGAGAAATAGCAGGAGTGAATATTTTACTAAAAATAAATAAATATTTTCCCAGAAGTTAGGTATGTTGGCCAAATTTTTTGGGTTTAATTCGAAAATGAATTATTTTCAGGGAAAACTAAATAAATTTTTGTGTAAAATGTATTAAAAATCATCGAAAAAATGCAAGTTTTTATGTTCATGTTTTCATTTTTTCCCCGGACCTTCATTAAGCATAAATTCTTAAAATCTCCCGAGAAGTAGTTCAAATATCTCTTTCTAGTTACGCTAAACTAGGGAATTCTAACCTAATCAATTTTTTTTAGAGCTTTTGTCATTCAGAAATTTTTCGGATTCTTAAGAATATTTTTTGGGTTAAGATAGAAATCATTTAAATTACCTCTGTCTGCAATCCTTCCCACAAGATCTATACAATTCTCCTGAACCTTCTCATGTCTGTTCTTCAGGATCGGAGTCAGCCTTGGGAGAAGATCCTTGATCGGAGGAGTCATCTTGGTCATTCCAATAACATTAACGATAGCTTTGAGAGCTCCGAGGATAGATCCTAAAACCTCGGGATACTCCTCTCCTAGATACTCGTACAGAACAACCTAGAGTACACAGCGTTCAGAATGATTTTAAATTTGAAGTGGCATGTTATGAAAAACAGATGAAAAAAATAACTAATTTAACTTAGAATGTCAATGAAAATTTGTGGGAAAGTGCAAGATTTGTTTTAAAAAGAAAATTGAAGATGTAAAAAGATTAGAGATCGTTAAAAATAGAAAAATATCAAAAATCCTTTTTGAGGTCCATGTGGTTCCGAAACAAACATTAATTGCCAATCTTAATTTGTAAATTTCCAATTGATTTTAGATCTACTTTCGTAGTCAGCCCTAGAAATAATTGTCATTATCGGCTTGTAGACGGGTGAGTACTATACATATACATCCTAGCTCTATTTTTAATTAAGAAACTAGTAAGTTTAGGATCAAAAGACTCAGGCAGAGAAACTTCTTCTCAAACAGTTTAAAAGTACCTAAAATGAGAAATATGCACTGCAGTGCAGGGGTACATTTATATTCATGAAAATTATTTAACCCCCCCCCCTTCTGCTTCTTGCATCTTCTGTTTACCCACAAGCATTTCTGGAATTGTTCAGGCTTTTTCGCGGAATCCCCCTGACGGCCCTGAGATTATGTTGAACCTTACCCCTAAATGTCCCATGAGCTTCTCCTCCTGACAGGTCTTCATGACAACAGCAATCCTGGAGATAAGATCGGCGGCCTGCTGCCGAACCTTGGCCGATTTATTGTTCAACCTCCAAAGAATTGTTCCACAGATCTGTGGCAGGTATGGTTTGACACGTTTACTCAAACTGTTAACGATAGTACCGAATCCGTTCAACATAACTACATCCTCGGTAGTTTGTTCCTGGGAATATAAAACATGAAAAATCAATTTTAAGACAAAATTTTAATTTTAATTTTGAAATGCAGTATTTTAGGAATTGATAGCTCGCTTTAAGCTACAATTTGTTACTCCCTATATCTTTGTAACCTTTTGATGCTGATTATTTCAAACTTTGAATATTTGCTCTAGCAGAATTCACAGTTTAAAATAACAAAGGTACAAGCCAAACAACCGCAACAATAAAAGGATTAGGAAATAAAGTTTGTGTGGATTCACTAGGTACTGTTTAATCAGATCTGTAGGTGAAACAAATGCAAACAAATATTCTTGTACTTTTTTAATTTTAAATAAATCTTTGTGCCAGTTCCTATGATTGACTATTTTTATTTCTAAGAATTGTTCATGTGCAAAGATAAGATTCTTAACGCTATAAAAAAACTTTGTAAAAAATTCTCTGACCTGGAAAGCGTACAAAATGCCGTCAATGAGCTGTTCCTCCAACCTACTGTCCACATCAGCAGCTCCCAACCCTCCCATGATCTTCTCGATGGACTCCATCACCATTTTCCTGTACTGCTCGTTCTCATCCTTTAAGTCGTCCACCAACCTAAACAATCATGATAAATATATTTGTAGGTCTAATAGAAGACATTTCTAAAAATGCTTCGACGCAGACTTACTTGCGGAATTTTGGTACCTTACATATATTATTGAAATTATTGTTTAAAAAGCATAAAAGCTAAAAATTGAAGAAAAGTTGAAAGCCTTTTAAGCGTTCTTAATAACCTTTTAGAAAACAAATGGCCCAACCCGTCAGCAAAATATAAATTTATTAACTCAAAATTGACAATGCAAAATAATTTTACCTATTAATAATTTCTGATGCTCCAACTCTGTTCGCAATCTCGACTGTAGTGTCCACCAACTGCCTGTAGTTCCTTCTGTCCAACGCCATCCTGTGGTTCCAGAAGTGTTTAAAGAAATGCGGGAGAATATCGTCTTTAATGTACTGCGCCTCCACACCATCCGTACTGCAGCATTGTTTAACAACCTTGAGGACGATCTTTTTCATCTCCTCGTCGGGAGACTGGAACTCCCTGATCAGGATCAACATCACCTCCCTCGTGTAGTAGTTGGCGTACTCGGCGTCCATCAACGGGATCAGATATCCAATAGCCTGAGAAATATAGATTAAGTAAAGACTGCCAGAGCCGTGTCAAAACACGCCAACAAATAAAGTATTCAAAGTTGGATTCTCAGATCATCCAAAACTTAGAAACTCACAACTCAGAACGCCCCCAAATGCCCCCCTCCCCCCAAATTTGCTTAATTTGTCCAATTATTAGAAAATCCATAATTTTTATCTTACCTTTAGGAAAGCAGCTAAACCCTTTCCTCTATGAGTCCTGATACCCTTCCAAAGAGGTTTGAGAACGGAGTCAAAGCTCTCAATACCATACGGAGTGGCGGCTTCAGCTAGAGCAGCCAAGGCCAGAGCAGTAATAGTTCTTACTTTCTGCTGCTCATCAACCAATCCGTGCTCGATGATCTCAACAAGAGCTCGGAGATGGGGCAGGATCGCACATCCCATGAGAATAGCGATCTGTTGAACAATCTTGATACCAGTATGACGCGCCTGCCAGGACTTCTTGGATCTACACACGGCCTTCAAGAAGGGGAGAAGGGAGGGGATCCCTAGAGCTGACGCAACAACAGCGAAGGCTCGAGCTGTTGTGTTTCTGACGTACTCGTCAATGTTGTCAATATCGGGTCTCATGGTTGAGATCATAGTGGCGAGTCCGGCCGCCTTAGCAAGGTTAGAGATGATCTCTCGTCCCTCAACACGAGCGTAGTAGTCCTCGTCAATCAGAAGTGGTTCAATGACGACCAAAATTTTATGAACATAAGGACGAACAAGATCGTCAAGCTTGTAGAGAACACGATCGATAACCTTGACGAGAAGATGTCTCTCTTGATCCTCCAGAGTTGGAGACATGAGAAGGGGAAGGATCTGGTTAAAGAGTGGTCCTGCTCCGAACTCTCGAGCCTTGTCTGTAATTCTTCTCAGAGCCGACTTTCTCATTGGAGGAGTTCCGTTCTTGATTTTCAGGAGAAGTTTCATGATGGTTCGTTCCTTGAGCTCCTCAGGAGACAACATCTCTTCATCAACATCAACAAGAAGTTTGTCGAAGTACTGCGCATCCTCAGGCTTGAGAAATGGAAGATTTTGTCCCTTAGGTTGATTATCAACAAACTTTGCAGATTTATCCAAAGTTTCTGTCTGCATGTAAAATCCTTGAGGGGTCGCGCCCAGCATAGGAGTGGGAGTAGCTGTAAGCTTCCTTGCGGGAGTCCTGATCGGGATGTATCCTGTAGGAGGTTGGAGAACTTTATATCCAGGAGGAAACATATGATCCAGGTCGTCATCGGAGAGAGGACGGTTTCTCTCATCAATCTCTTTCTCCCAACGATAGGCCTGCATCTGCTCAGGAGTCATCTGCATCATCTGTGCAGGACTAGGAGTTGCCATGCCCATAGCTTTCTGCCCAATTGGAGTAACTCCGCTTGGAGTCATCATACTGGGTGTAGCTCCACTAGGAGTCATACTTGGAGTAGCTCCTGGAGTCATACTTGGGGTAGCAGATCCACTGGGAGTAGCTCCTCCGGGTGTCATGCTAGGAGTAGCTCCGGGGGTTTCGTCCCACCTAGATCTACGCTTACTGGCAGACGGAGTAGGAGTCTCCGATATAATCTTGTCTCCAGGTTGTGTAGATCGGGGAGTTTCAGCCCAACCTGCGTGAGCCGGAGTTTCACGATCTGTTCTTGGGGTTTCATCCCACCTATTCCTTCTAGTACTAGCACTAGGAGTAGCTGAACCATGCCCAGGGGTTTCTGCTCCCTGGTTCTTCTCCCTACCCGGAGTAGTGTGAGCGGGAGTAGGATCCCACATTCTGTTACCAGGAGTACTTGCTCCTGGAGTTTCTGAGCCAGGATCCTTCCTACCAGGAGTCTCTGCCCAGGCGGCGGAGTGGGACGGAGTAGTTGCTTCAGCAAAGAAAGCTGCAGCGGGTTTCTTAGCTGTCTTTGACGGGGTTTCGTCCACAGTTTGATCCCATCTCCCTTTCCTCTTAGGAGCTGCTTTAGCTGCTCCATTCGTGTCAACTGCCTTGAGAGTTCCGTCCTTCGCCTTCTCCGCCATCTGTTTTCTGTAATCCGCCTCTGTCCCTTTTAGAGACTGTTCCTTCATGATCTCAGCATATCCTCGAGACCCAACCTCCGGAGTTTTACCTCCATCCGCGAACGGATCCAACCTCGCCGGAGAAATCTGTTGTGCGCGTCTTCTCGCCTGATATTCAGACTCGCGACTAGCAACAGTAGGGCGCTTGTGCTCGGAGAACGGATCATAATCCTCGTTACTCTTGGCAACATCATTAAGGAGAGCCAGGGGTGCAGTATAGGACGCTCTCTGTCCTCTTCGCTCCGGGGCCATACCTTCATCGTCGTCATCTTCCTCCTTGGATGCAATACTCGTCATATATCCCTCGAACCTACCCTTCCCTCCGTAGATCTCTGTATCGAATATACCAGATTCATTGAGTCCAACACGTTCATTCTCCTTAGGAATATCCTCGTCTACAGGCTGACTGGCACGCTTGGCTTGGATTGCAGCAATCTGAGCCTCAATGTCTAAAAACAGAAATAAATAGTTTTGACATGTTTTCTTCTCCTTCTATTGGCTAGAGTAAGATTGAATTAAAAATAAAGAAAATGTAAATCAATCAAAGACTATGGCCTTAATCTTGATCATTAATATATTTGGATCACGCAAACTTGCTTCTCAAATATTAGTTAAAGAAAGTTAAATTAAGAAAATATTGATTCTAAGAGGAGATGAAAAAATAAGAAACTTGATTAAAAACTAAATAAGTTCCTAAAAAACGATTTTTGGACCCTCCCCCCACCTATTAATTTTGTACATGCATCTCATATTCAACACATGGATAAATTTGGTCATCCATAAAAATAACCAATCTCAAGACCATGACGACAAATAAGTCTCAAATAACTCAATTTTGATGTTAAGCGATCCTTTAACATAAATTAAAAGAATATCGGCAAATTATAGAATACTTGGTCATACCAAATTTAGAAAATCGCTGATCTATGAGTTAATTCTTGATTTAGTTCTTACCTTCGTGAGTTTTCGGGGCCTGTTCCATCTTTAGATTCTGTGATTATCTTCTATTTCACGTAAAATATCACTAAATTTTGTTTCGTAAATTCAAAACGTTTTGTTTAAGCAAGCGGCCATGTTGGAATAACCAAACCGCGACCGACTACACTCACAAAACAATTTAGACTTTTAAAAAGACGACATTTAAAACTATAACATTTTTAAAAATTTAGGCAAATTGCAAATTCCTGCATACGTCACTTTCTCTGTCTCAGTCTGAGCTCTCCAAATTTTCATCCAGGCCATAGAAAAATCCCCCAGGCCATAGAAAAATCCTCCCGCCCCCAAGAGTAATTCTTAAAAATATATACCCCTCTGACCATGACTTTCTCACAAAAAAAACATTATTATGAAAATTACATTCCTGAAGTTATTACTCTAATATTCCATATCTAATTCTGAAAAGCAAAGAAATAAGACAAAATATTCAATTAAATGTATTAATGTTTTTATAAAAACTAATATTCTTCACTAGATATTTGATCAATTATCTTTTACAACGCTGTACAATGTACACACATGTACAGTGTACACATTAAAATCATTCAATGTAAATCATGAAATAACATATTTAAGTAATTGGGTTGAAAATGGCAAAATCAAAACTAAATATTTGTATTTTGTGTTAACTGGCATTTCATTTCACATTTTATAAAATAATTGAAATATTATTTTATAATTTCTAGAATTAAATAAACTAAAATAGTAGATAACTCAGCTAACAAAATAACAACTAATCATTATCCCTCACTTTAAGTTTTTTGACAAATAAAAAAAATTATGAGTAGAAAAACTGGAATTATAAGAAATGACCGGAATTATAGAAAATCTTACAGTTTACACAGATAGGACAGAACAAGAAGCATCAAAAATGTTTGTTTTTTCAAGTACATGTTTGTACCTAGCTATACACTTCGACTTGCAAGGTGCCGTGAATTGAATAGATCGTAATATTATTATTATTATTATTATTATTTTATAAACAATCAACCTACAGACAAAGCACCATGACCTGTAAGTTATAAGAGACTTCTCTCATCCCATCTGTGTTATCTATAATTACTGTACACAATCACAATTTCTTATTGATTCTGATGTAAATAAAAGAATTATGTGTAAATTTGCATGAAAAAGGGTAAATAAATAATCTCTCCCGGACTGGTGCAGTCTCCGTATACTAGAATAAGTCTTTTAAGTTTCGAGATTTTACTCCTCAAGTTTAAATATTTATGATAAAAATGCTGATCCCCTTTCTCTTAGAGTTATTTCTACAGGAATCAAATTGCACGATTCACATTTAATAAAAAAGAAAAGTTTGAAAGTTAATGAGCAAGTTATGAGGAGTGGAGGGAGCTTGTTGTAAATATATATTCTCGCGTTCCAAAACAATAAATAATGAGTTTACCACTGTCAATAATTTCTCAGGCCTGGTTTTTACAATTGAAATAAAAATTCTAGAAAATTGTTAATTCTCAGATCAAAGTTTAAACTATTAAATTCTGATATAAATTCATAAATGTACAAAATGTTTGCTCATGGTTGAATAAAACAACAAATCACTCAGATTAGAGCAGAAACCTCTGTAATCAGAGATCTTAGTGGATTGGAGTTAATCTTAACAGGCAGTTTCTAGCTTACAAGTCTTTAACTAGACCAGTCTCATATTAGCTTACAGTTTAGTCATAAGTTTAGTTTGCGAAATGACATTATACAGTAAACCTAGCCCCCCCCCTCCCCACCCAAAAAAAATAAGTCTAAAAGCACCATTTAAAAGTTCTGAAGATAAAACAATAAAATAAGTCCTTACTCCTTAGATAACAAAGTCTCGAGTTAAAAGAATTGAATCTTTGCCACAAACTCAAATTTTCTAATTCCTATATCTTAAGATTCTAATGGTGTAAACCTTTGATGAATTAAACTTAGATTTTTTGGTCTAACAAAATTTATAGTTAAAATATCTAATGTCAATGTCATTGAGTTGCAAAGATATAGGGATTAGAAAAAAGTGGCAAAGACTAAATTTCTTTGTCGAGAGGTTAATTTTTAATAAGTGAATCAACTCCAATCCAAGTTCTCTGAATGCGGAGTACGGTTACTCAGTCGCGGTTTACTTGATGTGTGAAGAACTAAGATTGGGGGGATAGGGGTTGTGTACACTTCATACTGTGACGTAATAGTTCATCAGAACAAAACAAAAATTGTGAACAAAGATCGAATTTTGTGAAACTGTTGTTTACTACCAATCTGAGCAGTTATAATACACCACCAGCCCACCTCCACCTTAGTTCTTGACACATTGATTTGCTTAAACTATGTGTTAGGCTCGATTCAGGGGTTGAACTCTACTAGGAATGCAAGATGGATTTAGAATAAACAACTACATGGTGAAGACATCTAGGAAGTTTAAACCTTCAGGTTGAAACATCTAGGTTTATCCAGGATGAACATCTCCATGATAAACAGCTGCAGAATGAAAACCTTCAGGATGAACACCTTCAGGATGAACAGCTGCAGAATGAACACCTTCAGAATGAACTCCTCCAGGATGAAAAACGCCATGTATCACTCGACGGCAAAACCACAAGTCTCTTCAACTGCCTGGGTCAACTTATCACTCATCTTCTCAAAGGTTTCGTAAGGCGGCATATCCAACCTGGATAAAAATAGATCAAATTTAGACAATTTTTTAAGTTTAAAGGGATCGTAAACGAAATTAAAAAGCGGTGCCTGATCAAAAATGCATGAGGCGGAATATTGAAAATTGCTTATTTTTATTTGTGGTTTCTTAAAAAAGTTGCAATTGCTAGAATTTAACACTTTAAACGATTATTGATCAGATAAAGGTTTAAAGGTACTGTTGTGAATCAGGCATACTCTTTAAATTTAAGGTCACATGAAATTACAACGAAAAGAAAAAATGTTTTCGGAGAAAAGTAAAAAATGTGACTGTCAACTATTTAAAGTGTGAACCTGTTGAAGCAGGTGTGGGCCTTGGGTAGGTTGTTTAGATCTACGTCCACCAGGTGGAGAGTAAACAGACGAGGACCAGCAGCTCCTGTAGAACCCTGGAATACAAGATTAGATTGATATAGATGAATAATACAGGGACCTGGAATACAAGATTAGGTTGGTATAGAGGATTAATACAGGGACCTGGAATACAAGATTAGGTTGGTATAGAGGATTAATACAGGGACCTGGAATACAAGATTAGATTGGTATATAGGAATAATACAGGGACCTGGAATACAATATTAGATTGGTATAGAGGAATAATACAGGGACCTGGAATACCTGATTAGATTGGTATATAGGAATAATACAGGGACATGGAATACAAGATTAGGTTGGTAGAGAGGAATAATACAGGGACCTGGAATACCAGATTAGATTGGTATATAGGAATAATACAGGGACCTGGAATACAAGATTAAGTTGGTAGAGAGGAATAATACATGGGCCTGGAATACAAGATTAGATAGGTAGAGAGGAATAATACAGGGGCCTGGAATACAAGATTAGGTTGGTAGAGAGGAATAATACAGGAACCTGGAATACAAGATTAGGTTGGAATAGAGGAATAATACAGAGCCCTGGAATACAAGATTAGGTTGGTACAGAGGAATAATACAGGGACCTGGAATACAAGATTTGGTTGGTATAGAGGAATAATACAGGGACCTGGAATACAAGATTAGGTTGGTATAGAGGAAAAATACAAAGACCTGGAATACAAGATTAGGTTGGTATAGAGGAATAATACAAAGACCTGGAATACAAGATTAGGTTGGTATAGAGGAATAATACAAAGACCTGGAATACAAGATTAGGTTGGAATAGAGGAATAATACAGAGCCCTGGAATACAAGATTAGGTTGGTATAGAGGAATAATACAGGGACCTGGAATACAAGATTAGATAGGTAGAGAGGAATAATACAGGGACCTGGAATACAAGATTAGGTTGGTAGAGAGGAATAATACAGGGACCTGGAATACAAGATTAGATAGGTAGAGAGGAATAACACAGGGACCTGGAATACAAGATTAGGTTGGTATAGAGGAATAATACTAAGACCTGGAATACAAGATTTGGTTGGTATAGAGGAATAATACAGGGACCTGGAATACAAGATTAGTTTGGTAGAGAGGAATTATACAGGGACCTGGAATACAGGATTAGATAGGTAGAGAGGAATAATACAGGGACCTGGAATACAAAATTTGATGGGTACAGTGGAATAATACAGGGACCTGGAATGCAAGATTTGATTAGTATAGAGGAATAATACAGGAACCTGGAATACAAGATTAGGTTTGTACAGATAAATAATACAGGGATCGGTTTTGAAATCTGTGTTTGTTTTCAGACTTACAATCCATTTGATTCGAACGCGGATCCAGATCATGGATAGGTTCATTTGGCCAAAGGGCTCCAGGTCATGAGTACATCTTTAAAATTTTACAACAGAAACATTTTCGAAATTTTCATTCTCTTTTCTTTGGCAAAGTTATATGTGGAAACTTCATTTACCCAATAGGTCATGATCTCATTAGGCGACACTTAAAATTTGTACTTTGAGACCAGAAATGGATCCTAAAAACTGGTTCTTTGGATCCGGGGATCCACATAGTTTAAGGATACGGAATGTAGCATAATATCAAAAGGCATGTTGTTTTCCTTCTTATTTATACTTTTCCCAAAAACTTCATTTATATCCCCATAAACTCCTTAACTATTCCCTATTCAGCGAATAAAACCTAAAATTATTTTTTTGTTTTTCGAAAACGGGGAAATGATTTTTCGAGAATATATACCCCTGTCCTAAGAACTGGATAAATATGTATTAAAGTTGAACCTGAAGAGCCTTGAACCCTTGTAAGGGAACTCTACTGGATCCTGTTACAAACTGTAATAATCTTGCTCTCATCTCCTCAGAGTAACCTTCAACTATCTTCCAGAACCATCCAACCTTAAAATAATAATAGCCATTATTAAAATAATAATAATAATGATAATGATGATAATGATGCTAATGATGCTAATGATAATGATGATAATGATGATAATGATGATAATAATGAAGACTGTACCTGTATTGTATCTGGTTGGCAATGTTTAAGCCTGGTATTGGATCTCCAGTCTTCAAGATCTATCTTCCCTAGTCCTCCAATCACAAGCTCCAACTCTCTCTCATCGAAGGATTTCAACAGACATTGAGGAATCAGTTCGTTAAATCCTTTCTGCAGAGCTAGAAACTGTTGCTCTATCCCGTGCATAAACCTTCATTTAACAAATTCTTAATATTGGTTTTAATTTCCCCTTGAATTTTATTCTTTTATTTATCTCCTTTCATGTACCCTTTCATGTACCCTTTCATGTACCCTTTCATGTACCCTTTCATGTACCCTTTCATGTACCCTTTCATGTACCCTTTCATGAACCCATTCATGAACCCTTTCATGTACCCTTTCATGTACCCTTTCATGTACCCTTTCCTTTCATGTACCCTTTCATGTACCCTTTCATGTACCCTTTCATGTACCTTTTCATGTACCCTTTCATGTACCCTTTCATGTACCCTTTCATATACCCTTTCATGAACCCTTTAATGGGCTCTTTTATGACCCCCTTTCATATAATTTACAAATAACCCGTCAAATGTTAGGAAAATGCCACTTTTTTAATGTGAAGATTATTGTAATTTCAATCCTTAACATATTTATTATTTTTCTATCTTTATTAAATACTATTATACCTGTAATTTACGTAAAGCTTAACATATTCCTTCTTATTCGATTCATTTACAGGAATATTCTTCCCGTTCTTCTTCAGCTCATGCACCTTACAACAAAACAATCAAAATGTACCAACAAATGTTTACAAAATTGTTAAGTAAAAATGTTCAAATATCCGAAATTTAACAAAATATATGGGATTTATTTTTGCTGACGGATTAAGCAAAGAGAAAATGAAGGTAACAATCGGAATTTGACATGTTTAAAGATAGAAAAATGACAACATCTTTTCCATAATTACTCAAGAAGATTTAGTCCCTTTACAAACCTTTAAGCATCCGAAGCTGTCATGTTCCACACTGAAGGTTGTATCAATAATATCCGTGATGTCATTCTCCAGCATCCACTTCAAGGAGGTGTACAGGTTCGGGTCCACAGACTCGATGTCCATCAGGTTGATGGACTTATTCAACAACATCTTGTAGAACGGCATCGTGAACCCACCGTCAATATAATGCCCGTGAAACATTGCAATGCCTAAATTCACAATTTTATTTTATAAACTTGATATTTCTAATTTTTTATGAACCCAAATGTAAAATTGATAAGAACAAAGAAAAAAAATTATTTAACATTGTATTTCTATTTATCTGCCCCGTTCTTCTAACCTTATCAGCGATAACTTCGTTAATTTTTCTAAAACTTTTAAGGTTTTGGACTTTTAAAAGCGTGTGGTACAAATAATATGAACTTGTGAAAGTTATCAGATTTTTGGTTGAAAAGTTCAAAAACTTTAAAGTTTAAAAAATAAACCAAATTATTGCCTTTCACTTGTTAAAATATAATATCTTGCACTTAAAATCAGAAAATTATCTATATATATATAAGTTGTAATCACTATTTGTCTGTCTTAAATTTTGATTGCGGAACTCAGGAGACCCACGGGAATGTTCTTAGCTTGGTTTTGAGATTCCGGTAAAATCTAAGTGTGGGTAACTCAAATTAATCTAGGCAGCGCTGGGTTCCCATACTAGTACACAATAAACCCTGATTCAATAACTGAATTTGATCCACTCACCTATTATCCTTCCAACAAAATGAAAGTAAGAAAGATGATCTGGGTTGATGGAAGAATCAGCGTTGATCTGTAGAGTGTAGATGTCATCTCGACTAAAACAAATAAATGTTACAAGATTTTTCATAAATAAAATTTATCTCCAAAGAATTACAGTATGCTTAGGAAATTTATAAGGGTACTGTAGTAAATCTGAAATTCACTATAATACACTATTCACTCCCTTTTGTATTCCTGTTATCTCACAAAGCTTGCATCTATATTAAGCATTAATCTCAGTTTGTTTGGTTGAATGTCCGATCATAACTCATGAACCCCTGTACCAATTTGCCTCAAAACTTTATTGGGAAACTTGGGAGAACCATGGGAGTATTCTTAGCTTGTCTTTCAGACCTCTTCAAGTCAGCATCATTGCAAAAACTGACTCTCCAATATGGGGCTGCGTGTTAAACAGCATCTGGCTATCAATGCCTTCCCCGTCTCAAGTTTTCATAAATATACTTTAAAAATATTTTATTTTCTAAATGTAATGTATGCTTGGGACAAAAATATATATTTGATTTGATTTGATTTGATTTGAAGATTACAAGTTGAGTGAGTCGACTTGTATAGGAAAAAAATAGCTAAAATCGTAATAAACGACCAAGTGCGGGTAAATGGCGGGAGTAACTGAGTAACCTGGGTAACGCTGGGTTCCCAGCCTAGTATACTATATGCACCTGTACTGGAAGAGCCCGTAGTACGGATTAAGCATCTCATGAGAGAGAAGATACAACCACTCCCTGGCAACTCCTCCGTAATCCAACCCCTCCTCCATCTTAAACTTTACCATCAACCTCTTCCTCATATCTTTGGGTCGCATCTTCACCACCTAAAAAAGATAAATTTGTTCAAAATCAGAAATATTAAAAATAACAATTAGTATTGTAGTTTCAATGACTTCTTCAAAAAACAAGGGTTTTTTATTACTTTTGTCAGAACAATATTTTCTTTAAATAAAAGATTTTCTATTGATATTGGGGTTGATTCCACAGTAAAATAGTAAAACAAGATTCATGCCTTTACTTTAATAGTACATTTTACATCTAAGTAATTTATTTAAGCGCACTTTTGAAAAAAGATACATTATTTTTTTTGGCAGAAACTAAATGGAAATTAAAACGGTACCGTTAGATTCATAAGATAGATCAAGTTCATCCAAAACCGTCTTTGTGTAATTTTCCCGAACACTACCTTTGATTAAGATATTAACAGTTTACTAACCTGTCTGTATGAATCCTCAAAAACCTCCTGCCTAGAGACCTCTAGTCTACAATGTCCCGACTGTGCCTGGAGAGAGCTTAGTTCACTACGGAGCACTTTCATTTTAGCAACTAAATCACGTTTATATTTTGGAAGACATTCTTCGTTTTCAAAGAGAATTTTAGGTGAACTAGATTTATTGTTCTGGGGAGAGGGGACGTATCCAGAACTGGTTCTTACTCCGGGTCCAGGATCCTGCAGGGAGTCGGATCTAGGGGAAGATGAATCTCTTTGCAGGATTGCAAGATTGGGAAGTATGTGAGGAGCTCTGACGTTAGTTACAGCAGGGTTTGGCGGACGAGCCGGGGGTTCCAGAGCCATGGCTAGACAGCTCATTGCTAAACCGTCAACCTGCTCATCAGCCGGAGCAGGCTCGGGTTCCGAAGTCGGAGTTTCTGTCGGTAGAGGGGGTAGGGGTCGACTTGATTTAGCTGGAGACATATTGACAGGTGTTGGAGGAGATATAACTGAGTGGAATACGTCTCCATTGCTGGAGGCAGGAGTGGAGGAAGGACCGGAGGAACTCAACCGCGGAGGAAGAGGTGCAGGAACACTGTTTTGATTTTCCGTTCTCCCGTTTCCATTTTCACCTCGAGCATTAACTATATCCGTCCCACTGTTAGTATTTTCATTCCTGTTTTCTCCAATCTCTGAACTGTTTCCGTTCTCAGTCCTAGGTTTAGATTCTGATCTTGACTTCAGCATTGCTTTGATCAAACTAGTATTAAGACGGGGATCGGTGAACTGGGTGGTTCTATTATGATGATTAACAAAATATCCGCGACCGGACGGAGTTTCTCTTTTCTCCCAACCCGGAGGTAGGGTTCCTAACTCCACACCCTCTGGAGGTACAGCGTCCCTAGGTATCCTTGGATCATGCCAAGTGGATATCCCTGAAGGTACGTGATGAAAGTATATTTGCCCCTGCTGAGTTGTTCTCATCTCGAATCCAGCCGGTAGATCCTGGGGTTGGTGGAGAACCGTCCTGGACATAAACCTTTGCTTGTTAGCTTCAACCTTATTGTTCCCGGGGGTTAGAGGATCACAGGGAGGAGGACGCTCTCCCTCAACCAGATCTACAGGATCTGGTTCAGGACGCCGAGGTGTAGAGGAGGTAGGTTCCCCTGTAAAGGATTGAGCGGCTGATGGAAGACTAGTATCGGTCGGAAACCGAGGATTGGATAAAGGATTGCTATTCTCAACGGCAGGACGAGTGGGACGTTCCCATTGGGTCGTCCGGAGATAGTGATTTACGTAATAAACTCGTCCTGAGGTCGTCCTCCTCTCTTCCCATCCTTCTGGAAGGTCGGCCGGACAACTGAGGTTACCCAGGGGATCAACGACCGCATTAAGACTTCCGGTTCCGTGCCCGTCCCTAGAGAGAAGAGAAACCACTATCTGACCTTTCACCGGAAGTGGATTGTTATTGTCGGAAACAAGATCTAGTCTCTGGTATCCAGTATCCTTCAACCTGTTGATCGAGTTCCCCAGGAGACGAACACAACCTAGAAAACCAGCTCCGCTCTTCTTCTGAACTTTTTTATCGTTCCAAACACTGATAGTTATGGCATCTGATTTCCCAATGTAGAGATCATAATGTTGGTTCCATTTAGGATCCAAGGTGTTTCTACTGATGTCTGTTGTGTGAGTTTGTCCTGAACCGTCGACGCTGATACGCGCGAACGGGTCTGGGAGTCGGAACAGGTCGCGCTTGGCTAGATTCCGCGCACAGAGAATAGTGACGCGAATCTTAACAGACCCATTTCTGTTACTCATTTTACCCATTTATACTTTTCATGTCTTTAACATTTTTCTGGAAAAGAATCAATCTTAAAATTAAATGTTTAAATGCTTGAAAGATTGAAAACATTATTAATACGACATCCGCCAGTTGTATTTGATGAATAAATCCCGACATCTAACCAAAATTGGTTTGAAAATTTGGTTCAAGATTAAGCATAATTATTCAAAGAAAACCTTAAAGTTTTTCAAAACTACGTAAGTTTTAAAATGATGGATATAACCTTAAAATTGTTGCTATAATATTTACAAGATTCCAGACGCGCCCAGGGTAAGCGCAGGTTTTGTTTTAATTAAGCCGCGTTCATTTAACATTATTTACATTTGATGTAGAAATCAATCAATCAAAATCTTTTGCTGCTTAGGGAGCAAAAGGAGGAAGAGAAGGTGTAACGAGTGTAACACAGAAAAATTAATTTAAAGATTTTTGCATTCTTAGGGGGTACGGGGGCAAAAGAGGGGAGGCAGACCCCCTGGGATGCCCCATCTCGGAATACGCTACAGACTCAGACCAAATGATATTCCAACAACTCCCTTTGTCTTTTTAATCCTTTCAATCTGATTCATCTGAGGTTACATACAGACATACCTGAATTCGTGCAATCCTATGGATGTTTTTTACGTTAGCATTCGATTTAGAAGAACTCGTAATTTGAAATCTTCAAGCTCTTCGATTCCCAAGATATTAGGAAGTTAGAAGTAAGTTATCAGTTTTTCTTGCAGGTTTCCACAAAATATGTGACAAGGACCATTGAAAACTCTAATTATCGATCCAAACTAGAAAATACGGCTTATTAGTTGACTTGGCAAGGAAAAAAGATAAATTCGCTACAGTCGTCTCATTCTTTGTGGGTAGCCCTGAATATAACACAGTAGGGACAAATGGAAATAAAGAGAAATATGGTTAAAATGAGTTTACAATCAATCAAATGACAGAGTTTCAAGGATTTGAAAATTCTTGAAGATATTTCAGGGATAATTGTAGTACAATTGTTTTAGTTGTTAATAATCTCTTAAACTATATTTAAAGAACTCTTATCTAAGAAATTTATTTAAACCTATAATGTATAAATAATCTCTGCGTATTATTGTTCTGATAAAGTTCTAAATCAAATAATACAATCCTGGAGCCTAAAGTAAGCCTAAATTGAGTGATTATAAATTATCTTTATCTTTTAAGAGTATTAAATCAACATTTGATACTTTTTTGGTCTTATACATGAATGTTTAACACTTAATTCACTCAATTCGCGTTTATATGGACTTAGTCAATAATACAAATAAATAAAGTCTCTAAATGCAGAATAAATATAGAATAAAATCATAACTTATTAAAAGAAAAACGAATAACGATTATTTGAGAGACCAGAGCGGATTAAGCTGGCTCAAAGGATCGGTAGGATCAGGATTGCTCTGAAGGTTTCCTGTGGAGCTCATGAAATCCTCTTTAGTTATTTTCTTCTTCTTAGGCGAGTCTGTTATAGTGAGTAGGTCGAGTTGGGTTAGATCGGCCAGGTTTGATAAAGGATCCGTGGATAATTTAAGGATCGTCGGAGAAGGATTAGGAGGAAGAGAAGGGATCGGATGATTGATCGGACTGGGTTCTATCTCTGACACAGATTTCTCGACAACAACGAGGTCTGGTTCAACCTTCTCTTTATTCTCCGGGTCTGGTTGAACCAGTATATCGGATCCTCTCCGCGGAGATCCTTCCTTCATGGAAGTGTGAGAGATAAAATCTTTGCTAGGATGTCGGCTGTGTGTTCTAGCTCTACCTAGATATATACAGGGTTACACACAAAATATGATATTTTCATGAGAACCTCAAGATTTGCAGTTAAAATTTATTATATTATTCTAAGAACGTTTTAAAGAAGAACGAAATAATTTAGGGAAAAGGGAAAAAGATTAAAGCTTCAGGAAACCATCAATGTAAAAAAAAATTAAGAATAAAAATCCTTAGTTTTCTATGAAGTCTCATCCTTTGTGGGTAAATCTATATAACAAGACATTCGTGTATATATATGTTGCCTATTGCCGGACAAACGGCTGGACCGATTGGGCTGGCCGGGGGTGTTATAGGCTTTAAAAAAATCAAAAAAAAAAATGTTCTCAAATTTTTTAAAATATTATTTTTCAACATTTTTTTTCAAATTTTTTTCCACGGGCAACGCCGGGTCCTTCAGCTGTATATATTAAAAATCTTTTTATCTGTATTCAAAAGGATAATATTATTTTCTAAAGGGTTATCCACAACGGACGAGAACAATGTATAAATGAAGACAAAAATGCCTATTAAAATGGTATAGATGCAAAGAATATATCAATAAGGATCCACACAATCGTCCATAAGTATCATCTATTGAATTTAAACGTTTATCGTGATAAAAATAAAATTTAAATAGAATATTTAAAATATACCTGCAACCCCTGTTAAGACACCCTGCTGGATTAGTCTAGACTGTAGACTGTAGAGTAGAGTATCATACACAAATCTGAAAATTGGAAAATATTTTAAAATGGACTTTCCTACAAATATGCTAATAAAACTATATTTACCTTAAATATTGTTTATCACGTAGAATTCCTTTTCTTCCCTGGAGTAAGGATGAAAATATCGGTAGAAAATCTGGAACGCATCCAGTACTCTAAAATACAAAATGGGTTTCATTCTTTTCTTGTTAAAATGAATATTTTTGGGGTTCAAAGATCTGATTACCTCAACCTCGGCAAGAGCGGAAACAAGAGCACAAACCGTCCCGGATTTATTTCCTCCGTCCCTGCAATGGATAAGGACAGGTTTGCTGACTGATCTCTGCTGGTTGTGTAGCTCCAGGATATGCTGAGCTGCAAGGATGAGCGGAGCTGGAGAAGCTGGTAGCTCAGGTCCAACCCAGCTGGTCAGCTCCAGGTGCAGAAGAGCTCTGGTCTGCTTACTGCTCGGTTTATTCACGTGGAAAACTCTCTCACGATACCCAGATAATTCCTAACAATTATATCTAAACTATACCAAGAATTTAACGGGAAAAAATTCACAGATTATTAACAGAAATGACAGTGCGACCCATAAAACAGTAAAAAAGAATACGAAATTTAAGATTCTTTTTGAATATTTGCTGTTATTGTAAAGCAGATGTGTTCCAGTAGCTTGAAATGAGTCTGTGTACACTGCACAACTGCTGTGCTTCATGTTCAGTGGACTATTTAAAGTTTTTAAGTTAAAAAAATCGTCTTCTTAATCCACAGTTTAACGAAATTTAATGAAATCCCACTGTACAATACATTAAAATACAAGGTAAATGTAAACTCCGTTAATTACCCTGACCGAACTTACCTTGACGGATTGAAGAGATATCACAAAGTCTCCAACAGTCAAAGATTCTTTACCCTGTGGAATATAAACTCCCTCCGCCATATCTTGAACTGGAACTAGACTAACAACCGTCTCTAGTCCCTCCTGCCAGATTAAACCCAGGAACTCTAGCACAGTGGTTTTCAAGGGGAGCTGGGTAACGATAAAGTCTGGAGAATGAGGGCTAATGTTCTTTATATAGGACGCATTGATGTAATCATCCTGCAATAATAATTATTAGATTAGAAATGATGAGACATGAAATATTTTAAAGTTTATAAACCAAATGACTACCTTCGAAAACTTAAGTTCTATTCTTGACTGATCAAAGGGAAGAACGTCCGGAGCTCGATTCTTTAACGGATAGCATCGTCCGACTGATACACTGAGCTTGTTTCCACACCTGGAGACAGAATCATTCGCGTCCTTCCACATTGAATCTAGTGGGACAGAACCCTGCAATGTTTTCTGGGATAAACTGTTAACGAAGCTTTGAAGTTTCTCAGTTTCTTGTTTCAACTTATCCGTATCAATCACAAACATTGGAGGACGAACCTTCCTCTGACTAACTGTTTCCGTGTTATGAGGTGTGTCTGGAAGCTTTACCGGAACAGGTGAAGGTTCGCTGGATATGAACTGATCATGAATAATCGGAGAATCAATTCTATGTGTCGGGGTCAAATCTATCCCCGAGAGAAGATCAAGGTTGGATCCAGGTTTAGCCGGAGTAGGAGCAGGAATGGGAGTAACAACGTTTACAGGTTTTGACAACTCAGAGGAATAATTACCAGGTTGGGGGAACGGTTGGGTTGGAATGTATCTATTCTGGGTCCCAGGCTGGGGCACTACAGGATGCATAACAGGTTTTTCTGCTTGTTGCTGGAATTGTGGAGGAAAATATCCGGGATTTGGCATTCCGGGCTGTTGAAATCTTAGCTCATGTATCCCTGGTTGCTGTATCCCCGGCTGCTGTATCCCTGGCTGCTGTATCCCCGGCTGCTGTATCCCCGGCTGCTGTATCCCTGGCTGTTGCATTTTGTTGTTGGTTTGGTACTGAACTGGGTTTCTGACTGGCGACTGATACTGCTGATACCCCGTAGGTACTCCAGGCCTTTGCTGTTGATGTTGTGGTCCTCCTGGGTGCTGTTGAACTTGTCCTTCTGGGTACAGTTGAACTTGTCCTCCTGGGTGCTGTTGAAATTGTCCTCCAAGCTGCTGTTGAACTTGTCCTCCTGGGTGATGTTGAATTTGTCCTCGTGGATGCTGTTGAACTTTTCCTCCAGGGTTCTGTTGAACTTGTCCTCCGAGGTTCTGTTGAAATAGTCCTCCAGGATGCTGTAGAACTTGTCCTCCGAGGTGCGGTTGAACTTGTCCTCCAGGCTGCTGTTGAATTTGTCCTCCAGGCTGCTGTTGAACTTGTCCTCGTGGATGCTGTTGAACTTGTCCTCCAGGGTGCTGTTGTTGAATTTGTCCTCCGAGGTGCTGTTGAACTTGTCCTCCAGGGTGCTGTTGAACTTGTCCTCCAGGTTGCTGTTGAATTTGTCCTCCGGGCTGCTGTTGAACTTGTCCTCCGGGGTGCTGTTGAAATTGTCCTCCAGGGTGCTGTTGAACTTGTACTCCGGACTGCTGTTGAACTTGTCCTTGTGGATGCTGTTGAACTTGTCCTCCAGGCTGCTGTTGAATTTGTGGCCCGCTTTGCTGTTGTCGCTGTTGTGGGGGCTGTGGTCCTCCTTGCTGTTGCTGAAATGGTTGAACCATTGGTCTTTGCTGATAAGCCTGTGGGCTACCCTGTTGATGTGGGAACCGCAGTTGTTGTTGATTCTGGGGCACTCCTTGCTGTCCCCAATGTAGTTGTGGACCACCTTGCTGTTGTTGTATCGGTTGTCCACTAGATTGAAAATATGGTCCACTCTCTTGCTGTGAAACCCGTGGCCCACAATACTGCTGTGGAACCTGTGGTCCACCATCTTGCTGTGGACCTTGTGGTCCACCATGTTGCTGTAGACCCTGTTGTCCACTATGCTGATGTGAAACCTGTGGCCCACCATGCTGCTGTGTAACCTGTGGTCCACCATGCTGCTGTACATCCAGTGGTCCACCTTGCTGATGTGAAACCTGTGGTCCACCATGTTGCTGTGAAATCTGTGGTCCCCCATACTGCTGTGAAACCTGAGGCCCACCATGTTGTTGTGAGACCAGTGGCACACCATGTTGCTGTGTACCCTGTGGCCCACCATACTGCTGTTGAGCCTGTGGTCCAGCAGCAGTAGATACACCATGAATTTGGGATTGTGGACCAACTTGTTGTTGTTGAACCTGTGCTCCTTGTGCAGCTTGAGATCCCCCTTGTTGCATCTGTTGTCCCCAATGAAGTTGATGTTGAGGTGAGTAATATTGAGAGTTAGGAACAGAATATCCGGTGTTAGCGGATCCCAACGGGTTCGGTTGCTGCATGGTGGAGACCGGAGCCGAGTATTGATGTAAACCTGGAGACCGTTGAACAGGTCCGGCTCCAGGAGTAGGCGTAGTACTGGCAGGGGTTGGAGCAGGATATCCTTGTCCTGGAGTCATAGAACTTCTTGAGGAGTTTGTAGTGGTTGTATTACTACCCTGATAAGGTGAAGTGTAACCAACTGAACCATTAGGATATATAATTCTACCGCCTGGAACTGGCGTAGTTCCTGAATAGGTTGAACTCGAGGGTTGATTTGCTGCTGATATTCCAGGGTTCGGATAAGATCCTCCTGGTTGAGAGGACTGGGGACCAGGAGAACTAGTATTTTCAATGGAAACATTCTGATTCATGTTTTGGGAAACTTGTGGATATTCTTGCTTGGGTTGTTCTCCTTCACTTCCTCCAACAGTAGATGTTGTTGGTTTTCCGGCTCCAGAGCTCATTCCTAGCTGAGCATAGTACTTGGCATATTGTTGATTAGACGGATAGTAGTTCCCGGGGTACATGGATCCAGCAGGAAACCCGACTCCTCCGATATGACCATGGGCTTGGAATGAAGGATTGTTAGGAGTTGAATTAGGAGGATACGCTGTACCTGATCCAGGAGCATCTACTCCTCCCCCCTTCTCCTGCCGCGCTCTCATGTAATCAATTAATTTAGGTCTCTGGGTTTTAGGAGGAATAGGCTGCTCCGGGGTATCTGGGGGAGGAGCTCCGGGTGTAAACTCAGGTTTATAATCAAACTGTCCAACACTGTCTGCTTTATTTCTGACCGGATACGGTTGGGACTTACCGGAAACAAGACTGAGAGATAACGCACGTGCTTCGGCGGATTTTTTAGCTGAAGAATTGATGAGTTGCTCTCTCTCCTCAACCTGAACCTTCACTACTCCATCCACTCGGGACAGGAGCTTGCTCACGTTCTTCTCCAGCTTGGCATAGAACTCTAATCCTTTTGTAGTCTTGTCTAATAAATCCTCGTAGGCATGATAACTAGCAACTAGAGATCCAATCTTTTCATCCCGGATGAGAACAAAGTTTCCGATTTTTTCTCTAGCATCCGCATACTCAGCGTTCTTCTCCGTTAGCGCTGAGACGATGTTTCTCTGAGCGTGGATATTCTGCCTGATGTACTCCACCGTCTTCTCGTGCTTCTTCATCTCCTCCTTAAACACCTTCTCCGTTTCCTTGTCTCCTTGTTTAGCCAGACTGTTGGTGATATCATCGTTCCGTATTCCTTCTCTTAGGGTCTCCTCAAGCATTAGTCTTTGATGTCTCATCTCTTCAACCTAAACCAAGAATCCGGAATCAAACCCTTTCTACTCAGAAAAATGTGTAAATAAGAATATTTAATTCAATTAAAATGGTTGCCTTCAATGATAATGCCAGCAGACATGCAATGTTTGATGCTTTTAGAAGGGTACAGGATATTTTGGAATTAAAAAAGGGGTAAAATTAGGTTCACGTTTAACGCTAACCGTTAACAGAAACAAAGCATTTTTCAAAGAAGAAAAGGTTCATTCTCTCTAGTGTTATTGTCACAGATTTGTGGAACTAAAAAAGTATTAAATACACAAAATCGGTTCATTTCCAGACAGAGAGAGAAAAATATTACTTCGTTGGAAATTCAAAAATGCACACGAGCTTTATCCTAAGCACTATAAGCATCGTGGTATTAAACATAGAGGGGCAGTAAAACAGCTGCATGTTAGTTAGCCTCTGAACTTAGTACAAATCATCCCAGGGGGTTATATTATTATATTATTTAGATTCAAAATCTTCATCATTATGCACCATCTGTTGTTAAATATAGGTATAGTATAGTAGGCGCAATGCCCTCGAGGCTTTAATAAGCCTGGTAAAATCAACTCGACGAAACTGATACTAAATTGAAATACATTTTAAGAATATTTGAAGTTCTGAAGAAAAGTTGATTTTAAAATGAAATTCAAGATTTGTTTGATAGAAGTGAAACAAATAACCTTGCCATCTTTAAACTGTAGCACACATTATTTATGAGTGGTTCAGTATTACTATTTTAAGTAGAAAAACAAGAAGTTTCAATAACTTTAGTGTGAACTTTCGGCAGAATTATGAACTACAGTCAGTTGCATAACAGGAATGCTGTCTAGAATATTCCATAAATAAAAAATAAAAAAAATACAAATAGCGGTACTCTTATTACTTTCAGAATAAAAATTGATAAAAAAATTATTGAAAAGCTAAATTTAAGTTCAAAATATCCATTTTAAAAGATTTTTAAAAACTTATAAATTTTACTTTACAGAATTCAATACCCCAAAACCCTGTATACTCAATGATACCCAGTGTGCTAGAAGAGTGAAATATTCGACAATGTCAACTGTACGAGTGTACACTGTACAGCCAACCAAGACAGGAGCTAAATAACTATGTCTGCCCTCTAACTGTAAGTCTTCAAAAATAGAAATAACATTATTTATGTTGATTTGCGATATTAAAGTGTGAGAACTGACCTTTTTGAGAACGTTTCTCATGTTCCTAAGGCAGTCTAGGACAGACTCCTCCAGGTCAGAGATTTTAGGAATATCCTCTTCCAGCTCAGGGACGGATTTACTCAAAAGCTGTAAATTCTTCACATGCAATCTCATCGCCTTAAAATAATTAGGATCAGAAACCTTTTAGCTCATTTCAATTTATTAGATAGTTTACTAAGGGGGTAAAGTGATAAAGAATTAAAGAGGTTAAATGTGAAAGCCTCCCTAATCTGGCATTAGTTACCCTAGTGCACCCCATAATCGTATGATTATCATTCTTGGTCTCACGAATGATATTAAAACTAATTTAAAGATAAATTTAGTTTACCAAATTAAAAATTACTTTAAATTATACCTTGTTCAGGGTTAAATTAGACTCTGAGGCCATAGAATGAGCTTCATGATACTTCTGAGTTTCTCTTTCTAGTTCTACAAGTATAGAGCTAGCTCTGGGTCCAACAATATCCTGAAACTCGCGTTCCTGTTTCTGTTCCTCCCGGAGCAGTTTCTGTATCTCTGCTAGGCTAGCTTCAACATCAGCTGATACACTCGCTAGGCTTGTCATTCCTTCTTCAAGCTGACTAACAGCTGCTCTTCTAAACAAAAAGCTGTCTTAATACACCTTTACAAATAAAGATAGTTTGTTCTATTTCACTTGCCAAAGACTATAATTTTCTATTGTTAGATATGTCAAACTATGCATAGTTTAAGTTTGAAATATCAAAGGTTTGCATAATCAGGTGGAAGATATACCCAAAAAATTCACCCCAGTTTAAATAACTGTATGCTAAGAATCATTGAAAATGGGGTGGCTGCTGATGAGAAAAACTGACGTTTTAATAAATCTGATCTATAGCAGAACACACATTAAGAAATCAAGATATTCTCTAAGAGATTGCTCACAAATTTTTAAATACATACAATATCCCATCTGCACTGTCGAAATTTGTTATTTGTTAATAGGTATTGAACATTCTAACCTATAGAAACATATTTAGGATCGGCTTATTTGTGAATCTAAGTTTAAAATTTCCCCAAAACACGCAATGTAATCAACTGCTAAACATGAAGTGATTTGAATTTGTACAATACATTCATGTGGGATTTCTCAATACCTGACAGAGAGACTAGCAGCACACTCAATCAGTTCCTGAGGCACATGGATAAGATCCTCTTCTCTAGGTATATCATCTAGCTGGAGAGCGGAGAGAAACACAGCTAGATCTCCGTTGGCCATCTCTATATCGGAGCAGACAGTTCGGAGTAGTTTAGCTTGCTCCTCAGAGTAAAGAGAAGAAGCTTCATGAGCTTCAATAGGAACCAGGCGCTGGAATATATCAGGACCTAAACATAATTCTTCATTTTTAGCCACTACGTTTATTCGCCTGAAAAATTATGAAAATCATAAGCAATAGTTAAATGAGGATTTATATTAATTATCTACACCTGAAACTTCAGGATCAGTAGAATCAAATCCAATTCCTTTGACAAGACTGGCTCCCTGCAAATAAAAGTATAGATATTTAAAGCCTAGTCAAACCTAGAACAAAGGTTGAAATAAATGTAGAAAAATGTAGAAAAATGTAGAAAAATGTAGAAAATGTAGAAAATGTATAAAAATGTAGAAAATGTATAAAATGTATAAAATGTAATAAATTGTAGAAAAATGTACCAAAATGTACTCAAATGTACTCAAATAAACTCAAATGTACTCAAATGTACTCAAATGTACTCAAATGTACTCAAATGTACTCAGATGTACTCAGATGAACTCAGATGTACTCAGATGTACTCAAATGTACTCAGATGTACTCAGATGTACTCAGATGTACTCAGATGTACTCAGATGTACTAAAATGTACTAAAGTGTACCAATGTGTATTAAAATTAAGTAAAATGTAGAAAAAAGTATCAATATGTAAAAAATGTAGCAAAATCAAAATGTAATAAAATGAACAAAATGAAAAAAGTTTTAGGATAGAATAGGAAACTTCTAGATATTTAAGCACAGCCGAACAATGTGTTCGAACTTCTAAGAAGAGCTATAGGATAATTGATCTGAAAGCCCCCCCCCCCCCCTTCATTCGGAAATATACAACAAGCTATATCCGACATTTGTAAAAAAAATACAATTGGTAAAACACACATGAACGGAATTTTCTGAACTGCAAATTATTTTAGCGTAACGATCCCGAATACTCATGTTTCCACTTCTACCTTGATCTCCTGCAGAGCGTCTAGGTCTGGAACCTTATCATGATAAATAAACTCGTTCTCCTTCTTCGAAACATCCAGTTTACCGTTCACCACGTCGTTTGCGTAGGCCAGCGCATCAAATACAGATTTGAAGGGATCATCCAACTTCTTGGCCAGCTTAGCAGACTGTGCTAGACAATCACTGGCAGCCTAGATAACAGGGAATAAGAAAAAGGGGAAGAGAAATGGTACTGGTCCGAATAAAGAAATGGTACAGGTCCGACTAGTTAAATGGTACAGGTCTGGCTAGGAAAATGGTACTGCTCCGATTAAAGAAAGTCAGTCCCCACTTCCAATGGCGTGCAGACGGGCAACTTTTAAAAACATGTAATAATGACCAATTGGAAAGAAATAAAGTATTCACGCACAGTATAGAAAAAGACCCCCTACAGCTGACGAGAATAGACACGAACTATTAAATACCTTGTAATATGTTACTCTCTCTCCCATTTTATTATTTTCTTCGGAGAACATTCCCATATGCAGGTAGCTCATACTCTGATAGTACGCTATCTAAAAATAATATAATATAATTCACTTGCTAGAGTACCCAGAGTTGCCAATTAACCAGGTTAGTTTTATTACTTATAGTACTCCCAGCGTTTACCCGCACTTGGTACAATAATATGACTTAGCTGAAGTGCCCGTGGAATTTCAAAATTATCATTTTTAGCCTGTCACCCCAGGGTTTCATAATAAAATGTCAGCCAATTTGGTCCAGATTTTTATACAAGTTTGATTTTTTTAAATATTAAAAAGGGCTAGTTTCATGGTATTCCTGAGAGTTCTAATATTACTGATCTATTGGAAAAACCTGAAGCACATTGGCTTTCAGTCTAGTAAGTTGACGACAAGATGTAACCGGGTTAAATAATTGGGACTTGGCCACAAACTCTGATTTTCTACCCCATATCTTTGCAATACAATATCGTAGACATATTTCAATTTCAAACAATAAATGCCTTTAGCTCAAAAATCGAATTTTGAAATATCAACGGTTTACACCATCAAGTTGCAAAGATATAGGGATTAGAAAATTTAAGTTAGTAGCAAGGATTCAATTCAATCGATTTTCTTATACTTATGAATAAAAGCAAAACTAGACGAACTACGAGGTCACAAAGTCGTACCATTAATGTCACATAACTTTGACCTACTCCTTTTGGCTAGTTCACAGTAAACTTTAATTTTTGATAAACTCTTGATCATCAAAGTTTAGTGATAAAGTTCTGAGAACTGGTGATGTTAAATGTTATTAATAAAAATCTAAAGATTTTGTTAATTTTAATCTAAAATATTTCTGATCTACCTTTAAGTGATTTTGATAAAAAATTGTGATTATCAGAGAAGGTTTATATTTACCTTGAATTCTAGAACAGATTTCCATATTTTGTTTTGTTTAGATCCAACTATATCCTGTATACCCTCCCCGTAATCTTTGGAGTTAAACAGATCCAGAGATCTCAATGCTTGCTTATAGTATTCAACCACCTGACCTCCTACCTATACAGAATATAGGTTAGAGTTTAACCGACCAAGAGATCTCAATGCTTGCTTAGAGTTAAGCTTAGATCATTTGATATAACAGAATTAATAGTTTGAAATATTAAAGGTCTAACCAGACGGTTTAAAACTTACTTTAGAGATGATAAGAGGTTTCCTAGCATCTAGGATACTTTTCTCCAGGATACACTCCTGAGCTTGGGCTAGGGATATATGGGACTTAAACCCCATCAGGTCCGCGCTCAGATCAGATTCTACATCCTAGAAATATTTTAGATCAGATTCTACATCCTAGAAATATATTTGATTAGATTCTACATCCTAGAAATATATTTGAGTAGATTCTACATCCTAGAAATATATTTGATAAAATTCTACATCCTAGAAATATATTTGATAAAATTCTACATTCTAGAAATATATTTGATAAAATTCTGCATCCTAGAAATATTTTTGATAAAATTCTACATTCTAGAAATATATTTGATAAAATTCTACATCCTAGAAATATATTTGATAAAATTCTACATCCTAGAAATATATTTGATAAAATTCTACATCCTAGAAATATATTTGATAAAATTCTACATCCTAGAAATATATTTGATAAAATTCTACATCCTAGAAATATATTTGATAAAATTCTACATCCTAGAAATATATTTGATAAAATTTTACATCCTAGAAATATATTTGATAAAATTCTACATCCTAGAAATATATTTGATAAAATTCTACATCCTAGAAATATATTTGATAAAATTCTACATCCTAGAAATATATTTGATAAAATTCTACTTCCTAGAAATATATTTGATAAAATTCTACATCCTAGAAGTATATTTGATAAAATTCTACATCCTAGAAATATATTTGATAAAATTCTACATCCTAGAAATATATTTGATAAAATTCTACATCCTAGAAATATATTTGATAAAATTCTACATCCTAGAAATATATTTGATTGGACTCTACATCCAAAAATTATTTTAGATTATTTCTTTATATTTCGTTCGCTTTTTAACGTTAATAATTATTTTTGAGTTTTAAGAGGCTTTACAAGAATCAGAGATGTACTTTTAACACAGATATTTTAATAATATTTAAGTAAATTATATTTATTCCTTCAAGGAAAATAGACAGTTTCAGTACATTGAGTACAATCACTGATAAATAAATACTTTATCCTTCTGTTAACATATTTTCAGCGGTATCAACCAATACATAATTTGAAGGCGACATTCTATAAATTCATTAATTGTATTCATATATATGGGATATACTGTAAAGTATATATCTAGATGTATCTACAGGGTTACCGACAAAGGATGAGACTGCAAAGACGATCTGACACTTTTCATATGACGATCCGGAGGTAAAATTAAGTCATCTACCTTTTATATAGTCTTTTAATGGGTTATATAATGATTTTGCAAAGAAAGAAAGAAACAGACGGTATAAACTATAAATTGTGTACAGTCGTCTCTGAAGTCTTATTCTTTGTAGGTATTCCTGTTTCTTAAGGAATCATAAGGAAGTGAAATCTGCATAGGGCCCCACTGTGGACCTCCCAGGCAGCAGATGCACTGCCCCGCCCCTGTATCTACCTGGGGATAAAGATCAGGAAGAGTATGAAAGGCCCAGGCTGCACACTGGAAATGCGCAACTGCCATCTTCATTCCTTCACTCTCCTCTCTAGACTCAGCACATCCTAGTCGGGTGTGCAGGGATCCTACAATACAGGGGTTTAGAGGTTGTTTGTAAATATATTTTCATCCCCGAATCCCTGCCAGTTATTAAAAACTGAATTTATGGAAAATTAGCGATCCAAAGAACAAACCTTGGCAGTTAAAAATGCCATTTTTCATTTTATTTTTCTCAAAGCTTAAAAATCATCTTTCATTGGTAGACGGGTTTTATTCATCAACAAATTATCATTCCAATATTAACAGTGTTACAAAAAATCTATATATATTTGTAACGAAATGTTTGTAATAATTTTTTAGAAAATACGCAATATGTGATGAAAAAATCTTGGAATTGTAGTTGTTCAAAGAATTGTAGCTACTGAGGATCGTCATGATAGACGTGAAACATTATGTTTAGTATAATTCTTTTTTTAATAAAAATGTGAAGTTAAAAACTGAAATATATTTGTATGTATGTAAGTGGGTATGTATGTATGTATATGTATATATATATATATTTCAGTTTTTAACTTCACATTTTTATTAAAAAAAGAATTATACTAAACATCATGTTTCACGTCTATCATGACGATCCTCAGTAGTTACAATTCTTTGAACAACTAAAATTCCAATATTTTTTCATCACATATAATATTGCGTATTTTCTAAAAAATTATTACTAACATTTCTTTGCAATGATTTTCCCTTTTATATGTTAACTACAGTTGGCTAAACATCTGAGCCAAATTGGCTGACATAATTGGAGGGAACCCTTGGGTATCCTGGCAGAAACATAGGATTTAAAAAATCAAATTTCATTTTTCAAAAAAAAGTGTTTAATTTCTCGGGCAACGCCGGGCACTTCAGCTATTTAACAATAACTGGAAAGCTTGAATATGTTAACAAATAATAACCCCAATCTTACCTATATTATACAGAACGGATGCCAGCTCATATGTGATATCTGGAAACACAAACTCGGCTCCAGAATACAAATCCTTCCAGCTAAATTGGAACGGTCCTTCTCCATTTATCTTGAACCTTAATTAAATGTAATCAATGAAGATTATATTCTGATTTGGAACGGTCCTTCCCCGCCCAACTTAATCCTTTATTATTTTAATATTAAGTTAGCACATCCGCTAATCTTAAGTCTGAATTGCATTAATCTAAATTTTAAACTTTTATTTATTCTTATAAATTCAGAGAATTCATAAAATTGAAGCGCTATTTCCTCGCAAATCTTAAATCTGTATTTTATATAATAAATGTCAGTCAAACTTGAGCATGCAGATCTGATTGATTAAGATCAAAAGTAGATTTAAATTATGTTGAAATATAAGATGATACAAAATAATTTATTGTTATATTAATTTGTAACAATGATTTAATGGTTCAGATATTTCAACATGAATGAATGAATGAATGAGAATGAGATCTGCAAGAAGCCCCATGTTGAGCGACCCAGACCGCCAACAGTAGTATCTGACCCTACAGGTGAAAATAGTACATAAAAACGTTTATCAGATTTAGTTAAATCGTTTTATATACTGACCTGTTTTTAATGAAAAGTAGTTGACAATAATATTTCTTTAGAGTAGCAACTCCATCAATACTCTCAGCTACTCGGATACATGAGTTTGATCTAAAATACAAAACAATAGTTTTATCATATTACCACAGGATTAAAAACAAGTAAGGACAATAAATAACAATGTATCGTACCATTTTATTTTACTTTCATTTTACTGACTGACTTAATATTACTGGACTGACTTTATATAAAAGATTGTATAAGTTCACATGTTACATGTATAATGTATATATATACACGTACACATAACTCAATATTATAATTTACTTGGATTAAGATTTTTAATATTAATTTAGGCAATTTTGATCTTAGCCAACATTGAAAGATTAAATGATTGAATGGACATAACTTGAACAATAAGCATTACCTTAAAGTTTCTATTTCTTTAATTTCATTTGCAAATGCGGACGGAGTTTCTCCGAATTTCTCCGCAATAAGTTGTCTCAGTTTAGAGGAGAGGTTTAGGTTCTCCGGACTAGTTTTAGCCAAGAAACTTATCATGGGGAGTTTAGGTATAGCCTCCATCCTTAGTTCTCTTCTAGTTCATTTTCTCTGAAACAAAAATGCAAGGTAAACGTGAGACATGTGAGAGAGCAAGTATTTACATCGGATAGTTTAGCATAACATCCTGTCGGGCCAACTCCAACAACATAGGATCATCGAAGAACTTGTTGATGGAGACGTCCTCAGAGAGACCCTTCCTTCTCCTCGTTTTCACCATGAACTCCCTGGCTAGGGCTGTGGCGGGTTGGGGTTCAAGGGGACGGATTGTGATGGATTTATCCAGGGGATCTCCGGGTACAATCTGCCAGTGGTGGAATACTGATAAACAGAATGCTTGACCCTGAGTATGGGTTCGGAGATCCGTCTCAAACCCGAATGAGTCGATGGCGGGGATAAATGCCTTAATGATGTACAGTGGGGAACCAGGTACAGGAGCATCTTGGGTCACGTGACCTCGCCGTCTAGCGAGCACGGTATATACAGCAGATACACAATCCGCCGGGGCGGATACCTCAACAAACAGATAGGGTTCCATGAGTCTAGGTGTAGCCATGAGGAAGGCGGAGTATGCTACCCTTCTTGAGGTTGGGATAATCTGACCACCGCCGCGATGAATCGGTTCGTTGGCGATCACTGCGTCGAGGATCTTAAACTTGACATTTCTGATCGGTTCCTCGCATAACGGTCCTTCTCTAGTACCCCACTGGAAACCTTGAACTATACTCTCCTTGACGGATCCTAGCAGTCCCTTGTCCACCTCGGAGGGGAGTGTGTCGTCCACCAATATATTTGGTCCGGTTGCATCAGGACCAAAGGCCCAGATAGATCTTGCGGCAAGTAAATCCCAGTCATATTTGGTTTGGAAAAATTCTCCTAATCTCTTCTTATTCCACGTGATAGATACAACCTCGTTCTCAATATCCTCAGATAAACCCTTCTCCAACGGTTCAGCAATCATTGTCATCTTGTTCTTCTTGTTCGGGGTCTCGGCGAAACATTTCAAACTGGAAGTTTCGACCACAGTCTCGCAGAAGGAGACGACAGGATCAGCAACCTTGATGTCGATCTCTGAATATAGTTTTCTGAATATAGTTCTCTGAATATAGTTCTCTGAATATAGTTCTCTGAATATAGTTTTCTGAGATCGTGCATAACACAGTCGAGGTAAAGTTCTCCAGTTCCCAGGATCACATGCTCACCTGACTCCTCTACCCTTGTGGAGAGCAAGGGATAAGATTTGTTTACCTTTCTCAAACCGTCCAACATCTTCGGAAGCTCACTGGGGTTCACAGGCTCTACAGCAATCTTTATCACGGACTGGGTGTTAAACTTCAAGGGGCGGAAGATGTAGAGCTCCTCGTTGCCCTGCAAGTCAGTGATGGTCGATGTCTTGACGATTGCTTGATCGATTCCTTCGATCAGAACCCAGTTACCGGCGGGGACACGGTTGACTTCAATTTTGTACCTGTAAAAAAATTATAAAATTCTTTAAGAAGATATAAAAATTTCTTTTAAGAAACATTCAAACTTTTTAAAAATGGAAAGGGTTGTTTTCAAATGTTTACCTAGCTTCATAGATCCAAAGACGACCAACTCGAAGGCTTCTGCTGTCTTCTTCGTCAAATACTGTGTAGTTCTCTCCCAACAGACGAATCTAGATATTTCAAACAAAGTTAAAATAAGACTAGATGCTAGAAATTTGATTAATATACATTTTACATATTATTATTATTATCATTATTAGAAGAAAACACATATTCAATGAAGTAGGGTCGACGCTCCTTGCCACCACAGTGTCTACAAAACTTGATTAAGATTTAATAAAATGTGCAGCTGTTAACTGCAATATTGATGTCTTCCTTACTTTTTCAAGAAGGAAATAACCACCAAAGTTTGGAAAGCTTAAAACCTGTTGTGAGTTTAAAAAATGTTGTTGGGGGTGGAGGGGGGGGGATTTTCAAAGAAAAAGAATTACTGCTGGAGAATCTTGACAGTGGCAAAGTTAAGAAAAACCTTTTAAATCATATTTTTCCCGCAAACACCTTCAAAATCTTCTACCTCTTGTCCTGAATGCAGAGTTCCGCTCATAACCCGTCCGAGAACATGGAAACAAGTTGTATCCTCAGTAGGGTACTGTTTGGTGGTGTGTACCATGAGTCGACCATCCTGGTCACAGGCCACCATATCCTCGTACCTCTCCGTTTCGTTGGTTCCGCTGTAGATCTGATCAACCTTCATCTACACAACATACAACATAATTATAACCAAATTATCATCAAAATAGAAAAACGCTTTACTTAAGAATATGATATAATACAACATATAAAAACAGCCTTTATTATTGTTACATATTTCAAGAAACCTAGGATTGTAAATCAAATATTACACTTTGATTTTAATTAAAAATGAAGAAATAATTATTTGAAAAAAGGGATAAAAATATAGGAACAATAATAGTTAAATTTTCTTACGCAGAAATTGAGTAAATAATACATTTTTATGTTTTTATCTTTTTAACAGAATTTACCATCAAGCTCTCTTCTTAAGATATGGAATAACCTGCCTCTTGACTTAAAAAGAAGCAACTCTCTAAGTATATTTAAAAATAAACTACTAAACTCTCTTTTGGAAAATTACACTACAATGTGTTATAAACCGAATTGTTATTCATTTAAAACTAATGAAATATATTTTAATATGTTCTATTATTTGTTTTGTACAGAAAATTATTTTAAAATCTAGTTATTCATACAACTGTATTAATTTTTTGCATAAGATAAAAAAAGTTCTCCTCTTAAATCTATTTAATTGAAATGTTTTGTTATCATTATTAAAGTTAGGCGGAAAAAATAATCAAAACAGTCAAGTATGCTTGTACATGTATTTTAGCAATAAACTTTATCTATTTATCTATCTAATAGACACCCCCCCCCCCCCTCCACTAAGAAAGCTTACCTTAGCATTATCTAGAGGACTAGGAATATGTTCCACACACATATCCGTGAACCCTGTAAAGTTCCCGAGGAACCTGGAGCAGATGAGACGGAGTAAAGGTCGGATATTCATCTTACTCTCCTCCTTAGTCAACCTTACTCCCAGCTCCTGGACCAAATTATTATTATTATCATTATCATTCAACCTACACTTACAGTCAAAGCATCATGCCCTATATTACGTTGAGCACCTCGCCAATCAAATCCAACTTTGAGTACGTCAAATATGTTACAGTGAAAGCCTTAATAACGAATACATCGAAAGAATTCATCAAATGTCGTATTCTTCACTTTCTGATAAGGAATGTTGCAGATATTTAGTTTTTTTAATTAAATGATTATATGGAACTCTTTAAAACTGCTCCCGCTTATTCATAGCTATTTATTTATTTTCGCAAATACTGAAATTTACGTAATATAGTATAAAACTCATTGAAAAATTGTCAAGACGACATTTGATAAATTCTTCCGATGTATTCGTTATTAAGGGTTTCACTGTAGGAGACATTAAAATGCCGTTAATGGACATAATAATTTTAACACAGGTTGATAAAATATTACTTAATAAATAATTAAATATATAAAAAAGACACTTGGAAAAATTAAATAATTGAATAAATATTAATTTTATAGCAAAAAACAAAATTATTAAGACAAAAAGCTGAAGAACAACAATCTTAATGAACCCATGAAACATTTAAACCGACATATAGTTCCCAGGGCGAAGATATCGGGTAAATAATTCTGGACTTCTGATGTTCGAGATATCTGGATGTCGTACACTAAACTTTGCAGGGAAGCCAGACAATAGACATGTACTGAAGAGTCCATAAACTGTGGAATAGGAAGACGACATTTAAGCAATCTTATGTATTTATGTTATATTTTAAGTTAAACTGTTTACATCTATATTAAATCTATCCAAGTTAAACCTTTATCTGGTCAATAGTTTGGAAGATATTGTCGAGTTACTAGAAAATGTACAATTCGGACAATTTTCTCAACTATTTCTAAAGGAAATTTCCGTAAGTCACTGTTTCAAAGAAACCACAAGCAATTGGAAACAATCAATAATTAGAGTTTAATTCAGTCTGATCATACAAAGCTTTTCAGGGTACCGTTGTGAATCAGACATGCCATTCTTTAAATAGGATAGCTCTAAAGCTTGTAAACGGACCTGACAGAGTCCTGGCAGACAGGTATCAACATCTCCAACAACATGAGCAAACAGCTTGTAGAGAGGTTCAAGGATAAACTCAACAAAGCTTCTCTGCGCGGAACCATGAGGAGGTTTCTTAGAGAACTTCCTCGTCTTGGAGTTGAAGTAGATGTCCCCCCAGAGCCGTCTAGCGAACTCGTTCACGTTGATGTTCCCGTAGGTAGAGTTGTACAGAGCAGCGAAGGATTTGAGTGTGAAGCAGGCTCCGTATTGGGAACTAGCAAAACATACATTTCCCTGGAAAGAATTTTTTTAATAATCATTTAATCTTATTATTAATTTTTTGGCCGGATGGGTGGAGGGGGGATGGCATGACCATGCGTCATCAAAAATTAAAGGCCTTTTAAGAAAATGTATGTCGTTAGAAATAATTTCTTTTTAAAAATTCTTGGTACCATTTTAGATTTTTAATAATTCAATCTGATTTATTTATCTCACCAACAAAATTGTCGACCACTCGATATTAACAATTAATTGTATAGTTATTTGGACAATTTTTCATACTTTTAAAGTTAAAATCCATTTTCTGTTTGCAGAAAAATCCCCAAAAGTATCCTGAAGAATGCAAGCATGAAAAAATGTGTAGATACGATACAATAAATTATTTACAGGTTAATTCCTTCATATATTAATTACAAGTTTATGCATTTTTTAACCATAGAAAGAGAGGTTGTCAATAGTCAATACACAATACACATGAACATATTTTCTTACTTGGATTGGAGATAGAACTTGAATAGATTCATCCTCCGAGTAGAGGCTGATGAGGCCGTTAACCTCCTCCACTATATGACGCAGCTTGTAGTACGCATCCTAAGCAAAAGAACATTGGTTACAGCAAACAGGAAGTATTATACCATAACAGAAACTTGTTATGTAATAAAAGTTTATTTTATTATTAATATCTTAAATTTTTTATCTCGTATTATTCTTGTAAATAGTTTATTAAAATATATAAAAGGAATAAGGCATCTATCGTTGTTAATGTAAAATATTTCCATCAGGCTGTATGTTTTTAGATCAATAGTCAATACTCTTAAAAGCTAAATGTGAACTGTGGGAAGAGAAAACAAATATTTCAATCATAAACTTTTATTTTTAGTTGTACATTGTACAGGGTGTCCCAAAAACATGGGAATTCAGTGACGAATTCGATATCGTCTTTATGAATAATTCTTTGATTTAGTATAGTGATACCTACTGAGAAAGCTGTAATCTGTAAGAGTTTCGTCTGCTATGTTTACATTTTGTTTGTTTATGTTTTGACTGCAACCGGTTGTACTTAGTAAAAAAAGAAAATTACAGTATACAAACAGAGTAAACTTGTCCATATTCACTGTTCATCTTGCGGAGACATTTTAGACACATCTTTTCAGTCTTTTACCCTTTTCATTAAATAAACTCTAGCAGACATAATAATATTATGGCTTTTGAAATTAGGTATTACAATGCTAATTCATAACAAAGACGATATCGAATTAGTCACTGAATTCCCATGTTTTTTGGGACACCCTGTACCAACTTCAGAAGAATGAAATTGAAAATATTCTTAAAAATAAACCTGGGGCGGAAGTTTAAGTTCCAGCATAAGTCGATCTATCTTGTTGATACACACGGTCACCGCCAGCTTCTCCTGGACCGCCTGCTTGATCACCCGCTCTGTGTTCAACATCACACCCTCCGCCGCGTCGATAAACACGCATACGCCGTCCGCCAGGCGCATACTGGCGGTCACCTCGTCGGAGAAGTTGACGTGGCCGGGAGTATCGAATACATTGAGAAGGAAGGATTTGTCCCTGACGTCCTGGCAGACCAGGGATACAGGCATGGCCTGATCAAACAACTCAGTTAAAATAAAAGGAACATTATTTTCATGAAATAGGAATAATAAAAAAAATATTTATATATATACATAAATAAATATTAAAAATATTATAAAAATAAATCAAACTGAATTTCAATAAAATACAGCAGTTTTCAGACTGACCCTTTAAAATCTGTATAATACAAAAGTCAAGAATAAACATATTTCATTGATAGAGTAAACTTTTAAATGGAGTAAGACGGAAGTACAATAAAATGGAAAAAATAATTACAGGATTGAAAATACAAATCGAAGAAAGAAAATGCTGGAATATTTTTTTTGGATTATTAGAACTAAGTTTTCCTTGATTGAAACTCCACGTTCTTGTTCTGTAAAGAGAGTATCTGTGTACCGGACAGGTTTGTCATCCTACTCAGGGGTAGTCATTCAATACAGTCAGTATTTGAGGTGTTTTTAAGGTCGGGGGGGGGGCGGAATATTTCAAAAGCGGTTTCCCTAAATCCCTAAAATATCGGAAGCCAAGTCCGAATGTTTTCATCCTTTTAAGTGGAGGGAGAGGAAGAAATATCAGAAACGAAATGAAGGAAGTGAAATATCGCAAACCTTTGATGGACCAAGAGCTTGGTCCTTGGCGTGAAATTTCATATTGATTTATTTATTTTTTTGGGGGGCCAAATGTCGAAATTGTACGGTAAGAAAAAGTTGGTCCAAAACTGAAGGAATATTTGAATGAATTCCTTAGATTGAAGATCAGGATGGGTTTGCTGCATCAGACAATCAACGAAGGATGTTTTCCCGTGATGAAGATGTCCCACCAGAGCAACATTACGAATCAGATTACTGTTATCCATGAGATCAGCGAGGAACTCTATCTGGTAAGTAGTCCTGGGCAGCTCCTGCTCAACGTGCTCGAACTTGTTCTTCTTCACGGGTTCAATGATAGGTTTGGTGATAGGCTGGGTATCCTCCTCATGGACTATTGTCTCAACACCAGGTCCGAAAACTTCTCCGGCAGTTGGATAATACTTCTTATCCTCGTGGAGCACTATTGCCATGGACTGAGCTGAGGGTTCGTCCTCCTCATCCTGCTCCTCGTCCCCCTGCATGGCCTCCTCCTCGTCCCGGTCCTTCTCTTCGTCACTGCTGGAGTCTTCCTCGGACTCAAGGTCGGGTCCAACATAATTTCCAAACTCGTCGTATAGATCAGGATCCATTTTCTTTTCTGAAATATCACAGTTGGTTTAATAAATGTTTCTCAGGAATTAAAATTATAAATATGAATATAAAAAATTTAATTTTTCCATTTCACGTTTGATGTTGTTAGAGCATTTTCTGCGTAAAACCAGTCTCGTGAACTCGCCTGTAGAGAATCTCGGAACCTATGTATATCAAAATCAATTTTAGTCGACAAAACTTAATGATTTAAAAGTTATATATTTACTTTAAAAAATATTTCAGCAATAAATCATTGCTTTCAATCTGACAAAATTAATTTATCCTAGATTTTCAAGGGTTGAACAAAACAGCAAATGAGATCTAATTGATTAAGTTTCCTAAGGAGAGCAGCCCGATCCTTCTGTGCCAGGAGAACATCAACAACTACACTAGAGACCCGGAGTTTACGTGCAACCTCCAACCTTTCTCCAGGACTCTCTACAGCCTGTAGAACCAAGCTCAGGGTCTCAACTGGACACTGAAACAAGATTATACGTTTTCATATATCCGTAACCAAGTGATTCATTGTTGTTGTTTACAGTGTGTTTGTTTACCTTGGCATCGTGCAGTACAATTGACATTTCTGCCATGTTTACACCGCCTTTAGCTTTCACACCTCCCAACCAGCCTTTTCCAACTAGAATCAGATGATTAGAAATGTGAAGAGAAGATAGTACAGAAGAAGATAATGAAAAAAGTATTGAAATAGAAGATAAAAAAGAATATAATAAAGAAGAAGATAATATAGAGAAGACATTTAAGAACTAAAAAACTCAATAAATGTAATCTCCATTCCAGGAGACTTAAACGGAGAGAAGTGAGACCAGTGCAAGAAACTGTCCCGGAAATAAATTCTGTGATTATTTTATCTCCAATATTTGTCCTTTTTTGGTTATTTTGGTGAATTAATCTCAGTTCTATTTATAAAAATCTTTACTGCACAAAGTTAAACATTGGTGATTTTTAAGGGTTTCTCAGTCCTCTAGTGCCAACAACGGGAGTAGATCAAAGGAGTAGTTAACAGGAGCAGGAATACTTCACAATCACAAACCTACTTTCTTTGTTCATAAACAAAGAAGGAGTAATTTCTACAAACCTAGATATAGGAGTAGCTACAGGAGCGGGAGTACTTTCTAAAGGAGCAGGAATACTTTCTACAAACCTAGCTACAGGAGCAGGAGTACTTTCTACAAACCTAGCTACAGGAGCAGGAGTGCTTTCTACAAATCTAACTACAGGAGTAGCTAATAGGAGTATTCTCTATAACTTCAGCTACAAGAGTAGCACAGGAATATTTCTACAACTACAGCTATAGAAAGTTAAAAGTTAAAAGAAAGAAAAGACTTTATATGAGAAAAAAGATGGAGGTACAAAGATTTGGTTACTAATTAAGTAATTTGGATATATTGAACATGATGTAGAAAAGAATAACCATGAATACAAATAGGGTTGAGTTAAAAAATTACCAAGTAGGTTTTCACAATCCTTCCAGGCTTCAGCTGTAGCTCTACCCCTGACACTGACCCAGATAACCTGCCTCTCCGACAAGCTGTGCATCTTCCGTATAGCTGAAGGAGAGTGCAGAAGATTCTCCGGGGCTCCATAGTAGTGCTGGGTACAGTATAGCAGAGCCTTCAGTACACTACTAGAGAGGACGGACGGTTGTCTCTCCGGGTAGGATGATTCAGCGCCAAGGATGGGAGAGATTCGTTCCAGCAGATTGATTTGTTCAACCACTAAGGAGGAGTCGATATGGCCGGACATTTGTGAGTGAAGGATTTGTTTTAAGTTTCGCACTTTGTACTCAATACTCTAAAAATGGTCGTTTTAATTTTTGATTTTGTTAAATTAAATATTTAAAAACAAACCTGAGACGATACTGCTTGCTTGTAGGCAACAATTCCAGATTCATGAAATCGACCGAGAGCGTTTAAAAGATCTGTTAACTGAGAGAGTTCATGTCGAGTAATCATATGATGAATTAGATGCTGAGCGGCGAGGGGCCGAGCGCCCAAAATTCCAAGAAATTTCGGATGTTTTAAAGTCTTCTTGATCATAAGTGTGATAGCAAGGATGGCGTCCCCGTCCCCCATCTCCAGTGCGCAGTCAAGTAGATCCTCTTTCTTCTTCATACTCTTATACATCTCGAGGGAGTACGGTTTACCTAGACAATATTGAATTTAATCTGTTTATTTTATCTGCTTACTAGCTTGGGAACCCAGCGCGGCCAAGGTTACTAAAAGTTACTCCACCCGTTTACCCGCACTTGAACGATTTTACCAGGAAACTAAATTTTTGCTAGTAAAGTCGACCCACTCAACTTAGAAGCTCAAAACCAAGCTAAGAACATTCCCATGGGTCTCCCAGTTCAACCATCAAAATTGAGGCAAATCGTTCCAGGGATTTCTTAGTTATGATCGGACAAACAAACATCTATTACAACTTTATATATAGATAGATACCTTATGTCTGTTTAAAATACTTTGTCATAAATTCTGTTTTTATGTTATCTGTTTTTAAATAAATCTGTTTTCTTATATTAACTGTTATTTTAATAATCTGTTCTTATTAAATCATTTTATTATTTATCAGCATAATTAATCCTTTAAACTACTACTTAACGCTTCTTTTGCAAAAGAAGTAGAACTATTTCGAAGGAATTTGATTTTAATTGAAAGTTCGAGGCTAACCTAGGATAATATTTTGAACGGTTTCTACTGGTGGGTCTGGATCCAGTCTTCTATCCTGCAGGTTTTCAAGTTTCCTTCTCAAGGTATTCAGTTCAGCTTCTAGCTTGGCAGGATCCTTCCGACCCATCATCTGGCTAAACGACATACATTAAAGGAAAATATCAATTTATAGAGGAAGAAAATTGCCGAAGAAGCATTATAAAATCCACAAATCGTAGCATCGGATTCTGGAACCAGAGAAGACCTTCTCATCTTCATCTCTTTTATTCATAATAATAACACTGATTTCCCTTTCAACAACATATGGTGATAGCAACTGGAAAATTTTTAATTTAGGGAATGAGTTTAACTTATCTTCGTTCAAAAGTTCCAAGCTCTCTTGATAATAAATATAAAAGGTCCGCAAATTCGTAAAGTTTAAACAAGGATCAAAACTAATAATTACTGAAGGATAAATTTAGCAAACTTTTATTAAGTAATTGAAGTTTTATCAAGAACAGGTTTTGGGTTTTTTAAGCTAGGTATAGCTATTTGAACAACTCTCTCATGCATTCTTGTTCACTCTATTCAAGTAGATTAATTATTCGTACTAAGTTCAACTTATTTTCATTATTCATAAATTCCGATCTCTTGTTTTACTCTAATAGTTTCCAAAAATTAAAATAAAAACAAGACCTGATGGATGGTTCTGGTTTGTTTGCAGCTGCTGAGATCTGTTTAGCAGCCTCTCTAACCCTGGCCTCCCATACAGCAGAGCCGGAGGAGGTCGGACCCATCTCGAAGGATACTAGATCATCTAGAGGCTGGCTCGAGGTTATACTAAAATATCATTTAAAATATTTTAAGTTTTAGAGGAGGGTTCTCAAATAGTAAACACTAAAAAAACGGAATCCAAAGAAAAAACATAAACTAAAACATTTAACACGTTTTAACAAAAAAAGTTTGAGACGTCGATAATGTACAGTACACCGCCTGAAATCAATATCCACAAAAATTTGAAGCGATTAAGCGATTCGTAATCATGCAAGAGCTGATCGTTGTGGCGTCTCAGAAGAAAAGATACGGATTACTGCTTCCTGAAGGGTTTAACGCTAAAAATTGTTGGTTTAATTATAAATTCCAAAAATGTATGGACAATAAATTCCAAAAAATGTATGGACAGTAAATTCCAAAAAATGTATGGACAATAAATTCCAAAAAATGTATAGACACAGGATTTCTTCTGGATACGTTGCAGCAACATCTTTCAGTCTATGCTGTCTTAGAACTATCTGATGAATATAAACATCCGTTATCTTAAATCAATAAAGTTATTCTTCTGGTTGCGTTGAGTGGGATGAGATTAAAACATTTCTGAACTAAAAATATGGCTAGACAGTGAAAATGATTTTTAATTGGTGCGAACCTTAGATCCGGCATTCCCATAGTATCATCTCCTTCCTCCCAGGAGAACCCTTTAGCAACAGAATCATTCCAGTATTCCTCCTCCTCCATCCTAACCCGGGTATCATTCATCTTTATTCCTAGAATAGACAAGATAATTCCAGTATTCCTCCTCCTCCATCCCAAACCGGGTATCATTCATCCTTATTCCTAGAATATACAAGATTATTCCAGTATTCCTCCTCCTCCATCCTAACCCGGGTATCATTCATCTTTATTCCTAGAATAGACAAGATTATTCCAGTATTCCTTCTCCTCCATCCCAACCCGGGTATCATTCATCATTATTCCTAGAATAGACAAGATTATTCCAGTATTCCTTCTCCTCCATCCCAACACGGGTATCATTCGTCTTTATTCCTAGAATAGACAAGATTATTCCAGTATTCCTCCTCCTTCATCCTAACTCGGGTATCATTCATCTTTATTCCTAGAATAGACAAGATTATTCCAGTATTCCTTCTCCTCCATCCTAACCCGGGAATCATTCATCTTTATTCCTAGAATAGACAAGATTATTCCAGTATTCCTTCTCCTCCATCCCAACCCGGGTATCATTCATCCTTATTCCACAAGATTATTCCAGTATTCCTCCTCCTCCATCCTAACCCGGGTATCATTCATCTTTATTCCTAGAATAGACAAGATTATTCCAGTATTCCTCCTTCTCCATCCTAACTCGGGTATCATTCATCTTTATTCCTAGAATAGAAAAGATAATTCCAGTATTTCTTCTCCTCCATCCCAATGGAAGGCTGTAATCTAAATAAATTTCGACTTAAAATGTTAATTTCATGCAGCAATATATTAGTAGTTTTTTTCCTACGAAAGTTTACCAAATCAAAGACTTTTTTGAACCATTTGAATAAAACTCAAATATCATTATTATTATCATTTGCAGACATCCCATCATTTACTAAATATGGGGTCGACACTACTAACCAAAAATTAACCTTTAGTTAAACGCAAATTAGATAATTACCTGATTATCAAAGGTTTGTAAACAGCCAAGTTCCATTTTATAAATCAGATCATTTTTGGTTCTAAAATATCGTTCTTTAATCAAATGTATAAAAATAGTGAATAAACCTCTAAACTGGATTATTAACCTCGACTCCAAGTTTGAAATAGAACAGGGTCAAGGTTCGGGAAAACCTCTCAGGTAGAATTGGTACCTGGAGTAAGACGGATAGAATGGTTTGAAGGAGTATAGCTATAAAGGGGAGAATCTAAGATAACCTAGTGGAATGTACCGAATTGTTCTCCGTACAACAGAATATACATAGAACATTTAAAGTGTACTTATCAGTACAATTACATCAGGTTGGTCCTAGTACAATAACCGGAGTTTACATACATGCAAATATTTTATAAAAGCACAAGAATACATAGTTATCTGCTAACAAAGTGTAGATTATTGATAAATGAGTCGATATTATTAAATCAGAAGTATTTTTAAAATTCATATATATACGGCAACATGCCTTTTAGGAGAGAGAGAGGCGGGAGAAATATATATATTTTTATATAATCAGATCTTTATCATTTAAACTAAAATATTTAAAAATAGTAATTTTTGACGAGATTTTTCAAGTGCGCTTTTTTTTAGTAAATTCTTCCAATACTAGATTAATAGTTTCTAAAATATTAACAAATTATACAATTTAGAAAATTGAATGTGAAAAACCCTAAATTCGACCAAGACAAATTTCTTTATTTAAAAATTGAGCTACGAGGCGGGATTCGATGTAAATTTTTTTTTCATTACAAATCACATATTTCATCACACAAAGAAATCATCGGAAAAATGCGAGTTAACAATATATAAATCTGCCAATTTTCAAAATTTTCAACTTAAACTAATCCTGACTTTGATAATATAATCTTGGTGACCGAAGCACTAGTTTAGTTTTTAACCTCTACTGCAATGATGATTATCAGAATCGCTGAAAATATAAAAAAATTCAAGAGAAAAAAAAGAAACACGGCCAAAAGGAAATAAAGGCAATAAAGTTTGAAAGAAAATTAAATAAAACCGCTGAAAGTTAATGAGAAAATGATTTTAAGTGAAAAAACGGAAATTATTGAAAGTACAATTGAGAATGGAATTTAAATACAAGGGAGAAAGGATTGAAAGTACAAGGGAGAAAGGATTGAAATTTCCGTAGGTGAACCTGCGGAAGGATCATTAAAGGTTTGGTTCCGTGCCTCTGGCGCAGACCGAATGCTTTGGCAAACCAAGTCGGGTAGGAGAAAGGATTGAAAGTACAAGGGAGAAAGGATTGAAAGTACAAGGGAGAAAGGATTTAAAGTACAAGGGAGAAAGGATTTAAAGTACAGGGGAGAAAGAATTGAAAGTACAAGGGAGAAAGGATTTAAAGTACAGGGGATAAAGATTGAAAGTACAAGGCAGAGAGGATTTAAAGTAAAAGGGAGAAAGAATTTAAAGTACAAGGGAGAGAGGATTTAAAGTACAAGGGATAAAGGATTGAAAGTACAAGGGAGAAAGGATTTAAAGTATAAGGGAGAAAGGATTTAAAGTACCGGGAGAAAGGATTTAAAGTACAAGCTAGAAAGGATTTAAAGTACCAGGGAGAAAGAGTTTAAAGTAAAAGGGAGAGAGGATTTAAAGTACAAGGGAGAAAGGATTGAAAGTGGAGAAAGAATTGAAAGTACAAGGGAGAGAGGATTTAAAGTACAAGAGAGAAAGGATTGAAAGTACAAGGAAGAAAGGATTGAAATTACAAGGGAGAAAGGATTTAAAGTACAAGGGAGAAAGGATTTGAAGTACCGGGAGAAAGGATTTAAAATACAAGCTAGAAAGGATTTAAAGTACCATGGAGAAAGAATTTTAAGTACAAGGGAGAGAGGAGTTAAAGTACAAGGGAGAAAGAATTTAAAGTACAAGGGAGAAAGAATTAAAAGTACAAGGGAGAAAGTATCTAAAGTACCAGTAGACAGATTGAACGTAAAGGATTGAAAGGATCAAACATTAAAAGAGAGAGGATTAAAAGCAAAGATGAAAAAAGTTGAAAAGAAAATACAAGGATAAAAAGAAACAAAATTCCGTTTGTTATTGTTTAACACTGAATATATATAAAAAATAATAGAAAATTGCATCATTAATTACTTACCAAGTATTACAAGGCCAAGAGTTGCAAGTATAATTTTCTTTTTTCTAGCCGAGTTTGCGTATGTGTGAGCCTAGATAAAAATAGTCATTTAATTTTTTTCATTTCTCAGAAGATGTGAAAAAATTAGTTTATTTTAGCGTAGGTATATAAATGCGGTAAAAACAAACTATGCTTATTGTAGAGAAATGCAGCGTTGATTTAAGATTTTAAAAATGTCAAAGGGCATCTATTATAACCTGACCGTATACATCTTGTTTTGGGGGGCTAATATAAGTAAACATTCTCTTCTCGCTCACTGGGGCAAAAATTGCTATTTTTTTGCTTAAAACTGTGATTTAATGCGATTTCCTCCTAAAATATAATATTTTGTACATGTCTGCTGATGTTGATGAAGGTTATTATCTAAAATCAGATAGATAGATAGATTTAGATAATTTTAAATCGCATTGCACGCAAAACTCTGTTGTTTCTGGTAAAAATTGAATTTCTCTCTTCCTTCAAAAACATTTTTTAAGTAGATCAACATCAGCAGGCATGTACAAAATATTATATTTTAAGAGAAAATCGCAGGACATTTTGCCGGAGGATATAAAGGTGGGGCTATGAAGCGCTGCGGGTGAGCGCGTTGCCGAAACTCTATGTTTGTGAGTAAATTCCAGGATGAAGGCTTTACGGGTTTGGCTTGCCTTTCCCCACTCGGCTCAGTTACCTTTCCATAAATAAGTTTTAAAAGATTTACAGGGTACTGTATTCACTGTATTGGCTTAGTTAGAAATATCTCAAAATTAAAAATTGTCAGTTTTTTAACCTGACCTGCCAAAAAAAAAAAAAAAACCTGAGAGGAAACTGATAAACCTGTACTAGTGGCGGACTCGATATTCTACCCAGGACTAAGCTGATCAGTTTCCTGATGAACCTGTACTAGTGGCGTTCAGTTCCCTGATGAACCTGTACTTGTGGTGGACTCTATTTTCTACCCAGGACTAAGTTAATCAGTTCCCTGATGAACCTGTACTAGTAGCGGACTCTATATTCTACCCAGGACTAAGTTAATCAATTCCCTGATGAACCTGTACTAGTGGAGTTCAGTTCCCTGATGAACCTGTACTAGTGGCGTTCAGTTCCCTGAAGAACCTGTACTAGTGGCGTTCAGTTCCCTGATGAACCTGTACTAGTGGCGGACTCTATATTCTACCTGACTAAGCTGATCAGTTCCCTGATGAACCTGTACAGTGGCGGACTCTATATTAGATTCTATACTATCAACAATATCTCCTTGCTCATGTACCATAGTTGCCAGATCCTAAAATATTTTAGCAGTGTAAAAGTATTAATATTAGAGAGGCTACAACTCATTAAGAAAATATTTGAAATCTTTTATTTGAGCTGTGACCCAGGGGAAAAAAGAATCCTACCTTAAAAATTGTGTTTACATCGACGATGTCTGATTCTAGTTGTCTAATCGCACGCTCTCTATCTTGTAGCGCGTTCAGGTCAACCTCTTCCTGAACACGTTAAATTTTTTAATATTAAGAAAAATTTAATTACTTTATTAGTTGTATGGAATATAAGAGAAACTTCCCAAAAATAATTTGTACATCAGTTTCTGGGAGAAATGTAAACAAAACTTATACTGAGCAGCAATGGTAACATTCCTCTCAGAAATTGTAGTATACTTTATATTGTGGAAGTTTCTGGTTTATTTTTTGATTTGTTGGGAGAAACCTTTTATCAAAACCAACCCTTAAATTATTAGTTTCTTTTCCGACCTGCATCATAGCTTGAGTTCTGAACTGTGTTGTATTGGTTTCTCCGGGTCCTGGTAGATGATAATCCCCTCCACTTTGCCTGTATTAGTATCCAAGTTAGGGGAATTATAGATATATATTTAGGCTAGAATTCATAAATTTGAAATATTATAATTCATAAATAAATGATTCAATGCAAGGTCCAACTATTTCTGGTTGTTTCAATTGGTTGACCTTACAAAGTTTTATAAATACATTTTTTATTTAACAAATAACTAATTGTATTACATAAAACAAAGCACGTAAGTTTGAAAAAAGAATAATGGAGTTGAATTTTAAGGAAAGGAATAGTAAGGGGATAACAGGGGAAAAAGAACCCCACAACTGAATAATCGACTTCACTTTAATATATTACAGAGTGAACTACAAAACTTAAAAATTCAAAAGCAATTCTTGTTTTTACATTGAAATTCATTACATTAATTAAAAATTAAATACTGATAATGAACATTCAAAATTCTTTGTAAGACTACCCCCAAATTCTCAACCTAGTTCTACGTAGCAGCTCGGCAACTGCTGCTCAGATATCCCAATTTTTTTTTCAAAATTAGCCTAAATATGATGAAAGATGAACAAACAAGAAGAAAACGAAGAACAAGAAATATAAAAATGTCAAAATATTTACATCTGATATATAATTATTTAAAGAATATTATTAAAAAAAAAACTACTTAATAAAAATACAGGTCATGCCATATCTTATTCCTGATTTACCAAGTTCATTTTGGTTTTGAGATAGCAGGCGTTTGATTTCAACATTCAGATTTCTTTAATCCTCTTTGAACATGTCCTTGCTTAAAACATTTCCTCTCAAATTAATAAATTTACATGTTTCAAAACCACATCATTTACGTTTTATAATCTATTTTAAGGTCAGATATAAACAAATGAACATATAAATATAAGAAACGGACTTGTTTTGTCACAAGGACTATCCCTATCCCCCTTTTAAGATTTCGTAAGGGGGGGGGTCAAGAAAATATACACCCCTGGATTATTACCTTGCAACAGCTAGATCTGCCTTCTCCCTTTGAGCGGATTCAGTTTGAAGTCTCTGAAAACTGTTTAAAGCTCGAGTAAAATCATCCTGAAGCCTTTCCTTCTGCATCTTCTCACGAGGATCCAAACCCTTCCAGAAATAAAGGATTCAGAACTTCAAATTTATTATATCTATTCCGGCAAATCATTTATTATGTTTTTATTCCTGCTTCTGTACTTTTCTTCGCTTAACCTTTTTTGTTCTTTAATTTGACATTTTTCTTTTTCATTCTTATTCACTTGCTTTCATTCTTCTCATATTATTCTATTTTAATTCTACTCTAGTTTTTCTATTTTATATATATTATACTAAAGGTTGGCCCTTAGTTTTAGTTGCATTCTGCTTTTCTTATTACCTGAACCTCTCCTAGATTCATGAGCTGCTGTGCAGTATCCTTCGCCAACTGACCGGTGTAGTGCTGTAGCTGACGCAGCTGTTGACGCAATGAATCTCCCTGTGTATCTATATGCACAATCATACGCTGCATACTTGACACATTCTGAACCAGTTTCTGTATATTGGTGGCAACCACGCCACTTAACCGTTCAAACTCACTCATTTTTCTGCAATGGAATTTTCACAATTAATACTGTTACAAAGAAAATAAAAGTTGATAGCCATGTCGAATATACCAGTATCGGAAAACTTGTTTTCGATCCTGATAAAAACGTAATTGGCTCCAAGTAAACGATATAAGTACGGAAAGACAGGATAAATATTAAGTGTAGTGAGGTTCACCAGAATTGAGCTTAATATATGTAGCTCTGATAAATATATTTAATATATGATTGATAAATTTATCAGACCTAGTCATTAACAAATTTCACTACCCATTTTTTTCAACCAACCTTCTTCATTCCCATAAGAATTCCCCTCATTCCCAAGAGAATTCTCTTCATTCCCATAAGAATTCTCTTCATTCCCAAAAGAACTCGCTTCATTCTAATAAAACTCTTTTTATTCATTCCCGAAGTAATCCCTTCATTCCCAAACTAATCCCTTCATTCCCAAACTAATCCTTCCCAAACTAATCACTTCATTCCCAAACTAACTAATCCCTTCCTTCCCAAACTAATCTCTTCATTCCCAAACTAATCCCTTCATTCCCAAACTAATCCCTTCATTCCCAAACTAATCACTTCATTCCCAAACTAATCCCTTCATTCCCAAACTAATCTCTTCATTCCCAAACTAATCCCTTCCTTCCCAAACTAATCTCTTCATTCCCGAACAACTCCCCTTATTCCAAAACAACTCCATTCATTCTCAAGCAACTCCATTTATTCTTAAACAACTCCATTTATTATCAAACAACTCCCTTTATTCTCAAACAACTCCCTTTTTTCTAATACAACTTTTCTTTAATATAATTTTTTTACTTCTCCCCTCTCTTCCATTTCTCCTCTTTAGCCAACACCCATTTACAATTACAACCACAGTTACGAGCATGCTAAATAAATAATTTTCAGAAATTTTTAACGATAAAATATTTGACTTTTGAATTCTTGACTTTCTTCGCTGTTCAAACAACTTTCACCTAAATAATTTAACAATTTTTTAATATTTACACAAGTTATATGAAAACTGAAGGCCACCAGAACAAAACAGACTTTTCAGCAAGGGATAAAATGAAGAACAAAGAAATTACGAAAAAAATTTAAAAGAAAAGAAAGCAAAAACTCTTAGAAGAAAGAAGAAGAATGTAATATAAAAAAGGGTGGGGGGAGTAGTGGGCTGGAGGAGAAGGATTTTATTAAGGATGAGAAGGAGAGAAACCTACCTTTACTGCTTCATAAGATCCTTCCTCCCTTCCCTGGACCAGGAAACACTCCAGCTCCAATCCTGGTCGGAAGAATCTTCTCTTCTCATGTCCAGGAACATTACTCCGGTGGAAGAATATCCGTCCCAGCTTATACGCTGCTCCCCGTCCTCTAAAATACAGCAAATTAAAGGGAGTGTTCGCGAAAAATGAAAGGGGGTATAGGCTTAATGGGATAAAAAAGCGCTTTTGATCGCTACTAATCTTACTTCTAGCTGTTGCGTCTATAAGGAGAAAATTGTTAAAAACGACAAATACCGAAGAACGTAGTGTCCATATAAATTCAGAAAGATGCAACATACGACTTAGACCGTAAAAAAATCTATTTAATTTTTAATTTAATTTTAATTTTGATTTTATTTTTTAAAATAATATTTAGCTTACAACTTGTTTTCGAACATTCCTGGAAAATATTAAAATGTCGTCTTCATTACCAAAAATCCTCGAAACAGGAATACATGCTTTTATAAGTAACTCTCAGATCATAACAATTAAAACATATTATGAAAAATCAACTATATACAAATGTGGCGAAAGAAAATCGATGACTACAGGTTGTAATATCTGAATGATTTGTTTGAAATTAAATAGATTTTTTTACGGTCTAAGTCGTATGTTGCATCTTTCTGAATTTGTATGGACACTACGTTCTTCGGTATGAGACGTCTTTAACAATTTTCTCCTTACAGACGCAACAGATAGAAGTAAGATTAGTAGCGATCAAAAGCACTTTTTTATCGCATTAAGCCTATACCCCCTTTCATTTTTCGCGAACACTCCCTTTAAGAATATAAGAAAATGGGGTTTTATGTATTACATTCAAGTTGTGTAGAAATGGCTTCTACTGTACTGCATACTGTAGAAATTAATACAGCTTTTATTTACAACTATGATGATCCCAGAATATTAAATTGAAACCGTTTATCGTTGATTTCTTGGACCAATCAAGTTTAATTATTTCTACATCTTAATTCTATTGTTTTTCTATCTAAAAATTTATACAAGTGATTACTGCTGAGACGGTATGAGACGTCTTTAACAATTTTCTCCTTAAAGACGCAACAGATAGAAGTAATATTAGTAGCGACCAAAAGCGCTTTTATCGTATTAAGCCTATACCCCCTTTCATTTTTCGCGAACACTTCCTTTAAAGATACAGTTCACTACATTCAATTCAAGAGTTCTTTCATTAGCAGCAAAACCAAGAACCGACAGACATGGACTAAGATAGGATTAAATTAGAAAAACTTGCAAGAAAACTAGAATTTACTGTTATCAAGAAAATACTGTGTTGTGGCAAATAGATTTTTCAAACAAACCTGATAAATCCGTAAGTTCCTTTCCATTCTCCGACCTTGCCCTTTACTACAACCTCAGTTCCCACAAACTTCTCCTCAGCATCCTTCTTCTGTTTCGCCAGCTTTCCTTTCTTCTTTTTCTCTTTCTCCTTCTCCTTCATCCTTTGCTCGGCTACAGCAGCCTCTTCTTCCTTCTTCTCAGCCTCTAAGGCCGCGACCTCGGTTGCAACAACAGATCTTTCATCGTGATCGAAGTCGAATATTTTAATGATGTTGCCAAGTTCCATGAGAATTCCGAATGATGTCGGACTAATAAAGAAGAGTGGACGCTTGCAAGGATCAAAAGTTTCTACAATGGTTGAGTTTAGAATATCTGAGAACTTGAACTTAGGATCGAAATGCGTGTGACTAAGTTCGTTATATTTGGTTTGGCCTAGCTGGAACGGTTCACTGCCCATGGTAAGGATGGGACAGGAACTTTGAGATTTAAGACTGAGAGCGCAAACTTCGTGGAAACATTCTACCTCATCTATAATCATCTCCTGGGGTAGATAAACCCTACGGTTAAAGTATAGTACCCCGTTCTTCAATTTAGCTGTGCTCAAGCACTCCGAGGTTAGTTTGTAGCTATCACTGACCGATCCGGAGAAAATAAGTCCCGGCTTTACCGTCTCTTGATCGGGGTTGTAAGAGTACAGCTGAAACTTGGAGTTATCCGATCGTAGGAGAGCAAATTCGTGAATTCCTGGACTTGAGTCAAACATTCCGGACCAGGGTCCGTAGCTCTCTGTTCCCACGTTCATCTCGGCGAAGGGGAGTGTGTAGATCGGTTCCCCTGAGTCCGTGCTGAAGAAGATGATGGAGTTGGTGGTACTGTTTACGAGGATGGCTCTGTTCTCCTTGAACCCGGCCAGCCGAACCTCCTCCTCCAACCAATCAATATTCAAAACAAGTTCTCCGCTTGTCCCATCATATACGTTCAGAACAGATTCAACCTTAAACGGATTCTGAACACAGACAACAATCTTATTCTCGCTGTGGAATATCGTTGATTTCTGATTAGAGCTATTCTTCTGATCGTAGGTCGTCTCGGCGAAGAATTCGTCGACTAGCGGGTCCTTCAGCATGATGTCGACCTGGCTGTCGTCGCTAGAAAACGCATGCGACCAGATCTTAATTCTTGAAGATTTATGGATTGTATCACAATACAACAATGAGATTCTGTCCTTAGTCAGGCAAAAGGTTTTCCTCCAACCGGTTTTACCGAGGCGACGTATTGCGAAGTTTGCGAGGTCTATCTGGAAGAAACTGTAGCTGAGCCCAGTTTTGATCACGTGGCGAACTTTTCCCGTGCTTCCATCACACACCGTTAGGTTTAGAAAGAACTCTCCATCGTCGGAATAATGATCTAAAATGAGAAATTAAATAAAAATTTACCAAAAATCCTATATTGATTCCGGATCTAGGTACTAAAAAATAGAAAAAAATCTTTGCCTGTAAAAAATCTCATTTTAGGAACTCCCAATTGTTGCAATTTATTAAATAAAAAAGGAAAAATGAAGAATGATTCCTGAAAAAAAATGCATTAAAAAATTAAGAAACTACTTTAACTATTCTGATTTTTTTTCAGGATAGATCCGAATCAGAAAGACAGAAATAAATTTGTTTGCCCACCTACAATAGCGAGAAGATTGCAATCGTCCATGCAGACGATAATATTTCCAGTTTGGCAGGTTGTCAGATGACTGGTGTGTTTCATCTTAAACTCCGTTGTAACATCCCGGATAGTGTACATCCCCTTCTCTACCTTCTGGTAAAGGGAGACCTCCGAAGGACCAGGCAAGGAGGAAATATCGTCGGAGGGATTCAGAAAGGAATCTAGTTGTCGGAGGCGGGCAAACTTCTGCCCGACTAAAGCCCAGTGTTTGATCCAGAGTACACGGATTAGTTTGACCATGCTCCCTAAATCAACATCAACATCAACATCAACATCAACATCAACATCAACATCAACATCAACATCAACATCAACATCAACATCAACATCAACATCAACATCAACATCAAAATCAAAATCAAACAAATCAAAATCATAAAATGTGAGGATTAGCTTACAACCTCAGGTTTCAAGAAAAAAGAATCTAAAATACAAAAAAAAGAAATTCAACACAAACAACCTATAAATAACCTATGAATAACTAAATTTTTCATAATAAAACATAAAAATAATGTATTCTCATCTTACCATCAGATTCAAGTTCTTGAATAGGAATTAAGTGTTGTTGAGGGAAAACAGTGTTCTTGAATAATATCTCAAACAGAGAGATAAATAGGTTTCCTACAGCTCCGTACAGTTCAGCTATTCGCTCCTTAAACGAGAAAATTTATATAAAATTATCAAAATTATAAAATTTGAAACTTTAAGGCTTTTTTAACAATATTCATTCCCTTTCCTCTTTTTAACCTTGTTTTTATCATATATTTTAACTTTTGAGGGAAAATTTAAACCTATTTTAAGACTTTTTGTAAACTGTAAACTGTTCATTATTGATTAAGATATTAACAAGATAAATATTTATGGTGTAATTTAATTAGCAAGTTTTATAATTCACATCTTCAATCTTTATGATGTAAATTAATTTAATTTACAAGTTTCATAATTTATATCTTAAATCTTTATGGTGTAATTTAATCAAAAATGTTTCAAATTTAAATCTTCCATTTAAATGGGGTAATTTAAAATCTTCAATCTTTATGGTGTTATTATATTTAAAAGTTCTATGATTTACATCTTCAAACTTTCTGGTGTTACATTTATGGTGTAATTTAATCTACCTGTTCTGCGTGCCAAGGTCCATAATATGACCGACTCGACCTCTGACCGGCCCGATAGTATTGAGTATCTTCCAGCTCTTCCAGAAAAGGATCAAAGCTGTCACCACTAGAGAATACGGGTTCAAGGTTGATTGCAAAACTATTTCTTTTTCAGTGGCTGACATGTTTTAACACTATCAACATAACAAACAAACAAACACCCAAACAAACAATCAAACATTTGATTTTTAAAACGGGGGGAGGGGTCTTGATGAGAATAAACACCTATACAAATCCTGAAAAGAAAAAAATAAACCTACTTGGAATATCCATTCTGAGTATGTTTCCAGATCTTCTCCCAGAGTTCCTGTGGAAGCCTGGCAGCAGTGGCGGGGGGCAAAGTGTCCATGAACACCTGGAACACGACACGGAACACATACTTCTTCATCCGGAGCAGGGTTCGCAGGAACACATCGAACTGTTTGTCGTTCTCGAATATTTTCTGATAAATCTTCACGCTCTGGCAGAACTTTTTCTTAGTTAGAGATTCGTTTGGTGTAAACGTGGTTGGGCTAGAGTAGCTGAAAATGTCCTCATCCTCATAGTCGGACTGATTATAGTCCTCTCCTTCAACCAGCTTCTCTCCGGTGTTCTGAACCGAGTTCTTAATCTCCGTCCTGAGATGAGCGGTGTAGGGATGCTGGCAGCGTTTTCTCCAAACCCTGACAAGGAGTTCCAGTTCCTCCAGGAGCCGGTAAAGATCTTCGTAGCACTCAACCTTGCAAGGATTCTTCAGTCCCGTTCTAAACACGGAGAAAACATTTTTTACAACATTTTTGGATCTTTTTCTATTTAAGTCAACTTCTCCTACCCCTTCCCGCCACCTCTTCCTATCCCCTTCCCGCCACCTCTTCCTATCCCCTTCCCGCCACCTCTTCCTATCCCCTTCCCGTCACCTAACACTACCAACGCCAATTATCCTTTTCCCTGTCAATTTACTCCTTTCCTCCTACACAAGTTCCAATACCTACACATTTCATATATCTGCCACCAATCTTCAATTTGTTAACACTTCAGGTTTCTTGTACTAAACTCAATAAGTTTTTTTAAATGTTCTGCGACATCCCCCACTTGATTCCGGGATCCGAATTTAGGAAGACACAACACTCCGGATTAATTCTTAACTAGACGGATCCGCTATTATTCATCTTTAATCTATTTGCCTGAACCAACTCATCCTCTCTTTTTACTTACCCAAAGTGCCCATATGGCTTCCAGGACTTCTTGTGAAATGACAATCTCTTGATAACTGAGCTGTCTTGCAATGTTACAAATATCTTTCTCGAATTGTCGATCTCGAAATCATCGTCGAAGGGGTCGTCTTCGTCGTAATAGTCGTAATCATCGTCGTCGCTGTCGTAAGGATTGTCGAACTGGAAGATAACTCCTTCTCCTCCAAGAATATTGTTGAAAAGATCGTCTGGAAAGTGCGGGGCAGCAAAGTGACCATCGTTAAATTCCAAGTTCGCGTGCATAAAGTCCCTAAAAATCCTTAAGTTAAATTCCTGAAAGCATAAAAATACTGCTAAAAAAATGATGAATTTTACGATAATATGAAAAAATTAACTATTATTGAAAAAGGATTGTGCCAGGAAGAACTTTGAAAAGGAAATGCTAAAACTGGGAAGACTGCTAAAAATATGAAACAAGACAAATAGATCATTAGATAAAGAAAAAATGAAAGCGTGAAAAATCTAGGATGTATAAAAAGCTTCAGCTAAAACAACTATAACTATAAAACTATATAAAATTACCTCATATCATCATCAAAATCCACGTCAAACATCGTACCATTTGTTTACACTCTGAAACACGAGAAATATTTAGTTTTCAGAACAATTCAATTATTTAACAATTAACAAATATTATAAAACTTCAGACAGGCGTAATAATAATAATATAAATATCAAGTTAAAATTCATTTAGACATAATTACAAGAAATCTACGTAAAAGATTGTCCAGATTAAAACTTGTTGTAAAATTTAATCGAATTCATTCAATAAAAGAAATGAACTATCACTGGGCTGTAAAAATATTTTGGGCAACCTCTCGTTCAATCATAAAATTAAGATCACAGTTTTTTAAAACAAACTCTCACGCTTCATTCAGGATTTCTTGAACTCAATCCTGTCAACCTTCACCTCCCCGTCCACCAGCTGGTACACATAGGTCACCACGGTCCCGCTCTGTATGTCCATGAGAATAAAGCTCGGTGTGATCTCCGACTCCAGAGCAGAGTAAGCTCCGGTGGCACTGCCAGGATTCACGTAGAACTTTCCCTCCTGCTCATATGCTTCAAACTTATGTGTATGCCCTGTGATCAAGATGTCACAATCCAATTGCCTGAAATATAATAAAAGTAAAATTACCGATTTTATAATCTTGAAGAGAAATGAAAAGAATAAAACGATGTGAAGGTAAGGACTGTCCTATTTATAAGCGACCCTTCACGTAAAGAGGTACATGCCCAATTCACAACGGTACTCTTTATTAATCTGATCAATAATGTGAAGGATATCGTCGTTTTCCAGCTTGACTAGTGTTAAATTCTGATATTTTTGTAAAAAACAACAATTGAAATTGATTTTGTAAAAATATTAAGGATACCGTTGTGTATCGGACATGCTTATAATCCTTCTGTTAGCGCATATAAATGCCGCTCTATTAAACGAGTAACATAAAACCTCAGTTACCCTTTAAACCTTATCCGAATATCAATGAGGAAGTTATTCTCGTTTATCCATCTTAACAAGAGAGATTTTTTCTGGTAATACCATACAGTGCTTAGGATCCGGATCCAAGGGGTTAATACCATACAGTGCTTAGGATCCGGATCCAAGGATCCAAGTATCAACCAAAAAATTTAAAAAAAACTTTTTTACCCCTTAACCCTAATTCTGAACTTTAGAAAAAAGAGAGGTTATAAAAATGTTCTCATTTCTGAATGGTTTATCAAATTTAAGGATAAAAAAAAGCGAAAAAAATAAAACAAAAAATTTGAAATTATTTTTTGTTAAAAAAATTTAGTAAATCTTGCAGAAATGACCTGGATCCGGATTCGGATCCATTTTTTCCAGTGCGGATCCAAGATCCGGATCCGCATCAAAATTAAATGGATCCTAAGCACTGAATTTCCATAACTTGTCTGCTCCATATAACCGCATGTAACTTTTTTAGAGAACCCGGAATTGAAAATTGTCAATTTCTAGATAGAAAAACAAGGATAACTTCATAATTATTTACCCCCACCTGTTAATGACGGCCAGTGACTCTGCATCTCCCCAGGGAACAACCTGATGACCATGACAGACTCCGATCCTAAACTGTCCGACAGTTACAACCTTCTGATCAGGGTAGTTGGAAACCTAAAAGAAAAAATATCAAAATAAAATCTTAAAAACCTTGAAGATTCAAATTAAGCTGAATTAGTAGAATTTTACGATACTAGTTTTTATAATAATAAATAAACCAATTGCTTTGGACAAACCTCATCAAAGTCCCCTTTCACAACGTGAACATCATTCGCCAAAGTTCTTAAATAATCGTAGGATTCCTGAAAAAAATTAATTAATTTGATTTCGGAACAAATGAGTTCGAGGGTTTGGAATTTCTGAAAAAAATATAATTAGTTCAATGGTTAGAAATTAATAGAATAAGTTCATTAGTTTAAAATTCATGAACAATTAACAGAATAAGTTCAATAGTTTAAGATTCCTAAACAATTAATATATTTAGTTCAAAATTTTAGGATTCCTGAACAATTAATATATTTAGTTCAAAAGTTTAGGATTCCTGAACAATTATAAATATATTTAGTTCAAAAGTTTAGGATTCCTGAACAATTGTAAATATATTTAGTTCAAAAGTTTAGGATTCCTGAACAATTAATTTATTTAGATCAAAAGTTTAGGATTCATGAACAATTAATATATTCAGAGCTGAAAACTTTAGAATGGTGGATATCGGGATTAATGCTTAATCCACTCTTTTTCTTAATCTCGAGATTTAATATTGCTTGTTCTCCTCTCATTTTCACTCTCCAGATTAATTATCCGATCAGGATTAAGGATATCCCATTCTAAAGTTTTCAGCTCTGTTTAAATGTTTATGATTTTTAAACAATTAATATTTTCAGTTTAAAAGTTTAGGGTATATTCCTAGAGAACGATTTTTGGACTCCCTCCCTCCTATCAATTTTGTACATGGATCTTATATGTTGGACATGGATATAATTGACCATGTGGCCACAGCGCTCGGCCCCCTAGCCTGTCCTAGCCGCAGCGCTCGGCCCAGAAAGTGTCTTAACCTAACCTAACCCTAAATAATAATAAACAAATACTAAATTGGTCTTGTATAAAATTGATAGGAAGGGGGGGGGGTCCAAAAATCGTTCACCAGGACGGACCCAAGTTTAGGATTCATGAAGATTTAATATATTCAGTTTAAAAGTTTAGGATTCATGAACATTTAATATATTTGAAATTCCTGAAAACTATTAAAAGAAATATTACATTAGCATTTCGAATAAATTTTGTTACGACATCTTCGAAAATCATAAGTGTGAGAAATAATTATTAATCTTTTTAAGTCTAATAATCACCTTTGTGCAAAGGTTACCAGTGCAGAGTATATGCTGTATCCGTCCTGGGACTAATAATTTCTTGAAGAGCGCTGGGAGTGAGCTAGCTCTATGAGGTATGTGGAGATCTCCCAGAACTAGAACTAACATTGTATTTACGTAACAAAATCCTAAAACAGAAAATTCAAAACAAATATTTTTTAAGTTTCACATACAGATGATAAATCGTATTTCGTAAAAACTAAAACGGCGAATTTCAACAAATCGTTTTGTTTCGAACGGGCGTATGAGTCGGCGCGCGCAAACATTGAGAAATACCCCGTAATGTTTTTAAATCAATTTATTTTCATTGATTCATTGATTTACTTTTCTTATTTTGAAAAACAAAGAAAAAACAAAGAATAAAGATATATTTGAAACAATTAACATTGTACATATATTCAACATTCATCATACGTAGGGATGGGGGAGGATATGGAACGTCCCCCTCATTGGAAAAATTTTGTGCGCAACTACAGGGTGTCCCACGATACATGACAGTTGGTGAATAGTTCAGAATGCCTTTTTCCATTACTTGTCAAGTTGTTTGATACCAAAATACTAAAAATAACTATGTATTGAATGTCATGTTTTGTGGGACACCCTGTATTTGGAGACTGGAGAGCTGTGGCCATATGTGTACCGCTTCTGACTCTTCTGACTTGGCTTTTTTTTAAAGAATTGTTATTCAGAAGGAGTCCTGGAGGGTAGCGGTGCAGGTCGTGTAGGAGGAGGTTATAACTTATAGGTATAAGGATAACTAAGGATGAATAAGGAGGAGGCTAGAGGAATAAAGAGGAGGTTATAGAAGGATAAAGAGGAGGGTAGAGGGATAAGGAGGAGGGTATAGAGGGAGGAGGTTATAGAGGGATAAAGAGGAGGTTATGGGATACGGAAGAGGGTAGGGATAAGCTGAGGAGGTTATACAGTGATAAGGAGGAGGGTTGAGGGATAAGGAGGAGGGTATAGAGGAATAAAGAGTAGGGTATAGAGGGATAAGGAGGAGGGTAGAGGGATAAGGAGGAGGGTACTTGTCACGTCAAGGTTTTGAGGGGGGCGGGGAAATAATTATGGCCGCCACCCCTTCCTCCCCTAAATATATATATTGGCCGGTATGAATATGCAAAAAGTAAATATTCTGAATATCCTGGAATATTTGGTTCAGGTTTTTAAACTCTTTTTGCTCTGGGTATAAAAACATGCATAAAACATATTCCTGTGTGAAGTGTGTAAAGAACCACTTTGCCAAATTTGAAATCTTCATACAGAAACAGGGGTGTATACAGGAACAGGGGCGTATATAGGAATTGCTTCCGGGGGCTAAAATATTTTCTTTACAGGGGGCTCAGCTCAGCATCCGTTAGGGTCTTAAAATCCCCTGGAAACCTTAGATTTACTACCCCCCCCCTCCCTCCCCCTGTGTACGCCTTTGCACAGAAATCATAGAAATATGGTTTTGGATACAATTTTTACGCAAGGCAAAATAAAATGAGAAAATTTAGAAATATCAAAATGAATCAGATAGACATTACTTATCCCAATTGTACAGACGTTTTCCTGAAAAGAATCTGTCTTTTCTTTTTCTATTAGTCTATATATAAATTTGTCATGTCTGTCTGTTTGTTTGTATCCAACAAACGTCAAAACGGCTGAATCGCGGGGGCCCAAATTTTGTGTAGAACCTCACGTGACCCCAGGGAAGGTTTATGAATGATCAAAATTTTAAAATTCGTGTTTAAAAGTTTTTTATCTTTGTAAAATTTTAAAATCTTGAAAATCCGCAATTTTTTTTATAAAATCCGCGAAATTTTTTTCTTTGTTTTTCAATGTTGTTATAATGAGAACATGTTCACAATTGAAATATAAGATGGGTGCGAAGCGCCCTAAATGCCTAATAAGCTTACATTTAGAAACAAGCTCTCAGATGGGATTTGTAGAATTCGGTTATAGTTAAACTAACTAATTGCTATAGTTAAATTAAACTATCATTCTGTGCCATCAAGAACAACTTGAACCAACAGCGAAATAAAATTCGTCAGACTGGCTGGACTATATAATAGTTCAAAAACTATTCATAAATCATGACTAATGCTCAGTTTAAGTATCTTCCTTTTTAAGAAAACTAACCCCTTTCCAAACTCTTAACTGGGTAAATTTTATCTAGATTCCCCCGATTTAAAACCTCTATATTAAAACATATCCATACTCTGTCTGTATAAGACTAAAACGTCATAAAAATAAATTGCCGAAAACACTTGAAAATCCCTCTCCCCCTTAAATCCTTTCTCCAATCTGAAAACTTTCTCTTTCTTTATCATATTCTACATTCATCTTTTTCATCATTCCTCGGTAAAATAATCTATATCTATGCTTATTGTTAGTATAGTGTATTTATAGGAAGTGTAAGTATATGAAATGTAACTGAGCCATGTTACACGTATATTGCATGTAAGGTTGAAATTTTATATGCTTTAAATCATATTTATTTCATATAAAAAATGTTTTAAATTTCTAATATGTAATCAATGTTTTGTGCATTGAATCACAACTAATACTAGGCGAGGTTGCATTCTCGTTCACAGTTTAGGAGTTTTTAGGAAAGATAGTTTGGCAGGAAAGTAAAAGTTCGAAATAGGAAGGATAGTTTAGGAGTTAAAAGGAAAGATAGTTTTGCAGGAAAGTAAAAGAGCGAAATAGGAAGGATAGTTTAGGAGTTAGAAGGAAAGATAGTTTGGCAGGAAAGTAAAAGAGCTAAATAGGAAAGATAGTTTAGGAGTTAGAAGGAAAGATAGTTTGTCAGAAAAGTAAAAGAGCGAAATATGAAGGATAGTTTAGGAGTTAGAAGAAAAGATAGTTTGGCAGGAAAGTAAAAGTTCGAAATAGGAAGGATAGCTTAGGAGTTAAAAGGAAAGATAGTTTGTCAGGAAAGTAAAAGAGCAAAATATGAAGGATAGTTTAGGAGTTAGAAGGAAAGATAGTTTGGCAGAAAAGTAAAAGTGCGAAATAGGAAGGATAGTTTAGGAGTTAAAAGGAAAGATAATTTGGCAGGAAAGTAAAAGAGCTAAATAGGAAGGATAGTTTAAGAGTTTTAAGGGAAGATAGTTTGACAGGAAAGTAAACGCAGCGAATTAGGAAGGATAGTTTAGGAGTTAGAAGGAAAGATAGTTTGGCAGGAAAGTAAAAGATCTAAATAGGAAGGATAGTTTAGGAGTTTTAAGGAAAGATAGTTTGGCAGGAAAGTAAAAGAGCGAATTAGGAAGGATAGTTTAGGAGTTAGAAGGAAAGATAGTTTGGCAGGAAAGTAAAAATTTATCTCCCCCCATATCCTTTCTATATTCTAGATTCCCCTGCCTCCCATCAAGTTTTTATAACTTCCGGTTCAGGTTCCAAATGTTTGATTTCTTCTCCAGGTTCTCCTAGAGTATACGGAGAATAGGGAGGATTCGGTTCAACCCAAACTCAGAACTATCAAGAATACGTGAAACAGAGCGGAGAAATTTATAGTGAGCTAAACAGTCTTTGATCAACCAATGCGCTGCTAAGTATTATTTTATCCCACATATTTGTAAATTTATATAATTTATTTACCTTTTTATTTTGTAAGACAGCTTAGTTTTAACATATTAAAGAACATAAAACGCAGGCAATATACGAATAAACGATTAGACACAAAACTAAAATGAGAACCTTATGAAAAGTTAGTAGAATGAGAGAGAAGCGAGTTATGATTAAGGAGTAATAAAGGAAAGTATAATATGGGTTGCTTAAATTTAGTTTACTGTAATGTATGTAATATGTGTATGTATTACGGTAACTATGGGTACCTACAAAGAATAAGACCTAATTAAGATAAAACTCTTTAATATGACGATCTTAAAGGGAGTGACCGACAATGTATGGTAGTTGAACTGAGAAAATAGTATTGTAGAGAAATTTTTTAGGATTCAATTGGACTGAATTTAAAGTTAGAATTGAAAAGAATTAACTAAAAGAAAATGTCCCAAATTCAATCGTTTATAAGTAAATAAGATCTTAAAAGGATTGTCGGTATAATTTCAATGGATCCTCTATTTTCAGACATAAATACAACGACATCTCCATAATGTTTGCTCAGACAAAAGTTCATAAGGTACCGTTGTGAATCGTGGAGTAAATGGAAGTACGTTGACAGTTTCTTGTGACCTAAACATTCGCTCTATAATATAAAGAGCTAAACTTACAAATGCAAAGTACATGCTCTTGAAGTCGTTGTATGGATTTTAAAATACTTTGTGTTTGGGTGATGTTGCATTCCAGGTTCTAATTAAATTCACATTCGTTTGCTTCTATATAGAGATGTGAACGAACGTAATTCTTAGTGAAAGATGGTGGTCTTCAGAAAAATTAACGAAATATGAAAAATAAATTGGATTGTTCGGAACATTAAAAACGAACGAATGTTAACAACAAAACCCAATGATCTAAAATCGTTAATGATAGTTCGCATATTATGGATCAGCCAGATCGTTAATGAACAATTTCTAAATCATTCGTTCTGACAATTGTTCAATTAAATTGTTCGTTCAGTGAGATCAGTCCTGAAAAAAAAACGAATCTTTCGAACTAAATCTTAAAAAAAACTTCAGTTCTTTATTGAACATACTATTTTTTTGATGAAATTATTGAAATAAAGATTAGTTTTTTTTCAGGGCTGATCTCACTGAACGAACAATTTAATTGAACAATTGTTCAGTTAAAAAACTAACGAAATAGCTTGAAAATGAACGATAATTCTGAAAAACCGAAATAGAATGCGACTGAAAAGAAGAACAATCTACGAACAATTTTGAAAAAAGCCAAAAGCGCCCATTTCTACTTATACACACCTAGCCAGACGGTCTGGTGCCTCGGATAACAAAATAAAATTCGTCACAGAAACAAAACAAAAAAATATATTTTTATAAAATCTTTTAAATCGTATCCCGATAGAAATGATAGATTTTCTGTAATTTTGCACTTAATATGTGAAAAATATTTACTTAAAGTGCGTTAATATTGTGTTTTGATAAATAAAGATGGAGAATGTTGGATAAAACACGTTTTTTCTACTTTATTTGCGCGGCATTGTATGC